TCTGCAACTAGTGGATTAGGAAGTTGCTCGTGCGGATCCGGTAAATTTTGCTACATTTAGCATCTTAATACTTATTTATAACCATTATCCTGATATATTATTAGCCTACATTTACTTTCCAGACTTGTTGAGGTTCTCCCGATCGGCTCGGGAGATACCTTTTCGACCTATATGGGTAAAACTATCAATGCAAATCAATATAGAGCTACTCTGGAGCACGCGAACAAGTAGCAAAAAAAAAATATTACCAGGCATATTTACTTTGTATATCTTACTAATAGGTTGTAAGTGTCTAGGAAGTATTCCAAATCAAAATCTAAAACCCCCAAAACCCGAAATCCGTCGGTGAATCGGTTTATGCGGGGAGGGGTTTTTTTTAAAAATTCTCTATTGACCTAGCACTTGCACTTGCACTTGCCAGGCACGGAGTATGGAGTACTCCGTATGTTGTAACTAGATAGAGAATGTAACTCTAGACCGGAAGTACATGCCGCCCTGCACAACAAAGGGGTGTAAAATGAACTAATCTTGACAGACCTTGGGAGGTATTTATTTACTCCAGACATTGTGGTATAGTTGTCTCACACTATGGGGCAAACTAGATCTACAACAAATATTATATTCCGCATTCCGCCTCCGTACACGGATCATGGTTCGTCGATTCTTCCGATTTACCCCTTTTTTTTCAATTTCCCTATAGCACAGAGTTTCTTTTGCGGAGACATATGTTGTTTACGGAGACTTCTACGCTCCGATGTGCGACGGGGCTGATTCCTTCGCTTCTACCATCGAGACCACATGGCCCAACTGTGGGCCTTTGCAGATCACTCAACGGGTGCGTCGAGTGTCAGTGTGCTCTGTAGCTTGGAGTCCACTACTATAGTACTAGACTCCGTACGGAGCAATCAGGGTAAATTGTCTTCCAAGGTTTTAGAGAGCAATCCACTAAGCTCAATCCGTTCAGTCTAGCTATATCTAGCTATACCCTTTGAGTTTCCAGCATACAAGGTAGACTAGTTACTAGCATGATTCCTACGGCGCTACCTTGCAAAGCTAATTAAGGAACATTACACCGTCTTTTTGTAGAGGAATGGCTAAGGAATGGCTATTCTGCACAACCAACAACCAACATCCAACAACACCCTCAACCAAATCGGTGTAAAAGGTCATCCTTGAGTGGAGCAAATAATATATTAATGCGCTCTAGTCTAGCGGTGCATCTCCAACGGCTCGATGATAGGTAGTCACCACACGCATGACATCATGCACGCGGTATTATGGGCGCCAGAGCGCATCTGCCAGGTCATGCTTGTTGACGCTGTTGGTTCTGCTGCAATTTCTATTGGCTGATTGTTCTGCAGCCTGAGGATGATCGTGGTAAAATTGTCCGATTGGGGGCTGGAAATCGAAAGGACTAGTGTGTTATCGTTGTCCTCTAAACCCGAGATCATGCAATATATAGTATACAATTTGTACATTTATATTATGTTGTATATTGATCGACGCGTGTCTGAGTTTATACCATATTCGGGTATGCCGGCATATAACTCCATATGTGTAGATTTCGGACTTCATATTTGAGGACATGGGTTATGAGAAGGAATAGAACCATGTCAGAGAAGTCACCCTACTTAGCCAAGAGAAAGAGGCAACAATATTAGGTTTTGATGCGAGCCAAGTCGAACCAGAACAGCCCGTTAGACCAGTAATCCTACTCTATCCAGCCTAGTCTGTCGCCAATATCTTTAGTAGTCTCCAGCCCCAGCGGGACTATTCTACTCTTTGTTCGGGCTGCGGTTACTGCATCGATATAGCTAGCTTTCAGCTGCACCAGCTTACCAACCAGAGTAGCATCCTTCAATCTCCTTTCTCTCGCCTGCAGGTCTAGGTCGTCGCTTGATTTGCATCGGTTGGAGTTATGTGGCTGTCAGATCCGGATCAAGCCCGGGCCAAATCCGCCTAGCCGCTGTTGGGCCATGGCGTTGATCTACTTGGGCCGTCGATCTCGACGATTACGTTGGTATGCCGCGGAATTCGGGGGAATGGGTTGAGCGGTTATGGATTAAGTAGTTGGCTACTATTGGGGCCAACTAGCTAGCGCTCATGACCCATGTGGCTTTTTTTGCGCGGTCTGTGTGTATCTCTTTCCTGATGTCATGCAAAGTGAGGGGACGGAATGCTAGGCATCAGCGAAGGGGTTTTAGAAGTTGTCCTCTTGTCTAGTTGTTGGTGAGTTGGTTGGAAGACGGTGACCGAACTGGGTAGATTGATGCTCGCTCAGCCAGCCATCCCTAGTCCAAAAGCGATGGGGGAAGATTGGGAAGACTCTTCGGATGGGATCTCTTGCCCATTTCTCTATTACATTTGCTGACTGTAATCTAGGCTTACTTTTTGAGCAGCTCGCTATTTGGTTTCAGTCTGACTGATGCTTACTATGACAAATGGAAGAATTTGCAGGCCCCAGCACTGTGTAGACACACACCGAAGATATCTCTCCTTAGCTCACAGCTCACACTTCTTCCCTTCTTCTTGTAAATTCTTTCTTCTAGAGATGTATTCTCTCGTCGTGGACTTTGTGAAACACCCTGCTATGTGCGGCCACCTTGGCCTGACCTTTTACGCTCGTTATCCAACATAAACCATCCAAACCAGTAACAGACTCCAACAATCATAAAATTCCCTTGACATACCCATCATCTCCCGAAGATGCAGCTCTCTCTATCAACAGCAACACTTATGAGGATCCACCGCTACGATGATGAAATACCCTCTTGAAGCCAGTCAACGCATCCCCACCACCAAGTCCAAGTCCCAATAATCTCCAGTCTGTACTCGTTAAGCCTTACACCGATACTCTTATCCTCAGTAACACACTCAGAGTCAACAATCCTAGTTCCGCCACCTAGCAGCACGAATACTGCTAGAAAACAGATCAAACCCACCTTTTGCTGCATCTGCAAGAAGGTCTGTGATGGCGAACAGGTACTCTATTTTCCACGCCGCGACAGCGAGCCCGCAGAGGAAAAAAACAGCAACCTAAACTATCTGCGTCCGTACATTACTCCCTGCCCACTTGCAATTTGCCCTGCCAAACGCAAATGGGATACAATCACAAGCGCAAGGACAGTCAATACACTCGTCGGTTGCATCACCAGAGCAGTTTCTACTCCAGTAGGTTCGGCAATACCTGTGTCTAGTATAGCAAGATCGGGTTGCTCAGTGCAATTCCTATGGTTTCATGCACGCGCTTAAGATGCTCAAGTGTGTGTTGCACCACCATGCGGAAGCCATACTGCCATTGGATTATACTGGAGCTGCTAGACTTCCTTCTCAGACCAACCCTATTGGACTGTGCTGGACTACATGGTATACATACGAAGGGAGGGATGGTTCGAGTCAAGGGTGCTGCCTTGTTGCAGTGATGGGAGTGCCATGGCCTCTTTGGGAAAGGTTCATTCCGGATGTATGTTTCTGGCTTGAGGCTCGATGCTACATTTGATGATTTGTATTTGTGTGGTATGACTAACCTACGGGAAAGGGCGTAGTCATGTTAGAGTAGTAGAGTCCTCATTAGGTCGGTGGATATCAAGGGTACATGTAGACCTTATATACTGATATACTGGTAGTTGAAGGAGACTAACGTTAGTCACCCGGACGTAGGCAAACTGGCTAATGACAGGGGCATTTCGCATTGAAACAAATGTGGCACATACGACATAGTTGACCCTATTTGAAATAGTGATATGTTTGCAACCTCACTTGAAATATGAGGTTACTCAAATTCTCTCCTATGTTCCGGATACCATTTATCGGTACTCACCACGCAGTGGTAATGGATGTTGAGATATGTAGAGCATATGTAGTGTTAGAGGTGAGGTTGACAAGAAACATCGCAGCGTCGCATTTCCCACCTACCACAACCCCCGCATTCCCGTTGATATAAATAAAGCTTGTGTCACAACAAAGTATAATAATGAAGTCTATCTGTTTACATGAAAACCCAAGTGTAAAAGTGATGTAGTGCGCGGCTTACTACAATAGACCTCGGGAGCTAGTTATGTCGATATATATATATATATTTGAGCTCGACCCGGTAATATTGATTTACGAACTAAGACTAGTAGGAGTATATGAAATGAACTATTCGAGACCGTTGGAAAATATAATACAGGCAAGCTTCCTGATTGAACAGATACTAACGCATCCAGACGCTAGAGATATCTAAGATATACATATGAACTGCTGGTTCTGAGCATGCAAAATCAGACACAGCCTTGACCGACTAAACTACCATTGATTTAGTCTACAAGGAAATAACCTCAGACTGATGTGCATATCCATTCTCACATTAAGTACAGCTGATTGGTCTCACCTATTTACAGTCACCTATCCCTGAATCAGACCAAATCGGAGCGAATTGCAGAATGCAAGAAGCTCATTATGGGACCAATAGGCAAAGACCTGACTGGACAGGAAAGAGACCAGAAGGGGGAAATAAAGTAAAAGAGAATCACATAAAAGGAATGGTTTGCTCATAAAAAAGGAAAATGTCGAGTATTGATAGAGCCGAAATAGAAAGAAACGCCTTTTCAAACACAACGTCTCTATATCCACCAAGACTTCACTATAATGAACAAGATACAATGATCGGGTTGTTCGGCAGGGAGGACCGGTGGTCCGGTTGATTTCCCAATGTAGACCCCGAGAGGTACTGATCGAGAGACAAGGTAACGCCGCCCGAGACGCATTCACGAAGCGGGTTTATAGCGGCAAGGCCAAAGAGACGGCATGTCACCAGGTGGGAATACCGACTCGGGTCAGGCCATATACCGTTCGGATATCATAACTCCGCTGAATAACCCGACTGAAAAATAATGACAACAGGACAGGGAATCTCTCATAAGAGTAATTCGATCGAGACGGAGATGATGTGAGTTTCGCTAATACCAAGTGGAGAGAAGGAGAGGGGAGGATGAATGAGTTGAGAAATAGGTATTGGTTTAGCGATCGGGGTTCGTCACCTATATCATAAGTCAGCCTGGAAACGATGTCATCAAGGTATTACACGTGCTTACCTGCAAGATCCGACGAGAGAAGTCATGGTCATCATCGATGCTACCATTGCTTTGGCGACGCTGAGCCATGTAGTCGCCATCGAACCGAGAATCGGACATCGAGGGCGGGCCAGAGTCGCGGCCATAGCCGCCAGTCGCCCCGCCCGCAGCGTTGGCCTTGGTCCTCTTGGATCGCCACCAGAAGAAGATAGCACCACAGAGAGCAGCGAATCCGACCACTCCAACCACGACTCCGGCCGCAATCGCGGCAGTATTCTTGCTCTTCGCAGACTGTTCCTCATAATCGTCTTCGGGCACAGTGCTCGAGCTAGCCGCAGCTGTCGCGGTCTCTGTCCTTGTGCTGGCAACAGTGGAAGAGGTGGGGGCAGCCTCGTTGGCTTGCGTCGTAGTTTTGCTGCTGTTACTGCTTGTGGTTGTGGTGGTCTTTGTCTCCTTGGAATCCTTAGAGTCTTTGGAGGAGTCGTCGGAGTACGTAGGAACGTCGTCTTTCAGATTTGTGGTATAGACAGAGTAGTAGTTAGTACCACCACCTATTCAAGATTATTGTTAGCAAGTCAATTCTCTGAGACCGATGGGTGGGCGATATAGACATACACATGTCATCGGGCCAGCCGCTGCATGACTTGCTGCATTTGTCGCTCGAAACCTTGGCGCTGGCTGGTGGTAATGTATTGCCGCACGCACAGTCGGAGCCTCCTGTCAAAGCAAATGTCGCGAATTCCTTGGCGCAATGGTCCAGACACCATCCGGAACTCTGATATGTCCAGGTTGTTGGCTTTTCGTATCCAGGAATGCTGGAGTAGCAGGCCTGCAGTGTCCCTAATGGTGCACCGCGAGCAACCACTTTGAAGTCTTGTGTGACTGCTGATGTGGTTGCCATTAGCACACTAGACACCGCAAGGGCGCGTTGAGTGTTGAAAAGCATGATGTATCGGGAGAGAGAGGAAGTCGAGTATTGAAATCAGCGTGGAAAGTGAACACCGCTGGACACAGTCGCAGGGGTGATTGACGAAGGACTGGGGACGACCTGCGTAACCCTCAAGAACTTCTGTTTGAATGTATGCCGGTAAGCGTCGTTTGTTGTCAAACTGCCCACCACGTTGGTTGAATTATTCAGATACCCAGGGCGTATCTGAAACGAGGAATTCGAGGGGTTGCCAGAAAGAAAAGGGAAATGAAGGTGATTTCGCGTTGTGTTGACGGGTACTCTTGAGTACGTGGACGAGTTGAGGTTCACCCCTACAATTTGGCAGAAAGTGAGCGACCGTGGACTCAGTATTAGTTCAGTTAATAACACCCAAATAAAGGGAGTAAACGAGCGAAGAAAATGGGTTGTCGGTAACGAATGTGTGCAAAGGAGAGATGGGAAGATCAGGAGGAAAGAGAAGTGACGGATAATGGATCCCTTGGGAAAGGGACTGTCAAGGGGTCTGTGTTCCCCAGAGAAGGTATGAGGTACTTAAAATATGGGGGGAGGGCCCTGATACATTCGAGTACCCGGTACTTTCAGCGCAGGCCTTTGACGGGTGGTTTCATTGTTGTTTGCTCCTTGTATGGTACAGTATGTATACAAACAAACCACCCCCCCAATGATACGCCAAAATACAGTTAGGTAATCAGGCACCCGCCCAGGCAAACCAAGGGACCATAGCTGATCAATTTCCTATTTGGGCCAGAGACGGCAGCTTGGGCATGCCGCTAGTCCTTTTTGGGAGCCAAGCGGTGATTATGAGACTCTCTCATTGTGTGAACATTTCGTTCAATATTCGAATATCCAATATTATGTAGTACAAAGTAGTTACATTTATGAAAGATCGTCCTTGCCACATGAAAGAGACCCTTGATGACGACTTGGTGTTTTTTACCCCTCAAAAATTGTACAACACACACAGCATTCAGTTAGCTCTTTATTTTTCAGGGTCTGATTCCATTTGTGTACATATCTTCCAAGTACTCCGTATAGATGATCCGACATATGCCATGGTCCTTCGTGGCTGACAGGTATATCCTTGGCTAATGGTCGGGGAAATTTAGATCTCCATTTGACAAATTACAGCCGAGTTTTACCGTTGAAAGAAAATGAAATACCATTCTCACTATGAAGCAGGCTAATTTCCCAGGCGGAGCTAATTTCAAGACCCCGTATAAGCGCTAAGAATCAGATTCGGTACAGAGTATTCCGTACATGAAACTTGAAGGATTTTACATATTATTTGGCATTTAACCTTATGCTTCAAATACTCATCTTCCAAGGTTGTACTCAATTTCCCGAGGTATCTACCCTGGTACTTCTCTTCTTTATCTCTATACATACCCCTTTTTTCAAATTATCGAAATTATTTCCATGGGTAATGAACGGCCACTCCCGGGTGGAGTGTACCAAATTATGATCTGTTCTTTATACACCGTTGTAACGAAAACCCTGCTTCAGCCACCATGTCCCTTATGGACATGGCGGCTCAAGATCTACAACCTAGATGTATAAGCCTATAAATGGCATATGCTAAATCTTGTACAGAGTAGTTTGTATGTTGTATATTGCAACTTCATTCAATGCTGGACATTTTTTCGAGGCTGTGCTTCAAGGGTCTTGCTCGTGACTCGACTGCATGATATGGAGTAAGCGGTATGTGATATTATTAGCATTGCCCACTTCGTACGGAGTATACATACTTTGTATAACAACCCTGGAGATATCGGAAGTTATTTAATCCAGCCACGTTACCTGGGCATCATGCGAGAATTATTTCAAGACATCCACAGACCCGTTACCGTGTACGGAGTACGGAGTACGAAATGCAGAGATAAAGTTACTGGCAAATCTGCGGCTTGAGTGCGATGCGGATATAATAATAATATATCGGATGTACCACATTATATCCGCTGTACCTTGCAGATTTAGTCCCTTGCAACACTTCTAAGCCACGATTTCTATTGTTATTGCAATTGCCAGATCATTTGATATAAGCCTCACGATCTATATGGAAATCAATATCCTTGAAGCGGTCAACACAACTACCTCACCACGGAACCACCATATTCAATAATTATCCCCAATTTAATGTGACCGACCTAACTCCCTTCTAAACCTACTCACGGCCACAGAGCCTACAACATACAGAGGAAACAACTATTAATAAACGCTCAATGAAGAGGGATCTTCCAACAGTGAGACATATTATTCCTCATCTGGTCAGGTCCGATATCCGAGTATTGCTAGCCCAGAGCCTCCAAAAACACAGTACATATGCACAGACAATACAGGTCTGTACTGTGTACATGCATTACTGTGTACTCCGTACACAGCAATGCATCAACAACATGTCTAGACGTGTCCAGACGGAGAGACCGGCCGGACCACACAAAGATATCCCGGACCAGTGGCGTCCACTAGACCAGTTGGATTCTCCACCTGCCATAAGAATCATGTAGAAACGTATCCCCCCTTGCCGGGGTCCGCGGCAATCAACATCGAAAGAGAAAAGGCTAGTTATACGAAGTACGGAGTACTTAATTTGCTTGAATCTTCTGTGTTTACTACAATGTCTCGACCAGAGCGAGCATCAGTTCAATTTGTTCAAATTGTGGGCAACAGTCGTGTTCGGATTCGGATATCAAACTGAAACTTGCATATGGGTCTAGAACTTGCCAGGAGGCTTAGGCCTGGGCCAAGACTCAACATCATTCTAATTTTAAATGCTAAAATTCTGATTTTGCCTGTGACCTTATAGTACTATTCTGGTATCTAGATTCTAGATCACGCGGAAGGGCCGGATGTTTACTTCGGAGAGTAGAGTATCATTCCGCTCCATGAGGATATCTGAACATTTTGGACATATCATCGTCTCAAGTGTAGCTGGGTACTCAACCCACACCAGATTCCAATCCTAAAGCCCTAGAAGATTAAATACTAAAATCACACGCGCACACAGGACAAAAAAAGAAGCATACTATTGCTCAAGCTCAACACAAACCAGAGTATAAAAATGAACACAATAACACCATCAACCCCAACCCTCAACCCTCAAATATAAGAGTAACTCGCACACATCCTCACCGACCTATCAGGAATCCGTCGCTGGGCACCATCCGAACCCACATCCTTCTCGTAGAAGCGACACCTTCCACCAGCACAAACATAATGAATCCCATGCTCCACCTCCTTCGAGGCCCCCGTGATCTGCCTACGAGTGTACTCGCCGCATTCGCAGAGTGGGTTGGCTGGACTTATCCCGCGCTGGTCAGCAAAGCAGATGAATCGATCACATGGGTGGCATCTGTAGAATGGGCGACCTGCATTGCCATTCGGGTTGCCCTCCTTGACTTCCAGTCTTACACCATCTCCGTGGCATTTGGGGCATTTTGGAGGATTAAGTCTGGTGATCGTCATCGCTGTTGTTGTGATAGGGTTGGTCTGTTATAGTAGCTGGCTTAGATGCGGTCTGGTGGGCTGGTTGTAGGGCCTTCTAGGTAAACTTGCCTTCGTTAATGGTTTGTATTCAAGATTTGTTGGTTGTCGCATTCAAGTCCTCGTTGACAGCCCTGAAGGTTGTGAGAGATAGACAAGAGGTCATTATGACGATGTGTATAGGTCAATATTGCGTGTGTGTCTATGTATGTTATTGACAGAGTATCCGTGGTACCACCCAAGAATGAGGACAACGGAGCTCCAAGACATTAACCTTCACTGTAGACTGCAATAGATAGCCCTCCGCAAAAGTCCTACGTAGGAATCATAATCTTGAAAGAGAAAAGTGTGTTATAGTGTGTTATTTTACATAGTGATATTTCCCTGTCTGAATAGCGATATTATACCTATCTCATTCCAAGATTGCTCAGTGGGCAACGACTCAACTCACCACGATCTTGGACCCTCGGTGTTCTGTCCTCTCGTTCAAAATGTACATTTGCAGATGCAGCGAGAGAGCACTATCTGGGGATTCCAATGAGGCAACAAGAAGAAGAGCAATGAAATAGAGTTCTTTTTTTATTTGTGAGGAGGGCCGGGATTTATGGACCCGACTAGCAAAGGAAAGCAAAGCAAGCCTGAGCCTAAGATATCAGCATTCATGGTGTCCTAACAAGATATGATAACTAACTCAAATCCAAGCTCCGACCTCAGCCTCAGATAAAAAGATATTAATAGCCAAACGCATTTCAGGAATGTGGCATCGATGGCCGTCATGACAGTATGAAAGGCTGTAAATATGTATCCGTCAGCCTTGCGTGAGCGTGTTTGTTCGTTGTTAAAGTTGATAGAGAATCCACGGCTCAGTTCCTTGCTTTTATATGTACCTAAGACTGACGACAACGAATAGTATATACAGTTTCAATACTGACCTTGCTGGCCACAATAATGCAATCCAACTTCTATGCAAAAGTCACAATGACTATTGTCAATCTATGCAATTGAAATTCAATTAAGCATCCTTATTTAAGTGCATCGAGATCATGCTATGCCTTGCCTACAGACAATGGCCCTCCCGATATTTATTTCCAGTTGTCCAAGTTGAGAGAGACAACAGACTCGGGCATTCTTTTTTCCAACAGTAAATGCGCGGCCAAATTTGGGTTGAGCTCATGGCTTAGGAATGTGTATCGTCTTGCTGATCATCATGCATCCATGCAGAACGAATATCAGGACCACAGGGTGGAACTCGAAGATGGTACCTTCTGCGAAAAGACCAAGAGGAATGTTCTCGTGCGTCCAGCTTTGAGAGACCCAGTAGGCCATAAGGGAGGCGATTGACAGAGTGGTCGGAATAGGTGTGCCTTCAAAGTACTTGGACTTGCCAGACTGGTCCTTGGGCAGTACGGCTACAGTCACGTTGAACCGAGCGAGGCGGGTCAAACCGCAGAGAACGAAGAAGGTGAGGAAGACGTGATCGAGCGAGGTCCGAATACCAAGAGCGAACGCGGCAGCGGCGGGAGCGAGACCGAAAGAAATCTAGTAGGAAAGAAGCACGTTAGCGACGTCTTGTTTGTGGTTACTTCCCGGGACCATTTACCAAGTCTGCTAGCGAGTCGAGTTCTTGTCCCATGAGAGACGACTTCTTGCGCCATCTTGCGACTTTGCCATCCATGAAGTCGAAGAATAGACCGAAAGGCATGAATGCGAGGGCAGCCCAGATGGCACTGTAGTCAGTTGGGTCCCCAAGACAGTAGCGCATGGACGAAAAGACCGACATGACTGCTCAATATATTAGTCGTGGGTTGGAAAAACGGTTGAGAAATATTAGCTTGCCTCCACAGAAACCTAAAATGGAGAGTTAGCGGGTCAATTCAGACAAAACATTCAAGGTATTGAGATATCTTACCGTTCAATTCAGTAATCAGATCAGCAAGATGCATGGCCCTGTTGAATGTTAGGCTGAGACGAGGGCAAAGGAGCGCAGAAAGCATAAAACTGACTTCACCATGCTGAAATGCCCGTGATCCGAGGAAAGCAACATTTTCTGCTTCTCCTGTCCTGGGAAATGTAAGCTTTCTTGCCCATAGACGATCCGAGGGAGCTCAAACACACCTCCATCACCTGAAGGTGGGACACCGCTGCTGGAGGCATCGCTCGATGCCATGGTCGATGTCCGACGAGACATGCTCAAATGGATATCAGATTCGAAGTAAATTTATGGGAAAAGGTTACTCTGTCTCAATAAGATGTCTAGAAGGCGAGACTGAGGGGTAAGAAGAATAAGAATGCTGCCAATCCTGCTTTGCAAATGTTGACAAGACGCACAGATTCGCGGGCGGTCAACGTCATTTCAAACTGCAGGCAGGGGCGGTGCAGCTGCGCCACACCCACTAGCCACCCCAAACTAAAAGTACAGCGAACCCCGAATTTCTAAACGAGTTGCTATGATTTGATATACAACATACAATTGCAAGTTCTGGAAAATCCAATGAAAATAAACAGAAACATTTTTGACTGGTGATATTCTACAGCCTGCAGCCAGTGAAGTTGCAATTGCGCAGGATGCACAAGAAGACGGAAAGATATTCCTGAAAAAGCTCCCAGATCCCCCAAAACGCCATAAAGAGACAGTACATTGGATTGATCAATAACCGCGACCGCGGAAGCCACCACCACCACGGGGGGCGCCACGACCACCTCCACGAGAGAAGCCACCACCGCCGCCGCGGGAGAAACCACCGCTACCACCACGACCACCACCGAAGCCACCACGGCCACGAGGAGCACCACCACGGGCACCGAATCCACCGCGACCACGGGGGGCACCGAATCCACCACGACCACGGGGAGCACCACCGGCGCGCTTGGGCTTAGCAGCTCCTGGGGGAGGCTTGGGCTTGGGGAGGAACCTAAGAGTCGAGTTAGTCAAAGCGCACAAGAACGAGTAGAGCAGCGAATCATACTTCTCAAGAGGAAGCAGCTTATCTCCACCAATGTAGACCTTGTCACCAGCCTTGAAGGAAGTGGCGACAATACCATCCTGAGGCTTGACGGTGAAGTAGACCTGGTTAATGGGACCGAGGATTTCGTCGACCTTGCCGATTTGAGTCTATAAAAACCAGTTAGGCCATGGACTATAGATTATAATTGGTTGGTTTGATGGCGTACCTTGTTCTCCAGGTAGACAGGAGCGTTGAAGTAAGGAATCTTGGGGTTGACCGACTCGCAGACCATCTCACCCTCACAAGAGTGCATCACGGAACCCAACTCTATCGGAATATCAGCGATATGAATCAATCGTTGTCGATTTGAAAAGAATAATTACCCAGAACTTGGGCTGGGGGGCCGAATGACTGCTGGAAGCCTCCGCGACCTACAACCCAAAAAAAATTTCGTTAGCTCCTTTTAACTTCTCACATTGCATTCACATTGGAAAATTCTCACCACCACGGCCACCACCGAAACCTCCCCGGTTGGCACCAGAAGCGTTACCACGACCACGGAAAGACATTTTGTGGTGATAAGGTTATTGTCGGCTTGTACAAAGCTGGAGAAGTTTTCGCTCGGTGGAAACTTGAAGCGGTAAAGTGTCGGCTAAGGGCAGTACCAACACGTGACCTTTGCTTCACCGCCCTCATGAAGAGTCATTTTCCCCTCCACGCGGAGTATACCAAAACCAGAGTTCTTGCTCACAGTCCCATTCCCTTGTGTCATTGCTCCAAGGGTTTTTAAAAATGGCATCTGAAACTCCCAAGGATCTCCCCGTGCGGCCTGCTGCTGAAGCGCAGGCCAAAACCGCCTCTGAAGCCGCCGCTGCCCCTCCAAAAGATGCAAATGCGAAATCTAAGCAGGCCCCGAGCCCCGATACCCTCCCCGAGGTCATGATTGAGCGAAACGAGCTCTTCGAGGAGCTCTGGCAACAATACCTCGAGGAGACCAAGACCCGTCCCCACCCAGAGATCAATGTTACCCTTGACATTGGCGACGGCAACCCCCCTCCTCGGTCCCCGCCAAGGCCTTCGAGACAACTCCTGGATCTTTCCTGCGCGATGTGCCCAAGGATCTGAGCGCCAATATTGTTATTGCCAAGGTTGATGGAGAATTGTGGGATTTGAACCGTCCTCTCGAGAAGGACTGCAGTGTGCTTCTCGTGCCTTTCAGCAACCCTGAGGCCCGTGAGGTATTCTGGCACTCTAGTGCCCATACCCTGGGCGAGGCTTGCGAGTGCGAGTACCACTGTCTTCTCTCACATGGACCTCCAACCCCACAAGGTTTCTTCTACGATATGGCCATGCCCGACGGGTATGTTATCTTGTTACCTATCATTCGCGATTGCACCAATGCTAATATATGTGGGAAAACAGACGCGTTGTCAAGGAGGCTGATTGGAAGGCACTTGACACTAGAGCGTCGCGTATCTTCAAGGAGAAGCAAAGCTTTGACCGATTGGAGGTTTCCAAGGAGAACCTCAAGAAAATGTTTGCATACAGCAAATACAAGCTGCACTATATTGACAAGCTTGTCACTGGAGAGAGCAGCACTGTCTATCGTTGCGGTACTCTCGTCGATCTCTGCCGAGGCCCTCACATTCAGAACACCGGCAAGATCAAGACCTTCAAGATCATGCAGGTAAGCGTGGCTAGTTGATCTCATGACCAAGGGAGACACAGACTAACTTTAAGTGCTAGAACTCATCGGCCTACTTCCTTGGTGATCAGTCCAACGATTCTCTGCAGCGTATTCGTGGTGTTGCCTTCCCCGACAAGAAGCAGATGGCTGAACACTTAAAGTTTTTGGAGGAAGCCGAGAAGCGGAACCACCTGAGAATCGGCAAGGAGCAAGAGCTGTTCTTCTTCGATGAGTTGTCCCCCGGCTGCCCATTCCTCCTCCCCAACGGAACCAAGATTTTCAATCAGATACAGTCTCTTCTGCGTAGTGAATACCGCAAGCGAGGCTATCAGGAGGTCCAGACCCCCAACATGTATGACGTTAACCTCTGGAAAACCTCCGGACACTGGGCCCATTACAAGGATGATATGTTCAAGTTGGATTTCGAGAAGCGCGAGTGGGCTCTTAAGCCCATGAACTGCCCTGGGCACTTCATTCTGTTCGGCCACCGTGAACGTAGTTACCGCGAGCTTCCTATGCGTATTGCAGACTTCGGTGTCTTGCACCGAAATGAGGCTTCGGGTGCCCTGAGTGGTCTAACTCGCGTCAGAAAGTTCCAACAAGACGATTGTCACATTGTAGTTTCCCGGGTGCGTATTGAACGAGTCGTTCTTAATTTGCTCGAGTTGCTAACGTTTCGCTCACCTTCTAGGATCAAATTATGTCCGAGGTCGAGGGTCTCTTCGATTTCTTGCAGTCTATCTATGGGCTGTTTGGCTTCACTTTCAAGTTGAAGCTGTCCACTCGCCCCGAGAAATATATGGGTACGTTGGAGACCTGGAACGAAGCGGAGGATCAACTCAAGAAGGCCTTGACCAAGTTTAAGGGTGATGATTGGACCATTGACGAGGGTGACGGTGCATTCTATGGACCCAAGATCGATATCACCATTGCGGATGCTCTCAAGCGTGAATTCCAATGCGCGACTATCCAGCTGGACTACCAGGCTCCGCTGAACTTCAAGATGGAGTATCAGACCAACGAAAAGCAGGACAAGAACACCGAGAACGCGAAGGAGGGCGAGACCAACTCCGACGGGCTGCCTCCCGGCCGTGCCCGCCCTGTTGTCATTCACCGTGCCATTATTGGTAGCTTCGAGCGATTCCTGGGTATCTTGATCGAGCACTTTGGTGGCAAGTGGCCGTTCTGGATCAGCCCGCGCCAGGTCCTCATTGTGCCGGTGATGCCGGCTCTGAACGACTACGCCGAGGAGGTGCAGCGTATCCTGCAGGGTGATAAGTTGAACGCAGACGTAGACATCAGTGGCAACACCCTGCAGAAGAAGATCCGTACTGGACAATTGGCCCAGTACAACTTCATCTTTGTTGTGGGTGCCCAGGAGAAGGAGGCACGCACTGTCAACATTCGCAACCGTGACGATCCTGCAACCCAAAACAAGGGCGTTATGGTCCCTCTGGAGGAGGCACGGGTCAAGCTTCGGGCATTGCGCAAGGAGCGTCGGTTGGAGAATGCTCTGTAGGGGATAAATTCGTTACTGATTTACGAAAAGTGAAATGAAGTTACATGCGGATACTCTACTGATCCTACTAAATATCTATATTGTGCATACTTGGTGTAGGAGTAAATCAGGGTGGAACGCAATACCCTTAAAGCGAACACACGTTGGGTAGATTCACGTCTTCCTAATCTCAAAAACGGAACTACCTATTCGAAGTTAAGCCTACTTAATCTTCCCCTACCGCTCATTAGAAATGGTTTAAGCCTAACTTGGGTCTCTAATCTTTTCCATACTTTTGCACCTATGGACTCTCTAGTCAGCAGTACTTTTTATAAACCCTAATTTTTTACACCTACATCGAATGTTATATATGGAAGAGTCATTTCGCACATTTTAGACCGTTTGTTCTGCCTATATATCCTATCATATAGTTTACGGCTAATTCTTAGTATCATTCTAAGTATAGCAGCAATCAAGGGAAGAGATATCGAGAACAAATTTATAACTAAGGAGGCACTTGAAAAGACTACTAGAGATACTCCTGAAAACATGGCTAAAATTACTATCAAAATAACTCCATAAAACCGTATAAGCGGCCAACAATACTTGCCCTGTATTTTACAGCTAGGAAGCTCCCTGGAACAATGAAGATAGTACCCGTGAGTGTCTGGGTGTCTTCATGCTTGTATACATAGAAGCACCAAGAATGGAATGCATAGAGCTATCTAATGGAGGCCTACTACCATAAAGCTCTGCAGATGCTTCACGGGGACAAATGTAACTCTGACTACTGAGTACATATGTGACTGTTCCGGAATCTACAAATGGGTGCCGTAAGATCCTATAAACACATGGCGGCGGTAACCAAGATCCTCGCCTCGACTGCATATCCAGGCCAGTCCGAGCCCTGATCGATTTGTGTTGTTTTTACATGTATACAAAGCCTTTCCAATAGAAATAGGCGTATATCGTGTATATCTGGGTTTCCCTGATTGGGTCTCAAGTCCACTGTAGCTTTCTTTACTATTGATCTCCCTCTAAAGATGCTGCCCATCCATCCATTTTAGGTCCCGTAGGCATCAGCTTGTTTGCTTTGCTGAGGTCTCGACACCTCTATTTCACTTTCTTCTAACATCAACATCACTTTCTTCTCGCTTCACTTTTTTCTCACTTCAATATCACTATTTTCTCACTTCAACATCACTCTTTTCTCACTTCTATCTCGCGAAAATGAAGGAAAAGAACTGCTCTTGCCCGTACGCGGATAAGCTCAATTGCGAGACAATGTTTGTGTCGACCAGAAATGCGAACAGGCACGCTGATGCGATTCACGACAAAAAAAGACATCTCTGCCCGCTCGCCTCGAAGCTTCATTGCATTGTAAAAAGACATTTTACTCAAAAGGGGATGCAGATAGACATGCAGAAAGCGTCCACGGGAAGAAGAAGCATGCCTGTCCCTTGGCAAAGGCGAAGGGTTGTGGTTTGAAATTTAGTTCCAAACGAGTGGCCAACCATCACTCAAAGAAGATTCACGGCGACAAGAAAACTCGAACAAGGGCTCTTTGCCCGCATGCGACTGTTCTGAAGTGTAACAAGACATTTGCGTCCAAAGGGAACGCAAACAAGCACGCTAAAGAAGGGCATGGCGAAAAGAACTGGTCCTGTCCTTTGTCGGAGGAAGAAGGATGTAGTATAAAATTCACATCCAAAGATTCAGCCGATAAGCACGCATTCAGGAAGCATCATCGCCCTTTGAAAGAGTCAGAAGGATTTCCATGTCCCCACCCGACTGCAAGCTGTGCCAGGAAGTTTACCACCGAACAAAACGCAAACAGACATGCAAGGCAGAAGCACGATGGAGAAACATGGCCATGCCCGCTAGAAAAAAAAGATAGGGTGTGATATAAGATTCACCGACGAGTATAACACGAATAGGCATGCGAAGAGCGCCCATAGCGACAACAACGAGCCAACACCAATTCGGAAAGAGGATCCTTGCCCTCGTGCAAAGGAGGAGAACTGTTCCAAAATGTTCTCTAGCCGAGATATTGCGAGAACACATGCCGAAAACAAACACGGCAAATCTGAGCCAGATGAGACATTTATTGTGGCGTGGCCCTTGAGATCGCGACGTATTCCCCTCAGAGATGTGGACGGGGAAATAATACCTGGATGGGACAAGCTCCCAGCGCCATTATTTCGGGATGACAAGTTCATATGCCCGGATACAGGCTGTTCTAAGACAATGCAGACGACAGTGGGAATTAAGAATCACTACTTGGCCATCCACATGAGGGCTCGTTGGCCCTGTCAGCATGCAGAGATCCTGAGCTGTGATAAAATGTTCTCGTCTGTCTACGATGCCAGACAACATGTAGAGGAACACTTCCCCAAGAAGTCCAGGTGGTTGTGTCAGTATGATCGATGCCTTGCTAAAATGCAGGGCAGAAAGCAGGTACGAGTTGCCGCTTTAAGCCATTATAGGAAGCATGTTCAACGAGGAGACTTTCCAGATGGGCATTACAAGCCCTTAAAGGTACGTATAATGGAAGAATAACCGAGCATCATTTAATTGGGATAACAAATCCCCAATTTGCTCTCCCACGAGAGTATCGAAGAAGATCGGAGGAGTGAAGCTGAGGACAATGAAACTAAGGATTCCGAGGATGAAGTTGAGAATTCCGAGGATTCTGAACCGCCGACCACAGAGTCGGCAGCTGCGTGGCTGAACTCTCCACCAAAAGACCAAGAAGACCTTAGAGCCGGCAAGACATCCAAGATATTGCTGCCTTGTACCCCCATCGCTAATTCCTACAATTTTTAGCTGCAAGGGCTGAAGGCCTCTACCACCTCGGTCTCAAGTGCCCAGGCCTCGAGAGGGTCGTTGATGGATTGGTCGTTGGCACCCAGGTGTGCCAAAACAACACCACCATCACATTCGACACCGGGGTTTTCCACCGAGTTCGCCTGCTAAACCACATTGGGCTGAAAACTAGATGCGCGCCCTGCGATGCAAGATTTAGATTTAACGAGTTTTTAAGGAACTTTCTTCTAGGGGCAGAGGATGGGCAGCAAATATGCAGCCATGAGAGCTGTATCAACTCTGTGTGGGAAGGTTCTAAGTTTTGTAAGGAACACTTCCGCAACTTGAAAATAGACCCTCTCCTCTTTCCTCGAGCCGAACAGGAGGTGCTGAGAGCTTTATTCAAGGAAGCGGCGTCTGTGCAATGGCATCCGAAGACAGAAGCCATGGCCAAAATTCTAAGGATGAAATCCGGCAAGTCCACCATCCCCGCTTCGCAAGTAGTTAACATTGACCTCGAGTTTGGTTGGGGTTCCCGAGAGGTGTACCAGATCGGCCTTGCCGATCTAGAAGCGCGGAAAGTCCTGGATTGTCTCACCAAATATGGTGAGGGAGTAGTCGCGCCTTCTTCGTCACCACTTCCTGCACCGCCAACTTGGGCGCAACTGCAGTACGAACAGAAAGTCAAGGGCTATTATACGCAGGATGGGACTCTTTGTGCAAAGCAGGTCGTCGAAAAACTCGAAAAAATAGGGATTTCCGACAACACCATATTCCTGTCTTGGGCGATATGGGGTTTCGATCTTTCTTATTTAAGAGAGTGGTTGCAACAAGAAGGCTTTCATGACGTTCTCCCCGGGAATGAGAATCTCTATTTGCTTCTCCAAGAGTTCCGTCATAACCTGAAGGAGACGATTGGCACCACCTGCTACAAAGGCAAGGGATTTCCTTTATCCCTGCCTGTGGTGTTTCCGCTGCTCTTCGGGTATGACCACGAGCTCGCAGGACGGAATCATCATGCCCTGGTGGATGCCAAGCAATTGGCGCTGATGTGCTTATTGTTCATCGATCTCTGCAAGCCTCCTCACGAGCGGGTTTACTGGCAAGGATCGGTTGTTAATAATCCGGGTATAGCGGGAAAGAGACAGCGAAACATAGACGAGTTCTTCTCTCCAAGTCAGAATAAAAGAGCAAGGCCTATGTGAATGGTTTCAGGTGAGATTGTATCGTTGTGCATAGACCCATACCAATACAGCTGTTTCTTTTGAATGGTTTCTTCCACTTTTAATAGTTCTTGGAGTAATGGACAAATGGTTGAAGTATGGGGGGCTATCACAGGGCTACAGTGGGACCACCCAATTATCAAGCTATACATTGTAACACAGACCGCCCTTGAGAATTCTGCCTGTTCTGCCTCATTGAGCCTCTACACCGTACATATGTTATGTGGTACAATGCAGTATACATATTTTTTTATTATGTAGGCATTAAAAGGCGGTATGGGTACATTTTGGGATATTGTTCCACTGTATGTTGTACTTCGTACAACAGTATACTAGTCAGCGCTATAATCTATAAGCGCTCTTACTACTTTGCAGGCATCTCATTGACTGAAACAGGTTTCAGCCCCTGTGGATTCGACTCTTTGTTTCGAATTTCGAGTTTCTTTGATTTTTTGAACTTTTTTGCTGTTAAACTCTATATGATCTTTTTATATTCATCTGAATCCTTCTATATCCATGTAAACTAAATAAAACTTGCATCAATTTGTATATTTTGCTCAAAATATAACATTTTCTTTCATTCAGTTCTTGTCCTAACACTTTTCGTGACAAGCGTGGCGGATCACCCGCGGGGACTGCGGGGCTCTTGAATCCCATCACATCTTCTCGTTCCCCTTTCCATTCTCTCTTGTGTCTTCTCTATCCTCTCCGTTCTCTCTTTTTCTCTCCTTTCTCTTCGATCGCTTTTAAACTTGGACCTCCGTTTCTACCTCAACCTTCGCCTTTCCGTACAATTCCAACCGTGACAAATCGCCATGGCTGATTTACAAGGTCGCAAGGTCTTCAAGGTTTTCAACCAGGACTTTATCGTGAGCGAGCAATACAATGTGACAAAGGAGCTTGGTCAGGGAGCCTATGGTATCGTGTGGTAGGTACTATTCTAGGCGTCAAATGCGTGTGGAGGGACACTGGAGATACACATGTGCTGATAGTACCCCAAGCGCCGCAACCAACGTCCAGACCGGCGAAGGTGTTGCCATCAAGAAGGTCACCAATGTCTTCAGCAAGAAGATTCTGGCTAAACGGGCCTTGCGAGAGATCAAGCTGCTTCAGCATTTCCGTGGCCATCGCAATGTAGGCCGCAGCACATCCTTATCAATACACTATCCCCGCTAACCCAGCCCTCCAGATCACATGCCTGTACGATATGGATATTCCCCGACCGGACAACTTTAACGAAACATATCTCTATGAGGGTAGGATGGTTTGCTGCTTTATATCAAATAGAGCTGGAACTAACAATCACTACAGAATTGATGGAATGTGATCTGGCTGCTATTATCCGCTCCGGCCAGCCCTTGACCGATGCCCACTTCCAATCCTTCATCTACCAGATCCTCTGTGGTCTCAAGTACATCCACTCGGCTAATGTCCTGCACCGTGATCTCAAACCCGGTAATCTGCTGGTCAATGCGGACTGCGAGCTCAAGATCTGTGATTTCGGCCTGGCACGTGGTTTCTCAATTGATCCAGAGGAGAACGCAGGATACATGACTGAATATGTTGCAACGAGATGGTACCGTGCCCCGGAGATCATGTTGAGCTTCCAGAGCTATACCAAAGCGAGTATGTTGACACCGTGCATGATTTTGCCACCGAATCCCCACTAACCCCACATGTGCAGTTGACGTCTGGTCCGTGGGCTGCATCCTCGCCGAGCTTCTCGGCGGCCGACCCTTCTTCAAGGGCCGTGACTATGTCGACCAGCTGAACCAAATCCTGCACTACCTGGGTACACCTAACGAAGAGACCCTGGCACGCATTGGATCACCCCGTGCCCAGGAATACGTGCGCAACCTGCCCTTTATGCCCAAGGTAGCCTTCAAGCAGCTATTCCCGCAAGCCAACCCCGATGCGTTGGACCTGCTAGACCGCATGCTGGCGTTCGATCCCTCGTCTCGTATCTCCGTCGAGGAGGCCCTGGAGCACCCCTACCTGCACATCTGGCACGACGCCTCGGACGAGCCCAACTGCCCCACGACCTTCGACTTCCACTTCGAGGTTGTCGAAGAAGTCCCCGATATGCGCAAGATGATCCTCGATGAGGTCATCCGCTTCCGCGCTACCGTCCGCCAGCAATCGCAGGGCCACTCCGCCCAGCAGCAGCAGGTCGCTCAGCAAACTAACATCCCCATCCCGGATAACCACCAGGGTCCTTGGAAGACTGAGGATCCTAGACCTCAGGAGGCTACCGCTGGCGGTGGTTACAACCCTAATGACTTGGAATCCTCGCTGCAGCGCGGCATGGACGTGCATCACCGTTGATACCTTTTGTTGATACTTCTTTCATTTTTTTCTCGTCTTGTTGGTTGTTTGGCGTGTTGAATCCGATCATGTTTTCTTTCGCGCCCTGCATGTTGATCTAATTTAGCCAAGAGATACCTTCAGAGAAACAAAAAAAGACTGGGACGATTTACAAGGGGGTTTTTTCACTTTCCAGTTTCCGTTTTCCATTTTAAATGCAATTTCGGACTTGACTTTCTCATCACTATGGCTTTACAATCTAGCCTCCCGATTTCATAGCTTGGGTTGTGTCTGCGTTTCTATTCTCTTGCGAATTGCGACTTTTGTGCTCATATCCGAATCATTTGACTCCTTCCAAGCTCAAGCGCTATTGGTTGTGTTCCTGTTTGGATATGATACTTTGGTCTCTATGTCATTACCCTGTGCATTGCATCTCTTTCAAGTAGGTTCATCTTCATCAATAGATAGATTCTCAATCAAGTCTCTCCTCACCAGGAGCCCGTCAATGATAATTCAGATGTCCATTCGAACCAATGTAACTCAAATATACTAGCTTTGTGTAACATAATGCCTGGTACAACTACTCTTGATTTCTATGAGGATTTGCTATACATCACCATATGCCCGGGAGATCATACTCGCCAATAACCCGACTTTAATCAAGATCAAGTCTCTATTCCTACGTAACTCTATTATCGTAATTGAATTACCTTCGAGCTTTTAGTTGCTAGGAGCCAGATACAGTCTACGAGTAAAGGTATGTTGGGCGCTTGGCACGATTATCCTCTAATACCTATATGTACAAAAATAGTAGGCGGTGATTTCCTGCCGGAAAATGGAGGTTATATAGCACAGAACAACTTGATATTTCGCCCTTCGGGGCATATGGTCAAATGAAAATATACAGAGAAGATTAGCATGGCCCCTGCACTAAGGATGACACGCATAATCAAAGAGAAGCGCACATTTTTTTTTCCTTTCGCCGTTATATATTGAGGATATACGGTAAGTGGGTCTTTTTACACCGTATTATTGGTTATAGCTACCGGGTCACGTGCTATATCGCAACGGTCGGATTTCGAATGACATTGTCGGCGAATCTACCCTTTCTATTTCCATCTATATATGCAGTTATAGGAGTACAATAATACATATATGGGCTGCGTTCCAACATACTTAAATCGGCAAGTACATATATTCGTGAATAGCACGATCAAAGTAGAGATCAAAGTAGAGATATAGAGGATTTCAGTCTTGTTATACCAACTATTTCTAAGGCCATGCTGCAAATAGGAGGACATCCTGGAGTTCAGAGATATCTCTACGCATATATTGTAGCAGTACGACAAAATGGAATAAATGGCCCTTGTAGGTGATTCAGTGTTGTGCTGAAAATCATGAAAAATATATGCAAGCCTTAGAAATGGCATCGAGGGATATATAAGATGAAAACAAAGGGATAACTAGAACGCACAGGCAGAGGAAGAAACCAGACAAAAGGAAATTCATGCATTCGTATACGCTATCATCGCGAAACTAACCGACTATAGCCAGCAGAGAAGCCCCATACAAAGGCAGAAATTTTGAGCACCGAGACCAAGTCCGAAATGAAGATCAAGATCAAGATATTTCAATAATAATACCCTCTCCACCAAACAGCCATGCAAGCTGCAACAACCAGATCAAGCATTTTGATCCCCTCATCCTCAATAACCAACTTCCCCAGTTTCGCACTCTTGCCCCTTAACCCACCACCAGCAGGCTCCCTCGCAAGCGAGAAATCCAAGCGATCCTCATCAGAATCATACTCCAGGTCCCCACCACTACTATTACTCGCACTGCGGCGGTGTGAGCGGGACTGGGAAACGGGGTGTAACTGGCCCTGGCGCGTGAAGCGCTGCGCGCGCTGAGAGGTTCTGCGGAGGAGGCTTGCGGGGTGGAAGCTTTGGCGGGGGTCTGTGGGGGATGAGGCGTGGACAGGAGGGGGCGGGCCTGGACCTGTGTGTGCGCGGGGCCGGGCGTACGTGTTTGGGTTTAGGAGGTGGGAGATGGAGCTGCGCTTTGCGGATGCGTAGTTGTTATTGGAGGAGGCTGATTGGAGGGGTCCTCCGTCAAGACTGGGATTGTTGTCGTTTGGGTTGTCGTTTGAGCGGGGGAGAGACTGAATTTGACTTTGAGTGAAGGGGGAGAGGTGATTTGGATGGGGGTTGTGGGTTGCGTGGTGAGCGTGGGAATGGAGATTTGCTGCTTGGAAGGGGGTGTTGAAGCGGAGCTCGGCGACAGTTACGGCGGGGGGTGCTTCTGTTTCGCCATTGGGGGCGATGGAGCCGCCAGGTGTTGAGATCATGTGTTTACATTTGAGGCTTCGGCCATTCACGCTGTTTGTAAAGGTACATGTGCCATTCCACGGAGAAGTGAAGACATAGTAACCGCTTTTGAGCTTGGAGGATGAGGACGGGCCATCTGGGGCATGGCCGTTGTTGCAATCTGTGCCAAGGGAGTCATAATATGGCTTTGATACGCAGAGCTGGCGGTGGAATTTGCGTGGACCGGTTGGCTGCTCCTTTGGTTGCTCTATGGGTAGAGATTGGGGAATGCTAGAGCTGGGTAGGCGTCCGATTCCTAGCGGGAGATTGGCTGCCAGGCTGGATAGTGAAGGCATCTCATTAGAGCCTGCGAACCGGTTATATCCCGGCGTGGAAATCTCGATATCGACAGTATTGAGGTCCATTCGCGGAGTTGATATAGTTGCCACATTCCATTGTGTACCGGACGTGGGATCACGTCGAATGAGTGTGATATGAAAGCCAGCATTATTGCCAGGAGGGTGTCCATGCGAATTCCCATGGGCGTTTCTATGCCGGTTCGGAGATTGCCCAGGGCTTCCTAATGGCGATTCGGTACGGTTATGTGAAGAACGAGGCCTCAATTGCGGTCTAGGGGCATCAAGGCTATGACGGCCAGCCGACATTGCCTCGTATTTCGCCTCGTACTTTTCCTTCCAGGTCTCTCCCCGACTTTGCAAATTTTCGGCAAACGCGCCCCATCGGGACGTCCTTTTAGACGGGTCCTCGCCTGCTGCAGGATTGGTCCATGACTCTTCACCTGGCGGCAAGGGAGGCAATGGTCGCCGTCGAACAGGGCTATTACCACCCGATTCTACCGATATTCCTCTGGGTATATTAGTGCTCAAAGGAGGCTGTATATTGGCGACTGGAGTGCCAGAGAATGATACATTCTCCGCAGTAAGCTGCGGCATAGGGATTATACGCGGTGGCAAGGCCGGAGGAACATTGCCATCCTGCAATATAGAGACTGGGCGCGGTGGCAATGTTGAAGGGGCAATGTCGTCCTGCAGCACTGGGCTTGGACGTGGTGGTAAAACCGGAGGAGCAGTGACATCCTGTTGAGGCGGTGCCGGCAAAGGCTCGGAGTTGAGCTCCCCTTTTCCACCTACTGGCTTCCGGCGCACATTGTTCAGCCGCGCGAACTCGCGATATGCTGGGTCGTCGGCGCCTGCTTGCTCGAGGCGCTCTTTGTGCAATTGGGCCTCCTCTTCGCGCTCTTCCTCCACTTGCTGGAGCAGGGTATCATCTTCGGGGGTCGCGACATGGAGATAGTAGAGAGAGGCATTGATTGCCTCGGCAGAGACACTAGATTTGGTTGGTGGTTTGAGAGGCGAGAGGAAAATGTCTACACATTTAGGCAGCAGTTAGTTATAGTTATTTTCATTTGGCTAGAGCACGATAAGGCGCAGCTATGGGACATTCAAGACCAAAATAGAGAGAGCATAGTGAGCAGAGAGTGGAATTGACTTCATACCTTTACTTCCTGGCACACGCACAATGTATAGAGACAGTGGTTCGTGTTTCTGGTGGGTGGGATTGCGTGGGTAGGCGGGGGGATTCGATGCGATAGCGGTGACTGACGAAAGTGATCGTGCCTCGACAGGGCCCTGAGGGACGGTAGACATTGCGGACAAGGCCGCGATCCACCCCGACAAGAAACGCAGGTACAATATAAAAAGATAGAGGTTATGTTGAGTTTGGGTTGGCAAATAAACAATGGGTCTCTCGGCAGTGGGCGGAGTTGATCATTCCGCCGTGGGGAAGAGAAGGCTGGGGGCCTAGTTTATTTTTGTTTTGTGTTTTGTTTTCTGCTCTGTTGTCTCTTCATCAGTGCTGATGTGAAGTTGCACAGGCAAGAAACAAAGGGAGGCAAGGGTAAGGAACAAGGTTATAGAATGCTGCCTATCGTGGCGCAGTACGCGTGTGCGGGCATCAACTTTGGGCTTCGATTACGTTGGGATCTACAACTACCTACAATTTTTGAGGATTGTAGGTAGAACTGAAGTCACTAGTACAATTGATGCTAGAAATTATCGCCGTTGGGGCCGCCAAACCCCAACAGACGCTCATGACTGAGGGGAAGTTCACCAATGGCCAACACCATTTCCACCAACTTCAACTTTATTTAAAATGACAACTATTTTGGATATTCCAGGCAGCAACCCCCTGAATCCCTTCTCAACGCCAATCCAAGCCTTCCTAACCCCTAGCAACCTTTTCTCGGCGCCGGCGCAAGACGAGACAGCTGCCAATCTTGTCAACTCTGTGGCTACGCCTTCAGACCCCGGCCACGCGCTCTGAAAGCTCTGGGATGCCTTCTTTACGGCCGTAGCCACCTCTCCAGCTTCTCGCGGCTCCCACTTTGCCCCCCTCGACGCGCTTCACGCGTAGCCACCGACACGGCTGAATGTACGCGTAGGATCTAATGCGGAGCGACAACTCTGTAGTTACATGAGAGCCGATGGAAAGCTACAATGGCACACACTACCGCTGTACAGCGTGCAGTGGCGCGATGTGCATGACATCCTCGAAGCCTGGCGCGACTGGGACGGTGTGCGTGGTTCAGGCACGGAAGATAACTCTACTCATAGTACATTAGGTAGCAGCGCTGACGTGTACTTTCTCAGTGTCTTCTCGGCTGCGCTGCTGAAAGCAACGAAAGGTAAAGGCGAGGTACATCCTATATGGGTCTTCTATGCGTGCCGCGATGTGCTGGAGCGCAAGAGACCCCAACCCCGCCAACTAAAAGCGCATATGATGTTGCCAGAGCAGGTGTGGGCACTGGACGTCCGAGTAACAGCGACACGGATGCGGGATGGGGGCCGGGAACTGTGGGAGGCGGACTATGAGGAGCTGCGGCGCCACTGGGCGGCGGCATTAGATGATAAGACGGAATTGTGGGCGAGATAGGATGGGCTGACGTGGGACCGTTGGCAATTGTGGGGGAGAGAGATTGCGGGCTTTAAGCACAAAGGGAATCTTAGACGAGGAAACTAAGGCGGTGGTTATAAAAGCTGCTGAAGTACTTACAACATAGTGGTATTATGGAAGAAGACTCGACCTTAGGGTATTGCGGTCCTCGCTACATAGTTGGCTCCTATTATTGTTCATATTTCATGTATTTGGTATCTTCACAAAAGCTACACGGCCTGAAATAAAAGTAGTATGATCTGATAAAGAAGGAAAGGAAAAAAATTGAAGGAATGCAATCCGGAGGCAGTACTCCTGGGGGGGTCTCGATACAAAAAGAAACTCCATGCTGCAACGCCAGACATTTCCATGTCTATGTCCTTGGCCTAAAACACCCGACCAAGTGAAAATCCCATGTATACCGATATTAGACAACAGTCTCAGACCGTTCACCTTCTGCAATGACTGGTACACCTAGACCGCGATCTGGACTCTGCAACACAAGCTGTTCATGACGTCGTGCCCGCAGGAAGTCACTGACTGCACGGATTAAAATGAACCAACCAACAATCATGAGGATATATGAAATCCATTCACTGGTGCTGATGCCAGTTATGGCGCCATTACCTCCACCGCCTCCCCCACTCTCACCAACCGAGTTTGGATCGAAGTTGTGGCTGTTGGGGTCAGGTGGAGGAACATATTCTGTACCTCCACCGTCGGAGCCCGAATTTTCGCTGCCACCTTTCATGTAGAAGCCGTATTGAACAAGAGTGAGACCGAGACCCGCTCGGCTGCCGTTCTTTGCGGCGTGGGTGGTGTGGAGGAGATATGTCAGCAAGAAGCCAACAAGCTGGAATGACATTGAGATCATGGCGTTCCAGACAAATGAGAAAACAGATCCAACAGGCAGTCCATCGACATAGACTTCGTCAGACGAGATACCAGGAGCCACGATGGTGGTCTCCCAGTATGGCGGTGTCGCATCAGCGGCCGCTTCTTCGTATGACTAAATAAAATATCAGTAAACAGGTCTTTCAAATATATCAAAAAACACCAATTATCAACTTACAGGAGGAAGATCATCATTCTTCTCACCCCGTTCTGGCTTGGCGGCAAGATTGGCAAAGACTCCATCATTCGATGAAGCGACCTGCCGACTCGCCCCAGAAGATGGTGTCGTAAAAGCAGGCAATATGGTCGGCCGCCTGAGAAGCCCTGGTTGGGTCTGATCCTGTGCAGCGTCCATCGACTCCGAAGAGGACGCTGTGGCGGTATGGCCGTTGTCCGGGGGAGCACGGAAGTCGGGGTCGGCTCGCATCAAGCGCTGCCTATCATCTGGCTCATTATCATCGTCAGACTCGTCCTCGTCGCCGAAGGCATCAGCCAGTGTCTGATCATCATCGTCGTGCTGTGGATCGCTGCGTAATAGTCGTCTCGACGATGGTGACGACGAGCGGGATCCGGAACGGAAAGAAGAAGGTGAAGAGGTACTATGTTCGGGTCGCGTGCTCAGCGGATAGGAATGTGGTCCTTCCTCTTCATCCTGGGGATTCACCTAGACACATAACAGTCAGTATTTTCCCGTGGGGTCCCATCCGGGGGTTGTTCTGATAGGAGATCAGCGGAGGGGATTGCATACCCGTGAATATCGCTGCGAGCTCATGGCGAGCTGAGCGGGAAGCGACCCTGAATAGAATCAGAAAGGAAAATGAGGCAGAAACAACTTAGGTTTGAACGCAAAAATGATATAATAAGAGTACAAGGGGATGGGAAAATGACGGGGTTGATGGAAGGCAACAGGAATGGATGTGGCTGTGTATGCCTGATGCGCCAGGCCAAAATAGACTGTTCCCGTCTTTCGCCTCATTGAAAACTGATATCCTTTCCCCTATACCACAATTATTTTGTGATATCTCTTGTCCACCATGGCTAAAACACCTGTGAGTATCTGATTCAACATTGAATTATCCCAAACAAGAGCATTGACAAGCCCCCAACGTTCAATCCCAAACAATTTCCTAACAAAGCAACCAGACGCTTAACGCGCGCTCCCTTCAAACCCGCCTCGCCCACATCCTCAAACACTGGCCCTCGGACGCAGTCCGCCCAGCATCAGTCTCTGTCCAGTCCTACATTGAATCCCGTCTCCAGCCAGCAGGGAAGTCCAGCCCAGCAATCTCCGAGTCATCCGTGAATGCACTTGAATCGCTGCTGAACAACCGCTACGCGCGCAAATATCCTATGCCGGAGAAGCTGCGCCGACCGGCCAGTAACCCAGATCACTATGACAATGTTGTACGTGAGTTTGCGGAGGCGCCGAACCGCGATTGGTTTGGCCGGTTACGGAAGAGGTTGGCTGGTATTATCCGCTTGACGTAATGCATCTATTATTGCTGTGTGTATAGATTTTTGGGGTTTTGATGTTGGAAAACTGGGGAAAACTTGATTTATCATTATCTTACTGGATTCGGGTGAGCATTATGGGGTTTTGATTTGATGGGTTGCATGACATGTACCAATACCTTTGTCTCTTTTTTTTTTTGTTTATTGTATACCTACTATATTTCCTACTCAAATGTACGAGATTTATTCAGACCAATGTGCTTTTTGATGCATGTCCAGGATATGTCCATGGGAATGAAATTTCAAACAATCCAACTCCTAATTGCTATATACAAAACGCTTGAATAATCAAATGCAAATTTACAGCATGGGCTTCAGGTCATCGGCAACCTTGAAGGGGGCATCGGTTTTAGCCTTGACTTCCTCGACGGTGACACCATCGGCGATCTCAATAAGAGTCAAGCCATGGGAGAAGTCAACATCGAAGACGCAGAGGTCAGTGATGATACGGCTGACACAGGCAGGGCCAGTCAGAGGGAACTCGCAGTTCTTGACAATCTTGGGGTTACCCTTCTTGTCGGTGTGTTCCATGGTCACAACGACCTTGGTGGCAGAGGGGTTGGACACCAAGTCCATGGCACCACCGAAGCCCTTGATCTTACCGGGAAGCATCCCTGCGAGAGAAAGTTAGTCATATGCAAAAAGAAAATGGAGGAAGGTTGGGGAAACATACAGTTGGCCAAGTCACCCTTAGCGCTGACCTGCATGGCACCAAGGATGGTAAGGTCGATGCGGCCGGAGCGGATCATGCCAAAGGACTCGTCACTGCCGAAGCAGCTGGCACCGGGCTTGAGAGTGACAGTCTCCTTGCCGGCGTTGATGAGATCGGCGTCCTCCTCACCAGGCTTGGGGTAAGGGCCGAGACCGAGGATACCGTTCTCAGACTGCAGGGTCACCTCGACGGAGGGGTCGACGAAGCTGGGAGCAAGCATGGGCATACCAATACCGAGGTTGGCGTACATGCCGTTCTTAAACTCCTTAGCGGCACGGCGGACGATACGCTCGCGCTTGCTGGCGGTTTCACCCTTGCCGAGAGCCGAGGTGTCAGCGCCCTCCTCCTTGGCGAAGGTGAACTTCTCGATCTGCTTAGGGGTGGTGCTCTGGATGACACGCTTGACGTAGATACCGGGCAGGTGGACGGCAGCGGGATCGATCTCGCCAGGCTCGACAATGTGCTCAGCCTCGACGATGGTCATCTTAGCGTTACGGCCCATGGCACCGTTAAAGTTGGCAGCTGCGTAGCGGAACTGGCAGTTTCCAAGCTTGTCAGCCTTCCAGGCCTTGACGAAAGCATAGTCACCCTTGATCGCCTCCTCCATAACGTAGCTCTTGCCGTCGAACACCTTGGTGTCACGAGGTTCACTGAACAAAGCGACTGTGCCGTCGGGGTTGTGTCGTAGAGGCACCTGACCGGTCTGCACCACGGTACCGAAGGCGGCAGGTGTGTAGAAGGCGGGGATACCCGCACCGCCGGAACGGCATCGCTCAGCCAGAGTTCCCTGAGGAGAGAGCTCCAACTCAATCTCACCAGTCAGGTACATGCGCTCGAAGGTCTTGTTCTCGCCGACGTAAGAAGCGATCATCTTCTTGATCTGCTTGGACTTGAGGAGCAGACCCAGACCGGCTCCGTCCACACCGGCGTTGTTACTGGCCACGGTCAGACCAGTGATGGAGGGATTCGCCAGGACGGCGTTGATCAGTGAATCAGGTACACCAGACAACCCGAATCCACCGGCAAGCAGAGTTGAGTTGGGCTTGATGTCCTTGACTGCTAGCTCCGCGGAGGGGTATACTTTGTTGATCTCAGATCGGCGGACGCTGCTAGAGAATGCGCGGGCCATGAAACGTTGGTGCTGGTTAAAGGCAATGAATGTCAGTCTCTGCGACTCAAAAGGCGACATGGGCGATATGAGCTACTAGTAAATGACTTACCTGGGCGGGATTGGCCGAGAACTGGCGCGCGAGGCGCAGGCATGTTGCCACTTGAGAAGGCATAGTGAAATACTTCGAGATTAAAAAAATAACAGTGCCAACTTAACCCAAGTGCACAGTAGGTTAGAAAAAAGATCAAACAAGCGTCCTGTCGTGACAACGGCAATAGCCACCTCTTATATTCCCGAGCGGCAGTCAGAGCGGAACCATTCCCGAGTGATATTCGTTTTCCCCGGAAATGTGGATACCCGGCTATTTCACTATGAATTGCCCTGATCTCAATACTTTTAGCCCCAGGGCCCCCTAAACTTGGTCACTAACTATTAGAAAATATCCCAGACCAAGCAGCGTCGAATCTTAGATGTCTTATTTCTTTTTTTTTGCTACTCATTACCTTCAGAATTCCCCTAGACCGGCAGACTTCTCTTCTTGCCGCTGCCGAAATCCACAGCCGATCCGTATCCGATCCCGCGGCTTAACCTTTCGGCAGTGTGCTGAGTCAGCACTATGAAGTCACCTGACATGTTCATCTGGGGTAACTTCCTAGTTTGGAAGGTAGCAAAAGCTTAGGCCAAACATAGAGGAGATCAATTGTGACTATCTTAACTCTACAAGTACTCCATGGTATCTTCAGCGTATGTACATGCTGGATAACAAAAACAGTTCACACCTCGCAATGCAGTAATATCCACGTGCAGACATAAGAGAATCGAGAAATCATGCAATCATGTTATCATGCTGCCCAGGTGGGTGCCACATCGTAAGAAATTAAGTTGGATGGGTTGGTTTCACTTCAGCGTCAAAACTCTTGCGTTTTAGAGGGTTGACAGCTGCCGCATCGACTGCTGTGGCATTGGAATCTACCAATACTGCTCCGAGTCAGTCGCAGGACGAGAACGGGGCCATGTTGTGGTCTCCGCATTGGTGGATTCTGTGTTTCCCGTACCTGGAGTTCCATTAATGGCTGAAGCTTCCTCATAGGATGGGGGTGCCATATTCATTTCGGGCCCAGGATTGGTGGGCTGAACACCCTCCATGGTGGTGGCTAGTTCTAGATTGGGTAGGTCGACCATGTTGTCTATCTCACGACAGACCGGGTTTACCAGACGGTCTTTCATGCTATCGTTGACATAAACAAGGAAATACGGGGTCGGAGGGTTGCTGGTTGAGTCGTTCTTGAAGATCTCATCCACGTTCTGGACCTCCGTGACGTACTCGTCATTGTACTTGCGCCATATCTTCTTGTCAAAGTCGAAGATGTAGATATAGTAATGACCGAACGAGACCGACCCATGATGCACAAAAACGGCGTACAGTCGATATGGGAGTTTATCAAAATCAGCAAATTGGCTGGAAATCATGGTTTGCGTGTCCTTGATTTCCTGGTTGACAGCTAGAAAAAGATTCAACGCGTTAACATATCTGTTTCAAGGCCGTGGTGCTAGAACTCTTACCTTGCAGTTCGGTCTCTGCCTTGTGGGCAAGGCCCTCAAGTTCGTCCAGTAACTCCATACTAGCCATAGAATTCATGAGATCAGATTCAACTTCGACTTCGACTTCGACTTCGGCTTCGGCTCCAGTTTCAAAGTCAGTCTCAATGGAGTTCACATCTTGTAGCGCAGTTTTGACTTTGCGGAACAATGTTGCCATGTCGACGCCACTGCCCTCCTGCAGGGAAGAAAAAAGGTTAGCTATATAAATTAGGGGCACATTTACTGTGAATTTTCGATACCTTTGCCCTGAGAAGATCTTCTCGGCGGGCCTCGAGCGTCTTCAGGGCCGCCTTCCATTCCCAGCATTGATTTCGTCGATCCACAACATCCGGATTCTTGGTGTCCATGTATCGATCCATGTAGATAGTTTCAAGCAACTCGAGGTGGTTTGTAGATTTGAATGAACATTTCTTCACAGGATCAAACTGAACCCGTTGCACCTGGATCTGGAGAACAGGTGGAAGCTGGCTGATGGAAGCGAACTGCTCAGCCACAGAGTTGTCCACACTAATCTTTTGGATATCAAATGCCCCATCGATAGCATCGTAGATGTTTCGAGATCCATGAGCAACGTCGACTTTGATATCACACCACCGCTCATCCTTCGAACGAGTGCCTTTCTCAGTAGAGATGTAAGAGCGGGTTTGGCCGTAGAACAAGCTGATGAGAGGTGTTAATACATATACTTTAATAGACGGTTATTCATAACTTACTCTTTGATCTGGTCAAGCTGTTCACCGTCATTGCCAATACCTCGAGGTTTGATGGCGCACTGGCTCTGGAACAGAACGTTGTTGATGACTTCTGTCACATCCTGCTGGGCGCCAATTTCCACCTCCTCCTTCAATTGCTTTTCTCGATCAACTTGCGGGATGTTGCGAGGAGGTATGGGCGGCGGTAGATTGGTCGATACACTGTCGTCTGGGTCGAGATTCATCTCCTGATCAGACCCTGCCTCTGCTTGATCTGAAAGTTGATCCAGGTCCGGCGGGTTATTCTCCTTGTCCTCAACAAAGAGTCCAGGTGCATCGTTCATGCTATCATCTGAGACCAATGTTGCATCGCTGCCATCATCGCTGCCGGTCAAGGTTTGAATAGGTACGGGTTCAACTTGGTTAGAAGATGAAACCGGCTCCATCCGACCGCCGAGAAGGGGCTGTGGAGGCCCAAGGGGCCCCAGAATAGGAGCACCGTCAATATCACCAATAATGTCGGGTCTAGAAGCAGTGATTGTCGACCGACGACGTATTGCCGCCTCGTTGCTTGGGCTAATCAAGGTCAACCGAGCAAGTTCCTGGGCGGGAGTAACCGAGATTTGGGATGAGGTGATCATGCTACGGAACAAAGTCCGGAGCTCATTGAGGACTATTAAGCAATGGGTCAGTTTAAGGGATATAGGAATTAGCACCGATAAAGCTTACATCGCTGAGATCGCTCGACCTCCGTCTTCGTCACCTTCCGAGAGCCCACTTGTTTCTTTGCAAGGCCTTCCTCGTCATTAGGATCCATCTGAAAGCGTTCAAATTCCAAGACCAACTCGCGGAAAGGACGGACGGAGAAATAGAACTGCAATAGGCTGTTGAGATAGCATGTATTGCCGATGTTTTGTAATCCGACCGGCCAATTTTCCATGCTTCTATCAGGCTCGTTGGAGATACCTGCCATATTCCTCAACGTGGAGCTGTCCAGTTGTTTGGCAATAATTGTCAGAGCCTGATTGTATCTCTCGGCATCCCCTGGGTTTTCATCGATGCAAATTGTATATGCAGCAATGATTGCCCCATCGTCCACAGTTCGATCAGGGATTTGGAGTAGACGATAGGCATCACCAATGTCCATTTCACCGGCAATCATCTCCCCAGTGTTGATGAAATGGTTCAATGCGACCGATTTGCGGGACTCGGCAATCAGCGCGACGGCGCGTTTCGCCAATTCTTTGGTAAGCGGATTGTCATTGACCTAATTGATAATTGATAACAATATTAGCTCGCATCCAACCCACAAATGAAGCGGTCGGAAAACACACCTTTGCAGTGTACATAGTCATGACAAAATCATCCGGGGTCTGATCCTCGACCCCCAAGAAAATATTCGCTTGCTCAACAGTAGACACACCTATTGTCAAAATTAGCGCGCGTTCGAGTTTGGAGACAATATGGCTGGATCAACACACGGTCCTCTGATGCCGCTTTGATGCGCGCACTTCTCCTGGAGTCTCCAATCCGCCACAAGTGCTGACGCGCTTGGGCATCTTGCGTTGTAGAGCTGAGGAAAGCATAGAATGTTCCAATGATGCTGTCTTCGGTGAGGTTTGGATCGAATAGGTAGATATTGAAGTATTGATATGCGTCCACAACGTCCTCAACGCTGTACTTTCCTTGTTCATAAGCTTCCTGGACGGCTGTGTCAATGATCTCCTTGTCTTTTCCACCACGCAGAACGCCGATAGCCTTGAGAGCAGACAAGTATATCGGGGTCCTATCAGGATCGTTTGAGACCTGTCGCTTGTATGCTTCAATGACAGGCAATGTTGACATATCCTCCATCACCCCCAGGTCCTCATAGTAACTAAAAAAAACAAAAAGCAAGCACCTGTTAGATCCAGTTCTATTAATTCGGGGATAGGGTGCACAAACGGAGCATCAGCCATCTTGAATTCGTTGTAACGGAAAGCTGTCGGGTCTGGAGCAGTTATTAGTTGGAATTCCTAGGGTCAAGTTTGGGCCACGAACAGTCTTGTGCTTCTAGAGCACTAGAAATAACGGGGATGGCAGAAGGAGGAAGGTCAGGAATCTGAGATCCTCTTCTATCTGAAGCCGGCCGAGTATGTATCAGAACTAGCAATTCATGTGTCACGTCGTCAAGAAAGAGACGCATCATATCTTGGTAAGGTTTCTCGGCGTCAACTGTCGGTTTAGGCGGGTGCCATGCCCCAGTATCCTAAATCGATTCGTCAGCGACATGCGACACAACAAGCTAGCCCTAAAGACACAACGGGAGACAAAACGAGGCCTGTGAACGATTTGGGAAAACATATCATTATTACAAACCTTATTGTACATGAACTCTAGAAATTCAAGTAATTCTCTACAAGCAGCACCTTCCACGCCAAAAGAGTGCATAAACCTCTTATTGACGGAGGAGATAGGCTTGCTGCGTTGTGGGTTTCGTAGGGCGTTGGTAATGTACAGACGCAGATTATCCAATACATTGAACGGCTGCGGATCTCCCATGCCTTCCATGGACTCAGGATACGATGCGATGGCCTCTTCGGCTCGTTTCCGCAACAACTCTTTATCAGTCATCAAGTGGATAAATGCCGGGCTCAAAATCGGTGAAAGAATCCTCAAGGATACCATAGCCGAGCATGAGATGTAGGAACATTGGTAGTGATATGTCTCCACAACCTGCCCTTTGGTGGTGTTTTCCGGCGATAAAAGACCATTCTTCTGCCGTCCCGATTGATAGACCAAATGGTGCAAATGTTTCCCCTGATTCTGACCCAACATGCTCATGTGGCTGGTGTAGTTGACCACCACTTGAAGATGATAACGGCATTTTGTGCAAATGGCTGAGACCTTAGACGATGTGCCTGGCCTTCTCCGGTGTTCTGGCTCTGACATAAAAGTTTGGTCTTCTTTCAGGACATATTGGTGTCGACATGCTTCCGGTGATATGAACCCAGGTGGGCCGTTGTAGCCTTCTGGATAAATGGGCGGAGTTTCTGAGAGGAGATTACGACCTGTGTCTGGATCGTGTGCTGGATCATAAAGCTGAACATCCTCAATGAGACGCGGCGCAGTCTTTCCTATATGATTGGCAAGAGACGTTGTAAGTATTTGCTCAAATTATATTGCAAATTTGCTGATCCAGGTTATTGCCTTACCGGCCTTCTGTTTAGACGCCATGAAGTACAGTGTTTGGACCTGAAGGCCTCACGCGTTTTAGGTCTTGGGTTTCGCGTTAATCAAGTGTTGGCTCTCTTAATACTTGGTCCTCATGGAAGATCACAAATGCGCACAATGTGACAGCTCAGCTGTGATGACAATATTGTCAAATGATGAAATCGCCACTGTATGCGGAGAGACAGCGGGGAGCCTACTGCACTTGGCAGCAAGCAGCGGCAAGCTTTGGAACTCTCTCCTCCACGGAATGGTCAGCTTTTAGATCGAAGTCCACTCTTAGCAAATGGCAAGCAATATCCAGGAAGATGCTCGATGAAAATACATTAAGCAAAAGGTTTGATGGGAAAGAAACATCAACATAATCACATAGAGCTCCGTTGAAACGGCGGGCGGTATACCCGGCGGTCAGACTTGGCAGAAAGCTGACCCCAAAATCCTATCGCCAACTACGTCCCATACCGCAAGCAGTCCATCCCTGCTATCACACACACATCATGGCGCACCACGAGGAAGACCACAGCTATCACCCCAAGGATGCAATTTCAGCAGCCATGAAAACCACTGCGCTGACCGGAAGCGTTGGTCTCTTCGCAGCGGCTGTGCAGAACACGCTCACCAAACAGAACGTCGGAACTCTGGGTGTCTTCGTCCGTGGCGGTGGTATCATCACCACCTTTGGTATGAGCTTCTTTATATATTAATTGATAGTTCAATTGCTAATCCGGACATGTTACAGCGGCAATGGGTGGTACCTATGAATTCATCAAGACCGCTTCCGCCAACCTGCGAGAGAAGGAGGACCACTACAACGTCACTCTCGGTGGCTTCTTCTCTGGTGCCATTCTCGGTCTCCGAGGTCAGTACTAGATTTAATTGAGTATATGGTTATGTATTTGGAGCTAATAATTCGGTTTACCTCAGTCCGCACACTCCCCGCTGTTCTCGGATACGGTATCGCCCTGTCGACCGCTATGACTGCCTTCGAGTACACTGGTGGCTCCCTGTTCGGATACAAGAAGGACACCTCGGTGGACGAGTTCGACCGCCGGACGGCGTTGCGCAAGGCATTCCAGACTCCCGGGGAGCAGACAGTCGCGGAATTGGGTGAAGGACGTGGTATGTGCTTCTTGTCTGGGTTGCGATATTCTCTACCGGTACTAATTTCACTAGGTATCTACGGCCCTGGCTACGAAGAGAGACGCCGGGAGCGCATCAAGGCGGCCTACGGCATTGAGGTTCCCACATCCCCGGTTCCTGCATCATAAGCCTGCATTCAATGTTCTTCCCAGCTGCCTTTCCCCATTGCTTTGTGTAAATTACCCCCCACCATATCACGCTTCCTATCGCCTGGACACGCCCATCCGATTTGAGTTTCTTTGAGTCTCCAGGAAATTCAAAACAATACACTTTTCAAGTTTAGACCAACGTCATGATTCTATGTACTAGATATGCTAGGGTGTGCATACCTACGTGTAGATACATAGTCTAATGCACTCAATTAAGTACACATTACCTATAGAGTCATTCACATGCAACTCACCATCGATCAATTTGAAGCAGACGTGAATCACTATGATGTTCAACAATGTTCCAAAATGAGGGGCTATCCCCGGACCACCCGGGAGCCAATGACAGTGCATGTATATCAAACGAGTGAAAGACTTCAACATGCTTCCCAGACTAGAAGGGAGGGAGGCATGTACGGAGTAAATATAAAAAGCACTATGAATTTGGCTTTTTTTCATAAGTCAAGTTGATTAATATGTCAAGGTAATATTCTATATGCAATTGTGTTTCTCAATCTATCTGTCGTATCCTGCAGAATAGGGAATTTTGCATCAGATTTGATATCAAACAAAATAAGTCAAATAAATGACATCTCATATGCCTAACTGATGGGGTTTGGCCTTTAATTTTGCACATATGCTCACATAATTGCAGATTACCGGGGCCCGGGCCTCTATCTCCTGCCGACATTCCAAGGCTACTTTTCACTTTGCAACAAAATTTCTCCTGTCTGTTTCCCGTCTATATCCTCAATCTGCAAGGTTATTCAGCCATCTGGTGACTATAAGCGACGCGATCCGCCCGAATGACGATAGATTCGACTATGTTCTCCGCAAGAGCTTGAAACAATGGTCATCTTATCTCGATCATGCTGAAAAATCTCCCTTCTTTTCACCTGAAAGCCTTGAATTAAAAAATATTCCAGGACAAATACCATATTTTCTCAGCAAGGACCCTTACCCTCGAATACGTCTTTGATCTGTGAGCAGACATCGCTTGGAGAAAAGGGTCGTTTTCTAATTAATGGGCAGTCAGTCAATCTGGAGGACTTCAGATGGGAATTGTGCCCTTGAACCTGAGGTAATACCTAAATAGCTATTCTTAGCTGCTCGAACCTCAATGATTGTTGAATTTCCGGAAGATTGTCTTTCTTCGGATCGGCCCCCCAGCGAAGATGAAAAATATATATTTCAGTACTTTTCCTAGCTTGGGCTTATATTCTCTCCGCCCACTGGGCTGAATTACTCAATCGCTCTGCCGAGCATCCCTGTCGGGTTGAATTTATCTAAATTTCTCCCAGAAACCCTCAACATTTATCCACCCAGTCGGATCGGCAAGTAACGGTGGAAATCGACATATGAAGCCGAAGCTTTTTGGTGGCGTGCCATATCATTTTCCGATAGTGGTTGGAACATAAGCTCTCTTCATGGTCACAATATATATCTGTCACGATGGGAGTGAGTGATACCTTATTGCAATTCACGAGCTCTCATTTTCCAGCGTTTGAGACCTCGTCCCTGAATGATATTACAGAATAGCCTTTAGTGGGCTTTACAAGAGAGCGATACAATTTTTTTGTTTTGGCAGTGAGCTTGGTACCGATGTGGAGGGCAATTGTAATTCCTAATGTAGAATTGAGAGCGTCGGACTGGCTCTATCAAGTGACGCGGCATAATGAACCATCAATTTGTATAAATCATCAGCCGTGTCTAGTCCACTGTTTAAGGGGAAGAAGCTCTACATCTCTTTGCACTAGCAAACATACGGACCCCACCTCCAGGGAGAAGGCATGTTGCCTATGTATACTCAAACTCCAACACACACGTTGTACGAAAGCCAGAGAGTAGCGCAGTCCTTGCCCACCTGAGTATTCCATTTGGCGAAATCATCATTGGAAATACCGTATTTCTTCTCGATGGTTTCGCAGCCCTCGTCCTTCACAACTTTGTGCCATTTTTTACATTTGCATAAAGCGCCTGGCTGTGTGGGAGTCGGGGCACCTGCACAAGTTGGCTGGACAATTGCTGTCGCTGTGGGAGTCGTCGGGGTACCCGGTACACCTAATGATAATATTAGAACTGGAGTTGTTTAGGGAGAAGAGAACTCAAACATACCAACGCAGTAGTAGGTCTTTGCCCACAAGCCTTTGCAGTCCGCACCAACGGCCGGGTTCCATTTGAGGAAGTCTTCGAAATCAAAAGAACCAAACTGTTTCACGATGCTGGAACAATCATCTCCGCTCTGTGCTTCGTAATACCGGGCGCAGGTGTCAATGATACCTGGTTGGATAGGTGAGGGCCCTGGTGTTCCGGTGCTTGTTGTCGTGGCCGAAGCTGGTGGAGATGTTGGTGTCCCGGGGATGCCAACGCAGTAGTAATTCTGGGCCCAGATAGCAGCGCAATCATCTCCCACAGCGGGATTCCACTTGATGAATTGGGCCTCGGTGAACGTTCCGTATTTCTTCGCAATCTTTGCACAACTATCACCGGCAACAGCTTTATAAAAGGTGGTGCAGGTATCAATTAATCCGCTCTGCGTAGGAGAAGGAGCAGGTGTACCAGTGCTGGTCACTGTGGATGATGGTCGAGAGGTCGGTGTGCCAGGGATGCCAACGCAGTAGTAGTTCTGGGCCCAGATAGCAGAGCAATCATCTCCGACAGCAGGATTCCATTTGATAAATTGGTCCTCCGTGAAGGTTCCATACTTTGTCACGATTTTGCCGCAAGTGTCACCGGCAACGGCTTTGTAAAAGGTCGTGCAGGTGTCAATCAATCCGCTCTGAGTAGGAGAAGGAGCAGGTGTACCACTGCTAGTCACCGTAGATGATGGTCGAGGCTGGCCGTTGTTCACTTCGATACAATATGAATTTCCAACTTTTATGCCACTGCAGTCTGCTTTGACGGAGGGGTTCTGATTCAATTAGAGCGTCGAGCTTTCGATTCAGGTGTGATTATCAACTTACATAAGATACAAAAGCATCGTGGGTGATCCCCCATAATTCGACAAAGTAATCACAGTCCTGAGAACTGTCGTTAGACGTGTCATAATAAGTACAATCGGACGCGGTAGACGGATCAATAGGTCCGTCCTGTCGCCGGGTGACCCGAGAATGACCCAGTGCTACTGAGACCAAGAAAGGGACAATTAGAGTGTAGAGCAGCATAATAGAGTCTCTGAGGGTAGATCTCGAAGAAGAAAGAAATCTAAAACGTCGATCGAGAATACATATCGCTGTTGAGTATTTATATTCAAGCGTTAATAATTCAAACAATAATCCAGACCCCCAAATGCTTCAAGCTAAAGAAAATTCTACTACCTCGCTAACGCTAGTTTCAGAAGAGCAAACAAAATCTGTAGGAGATTGTAACATCAAATAACTTGTATGTACTCCGTATAAGAACCGCCAAGACCAGCCCCCTTTTGGGGAACTTATTAGCGCGGGGTTCCCCTCTGCCTTTTATTCCGCGTTGCACACTCATTTACCTTGAAACATACCCTTGTTTGGCCCCCCACAAGCGATTTCCCCGGAAAAGCAGTTTTCACAATGCCGGAAGAAGAATTGAAGGAGGGAGCCCAATACGGTGCCTTGCCATTTGATTATTATGTCACAGTAAGCAAATTCCTTTCAAGGTTCACATGAAGGTTTCTATTGACTGATCTAAATAGGAACATTGGCCTGAGGGAGTAAAGGAGAGCCCCCAGCAATGGGAGCAACTAGCGTGGAAATATCAAGAGTTGTCGCTTATTGATCGATTTGTCTGGTTCCCTCTCTAGCCGAATTCCTCGACTTCATACTAACATTCCGTTAGGGCTATCATGATAGGGCGAGATTGGTCCTTGCTCAGATAGACTCCCCTAATTTCACGAATGAGCAGATCGAAATTTTGAGCATTCACCAATCAATCGATGAGCGAAATATTTGTGCAAATGAAGAAGGTACTATGCAGACAGTCTGGCTTCGGACTTGCTACGATAAGAACCTATGCGAAAAATACGAAGATATGAAGGCCGAGGGTATGATCGACGCTGAGATCGGTCCTAATCGGTACCTCGACGATAGCAACCGCTACGCCTTTGACGACGGAACGCTAGATCATTGGCGACAGGTTCTCGTCCGAGTGCCAGGTATCACGGATTTTATGGGTATCGATAACGAAAGCGGTGTCCTTAAATATCGGTCGTGCCAGAATGACGATGAGATTCGGGCCCAATGTGAGGAGCTAGAAGATGAGGAAGATAGAACCTTGGCCCTTAAAGAGCTGGAATTCCAGGTTGTGGTGTACCTATTGGACCGCGAGGCTATCGAGACGGGTTTGATCAAGATGCTTTGGTTAGACGAGCACGGCAACAGCGCATGGGAGAATCGAGTAGAGCCATCTACTGTGGAACCGCTTGCCGTAGCTTTTCTTGGTGCTAGTCAGCTGAGCGAAATGTCAGGTGGAAGCTCTGGCCGAGGATCCTTGATTAGACAATAGTCCATGAGATTCCCAGGGATGCGAGGGATTTGCAATACAGTGTTGCGGTATTTTAGTCAAAAGGATCGAACTAGGAATATGGCCCCATGAGGCCCTGAACAGGAACCGAGGTTCTTGTTATGATTTAGTAGTAAAATGCCCTGTATTTTCCACATGAAAAGTCCTACGATAAGCTCCAAATAGTCTTGGCAGGAAAATATCAGGTTCTATGCCAAGAAAAGGGGGTTTTTGCACTGGAGGTTCACATAATGTGCCGTTCGTGCATGCATAAGTTGGTGGAGTGGCATGTTGGCCACACAAATCCACGAAGGACCCGAGGTCCAAAATTAAGCTGGCCCCTGTGTGTTTCATATTTTCTACTAGTATGTACATATGTACATATTGTCGATCGCTATTGCTAATGATCGGATGGCTGAAGGAAGGGGTTGTGATTGGATAAACACAACTCCGCAATATTCCAGGGCTTGGGATTAGAGATCGTGATTGGCCATATGTGCCCCGCTATGGGACTTCAAAATAAAGTGTGCGGGAGAGGCTAGGGGTCCGAGTATAATACCCCGCTCAAGCCATTAAGCGAACTAGCCGAACCTGCCATGCCTGGCACTCTGGCGAAGGATAGATCCAACAGGGGAAATGTCTACATCGAGCTTTTTTACCGGAGCCGTTGCGGCAAGAGGGACGGGACGGAATACGACGAGGGGGCCAACAAGTGGAGAAGTAAGCTTGCATTTTCACAGGATCCCTTCGTACGCTAACGTCTATCTTCAGACATCATTGCGCCACCGCAACCGTTTTAGCACTTTAATACTATGGCCCCGAAGGAATTTGCCAAATTGGTCCTGGAACACTAGACATGGCTCTTGACCCTGGTCTCATGCGCCAGTCACAGCGCCTTTGGTGGAACTGCGCACTGCCGACCCACTAGCAGGCCCCGAAGCACCTGGCGTGGAAGTAACCAGAGCAGCAGTGCCTGTAACCCTGGGAATAGTACCAAAGGCATAAGGATCAGTTTGTGTAGCGTTAGGGGCATCTCTGGCAGACGGGAGAGAGCCCCAATTTCCGGACGGCAGGGTGAATGTGTCATTGTAAGTCACTGTGAGCGGGATATCCCATTCCTTAGAGTCAGGAGGTGACAGACAAATTGTGTGGCCCTTGAGAGAGTTGAGATTATCGCAGTTACTGTGGATGATGGGGTTCCAGCCCAAAAGCTCAACGATAGTGAAGTCCTTTCCGGCAAGAATGGACTTGCAGGTCTCATTGGCAGATACCTGTCACTCGTTAGCAAGATTTGATAGAGTATGGTCAAAGATGCCTTACTGTATGGAGGGTGCAGCTGTCACCGATGCATAGGTTCATTCCAGGTATCAGACTGGCACATTTCAGATCCAGACTGTTGTCGCTCAATAGGCGGTAGTAAGCGACCTTGTTAGCACTGGCAATCGACTCGCATGTATCACCCTTGACAACGGTGTAATCCTTGCCTAGACATTTGGCTGTTGAATTGGATGTTCTATTGAGTATATCTGTCAGCCATCTTTAATTGCAATATTTCACTTGTACAAACTCACGAGGAGGGCACTGGGGGGAATGAGACTGTCCCATGCGGGTAGTTTGTTGGAGAGGCGCTGCATGACGATAGCAAAGAGGAGTAGGCCTTATCCGAGACACGCTGCCGTCCGTATGTTGAATTCAGCATACCGGCAACATACTGCAATGTGCAGTCCTCACATGGCTTAATCGTGTGGTTGGTTACGGTTGGCAAACATAGGTTCCCATCGGAGCTAGTACAGATACTGTCAGTGAATCGACGTGCAGTACAAACCTGGGATCATCTTACGAGTTTTCCAGACACGCCATATTCTGTGCCCAGAGAAAGGGAAGCGCAATGTCATTACCAGATTGTTTGGTCACATTGCCAAACTTGTACTCGGTATCGCCGCACTTGGTTCCTACTAGGGAGGCCCAGTTCTAGATCATGGATTAGTGCCGCGTTTTGAGCGTATAATGTACAACAACAATGTTTTACCTGAATAGCACTTCGGCAACCAGACTGGCAATACGACTCGAGATCAGTCTCATTGAATGGCACCGAGTTCACAATATCAGTCGCGGTGATCAGACCCGGACATGCGATCTCGCTCGACAAAGCGGCTCGACAGCCCGCGGGAATAGCAGTTCCAAGCTTCGCTGGAGAATCCCAGATCTTGAGAGCAATCACATGCGTGAACAATAGAGAAATGGAAAAGGCGATTTGGCCTTTCGAACAGATAGACATAATTGCTACCCGAGAATTTGAGAGAAACCCGCGAGTCACCAAGGTGGGCAGTCGCTGTATACCATTTATCACCGTGGCGTTAGTTGGAGACAGCGGATTCTAGGAACTACCCGGGACAGGATAGGATAGTGCAGCATATGGGGCTATTGGCAGATTTTGGTAAATTGTATTTATGCAAGGTACCATAAACGTATCCGTAGAGCGTCGATCTGCCTCTGAATCAACCTCGGCCTAAGAAACTACGGAGTAGGTCGGCGAAGCAATGACAATCGCACAAGTGGAGCAGCGGAAAATGTGTGACTACAGGGTGAAACCCACCAGGCATGGTGCACTGTATCCTGGTGCACTGTATCCTAGTGCAGCTTGGCAGTTTAGGGGGCGGTTTCTTGACACTATGTTGTACAATGTAAATTGTAGAACGTTGAGGGCCCCCGAGGCTGAACCTGCATTAGGATAAGTGCGATTTTGACCCTGCACTAGTACAATAGGATGAAAAGACGAAAGTTATAAATCGCAGCAAGAGGAAACACTCAGATTTGAAGCTTTCCCAAATTCTTGCATGAAAGTCACCATTCTGACTTCCATGGGCAATCCTAACCATGAAATCATTCATTCTTTTAACATTTCTTTGCATATGCATTTCACAGTCTTTCTTTACTTATGCCCAGGATGGCACCACGTGTAGTGCCGTAGAACCATGCACCAGGGGTGGTTGTTGCAGCAAAGAAGGTGAGTCGAATCTAAGGCTGTTTCAACTATTATATCTTTAACATTCGTGCAGGAAATTGCGGTTTCGGGCCTGACTTTTGCGGTGATGGGTATTATTTACATTGATCTGACATTAAAGTTACAACCTGACAATTGATTGAAGGTGCCAGGGATCATGCAACGCTACTGCGGAATGTGGCAAGTATGCCGCTAAAGATAACTTTGCGTGTCCGTTGGATGTTTGCTGCAGGTAGGCTTATACTACTAGAACCCTGTGGATTTGTCCGAAGCTAATAGATACATAGTGAATTTGGTTACTGTGGAACCACAGACGAGTTCTGCAATGATGACTGCCAGAATAAAGGAGGCTGTCCTGCCGTTGAGTACGTCTGGCTTCTTTTCCCCTCCATGATGTTAATTTTGAAGACTACCACTAATCGTGAGCCCCAACTAAAGCCGACCTCAATGCTCTGAGAGTACCGACGCTATGTCTTTGGACGTTCGAGTTGGCTACTACAGTATGTCAGGAGCCGAACGAGACTGCGATACTTCTTTGCCGGAGAACATTGCAGCTGGTGCTTTGACCCACATCAACTTGGCATTTGCGGGAATCAGTGAAGATTTCGAGATAACAGATGAGAATGGACCTATTGTAGCACGAACATCCCGACTAAAAAAGAAGCACCCGGGTCTAAGGGTCAGCATTGCAATCGGTGCGTCTATGCTGCGAATATGAGAATGAATATCGTTGGATTAACATAAACAGGTGGTTGGGTTTTCAACGATCCGCCTACTCAAAACCGATTCTCTGACATGGTATCAACCCGGCCTAATCGAGAAAGGTTCATTGCATCTTTGATCAGGTACATCCGACGTTATAGCCTGAATGGTGTAGATATTGGTATGATATAAAATGCTGGCTTTGATATATTGGATATATACTAAAGAAAAACAACAGATTGGGAATATCCTGTGGCAGCTGACCGCGGAGGTACAGATCTCGACAAGCAGAACTTTGTTCTTCTCTGCTCCGATATTCGCGATGCATTTGAGAGGGAAGATTCGGGCTTGCAACTGACTGTAACCCTCCCTTCAAGCTACTGGTATCTAAGAGGATTTGATCTGAAACGCCTTGAAAAGTACATTGACTGGTTCAATGTCATGACTTATGATATCCATGGTATATGGGACCAGAAAAGTGTCTGGACAGGTCCGTATCTGAAAGGACACACGAACCTGACTGAGATCGAGGACGGTCTTGACCTTCTGTGGAGAGCTGATATCAGTCCCGAAAAGGTCGTTATGGGATTTGGCTTTTACGGGAGGTCTTTCACAATGTCTGACTTAAAATGCTACAAGCCCCCGTCTTGTAAGTTTGATAGTGCTGGATTTGCTGGTGAATGCACCAATGAAGCGGGAATCTTGTCATACTCTGGTAAGTCGTCCACTGAGAGAAATTCTCAGCTTCGAGCAATATCTAACATCTGTTCAGAGGTTATGAGCCGGAAAAGCCAACTCGGAGCTACCGTATTCTACGATGAAAAGTCATCAGTGAAGTATATGACTTATGGCTCTAATCAAGTATGTTGCATTGTTAAATCATTATTTTGTCACGTAATGCTAATCCCGTCCAGTGGATATCATTCGATGACGAGGAATCATTTGAGGCCAAAAAGAAGTATCTGTTCTCCCGGTGTCTGAGAGGCCTGATGGTTTGGTCCCTTGATCTTGATACACAAGATCACCAGGCAATGACCGGTCTCTTCGGCGAGAAGGCCATGGAAGGTGCCCTTACAAAGTCGGGTTTAGACAGCGAAGAAGCGGAGCAGTTATCTTTTGACCTTTCTGCATGGACTGGAGAGCGGTGCTATTCAACTCCGACTTGTACTGACGGCTCTAAAACCGAACGGACAGCAGATCAGGTATGCAAGGGTGGGTACACAGCATTGGAAATGGCCCACTCCCCTGTGCAAAAGAACGCCGATTTCACCATGAATGGGGACTGCGATGAAGGTTGGTGGCGATACATTTGTTGCCCGACCAAGGCATTGCCTCAAAATTGTGACTGGCATGGTGCTCCTGAACGCTCTGCTTTCGGGTGTGATCGAGGTTGCGGCCCATCGCAATTCGAGCTCAATATTGACATGTACCTGGACGCCAAGGGAGAAGGGGACTGCTTTTCTGGCGCTCGCAGTGTAAGGTTTCCCTTTGATATCAATATGTTTAAATTGCACTAACAGTTATCCTCCACTAGCTCTGTTGTGACAACACTGAAATCCTGGACAAGTGTCATTGGTCGGACTGTGATTACCGTCCCGACAAGAGCTCTTGCGGTGATGACGAAGAATCAATCGCAATACGATTTGATAAGAACGATGGTGGTCAGTCATGATTATTCAGTGGTCTCCAGCTACGAACGCTGACATCTGTTTCCTTTCCAGGTTCCTGTGGAACAACCTCTTTCAGACCACCCGGGGAGCGCACGGTACGCCGAGAATTCTGCTGCCCCAAAAAAGGTAAGCTTATCCATAGATGGATACTCTGCGTCACCGTAGTCATTGACCCAACTCGTTACTAACAAGATTTCTTTCAGATAAATTTGAGAAATGCTCATGGTCAATCGATGACTGCAAGCCAGGAAAATGTGCCAAAGACAAGCTCCAGGTGACAACTGCGCAAGATCCATCATGGCTCTACGACATATCACGCTATACCTCGGACGAATGCTTTGGCTACCATATTCCAAAAATGGCCAGTTCAGACTTTCCACTTTGCTGTGAGCCACCGTCTACATACAGCGAGAAGTGGCCCGTGGAGCCAAAGTATCTTTGGAGTCATTACTACGATGCTGACGACGATGATATCAGTTGGCAATTCAGCGACAATTTTGGTAACAATAACAAAGACACTACTCCTGGCGATATGGACGATGACCCTGGCACTGATCCCTACGGTTTCGTCATGCTTGACGGCCCCCCTGGGTCCATCAACAATGCCTTTGGTTCACAGTACACCGTCGTGACTCGGGATGCACCCACAAACATCAAAAAGCGAAGCATCGTCACCACCAACCAAACAAGCTTGGACTCTGTGTTTGAACATGCCGAAGAGACCGTTCTCGTGTACTGCAACTACCCCGCAGACTCTAAAGAGTGTCGCCAAATCTTCCACAATCGTGCCGAGGACACCATTATTCGCCTTCCTGACCATGTCGGAGAGGGTCCGTGGGCAAGGGTTGTCTCTATGGAGCCGGTAGAAAGCCCATCTATGCATATGCCTGGATGGATCATCCGAAAGAGAAGTGACACTGACAACCAGAATGGTACGGCTGCAACATAAAACAAGCCCTGTCTCTCGCTGTACTAACAGAAACATAGGTGTGTATGCGCTCAAGTTCGACTACGACTTCCACGCCATTAAACGTGATGACGAGCAAGTCAACATCCGAGTCGACTACACCAATCTGATCCCATACTGGGACGAAATGACAGATTCCCCAGCTACAAAGCGCAAGCGAGGGACAGAAGAATCTTTCACGTACGAGGAATGGAGGAACAAAGTTGATCGAGCAAAGGTGCTGGACACCAAGCGATCCTCCCGCAATGAGACGGGAAAATTGACAGTTCGCTCCAATAACACAGTTCAACCCAGAGCTACGCTTCATCGCCGGTGGTGGGGAGTATTCACCGAATGGGTGAAAAAATTGACCACGGTCACAAAAACTGACGGTGGACTACTGCCAATGGGCTTGGTCCGTTCCCTTGTCCTCTATAGTGGAAGACTACGTTGCACCAACGAGGAAGTTACTATAACCGCGGGCCTGGATATCACAGCGGACTTTAACATGGAGATGAACGCGCGATACTCCTACTACTTCTCTGGTACCGTTGTCCCGCCCACTGTAACAGATATGTATGCCTACGTCGGTGTGCATCCACAAGTATACGCTGGAGTTGGTATTAGCGGCAACGCTCAGTTGTACTACCCTAGCGAGCGAAAGAAAATCATCGACACATTGACTTATCCTGGGTTGGCAATCAAGGGTATCGCCGCAGTGGGTCCTACAATGGACCTGTGGGGTCAGATCGATGGAAGAGTGACAGTCTCCGGTGATATGCAAGTTGGTTTGACCTACCAGTTTAACCCTGTGGAGCTTTACTTCCCAAACAATGACGAAGCTCGCAATACCTTGGATGTGGAGGACATGCAAAGCTCCCAGGTAGACAACTCAGGCTTAGCACCTCAGATCTCTGGTAACGTGCGTGCGGATGTTGATATCAACATCCATGCTACGCCTGAGATCAACATGGGTATCAAGATTGGTGGTGGAATTGGTTCTCTGAAAGGCACGCTCGCTGATGCCCATGTTTCAGCTTTTGCCAACACGACCCTGAACTTCCATGCACAGGCCAAAGCAGGCACAAACAATGGAGACAATAGCTGGTCCTACGGATACTCAGTGAGCTTCCTCTACCGCTTTGGATTTGGGTGCGTAGCCGAGATCTACAAGTACGGAAAATGGACGAGTGGCATTTGGTATCCCTTCAAACAAAGGGTGATCCCGATTTATTCCAAAACTTTCTCGGCGTCCCAGTCTGAGAAGCGGTCTTTGGAAGGTCCTTTCTTCTCGGAGCAGCCACTTTCAGGTGCAATCTTTGGCCTGAGCTCTGGTCTGAGTGCGGCTTATCACTTTGACGACACGGAGACCGATGGATACCAACAATACGGGAACATCTCACTGACGAGGCGTGCAGATGGCACCATGAGTGACAAGGAAACGCAGTTCAATCTGGGATCCTTCAAGTGTACAACTGGCGCAGGAAGTGTCTGTGATTCGACACTTTCAGAAAACAGTCTGAGCCAGCGGGGCTTGATGCCGCTCTCCAGAGATAGCGCTGAGATACAGAAGCGAGCCAAGAAGCCCACAGACTGCCCCAGCAAGATACCACGATTTTATTACAATTGTGTGGCATTCTTTCACGACATGACATTCTCTGATGGCGGTGGAAGGGCGGACATGGAAGGCATTTGTTCAAACATCGAGAAGTTCTTGACCAACAATGCTCGGGGCAACAGTGGAATAACCTTGACTTGGGAGTCTCAAAGACAAGCTCAACGCAGGAAAAAGTCATGTCCATCCAAGTATTGCGAACCCGAAAATGAAAAGATCCGCCAGAGCCTTTACGGATTGGGTAGCACCGATAAGACGGAATTTACCAATTGCGATGAGTTCCCCTTTGCCTCCTCAGAGGAGGGTGGTGTAGACTTTCTGGGTCTAGCCCCAGATACTCCCACAGGAACGGTGCGAACATGTGTTCCCAAGTGGCAGAACGATGTTCAAGGACAATGCAACAGTGAGTCCCTTCTTACTCTCCCCCTGAGGTCTTGATAAGTTTATGCCCTTTATTCTAACATATGCTTTGTAATATGCAGACCTCCTTAACAACATCAGAACTAACGTGGAATATTTCAACACTGTTGGCAAACCCACTGAAGAGAATCCCAGTTGGTGGCGATGGAACCAACATTCATCATGGGGTTCAAAAAGTGGTCTGGGAAAACGACAGCGCCTCGTGCCGTACCCTGATCCCCAACCTAAGTCTTATGTCGGTGCTATGACAAAGGATGACTATGATGACCCCAGGAATCTGAACTTCTACCACAAACGCAAGTTCGAGTTGTTTTTGTCCTATCCTCACGCAGGTCAGAACCCCGACGGACAATACCCTGATCAGGACTATGACAAGGGCACCATGAACATACCTTCAGATAAGAAAAAGCTTCAGCCCGTTATTTCCGATGTACCGTCTCCAAACGTTATATGTGCTGTGAACACAATGGGTCAGCATCGCTACGGGTGGGCCGGGGCCAATGCCCTTTGCACAGATGGAGTCAGTAGGGATGTAAAGATGTGGGGTGGTAAATACCCTTCGATACACGCTTTCCAGTGAGTCATTTCTTCTAGCAGAATTTCTGGAACTCGAAAACTAATCGACGACTCAAAAGCTGTCGAGTTTCATTTGTGGGGTCACCCTACACAATCAAGAGAGATGGCACACCACAGGAACCTTTGGGCTACTTCGGTGATGATCCATATTACTGTGAGAGCAATACTATCCTCTTTGACTTGCAGTTTGCTAATACCAAGAGCAGCTGTCGAACGCGTGGATGATACGGGCTATAACTACGATGAACCAGAATCCGACAATGACATGTCTGACGACGAAGACCGTGATTTTGTCAATTTCTATGACATCGACAGTGATGCCGAAGAGTTTTATTGATTGAAACAGATACATGCCGTCTAGAAAGTTTGGCCACACTGCTTTACATCACTTTTTCTTATCTTTTCCTGCATTCCCTACAGATTTCCCTATATTTTTTTTGGGTCTCTCCCTAACTAGTTTTCTTTCAATCAAATATATTCAACGGCTAAAGATCCTCAAACATGTCTGGTTTCCGAAGCCAGCTCTATTGAGCGGAAGCTCTGGAAATTCCGATAAAACTAATTTCAGGTCTTCAAATGCCCTTTCGCGGACTTGAATAGTTGTTTGAAGATAGGCAGTTGTTTGAAGATAGGCGATCAATTCCCGCTGGCAATTAATATCATGCTAAAGTTGCTGAACTGACTGTTTTTGACTTCTAGTAGGTAGAGAGCCATCATGTGGCGCTAAATGGTGTAACAAGAGATGCGATGGATGGATCTAGGTCAGCGACTCGAGATTCCAGCTGCCACAATTTGCTTCTCTCCAAATTGAGATCACGAGATATCATCTGGCATATTTCGGCTGCAACCCTTATTTCTCTGGGCGAGAAAGACTTGTGTAACTTTGGGGCAGATGATACAGTTAATGAGGAGTCAGACGAGGTCGAGACGGATGAAACAGATGGGGGAGTCGTGGATTGTGAGTCGGAAGCGCTGCACGAGCTGCCAATCTTCAAGCCGTTGTCTAGTGTACATGCTACTATATTTCTATTTTAGGTATTGTACTCTGTGGCTGGGGTGGTTCAGGGGCTGTTTTTTTTACTATGGTGATACCATAATAAATGGCACTTGTATTGAAAAATCGAATATTCTGTAATCCCTTAGGAGTAGCTCACTAGTAGTTAGTGCTAAGTTAGTTAGGTGGCTAGGTAGTTACCTAGGTAGTTAGTGCCCAGGTGGTCTAGTCAAACGGAGCACAAGATTAGGTACATTTGTAGGAACACCCGTGGACACCTGGCAGCCTTAGTTATCATGTGGCATACGGAGTACATAAGAACCCATTCCCGGATCACGTGATGACAAGCTCCTGGACCTCGGCCGGAAAAGGTTCGCAACAAAATGGGCAAAATAGCCCAGAAAGATGGTACGTACCTACAGAGTTCCTAGGAATGAGTAGTGAACCTGAAGGTAGTATTCCGAATCAGCCGAGAACTTATAGGGATAGAGTTAGTGCCTTAGATCGTTTTTCCTCCCAGATCCCAACGTCATGCACTGTTCATCACTTAGATCAGGGGGGTAGTATCGCTTCCCCCCCTGTTATTTTCTATGAGCCACAGATCGAGTGGATCATGTTCACTAGACGATCCTAATAATACAATCTTATATTCCAGTTTTTTCTCTTGTTCAGCTTCTATTCAGGGGCGGAGTCACTCAGCCACTCTTAAACAGGCAACAATATAAACCATAGTCCCTTTTATGGAGTACTATTGTATCTATATCTAGATATAGTGAACCCAAAAGAAATCAGACGGCGTGCAATTCCGATCCAGTACGTCAACCAAGAGATATAGAGAAGAAGTCAAATGGGCTTTTTCCCCCTCATCTTTCTGCCGGACATCCCGAAAGCCAATTTTCCTGCTCGTCACCATCTTGCATCTCGTAGACGTCATCATAAATTCCCTTTTAATTCCCCCTGCTCTGCCCTATATTGGAGCCCAATCCCTTTCTGATCTTCTCCTTTTTCTTTTTTACAAACTGAGTGGGGCAAATCTTATGCTTGTACCTCCCCCGCATACAATTCCGTTCGCCAGGTAACCAGACGCCACTTTAGAAGTCCTCGAGGCTATTATCCTTGCTTTTCTCTTCTTTCCAAATTTTTTTACTTTCAACCTTCGATTGATTTTCGATCTGCTTCTTTTACCCGAAACCTGCATAAACCGTAAACCCCCACATTCCCGCAAGATATGGCGATGGCCGCGCGGCCACAGACGCCCTCACAGGATGCATACATGATCCCGCACCCCAACGATCCGGGGGCTTTGAGTCGCGGATACGGCCCGCGTTCTACTCTATCGCGACCGAACTCCTTCGCCGGCACATCAGTATACCACTACGGCTCCGGCGCCCTCGAGTCGTCGCAGGTCCCCTACACACCCCCGATTCAAGGAGGACTTCGATACCGCCAGTCACCGCAGCTCGATGTTCGACGGCCCTGCTGGAATGCAACGGTCTGTCTCTACCATGTCGCACGTGCGCTCTACAACCCCGTCCCGTGCGAGCACTTTGCGGAAGAAGACCTCGTTAAGCAAGAAGGGAAGCCTGCGGCGCAATGGGAGCCGGAGAAGCATGCGCGCGGGAAGTGTAAGGAGTCTCAGCCTGGGTGATCGCGAAAAATACCACACAGATGGCTCGGACGATCTGAATAGTGCTTTCGCGGTTCCGATCCCTACCACCGGTAACCCGACCGAGGTGCTGGCAAATCGGTTTGGAGGTGGGTTTTACCCTGTCAATGCGGGGTGGATTTCGCTAACTAGGATTTAGCTTGGCGCAAGCTACTCAAGGACTTAATTCTCTTTTTTAAAGAGGTGCAGAAATCATACGAAACTAGAGCGAAGCTATTCCTGTCCGCATCAAGTGTCGTTAATAGCCAGTCCCTTCCGCCAGGTCTACTTACGTCTGGTGGTCTGGCTGATGCAACCGAGATTCTCCAGAACTTCCACCGACAGGGTTATACCGAGGCCAATAAAGCTGTTGAGGTGGAGACCGAGGTTATCAGCCAATTGACTGGCCTCCGCAACGATCTCCAGAAGAAGACTAAGGAGATCAAGAGTCTTTCGGGCGATTTCAAGAATACCGTCGAGAAGGAAATTGAGGGCACGCGCAAGTCCGTACGAAACTTGCACGAGGCTCTTGGACTTGTCGACACCGATGCCTCTGCGACATCGGGCAAAGGTGATCCCTTTATCCTGCGCCTTCACGTGGAGAGGCAGGTTGAGAAGCAGATTGAGGAGGAGAACTACTTACACCGGGTTAGTGATAGCTTTTATCCATACCAAATTCTTGTCTAACGTTGAGTTTATAGGCATTCTTGAACCTGGAGAACTCTGGTCGTGAACTGGAGGGGATTGTCGTGAGCGAGATCCAGAAAGCATACAATGCATATGCTAGCATCCTCCGACGCGAAGCCAATGAAGCTCTTGACACCGTCGAGAAGCTTCAGGCGGGTCCGATCTCCATGCCCCAGGATCACGAGTGGAATCAGTTTGTGTCTGATACAGATGAGCTCGTCGATCCCCGGATTCCTCTCCGAGATGTGGAGAGCATCACCTATCCCGGCAAAGATCATCCAGCAGCTGCCGAAGTTAGGGCTGGTATGTTGGAGCGCAAGAGCAAGTATCTCAAGAGTTATACCCCTGGCTGGTGTGTATCCTTTTCCCCCGTATGATTTGAAGCCATTGTCTAATCAACTACAGGTATGTTTTGTCGCCAACACATCTCCACGAATTCAAGTCGGCAGATCGTGTAGCATGGCAGACACCCGTAATGTCGCTTTATCTGCCAGAGCAGAAACTCGGCTCCCACTCACAGCAAGATTCAAGCTCCCACAAGTTCATGCTGAAGGGCCGACAGACTGGCGCAATGCACCGAGGCCACTCGTGGGTCTTCCGTGCCGAATCTCACGAGACCATGATGTCCTGGTATGAAGATATCGAGGGCTTGAGCAGCAAGACAGGGGAGGCACGAAACGCCTTCGTCCGCCAGCACGTTCGCAGCGTGAGTGGCAGGTCAGTGAACGAGGTAATGGAGGATGATGAAGCCGATCGCACTCCATACTCCGCAGGCTCTGCTGTCATGACTCAGGACCGACCAACATCCTCCCGCCAAGCTGGAGGTGCATTTCCCAGCGACGTCCAAATTGACCGAAACAACCAGGCAGCCTTGTCACGTTCCAGCGGGGACAGCTCCGCTGGCAGAGATATACTAGGAGCTGCTGGATCTTACCCCGATGGGTCCAGTGCTTTTGATCACAGCTTGCGACAAGTAGATAGCCGTGAAGGAGACCATTCCTACCAAGGCTACCGATCCAATGAGGGGACCATGGAAAGGTCTCGCCCCAAAGTTGCCCAACACGACAGCTACTACGGTGACTGGATCGGACCGTCTGTGATAGTGGCTAAGCAGAGGCAGAGCCAGCAGATGGAAAATCCGAACTCGGATGACCGCGAGATCCGGTCCGATGGAGACCAAGCTTCTCTGGCCGCGATCTCGGGTGTCGGTATTGCTGATCGTCGCGATCACTCGGCTCCTGCCCAGTTTGATCGTCGGGGGAGTGTCTCTACAGCGCCTACCAACACCAACGTAACTGAGACTACATACAATACCAATCCTACCTCGGTAGATGAGCAGGAGACCCATATCCCCAAGATCCACACCCTTGACCCTGATGTTGGTTCTATCGATCAAGGTCCCGAGCCAGACCGAGCCAAGATGCCATTCGATTTGCTGCGCACCAATACAGACAGCAGTATTGCCCTGGACATGAAGATGCCAGGCCGTTATCCTCCTACCAATGTGGCAGCATAAGTTCCTCACCCTCTCTTATCTTCACCTCCACATTTATCTTTTCATTTTTCATATTTTCTTCAATATTCTCTCTTGCCTGTACATGTATCCCCCCTTGCCCTTTCTACAATTCGCCCTTCGTCCACGGCGTTTTGATTCTCTCGTTGGGACTGTTTCCACACAGGTCCCTTTCCTCTCCCACAGCATAAAACTCATGCTGCGTCGGCGTTCGTTTTACCGGCAGGGGTGTGGCGCAATGGATTTCTTCGTTTCTTTTTTTTCTTCTTGTTTTCTGATTGATTCTTGATTCCCAGTGCTGGGCACTAAGCACCCATTTCTTTCGTTTCCTGGTGGGACTTTTCTTTCTGTTTTGAGGTTTCCATTCAAGTTTAAGAGACTTTTTTTAAGATGCAAATGAACATTAGTTGAACTTGATGCAAGTCTTCTGAAAGGATAAAGGCCGTGGCAATTCAGTAACGGAAATACGCTGTGCACCCAGTCATAAGTGCAGATATACCTGCGTACCCTTTCCCTTGCCACTTCAGTGCCCACCTCTTGCCGCTTTTTACTCACTGAGTAAATCTGGGCACGCCCCTTGCGTCTTCCATAACCATAGGACTTCTTAGGAGCTCTCGGACCTTTCGTGCCACCAAAATGATTGACGAGATGAAAAGATATCCCAGAAGCTTAAGTGCAGGTAGCCATTTGCGAGAATGACTGATAACGGTGAGAGTCAAAGTATATAAAAGAAACATTGTGAAAATATCCAAGTGTCAAGCATTTCTCCTCAGGGTCTTATAAATCCGCTCATAAGTTCAGCAACGGTCAGTATTCCAGGTCTGTCTCTTTTCAGCCCCTCAGCCAGAGTAAATACCTAAATATTATGCAGATTGTCTGATGCCGCAAAGAAAACCGACAACCTAGTCGATACCTTCCTATTCGATAAGAGTTGCAAGACCATTTCCTGTATATTCCTGAGCTCTAAATCTGTTATACGTCGTTAATACCTAAATAGGAAGATAGAAGTGATTCTAACTCTTGTACCAGGGGAGGGGGCGAGAATTTGCAGGGGGTCTATAGCTGACTGAATCTAGAAGCAGAAAATCCACCGAGATCTGAAAGAAAACAGATCCTAGCTTGATTCCTAGGTCAAATTACACTAAACCCCACTTTACTTGCTCTTGCTCTTTTGGTTATTTACCCAGACGCAGATAGTGTGCTTACTTAGATTGAGCTGGACTAATGATCGCCCCTCCCTCGCAAGCGAGCTTGTTCTGTGATACCCGTTCTTCTGGTATAGACCAATAGCTGTGAGATATAAAAGCTTCTCACAAACTTGGTCAACTGTACTTATTTAGATAAGATTTATATAGCACTATAGTGTCGCTTCAGAAACTCAGAAGGCCCTAGGTGAAGTACCGCTCCTGAAAAAGACAGTCTTCAGTCTCTATCATTCCACTCTGACTTATAGGCTTCCTTTTGCCCCCTGGCCCTAGCTTGTCCTACTATGCTTCTTCCTGCCGTAGACTTAGAAGCCTTCAATCGAGTCATGATATTCGTGAAAACAGGACGAGCTCATCTATTGGAGCCAAGATGCCGCATCCTGCTTTGTTAACCTATTTAGACTTGACGAGACAACCAAAAGGCCGTATTCTACTCGCTACCCCCTAGAGACCATAGTAAGATATCGGGTTTAGGGCATGGCGAGTGGGCTAGTCATGGCGAGAGGAGTGTTGATAATGGATTGTTGATAATGAACGTGTTTGATTGATTGTGTATGTTTCACACGACTGCCGTCGAAGGGATTTTCTATAATGGAGCACTGATATATCAAAATAGAGTCTTTTTTTTCCGTTGCGAGCCGATTTACTATACAAAACAAGTGGAGTGGCGGGTATTGGCTGGACTGTATGAGACCTAGTGGTAAGTTAAACACCACCCCTAGGGTTGACATAGAACATTGTTCCCTCTACTTTTTTTTTTTTGATTAGTGGAAGAATTGTGCAGAGGAAGGCAAGTTTGTTTTGTACTCGTGATAGATACAGGAGACTAGGCGGTTTGGGAAAGTCAAATTATACAAAGCACTAACATATTGTTGTCAATAACTTGCACCATCCATATGCTGCTTGATACATAGCGACCTGTAAGCTCGTCAAGACCGAAGGAGACTAAGCATAGCTTGCCTACGAGAAGATTGCGAGTTCTCGGCCATTTGCAAGGGGGATCTGTTATAGTATATCGTTTTCGTTGGTCGAGCTGTGGGGTCTGCGCCTGCGTCTAGCAGCAGTTTGATAATATTTGGCTTGGAGATTTCGACAGCACGGTGTAGAGGGGTGCCCCATCTTGAAGAGGTCGTGTTGGGATCGAGACCTTTGGCTAAAAGAAACTTGGTCATGAACTCTCCTTGAGTCACACGTGGAGCTATGGTATCAAAGAGCATATTGGATTCTAGCTTGGCCCCATGTGTAAGAAGAAGATCAATTAGAGATGTATCTTCTTCTAAGTGCTCGAAATAGCGTAGACGACGGGTGGTATCTCTCTCGGGCCGCAACGGTTAGGGTCAGCGCCCCGCAAGAGTAGTTCTCGAGCAGATGCAGGGTTCCTTAGAAGGCTGTTACTAGAAATCAGTCTAGGATCTTAGGCTACTTACGCGGGACAATATACCTTAGAAGAGGCTCGCCGCCAGAAACACTCGCGTTAGGATCAAGGCCATGATCGAGAAACTGGCGTATGATACCTGGGACCTGCTCTTCTTCCCCGGTGAGGAAGCCAGTCGCATAGGTCGACACACGAGCGCCGGCGTCGAAGAGTGTTGCCACAATATCAGGGTGTGCGTCATACGTCGCGAGAGCAAGTCCCTCGTCGAGATCCTCAAGAGTTAGCCGTCCGGAGGCAATGGCTTCTTGGGTATTTGACAAGTCACCAGCGGCGCATGCGTTAAGAAACGCATCGAGAAACGCATCGTCAGATTCCATGATATAGGGGCTCAAGGTCAAGAAGATCGTGGGGAGATGAGAGATGTTAGATTAGTAGAGTTTTAAGATTACACCAAAGTCAGCAGGAGGTCTCTGTGCATGCTCAAGTGGCGTTTGCAGAAGCAGAGAGCATTAGTATTAAGGTTCTTGTCATCATACAAAGAACGCCAAGAATTGTTCGGCCATTTTCCAATCTGCCTTTTGGACTTTTCGAGTTCAGCTTCTCATTCAATCATTCAATTACGGGCTTGAACAGAATTCGCTTTGTATTGACAAAAGTCCGAAAATCAATTAAAACTAACGTGACATTCCAATGTCTAGGGACTCGGATAGGGCGATAAAGCTCATTTCACAATTATTACTAGATCTATTCGGGCCCTACATGTCTCAGATTTATACGCGAGGCTCTATAGTGTATTGATTTTCTCGGAAAACGATATGCTTTAGCTCTAGTGTTTGCACCAAACAGAGGAAAATGAGTCTGGCAGGGTGTATACTCAGATCCTGCCATACTTCCATTTTGTGTATTTGAATTTTGCCGGTATCCCGTACTTGAACCTGTATCTGGCCCGCGATCAGCTGCCGAGGGATATCAAGTATGGACTTTCCGATACTCTCTCCCCCATCTATCCCGCAAGTAAGACCAAGGAATAACAATCACACCGTCAAACGGAACCTTTATCCACCCGACACCTTCTAAGGTACACCCCTCAATCGCCTCATGCTCCTCCTCTATCCTCTCTCCTTCAATGTAAGGGTCATACACTTCCCAGTCCCCCCGTATAACGCGCACGAACCCCTCCCCCTCGAGAACCGAGTCTAACGCATCCTGCGTAACCTGAATACAGTACCTATATCGTTGTGATTCTGGCCCTGGCCCTGGGCCGGTGCCCTGTTCCTGCAGCGCCGTAGTCGTCGCCCAATGGTTAAAATGGTCCCGAATCACTGCCGTAGTAGCCCTGTTGAAACTCCCCGAGCCCTGGAATATAGTTAGGGCTAGATTTTCAAGTAAATCAACGCCCCGCTCCGCTGTTATCGTCTTCTCGGTGTTAGCAACTCAACGACGCATAGATTCATCCCAGGCTGTATTGCTCTGGCATGTACACCGGTAGATGACAAAACCCCAGGCGCGACTTCGTCGACTTCGTTGTGTTGGGGGCTGATATGCGGGAAGCGTGGAGACAGGTCCTGCACGGAGGGAAATTGGGAAGGTGGGCGAGTGTATTTGTCCAATTGACTTAGGAAATTAGGAGTGGTAGAGAAACTTTGACTGGGGATCTTTCGATAGCAGTTTCTTTGCCTAGCAGTAGTGAAGAAGGGCAAGTCGAGGATGAAGCTTCGGACTAGCAGCCTTGCTATACTCCTGGGAGCAAGACTATTGCTATGGGTGAGAAGGGTTAGGAGTATAGTTGAAAACTGTATCCGTATGTAGACAGTGTGGCATGTGGTTGTATCAGGATGAGGGCACGCCCTCACCGCCTTTGCCACGCGATTGATCTCTTGGGGCTAGATCGAAGTATGTTGTGGAAAGATCTATATCGCGGAATGTCGCAGTTAGGCGTATGTTAAATAATCAAAAACATGCTCACTTTCATTAAGGTCCGGGCAGTTCAAGGAGCTAACAAACGGATGGATTATCAAAACTACAAATAGAAAGGGAAAAAAATTGTCCAATTATGAGGAGCGAGTGCACATACGAAAGAACCCATTCAAATTCCGCCTCTGATAAGCCCAAACAGCCACACAACTAAAACAAACCGCACTAAACAATAATAAGGAGCGGGCCTCCATTAAAAACTTAAAGCAAGGCGAGGCCATACGATGAGCACGATGGTAGTCGCTTCAAAGTATATCCGCTGGTGTGTATTTAGCGCTCATTGAGTCTTAGCCCGGGCTAAAATCTATGTACTTAATGAGGCTGTGAGCGCCCTTATAAAGCGGCGGCAGTTAAGACAGGAAAGGAAATACGTATAGCCTCATATGTAGGTGCAGTAAGCAGTACATAGACCATAGCTTAGGTTTTCTTTAGGACTATGAAAGAGGTAACATATACCTAAACTGTCTTCTTATTGCTTTATCCCTACGAAGTACCACCTTTATACTCCGTAACTGTGTAAACAATAAGGTGTTCAACTATATGCCGAGGCGGTGACGGGTTTTGCCCGAGTTGTTCAAGTACATATCAGAATTCTGTATTTTCTTCTCTCCAAGCTGATATTCACCCAATCGTCTTATAGGATCCCAGAATCCAAAGAAACAACTCCTCTTCTGTCCTTTTTTCCTATTCCCATCCTCCTCCCTCCCTCCTTCGTCTTTGTACCACATTCAACTTCTTACCTCCACGCTCCATCGAGCTCGGAATCATGGGTATGTTCTTCGTGTCCTCCTGATTATTACACTTTTCTTTTTCGTATCTTTGTATTACTCGTTTGTTACTCTCATCTGGTACATTCTCAGGTCCCCGGTCATTTCAGGCCACCCAATCATCGTGGCCTGTCTCCCCCCCAAAGATTGAACCTTGACGCCTGATCCTTTCATCTTCCCCCGCTTCCTCTCTTTTCTCTATTTCTTCCTATCTTTTGGTTTCTTGAGATCCTCCGCTAACAGCCTCATCCGCTCAGCCGACGTCTATCGACCATACCAAGTAAGTTTTACCGAAAGCCCGTTTCCTTTTTCTCTTGCCCATTTCCCGCCAAGATTCTACAGACCACTTCTCAAGGTTGCGCATGGCTCTCAGCTCTATATCAATGATCGCAAGTGTGTGGTCAGTGCGGGGGGTGGAAACCGCCATGTCTGTTCGATCAGATATCGTTCCGGATCTGGAGATCCGTGGGGCCCTGAACGGGAAACACTTTACCATCGCATTGTTTGATTCCAAAAAATAATAGCGATGTGTGCGCAAACAATGTGCACCAGTGGCCCCAAGCTCCTATTCCGGAGATCCCCATTGCATTTGAGACAAACACCCCCCTCAGAGCTGGTGGTCACCTGACCCACGCCGAGGAGATCCCCCCTCGGGGAGTTGCGCTATTCCACGGTAGCAACTGCCCTCTGAACACGTCTTTCGCTCCTTCCCATCTTCATTTCATCAAAATCAATACATTGCACCGCTTTCGCGACCGCCCTTCTTATCTACTTTTGTTCATGTCTGACCACATCCAGCGTGAGAGGTCTCGCTCGCCCCGTCGCCGTTCTTCTCGCAGCCCTCCCCGACGTACTCGCCGTTCGTACTCCCCTCGCAGTCGCTCTCGCAGCCGCGGTGAGCGTGACGAATACCGCCGTCCCGAACGCCGTTCCCGATCTCCTTTGAGTGCTTCCGGAGCAGCTGGACCCGCAGGTTCCTCTCCTTTCGGTGGACGCAGTGGATATCCCCCGGCTAGATTTGAGGACCGCACCGTCGCCAAAGAGAACATGATGCAGACTGTTCGCGATTCGTCCCAGCAAGACCGCCGGGTCTATGTGGGTAATCTTTCGTACGATGTCAAGTGGCATCACCTTAAGGATTTTATGAGACAGGGTGAGCAGGGTCGCGTGTTTGGAATGGTGATTTGTTGTGACGTTTGAAGCTAACCAGAGTCTTGATTTCATGGTTTACAGCTGGAGAAGTTCTCTTTGCCGATGTTTTGCTTCTTCCTAATGGAATGTCGAAGGTGGGCGCTTACATGTAGAGGGGCTAGTTCCTTCTATTCCCCCGATTTTCGTGGTTCGTGTAGGGTTGACGGGTGGACATTGGCTGTCCTGATAATGTAGGGATGCGGGTGAGTACTTCCTTGCGTTTGTTAAAATCGAACGCTATCGCTGACTTGCCTACTAGGATTGTGGAATATGCAACCAGGGACCAAGCCCAGAACGCTGTGAATACGCTCAGCAACCAGAGTCTGATGGGTCGTCTTGTTTACGTTCGTGAGGTATGTTTCCACAGAATCCATGGTGTTGCGATTACATGAACTGACTTCAATCCCCAGGACCGTGAATCCGAGCCCCGTTTCGTTGGTGGTCCCCCACGCGGTGATTTCGGCCCCGGTGCCCGAGGTGGATTCGGTGGTGGATTCGGAGGCCACCCAGGTGGTGGTGCTGGTGGTGGTGGCCGTCAGATCTACGTCTCAAACGTTTGTCCCCTCTTTTAAACCCCCATTACGCTAAGTTCTGGCAGGCGTTGTTGACCGTTTGGTAGCTTCCTTTCAACGTTGGCTGGCAAGACCTGAAAGATCTGTTCCGCTCAGCTGGTAAGTGCAGACCAAAACCCCCTTTGGACTTGGCTTCCTATTTTTTTTTTGTGTCTCCTCGCATGGTGAATTAACCCATATTCCTCATTACAGCCCAGCAGGGTGCCGTCATCCGTGCCGATGTGCACACCGACCCTACCGGGCGTCCCAAGGGCTCTGGCATCGTTGCTTTTGAGTCTCCTGATGATGCACGCAATGCCATTGCGCAGTTTAACGGATATGATTGGCAGGGTCGTCCACTTGAAGTTCGTGAAGATCGTTTCGCTGGTGGTGGCCCCGGCTTCGGGGGTCGTGGTGGCTTTGGTGGTGGCTTCGGCGGCCGTGGCGGCTTCGGTGGTCCCATGGGTGGCCGTGGAGGCTTTGCTGGTCGCGGAGGCTTCGGCGGTGGTTTCGCTGGACGTGGCGGCTTCGGCGGGCCCCCTCCCCCTGGTGGCCACGGCGGTTTCGCTGGTGGATATGACCAGGGTGGTGCTCCTCCTGTTCCCTCCGGACCCCCAAACCCCTTCACTGATTATGCCACTTCCAACGGCGATAAGAGCGCCGTCATCTATGTTCGCAACGTAAGTTTTGAAATGTGTGATAGTTGACGATACGGAATGCTAACTCGGACTCAGTTGCCCTGGTCCACTTGCAATGAGGACTTGATTGATCTGTTCTCCACCATCGGAAAGGTTGAGCGCGCTGAAATCCAGTACGAGCCTAATGGCCGCTCCCGTGGTACTGGTGTCGTTCAGTTTGATAACCCCGACACTGCTGAAACCGCAATTGGTAAGTTCCACTAGATTACTGCTTTAGTACTCATATACTAATATCCTTCTCCCACAGCCAAGTTCTCCGGCTACCAGTACGGTGGTCGCCCTCTCGGCATCACTTTTGTGAAGTACATGAACGCTGGTCCCGGCCCTGAAGAAATGATGGAAGGCCAGGAGTCAACCGCCGGTCTGACCCAGGACCAGATCATGTAAAGCGGTTTCGTCCTTGTTTTACCATGTCACTTCGACAGGGGGGCGTCTGGCTTTGTTTTCGCAATTTCTTGATTCAATGATTCCCTTATTCCCATTTCAGTTTTTTCGAGGCTTCTGTTCTCGCAAAATGGGGTTCGAGTGCCCTTTTGGGCTGATCAAATGCTTCCAAAATGGAAAGATATTTTCTTCCATGTCTTATTTCGTACCTGTAGTTAGTGTAGTCCTTATCATTTAGCAACTAGTATCTTTTCATTCTAATATAGAGGGCGTTTGTAGCAGTTTCAGTCGGATTGTCATTTTTTGGTCCTCGCCGTTCGTTTCTGCCCTCGACTTTCTGTTTTTCCTAGTTACCTCCTGGAGGGCTGTGACAGTTACCTAATTCCGACCAACTGCCGAGGTGCCCGTTATACCATGTTGTGGTCCCTAACGTATGTTAGGGCCTAACCTTGGAATGTATCCCGCTGCAATGACGAATATACGTTATGTTTATCCTCTTGATCTTTTGGTCTAGCAGTCATATGCTCTTATGCAATTCCTTTGAAGTAGCGGCCTAAGTGGAGTACAGGATTACAGATATGAAACTCGTCAATAACATTGATGCACAACATTCAATACCTATTTACAGGCACCATTATTCTATTTCGACAGCTTGATTGTAGCCGCACCATCCCTCCGCAGAGTCTCATTTAGATCATCACGAGTGCGACAGTTCTTAAGTGCAAAGGAGGCAGCAAGTTCCTCCAGTTCATCCTCAGTTTTATCACGGAACAACTCCGCAAGCTCCCATCCAACATACTCACTCAGTAAAGCCTCACGGATAACACGCTCAAACTGGCGCTCCAGAGTCCACTGGTATGGGTAGCGACCGGTCCGGAAGCAAGGATCTACCATATCACGGATAGAGGCCAGGAAAGGCTGGTAGACCGACTGCACAGCTTCACGAGAAACAATCGTCCAGCAGTCCAGACCCAGTCGCTGCTTCTTATCAAGGAAGGGCCAGATCAGCCGCAAATACGCTGAATTTGGGTCAACGTAGGCCATGCCTTGGTATCCTATATCCTTGTACAGCCAGATAGACCAGCTCACTCCTGTTTCCCGGTAAATTGACAGCTGCTGCTCCAGGAGGGCAATGCGCCCTGCATTGTTTACTTTTGTGGCCTCGACGCCGTCATTTCTAGAGTCTTAGTACACGGGACCAAACTCCCCGTTCCATACAGGCACACCGGCCGAACGCATGAACTTGACCTTGCGGTCGAAGCTAGCACGTAGTCGGATCTTTTGCGTATCCGTGCCTGTGTACTGCTCCTCTCCAGGAAAGCCAAACTTGGAATAATCATGGATTGCATAAACGGTATTGGGCACTGGTGGGGTGTTCTCGAAAACACTAAAGTCCATGGCATACGTATTACCGTCAAGGAAGAGCATATGATCGGGTCGACAGAGCGGATGGCCTTCTCAGCACGGGCATACCAGGCTAGCAAGCGCGCACCAGGACGACCGGCAGAGTTGAGTGTTGGGTCAGCAGGCTCATTGAGTGGATTGTGGCCAGCGACAACAGGATTGCGGGCGTAGCGGCCGGCCAGAACCTGCCAAAAGCGAATAATGCGGTCCTGGTGGTCCTTGAAGTCCCAGAAAGCGGCGCGTGTAGTTCCAGAGTCGCAATGCCAGTCTTGATTCTGGCCGCCTAGTAAAGCGTGGAGCTCGAGAATAGCGTAGATGTTGTGTCGAGCACAGATATCAACGCACCGATCTAGCCACGCAAAGCCCTCGGGCTTGAAGGTGTCGGGATCCATGTCATCAAAGAATTGGCGGTAGTTGAATGGAATACGGATGCAGTTCAGACCCAGTCCTGCAAACATGGCTGCGTCCTCATTGGTGAAGAAGTGATGCAGCAGCCGGTCGAAGAGGAACTTGGCTTTCTTCTCGCCCAATACGGCTGCCATTTGCGCTCGATGCTCATGCTCATGACCTGCGTAGCCTGTAATAAAGTTTTCCATGTTGAGAAAACCGCCGATAGCTGCAGCCCTCAGGATGACTACTTCTCCGGCCTCGTTCACGATGCCACTGCCTTCTGTGTGCAACATGGTGCATGGTGGCAATGGGGTGGTAGCGGATGCCGATGTGCCGCTGGGAATTACAATTGCAGTGGTAGATTTGTTTGGATCTTGGAACGAAGACAAAAGGTGATAGATGAGAATCTGTCACAGGCCGGTCGTTGACTTCTCAATTGCTTCAACAGGTAAATGATTTGAATGAGATTTATATCTCTAGTAACTCGAGGGCTTGAAATATTCCTCTTGAACAGTTTGTTTTAATATTCCCTCCCCCTTTCGGTCATGCCATCTGAGGTGTAGATCCGTCTCGAGCGACACTCCCCGACAGCACAGCCAAGAGGCAAAACGTGGGGAAACATGGCTTAGGCCGCGAGCTTGCTAATTAGATTTCCACATACTTTTTGGATCATATCCCACGAATTTCCATGTGATTCATTGATTCATTGAAGTGAGCACTCAGCGAATTTAGGCTGAATGACTGTAGTTCGTCGGTTGGAGGAGCAACTCAGTCGACTTGCGAGGAAGGGCCAGTAGATGACTTCGCGGTAATCGACGTAGTTACCACGTAGAATAGAGCGGCATACATCATCAGATTCGGCTGTTCTTTCTAGCGAAAGTGGACCCGAAATCCCATATAAAACTCCACTGGTGCATATATTCATCATGTTGTCTGTTCAAATTCTCTGTTTTCCTAGGGTTGCCATTAGCAGTTAGTCAGTTAGTTACATACTATCATCACCTGGGCAAAATTGCCATAAATCTGGCGGTTGAAACCACATATTTCTGTTCGATTCTTATGACAGAGGGCTGTAATTATTACCTCGGTCCATTTTACTACTGTTCTTTTTTGGGGGGAACCTTCAACCATAAAGAATACTTGAGGCCTAGTTTTCATGTCAACACGAGGGTTGATCCATCACGCTTTCACAATAAGTACCAGGGACAGAATGCCTGCAAAATAAACTAGGGATGGGCATTACATTGGCAAATAACCTCTAAAAAGAAGCGGCTAGAAGATGATAAAGGTGTATACATTGTATATTGTACGTGTTCGAAGTACAATCTAGTTTTAGTAGGGTGTGTCTTTGCCTCAACAAACGGACCAGGATGACGCCCAGTATATTATATGTATGTATACTTATTTGCAGGGCTGGACCCATTACCCTTATATATCCAATATTAGGAGTATATGGCCTCACCCTATACCTTTGGATATAATAGTGTTGTCGAGAGAGGGTTGAGAAGCTTCAAGTTGTATCTTTTGTATATGTATCCCATACAAAGGGTACATAAACCAAAAACCGAACATTTTTGTCCATACATATGTAGACTTATAAGCTCGATATAAATCAAGTAGAGACATACAATTTGTTTAAAAAATATATTCATAAAGCAACAAATAGATGTAAATCATGCATAATATCATAGATACTGCAATACACACCACATGTGCAGATCCATCTGGATCTTATATACTACAAACGCACAGACCAACCTTGTAATCTATCTCCAACAATCACATCTCTCTCTCTCCCCATTGATTCACTCAACCACACTCAAATCATGGCCTATCTTGCCCGCACTCTCCCAAAAAGGGTCTTTGCCCCTTCTCTGACCCAATCAATCCACCAAACACGAGCAATCAGCACAGCAACCCTCCAATCTACACCAACCCGCACAACGCAACACACACCAACAAACCAACCCCGACACCCCCTCCCCCACCGAAGCTACCACTCAGCCCTCCATGCTAGGCTCCCAGACCACTCCTACACAAACTCCCAAACAGCAATCCTCACCTCTGCGCTAGCCCACGTCCCCACGCACGGCTTCTCCGCCACAGCCCTGACCCTCGGCGCTCGCGACGCCGGCTTCCTCGACGTCTCGGTACAGCTGCTCCCGCGTGGCGAATTCGACCTTATCCTGTTCTGGCTTGCTAGTCGACGAGGTCTGCTACGCGGTGAAGTCGAGGGGGGCGAGTTATTCCGGCGCATTGCGGCGGAGAAGGGGAAGGATGTTCATGAGCTTGGTGTTGAGGAGAGAGTGAGGGGACTTCTTTTGGAGAGGTTGAGGATGAATGCGGAGGTTAAGGATGTTTGGCAGGATGTGAGTATTTTTCTTTTGAATCAATCTTTTTTTGAGGGAGAACATAATGACGTTGAGGATTTCTGCTAATCTATATTCTGCTAGGCTCTTGCTCAAATGTCCCTTCTTGCGAATATCCCCCTCTCTCTTACAGAACTGCATGCCCTCGCTTCGGATATTCTTACTCTTTCTGGTGATGACTCTGTTGATGCGACTTGGTACACGCGCCGTCTCGCAGTGTCAGCTATCTATGCCAGTGCGGAGGTTGTTATGACCCGTGACCCGACGCCGGACCTGGCGGACACGGCGGCGTTTGTGGAGCGCCGCTTTGAGGACCGGAAGGCGCTTGCGGATAAGATCACTGGCATTGGACAGTGTGCTGGGTTTGGGTGGAATACTGCCATTGGGCTGGGACGAAGCTGGGGGTTGAAGATTTGAGGTGATTCTTCATTGAACATTTTTTTTGGTATCGATAACCAGCCCATACTGGAGCTTGTTGACGGAAGTCAAGTGAAGCAGCCCTGGTTGGTGGTAGATGGATTTGTACTTTTATTCTAACTATTTTATTATTGTAAACTACTCCATTCTAGTCAGCAAAATACTCTATTTTGCTAATCTAATATCCAGTCCTTGCTGGTAGCCTCACATATATCCATGTGATCGAGGATGCCGGATTGCTCACGCAAAATGACTAGAGACATGGCCTATCACGTCCCAACCTGTCTACCCGAACAGCCTCGCTTGATGCCAAAAAAAACCTGAAAATGAGCCACGGGCAAAGGGTGTATCTAATCATGAAAAGAAGGGGAATTAAACAGATCGAAAAGTAACGCTCAACGCAGAGAGACATTCTGCACTGCTTCCTCTACACTGAGAGGCGCATGGTCATCGCCAGCACTATTGGCTGAGACATCTGGCTTGTCTGTAGTAGTATCGGACGGCGATATCAACATTGTGGGGGACTTCGGCGAGAAAGGGTCTGAGGGAACACTGTCCTTTGATGCCTGTTTTTGCTGAGTAGACACAGCAGTGTTTTCGGCAGTCTCAGATTCTTTCAATGAACTAACACTACTGGCCCCGCTCTCGACCGAGTCACTTTGTCCATGCTGGGGTTTGCCACGTCCCCAACGGCGCGTTTTTGGCGGAAGTGGAGCCTGTCCATGCCGGCCTGTTCCGACTGTTGGGAGTGAGGGTCGGTGGTGACTTGAGGAATATGTAGCCTGGCTGGAACGGCGTGGTGGCGGGGGAGCTGGAGGTGGATTTGATACGGCCCGCCGCGGTCTTGGACCTGGGGGTGCAAGAGTGGAGCATGACCCGGAGTTGCGGTGATCACTGGTATTTGTATGTGACGGTGGTGTGCTGGGGGTGAGCACAGTGATGGGACTGACTTCCACGCCTTCCGGGATAGTATTCCCGTCGCTGCTTGTGCCAGTAGAGTGGTGCTCTTCTTCGTCCACGGCCAGGCGGCGCCCGCGCCAGCGGCGAGATTTCGGTGGTTCTGGTTTCACCTTGGGTGGTCGAATTATTGGCGTCTCATCACTAAGAGCGGCGACAGGGATTGCAGCTTTGCGGCTGGGGGTGATTATGCCTGGTTTTTCGTGCTGTGCTGCAACGGCCTGAACGCTCAGCGAAGATGCAGATGCGGGCTCCAGGTCCATGCCGAGCCGGTGGGCTAAGCTGTGCTTCTGACTGCCCGTCGTATTAGACGAACTACGTGAGTCCATTCGCGTCGGTGATGTTGTATCAGGTGAGCTAGCTATCGTACTTGCTTGTGAGAGTGTGCGGTGGACGTCGATTGGTACATCAATATCTATCGGCGACTCATGCTGCACATTTTGATCAAGGACAGTTTCAATTGTAGTTGCTGTCACTTGAGTTGGAGTTTCTTGCGTTTCTGCGGCGTCGGGCTGTTCAGGATTGCGCAGCCAGTCCACTGTCGCACACCGAGCGACAAGTCGACGCGTCGTTTCATCGACTTCTTCGAAATGCAGGATCTTCTCGTGTTCTGGGTCGCTTCCATATGAGATTTGTCCCCGAACAAGGATGTTGAGTAGTCTTTGAAGTCCCTCGCGCTTGTAGTGCGGCGGGTTTCGGAGCTGTGTATGAGCTAGGAGCGGGTAAAGAACACGCAGGTAAGTATGCCGCAGCGCGGAGGCCTCTTCAGGTAGATCAAGCAAATTCCGGATCAATATATCAACCAGAACGTGTAGATCGTTCGTGAAAAAGTACTCATATGTGCTAGGGGTGGTAAATATGAGATAGAGAAGCTTCAATGTGAGCAACTGAAGGGACGTCTCGGCTGCCATGTTGTCAGTCATCGGTTTGATTAGATAGGAGAATCGCCCGTTACCTTCACGATTGATAAGAAGAATGATGTTCTCTCCAAATGTCTTGTACATCCCACCATACGCTGAGAGGATCTTGATAACCTTGTTGGTCAAGTGACCAGAGGGTCGGCCGTTCAGCGGATTGTGAGCTGAGATCATAAATTGCTCGTTCAAAACCAGCTGTGCAATTTGTCAATTCCGTTCCAACCAGAATAGCTTGGGGAAAGTACTCACCAGCACCCGAATCACGGGGTAATGATACGGATCGGTAACATCGTAAGAGAGATCTTCGATGATATCAAAGAGACAGCGAACGAAATCGTCATCCACGAGAACTGCACAAAAGTCCCATAATCAGCTACCAGGCTACACAGTCACCAGCAGCATATGCCCATGTAAAACGCACCTAGATCTTCAATTCTGATCCTTTGTATCCTCGACATCTCATACACAAGGTCCATCAACAAGCGATGAAGACCCGCGTCGCCCTCCAGATCTGCCCTTCGCATCGCCTGTATAAGCTCGAGGAGGCGCGCAAATACGCCCTCCTCATTCAGCATCTTAAGCACAAATTCATTTTGTCGTCCGTCAAAAAGGATGAATGACGCAATGAAGTGGAGCGTGTTCGGGTCATCGTCCTGCAAAAGACCGTAGAGAATTTGTCGTCGTACATAGTCCGCATGTGTGGCAAAAATACTCGACGTGAATAGCTTGTAGGAACAGCGCGAAATATCGGTTTCCGACCGGAGGTATTTGTCTAGGGAAGGGTGGGTGTGTTAGTCGTAGTGGAAGCAAAGTTTCGGGGGCGTGGCGCGCGGGAGTTTTGTCGTTTGGGGATAGAGACATCGCGTTCTCGAGGGTTAAGGTGCCAGTTACCTTTGTATTGAATTGTGAGATTGAGATAAGCTCGGAGGGCGTCGTCAATCTGGTCTTCGGAATCACAGTGTTTGGAGACGATTGTTTGTAGTTCTGCGAGAACAGGTCAATTGTCATGTCGCATATCTTGGAAAGGAGAAAAAGGTAGACTGGGAACAACGTACCAGTCCAGAACTCAGTCTCCGAGACCTCAGGCTCCATTTCCCGTCAGACTGCTCATGCCGGTTATGCGCCGGTTTGAAGAGTTGGAGAGTTGAAGGGCGGGGGGAATTGGGGGGAATTCCAGTCCCACTGCGGGTCAACCCTAAGGTACGCACTACGTTTACTACAAAGTACTAGCACTCAGAGCTTCATAGAAATATACGCATTCTAGAAAAATTTTCATTGGTATCAAAATGCAAAACACAATTATGCAACCGGGCGCAGGAATGGATGCGCTTCGGTATTCCTGTGAAAGAAGTCAGCTTTTTATCGAGAGATGTTTACGGGTTACAACATCACTTACAAAACATATTTATCCAAGTCCACGACAGTAGGGTCGCTGAACAAAAGGTAGAAGTATTTCAACGTCTCAGCTAGCCAGAAAGACTCCATTGTATCCTTATGGATCGGTTTCTGGGCTGTGACATCATGGATGGCCGCGTTGGCCAGCTCGGTTCGTGTATACTTCGAGATGGCCTCGAACATCTGCCACCCCTTGCGACGCCAGGATTCGTCACCAGTTAGGCGGTACATGATAAAGACCGACTCAATCGCTTCTGGCCGAAGATAGTAGTTCGGTGATGGGATACTAGTCATGCCTGATGGGAGATGGTCTTTGCCAACTTCGGCGAGGTGAGGCGAAGCGGGTGATGAAGATGAACGAGGTGCATCTCGATTCTGCAGTTCAGCTGCACTGAGAGTAGAAGTCGGTTCCGAAGCAATGAACAATGCTTCCGCGCGCTTGGCCAACACATCTCCATCGTGGGGGTTTAATGATCCCGGCATAGGGATAGGAACCGCCGACCCGCTTGCGGATTCCGGCGGTGGATTGTGCGAAATCATATTCACACGCTGTTCGTAGCTGCTCTGACCAGTGCGGAACGTATGTCCTGCCTTGGAGTCTACTCGCGAGTATCGTGCCACGCCAGCCTCAAAGCGGGCTTGATCCCACTCGCAGGCCGAGCCTTTCTCACAGGGCAAGAGACGGAAGCGTTCAGGCATCAGTCCAGTTTGTGTCGACTCGTAAGCCCAAACGCAGCCGTCGGTCAGTTTGGCTGCGAGTTCCAGATCACCATCGATGCCAAAGGCCTTGGCCCCTATAGCGAACATACCGCCGACAAAACATGTCAGGTGAGTGCCTTCGTATTCAAAATCAGTGGGGGTGAGCTCTGCGATCTTTCCAGGTGTCATTGAAGAAGTTGAGGCCATGAACCGGATATCACGTCCAGCCTTAACCATGGGCTGGAAGAGAAGAGTCTTTCGGGCTGCAGTGGCTGCCTTTTTATACATATTCAGGTATTGCTCGTTCAAGCCACCTAGCAGGAGGTATTCTTTAGGCAGGTATTCGTAGGTCGAGTCAGCCATTCCTCCCATGGTGTATGCATTATCACGGGGTGAATTGGGAAGTCCCAAGCCGCCATTGCATTGATCTGCTGATAGTGTGTTTTGCTCGCGTGCCTGAATTTCAGGTTCACTCGCAGGTCGTGTATGGTTGGCAGCTTGAGCATATCCTTGGGTGCCCACTTTTGTGTCGCGTGGGAGCAGCTTCAAATAACTCTCGAGGTCTGTCGGTGCAGCATAACTCTTATGGGTCAGTGTACTAGTGCTCTCAGTCGTACTAGCGGCAGGCTCCTCGCGCGTAGGGCTGCTATTGCGCGGAGACGTGTTCTTGGAATATTTGGGACATCCCTGTGCATTGACCCGTAGAGGCCACAGTCCAGGGATGCTAGTTGAATCTTGTATTTTCTCCAATTCATTGGTAATCCGTGCAATGGCATCATAGTATTTGTCCTGCTTGGTCAATTGGGCCAAACGGGTAAATTCCAAGGAAAGGGAGCCAATTTCAGCCAGGCCAGCTCGGGAAGACGCCCGATGTGGTTTCGCAACATACTCTCTGAGAAAATTTAGTTAGTCGTCGCCCACATATGATCAAAGATAAATCGTGACAAGACTTACGGGGCCCAGCGATAGTAAAGGTGTGGCATGTGGTTGGGCGTGTCAAAGGCACCAATGAGAACCTCAGCAAGCTCCTCTGCTTTCTCCAAAAGCACCGGGTATCTATGACCAGAAATGTCGTAGGCACCCAAAAGACCTCCAAGATAGCGGATGGTTGTCTCAAATATCGGAATATCTGCTCTCGGCGATGTTTTGAAATCAATGTTCTTGATCACATCCAAAGCCTCGAAAAATTCATCCTTCAATTGCATAATCCAGAGAGTATCAAGAGAATCAACCAATGTCGCTCCCCAGCCGTTGAATGGGTCTTCGAACTCTTTCGATAGAGGCTTGACTTCGTCATGTCCCATCGCAATCTCCTTATAACCTTGCCAGGCATGCGTAAACTCGGCCTTGATGACGCTAAGCCGTTGTAGACGCTCTTGCTTATCGGAGCTCGTCTCATCCTTGAATTTCGCTTGCAGCTTGGGTATTGTTTTCGATTGTTCCTTTGGCAGCTTGATCACCTCCTCTGCAGGGACGGGGAACCGTTCTGGGAACTTTCTCCACTTAGTCGTTGGAACGCCAGGTCCAGGGCGCTCAGCTGCCCTTCTGCCCGTCCCTCCATTATCAATCTCCTCCCCATTTTCACTATTGATATTCTCCTTTGTCAGTGGGGGCAAGCTGCTGGTGCTCTCCACCTTCGATGGTTCCTTCGCGGAGTCCTTCAGGTCATCTTTGACGGGTGGTTTCACTGGCGGAGTGGCAGAGGAGGCACCTTTAGGCTGATTGCTGCCATCATTTGAGCTGCTGTGGGGACCCACGGGCGAGTTTATCTTCTCTGGTGGTGGGGGAGAGGTGGAGCCGCGGTAGGGATCCGGAAGCACACGGTTTCTACTCTCCTCGATGGCGGCAGTAGCGGCCAGATTTTCAGGTTTTGGTGTTGCGGGTTGATTCGGATGGGCAAGACCGGGGGTATGAACGTCAGCAGACTCTTCAATCACTGTATAGCTCCAATCGCGTGACCGCGCGAAGTGGAAGAAGGTGAATACAACAGCCGCCGCGAACACGACCAGGACTCGGTATCGGCGAGCTCGAAACATCACGAGCGACCGGGTCACCCTTCAGGTATATTCTGTTTCGAGAAGAAAAGAGAAACAAAGGACGGAGAAAGAAAGAAAAACAAGGAGATTAGCCAAGTCCAGATGAAATCACGAGACTCCACATGTAAATACGATCCACATCAGAGAGCCTCCCCGTTCTATTTTGGTCCTGTTCTTTGACATCTTCAGCTTCTTTTTGTGTATATTTTTCTTATTTCTCCAAATTTCTTCATCTTTCCAAAGAAAGAGAAAGTCCCCTATTGGTCTCATTGATTTCATTGCAGTCGGCAATGCTCCTACCCCCAATGCCCTGAAAAGTCGCGGTCCTCGGGCCTCAAAGGCCAAGGGATTGCAACCCAGACGCCATCTTTTAGGGTCAATTAACAGGGCTGCTGTTCAACGCCGATCACTGGCCCCAGATTCCGGGCTGTAACTGGATTAAATGCATGCAACCCGCAAGGGTCTTCAAACCTGGCCTATCATCAATCGATTCTTCCGCTAGTCCATATCAAGTGCTGCCTCCGTCCCAAATGTGGTCCACAGGGCTCATCTCCCATTGGTGCTAATAACCCCTGCAGCCTGCAGTCGACGGGGATACATAACATTCCGTTTGAATATGATTACAATCGCATGCCACGGAGCCTCGGTGCACAACGATTTTGCCGGAAAAGATACCCTATACACAATGCTCAAGTGTTATTATCTTGATACAGGCGGTATTATGAGTAGATAAGTTGACATGTGAATCGTGTCGGTCCGAGAGTCTCCTGATATTTTATACAAGGGTTGGAAGAACAAAAACCAACATAACTAATCTTGGAATTGGCGAAGAAATCTAAGAGCCTGTAGAGTTCGCAACAATCCACTTTGAGTAAGTCTACAAGCCACCTGGAGCTTGGTTTCAGCCACCCAAAATTCATCTTCCCGTAGGAAGATGCCCAATCTGTGAAACGTCCTTAACTATGTCAGCTGGTCTAGTTACAAATAATCGAGATCTGACAGCTAAACCAAGTGCAAATATTGGAACTTTATGATTTATGCTGCACGTTTGCTTGTGGATCTACTCCAAACGAAGTGCAGCCTTCCTCCTCGTGCGTTGTTTCTTCAGGAACTCGAGGTGAGGAGTAGACATGGTGGGAATTCGCATAGAATTCGCATGGCCGTTTCCTCTCTGTTGTTGAATAGGGCTTTCGGCTTGGTATAAACAGTGCCTAATTCTCGCAGCGCGTCTCCAACCCCTTGTCAGGTACCTCTTCGCCATGTGCACCTGTGGAGAGACTCGGGGGAAACTGTCAGCTGTGACAAATATTTTAGATTATATAATATGTAGATAATAACTAATCTCCACCGGCTTATGAAGGGATCTATATGACAAAATAATTTTAGAAGGGTGGGTATTTGCTGGGTTTTAATGGAGACTTATATATATCTACCCCATACTAGCACATTCTTCAAATTGGCGTAACAGATTCAGCATCTCGAATGACCCACTTCAATAGAGCAATCAAATTATCTAACTTTGGGATTTCCTTTCTAGCGTAGCTTAGTGATGAACTGCCTCTAAATATTGTTATTATTGGATATGTGCCGAAGATACAGCCAATAGAGCATTCCAATTCTTCATTACAATATCTGTGTGAACATAGCCAGATACCCAAGGAAATATATATTAAATGGAGGAACAATTAGCGTCTTGTGGAAGTCCGAAACGATTTTCTCAATGAGCTCTCTAATAAACCCAATGCCACTTCATGCCCAACTTCTGGAAATAGCCAAACAAAGCATTCTTGGGCACATATCCAGCATAAGTTCTTTGCCACGTAGCTGCAAACGAGCCGGCAATTGGACCCAACTCCCCAAACCCAAGGACTTCAAGAGCCAACGGAGTCAACAAGGCCAGAATACCAAACGCAATTAGTGTAGCGTAAACAGGATGTTCTGTTGCAAAGCCAACAGCGGCGTTTTTGCTTTGGGTCGCAGCATCAGACGCAGCTTGCGCCATGTGCGCACCGGCTTTGATTGCATTCTCCAAGCCGCGGAGGATAGCCTGTGCTATGGCGTCGGACCAACCATTGATGGAAATTTCCTCGTTCACTTCTTTCTCGAGCGAGTAGGGGGTGTCGGCATTGAGGATCTTGGTGACAATAGCGGAAGCAATGGACTCTGGGGATCGAGGCCGTAGCTTTTTGGCCTGTCTCCCCCAAATACAGTCCTGGAAACAGTTGAACATATTTTTTTTGAAGTAACTGCTAGTTTATGTTGAAGTGGATATGAACGTTGCTTGTGCGCAAAGTTGAAGAGGAAGATGCGCCAAGAAAGAGAAAAGAGGGAGGGATGGGGAGATAAATTAGTGTTTGGGGTGTCTGGGAGGGTTTTTATAAGCGCCCAAGTTACGTGGTGAATATGAGTGCCTGATGTGTATGCGTGCATGCAGCCATCCTACAGGTATTTCTACCCTTGCATATATATATGTAGGTAGTGGAAATCGGTTATAGAGATGAATATTTGAAGCTATAAATGCTACATTTCTGATAGGGATATTTCAATGAGCATATGTGACACCCTTCTTATTTTATCCATCTCCAGGGGTTAGCTACTCAGGCTTGTGTGTTGGCCATGTCTCGTTTCTAACCCCGTATTTGTGAAGGCATATGTATGACCACGTGACCCAGTTTGTCCTATGAAGAGTGTGGTCTAGTCCTAGGACTGTAGTGTAGATAGCTCCGTTTCTTTTTCTCTATCCTCTTTACCTCAAAGTTCAAAACGGAAAGTGGTAGCGGAATTTATACCTAGGACTACCAACACATTGCCTACATCATAACAGACAACAAAGCAATATACAAATGGTCGCTAGGAGAGACCGATCTCCACATGAAATGGTCATATATCGTATCTGAAGCATATAAGCTATGATTTTCCTGAGCCTACTACCATTCTGAATTTGCATAAGAGAACGGAGATCTAGATCCCCACATTTGTCCGTCTGCCTTCAGTGTTAGCTTTCTGGAACTGCTGAATTAAGCCTAAGACGCCACCCCCGCCAGCGATGGCCTCGATATTTTCGCCTTCATCGAGGTCATCAGGATCATCCTCGCGCTTGCTGAGTGGGTTCATGCGCCAAGAATCACCAAGGTTGCTCTCACTAGTGCCTGCACCTGCGCTGGATGTACCGGTATGAGCACCGGACCGCCGCGTGGCTGAATCACGGCCATCTTGAGATAGTGGTTCTTCCTCATCATCGATGGGATCCGTAGACGGGTGCTGGGGGCGCCCGAACCGGGAGCGCTGGTGCTGCTGAGGTGTGGTTCTGGCTGCGGCACGGAACCCAGAGATTGAGGGTTGGTGGTGCGGGTCAAGGAGGATGGATGGGGCAGGAGAACGGTGGTCGAATCCTCCTACTTGCCTTAGTTTAGAGGCCCCTATCAATGATTGAGGGCCGAATTGCAGACCGGAGGTCGGCCCAGTGCGTGTGTGGAGATGGTCAAAACGATTAGGAAGAGCACCGAACTCGGCTGCAGTGGGCGAGCCGAGGGTTGGCAAAGTTGGCGGCGGGTGGAATGGTCTCCGGTTGGTAGGTTGATGGTTGGTACCGTAATTGTCCAAAAAGCCATAGTAAGAAGCCAACATCTTGCCATCTTTAGTTGAGAAGTAATCGGCGCGCAAATCCTGTTTGCCGGAATTCCGACGCCCGGGTCCGGCTTGGGAGAGCACATTTGTGCCCTTCTTGAAGTCGAAGACGGCAAAAGAGCAGAGATAGCCCACACCATCAACGTGCACGGTGAACTCCCGGAAGAAGTCGATGAGACGATCACTGCACTTAGGCAAGCTGAACCATAGGACGAAAGGGGTGAAAATCATGCTCAAGATCTCTTCTAAGAATATCACAATTTTCATTTGATAGAGGATTGCGAATTCTTTCCGCACGTCGTCGCTATGCAAACGTCCTTTCCATCCGGACGGGAAATAATGTGTGAAATCGATCAGCTCCAGGAGTGCATACTCAGGGTCGAAGACATCAGTCTCTTCTGGTGCTAGTCCTCGCGCAAAAGCCCAGACTGTGCCAAAGATACCGAGATAGAATAGAACAGTCCGGTCAGGGGTAATTTCAAACCCAAGAAAGAGCTCTGGATCTATCACCGAGGCAAGGGCCAGCACGGAGGCAAGAGCCCCGGATATGAAAGCAACGAACCGTGCCACTTGAATGGTCTTATCATTAGGAAATTGGTCAACATAGCGACTGGCGAATGGATAAGACATGTTTATCCGGCGTTCAAAAAGGTGCCAAAGCTCATTGAACTCGCGGAATTTCCATTCCGCCATAGGTGTATATTGGCGGGAACCGATTTGGCCCGGATTCTTCTTGAACTCGTTGAAGTACCGGAAGAAGTAGTGCATCATAAAATAGACCACAATAAAGGGCGCTACAAAAATATTCATGACACCAGCAAAAACAAAGCGCCGACGTAAGCCATCACTCAGCGCTCTTCGGTGTGTGTCTTTGAGGAATAGGGTTCGTAGTTGGCCTTGCTCATTGAAGACATAGTCCATGATACAGAGATTGAGATTCCATTCCATGGTTCGGGAGAAGAGCTGTCGATTTTTGAGGAATGGAATAGGGAGGGTGAGGTCCAAAATGTCCTTGTTTACCAATGCGATCATATAGTTCTCCTTGCGCATCAGGCGGTTGGCAATGTCATGAGCGTCCATTCGCTGCTTTGACTGACTACCCAGGAATCTTCGATGTTTGACAGAAACCGCGGCCGCGGTAGATGGATTCGAGTCTCTCAACGCCATCAGTCGGCTGACCACTTCTTGCCAGGAAATCGTCTGGACCTCGGCATCTGAAACATTGAGCAGGTGGAGATAGAAATCATGCAAGTGTTTGAGCCTGCGAATGTCTAGCAAATACTGAAAGAGTTTCCCAATCCAGAAGAAGCTGAAGAGCCACAACAAAAATGTGGCCGACCCGGACATTTTTGCTGTGCATTGGGGCACGAGGATATCGTTCAAAGCCTTACTATGCCGGACCTTGGGGTAATCAATGCAGTTGGTCAAAAATGTGGAGAAACCAACAACGAATGCAAATGTCCTTTATGTACTGTCAGCTTCTCCTACGATTCTTTGGAAAGGGTATTATCATGAACGTACAAGAGGTTCAACACCCGGGTCAGCAGAATAGACCAGATCCCGTTCCCTAAGAAATATATGTAGACATCCTTTAAGAAGTTATCCAAGTCCTCGACGTTTGCCCACCGCCACATTGCTTTTTTCTTCGGGTCGCTATTCGCAAGACCGGGGTGTTGCCTGGCGAACCATCTCCCTATTGGATGAGCGCCTTCGCTGGATGGTGGTGGTTGATGCGCTCGTTGTTCATCCCAGCGGGCTCTGCTAGGTTGTGAGGGTAGTTCAGGACTGGGGGTTCTTCTTCGATTCAACCGATTATGAGACCGGGGAGGAGGAGGTAACCGTGATTTCAGATCTTCGTGATGACCTTCTACCAGCAAAGATTGAGGAACGTCTTCGTCATGATCATCGAGCTCATAGCCGAGTGTTGATTCTTGTGGCATCCACCGAGGCCGGGACGACTTGCGACGGCGGGTTCCAGATGGAGAAGCTCGCTCAGGTGCCTTGCCCGACCGTGTTTGGTCGAGCAATGCGGTACTGGGGCTGATTATTTCACTGTCCTGCGCATCCGCTAATGCATACTCCAGCTCCCGGTCACTATATTGTTCCTGCTGGTCTTCTGTGACCAAGCCTGCGCGTTCTTCGAGATCAGAGTATTCGGACCCGGCGTCATGTTGGCGAATGGTCTCGTACACCGATGGTGAGCCCGTTGGGGGTAGGAATCGTGATAATATGTTAGAGGACATCATTTTGGATCAGACTAAAGGCTATAGTCAGACCACTCATGGCAACAGCTTCAGAAGCCAGTGACGGTGGTGATGAAATGCCATCCAGCGGCACTTGATAACGCAGGAGAAATGGGGATGGATCACTATCAACACAACAGGCTGAGTGTTATCGGGTTGGAAATGGGTATGTAACCTGATTAGGGTGAATGTATCAAGCTTATAAGAGAAGTATGCATCTGACCTAGTCCTCGTGATAACAGTCACCAGGAGCTGTTGTCATTCCCCAGACCTCTCCAGGGCTCTCTTATCTATGATGACATAAAGAAGGGGGGTTTTCGGGAAATCCAGCCTTGGCGCCTCAGGCACATGTATAAAGGTCATGTGTGCGATATGTCACGTGACTGTATTATTACTAACCTTGTGTTGTCTGCGTAGGTTAGGTACATACGGCAAGCATTGTCATCGAAGACTTTGGCAGTTGAACAAATTAATGAGAGGCTCTCCTTTATTCCATTTCAGACTTGTTTTCAACCTGAACTCCATCTACCTTCCCCCATTTTCCTTTCTGAGACGCAATATATTACTGGAGTTCTACTGCAGGAGTAATATTATTTACGTCATCTTACTAGTTTGACGGCCTCCGTTTGACAACGGAGGTATAGGCGAGTCACGAAATGGCCCCTATATAATCCTAATAGATCAGAAAGGGTGGATATAAGTATGTTGTTGTTTTCATGCTTCTAGTCAAATCTTCCCAAACAGAACCTTAGGGTCCCGGGCATACACATATACAAAATGCAGATCTTCTGGCAGTTTCTTGCCGTTGCATCTGTCGTGCTTGCACATCCAACGAACAGTAGCACTGTATTGAGAGAGTGCGTGTCAGGGGTGTTTGGATCTACTTCAGATCTCCGCATCGTCGATCCATCTAATGACACTTACACCGATGCAAGAATCGGCGAAAAGATCCAGTGGGTTTCTTTGTCTCCATGAACAAGCAAAACTTAAGTACAGGTGTATTGATAATTGGCTCACTCTAGGTTCAACCATTTCCCCACAGTCATTGCCTTTGCCCAGAACATTTCAGAGATCCCGCATCTCATTCAATGCGCTAAAAATACTGGACACAAGGCAGTTCCTCGTAGCGGCGGACATCAGTATGCACAATCGTCCTCTGCGTTCAAATTAGGTTCAAGTTCTATGCTAATACTCGGTGAAGTTTTGAAGGCTGGTCTGCTCTGAACGACACTCTCGTCATTGATATCAGTCATATCGATTATGTTCATGTCTCCGCTGGCCGTAAATTTGCTACAGTTGGAGGAGGCATCCGCCTCGGCGCTCTCTATACTGCTCTTGACGCGTATAATATAACATTCAATGGTGGAATCTGCCCAACTGTCGGTCTTTCCGGATTTTTGAGCTCTGGGGGGTTTACCATGCAAATGCGCTCTCCAGTCGGCCTGGGAGTAGACAATGTTGTTGCGGCAAAAGTGGTAACTGCCGCTGGCGAAATAGTGGAAGCCTCGAAGTCCCAAAATCCTGACCTGTTCTATGCTATTCGTGGAGGAGGCGGAGGAACGTACGGTATTACGGTGGAATGGACTCTGAAACTTGTCACATACCCTCGATCAGCCATGGTATTCATGAATTGGACCGACCCAACAATTCAGTTTGAAGTTGCTCAGCGTTATAATGAATGGGCACCCAGTGCGCCCGCGGACTTCGGCTCCAATATCGACATATATCCAGGTAGTCTCCAGCTTATTGGATGGTATCTTGGAAAGTCTAAGCAAGATTTGGAGGATCTGATGAAGGGCTCCGGATTGCTGGAAATAGGCAACCCGGAGACAAAAATTGGAGGCAATTGCAGCACAGACAATTCGCGTCTCCTCGGATACTACATTGATGAGTGCGTCGCAGATGATCAGCTCACACATGTGAGGTCTGTCCTCAACACTGCGCCTCAGGCTTTTACTCAAATCGGAGATTACCCTCAATATACTTATGATGAGACATATAAGAGTCTAAGCCTCCCCGCCGCTCCGCCATGGGAACGGTATCGCCGACAGGCCAAGTCATTCTTCATCCAGAAGGATAAGCCGTTGGAGGATGAGACTTTGCGGAAAGTGATCAATCATATTGGAAAGCTTTCCCCAGACTCACAAGGCTGGGCAGAGTGGCATGCGTGGAATCTATCAGATCCAAACACTGACTCGTCCTTCCCCTGGAAGGAGAAAGCGCTGGCGCTTATCGAGTTTCAGATACACGGGTCACCAAACTCGACAGTACAGGCGACATACGATGACTGGATGACAGAGCTCGAAGAATTTTTGAGACCAGTTGTTGGGTGAGTGGCTTTTAACTAACTAGGTACATTGCATTGGTAGGGAAAACTTACTAATTGCATGCAAAATTTAGACCGGCCTCCTATTCTGGCGAGATGGATGCAACTATATCGACAGAGCCCTTGACATCCTATTACGGAGATAATGTTTGTGCGCTCATTCGTATTAAACAAACTTGGGATCCCGAAGAGTTTTTCACCAACCCATTTTCTATCCCTGCTTCTGTCCCAGAAGGGATCAGCTGCCCCTGATGAAAATCGTCACGGATCGAGTTCTAAATGTCTAGAGACTAGAATATCTAGATACTAGATTCACTATAGATACAATTGAAAGATCGATTCAATTTGATTCGCCATTTCCAGATAAATCCGATCTAATACATTCATGCGAGGCTAAGCGATGCTACCTTGTTCGCGCATGCATTAGGCATCCGGACGTACTCCGTAGATTGATCGCATTGATTCATCAGTGAAAGAAGCTCTCAGCATGTTACTTTGAGGAAGAAGTCGAGAGAAAAATGTCGAGAGATGAGTCAGCCCTGGTTTGGCGCGAGATTTCACAGCCTCCTTAATGGCAGGTAGATATTTTTTTGCTTTTTCGAAGAGGCCCTTCCGAGTTCCGTCGCACGACGGAGAGGGAGGACGGAGACAACAAGAGTGAATTCCGCGAAGGCGGAGAAAAGGAAAAGATCAACTTCAAGATTGATTGAACAGCCTGCTACCTACAGATTCACTTAGTTATACACTTTCTCTTATTAATGATCTTTTTTCCATGGGTAGTACGAATTGTCGTGAATCGCCTTACCTGCCAAACAAAGAGCTGGTTTCGAAATCTCGAAAGCCGCAATAGTTGAATATTAGTTCAACTCACGAAAAGCAAACCATGGTCCACTCATCTGAATGTAGATGCCACGAGGCCAAGACACCTGTTCACGGGTACTACTATTCAATGGTGGAAATTGCCATTGTGAAGGTGTTTATGGACCATGGCATATTCAAGAGCATCCCAGAGGAAGGAAATATATCTATTTCTGACTTGGCGACCAAAGCAGACGCAGACTCAACTCTTATCGAACGTTTCTGCAAGTTCCTGGTAGCTGCCCGAGTTTTGGAATCCGAGGAACCAGGGCTCGTTGCGCACACGGCAGCGTCAAAACAGTTGGCAGATGACCGTATCAAACTCTTGTATCGACATGTGTTTGACTTCTTCATGATCCCTGCAGCCAGATGGGAGGAATACTTTGACAAGCACGGCCTCATTGAGCCCCCTGCGGCCGACCTCGTCCCGTATGGGCTAGCGACCGGCCATCCAGACAAGACACTCTACGAAATCCTCGAAACTAGACCGAAGCGCAATGAAGAGTTCAACCGCGCCATGGCAGCTGTTGTGGAGACCATGCCGATAACCGGCATGTACGATTTTGGATGGATTGAGGAATACATCAAGAACCATGATATTGATAGCGAGAGACCCATTTTAGTCGACGTCGGGGGCGGCAAGGGCCAGGCTTTGAGGCAAATCCTACAGGAACACCCTTCCATTCCTGCATCGCGTTGTGTTCTTCAGGATCAGCCAGAAGTAATCGAACAGGCCATCCAGGAATCGCATGAAGGGTTGATTTCTGTGAAGAAAATGGCAGCGAGCTTCTTTGAACCGCAGCCCATCAAAGGTATGTTTGAGAACATCATTCAGTTGGGACCCTTTTCTAAAAATCAGGGACAGGTGCGCTGGTTTATCATATCCGCCGTGTTCTCAATGACTGGCCGGATGATGATTGTGTAAAGATTCTCAGCCATGTGCGGAAAGTTTGTGCGGAAGACTCGCGGGTTTTAGTTTCTGAGCAAATCATCCCCGAAGTCCCGTCGCTGGACCTGGCTGCATTTGATATATGGATGATGAACTTTGCTGGCAAACGTCGCAATGGACGGCTATTCGAAGGAATTGCGAAAATGGCTGGTTTGAAGATTACAGCTGTCACCAGAGATGAGGAATCCGGCTCTGGTATCGTTGAGATGATTCCCGTATGAATGCATTCTAGACTTGAATATATTCCTGAATATCACTTGCAAGCACTATACCACTAGTAGAAGTACTGCTCAGGTTGATTTGACGTGTTAGTTAATCATCTAAAATTCTACACTTTTCACAATCAATTCCATTGGTATTCCATTATAGTGTCTCTAATCCCATTCCAATTCAAAACACGAGCTAGCGGACCTTATGTTGAGACTTGTAATGGCTACAAATCTTGAACCTTGATCAAGACAGATCCAATACCGTGTCCTCCTCCCCATTGTCTATGAGCAGTTTGAACATCTTCCATAGCCCAGATTTTCTTAATTGGGACTTGGAATTTTCCCTTCATCATCATCTCCATCAGTGCGGAGATATTACTGGCATAAGTGGGAGAGTCGCGCGTAAGCCCGAAAAAGGTAGTCTTCCTGCCTGTCGACGAATCGGAGTTCCATGACATCATGTTCATGATTGCTTCCGTGGGATCTCGGGGCTTTTTACCCGCAAGAGAGTCCATGTTATTGCCGTAGGCCACAACAATGCCGTCTGCAGTGAGAATGGAATAGCTTTCCTCGAAGCTTTCGAACCCAAGTGGATCGAATACGGCATTGGCACCACTTAGAGCTTTCATGGTATTCATCCACTTCTTGTCCGTGTAAACAAAGGGAGTTGCCCCATAGGCTCGCACAAATTCATGATTCCGCTCACTGGCAGTCCCATAAACCTCAGCCCCTAGAAGAGAACAGAGGATCATTAGGCCACAGCCAACAGCACCGCTAAGACCGTGAATAAACACCCTCTGGCCCTTTCTGACCTTGGCCGTTTGGTTTGCCATGGCGTACCCCGTAGACCAATCGCACATCAATGCCGTGACTTGTTGATGATCGAGCCCATCAGGTACTTTGATACAGTACTTCTCGGGTTGGTTCACGAGTTCTGCTTGGGCATCGTACTTCGTCAACACTGCGACAATGTCACCTTCTTTGATTGTGGTGCATCCTTCGCCTAACGCCTGAACCTTTCCAACAAGACAATACCCGGGGGTGAGTGGCGCAGGGTCTTGGTCAGGATAGATACCCTTGCGCATGCTAATGTCGCCGCCAGTGAAGCCGGAATATTCGGTCGCTATTTGGACGAAGCCAGGAGCAGGAGGAGAGCAAGTAGTCTCGAATATTTTGACCACGTCGACATCACCAAACTCTGTGATGACGACCTTCCGGATTGTTGCCATTGTAGTAGACCGGTGGGACTTTTTTGATTGCAAAGACACTAACCCGACAAGAAAACCAGGCCAAATTACTCTTTTGCCTCACTAGAAGGAATACAAGAAGGAAAATTATCTCCGTTCAATACTTTGCTCAGAACATTCTTTGTTCCTCTGAGTGCCAGTTGGGATTTTCTCATTTAGTATAGCGTCAAACAACTTCATTGGTGGCAAACGGCCCCCTCCGTCTGCCGCCGGAGCTTGACGAAGGCTTCTACGGAGGGTAGACAAAGGGTATGTTCGAAGGGTTCAGGTATATTGTAGAGGCAGATATACAGGAAATGTGACCTATTTGATTAGTTTCAATGCTCGTTGACCTTTTGCGCGATCATAATCCCATACTAATTGCTTTGATTTTGATTTTTATTGTGATTACCATGTTTTTCCCTTGTACTGTCCAGGTATGTAAAACTTGGATCGATCGTGCTATTCAGTTACAAACCAACCAGATGAGAAAAGGCAAAATTCCCACTTGAAGGCCACAACTTCTTTTATGTGTGCTATCATTTCGCGCGAGGTTTTCCTTGGATGGACAACTTCGCATGAAATATCCAGGAAAGGTTTTAGGACGAAAGTCACATGAAATGCAAAAAAAAAAAGACACTTTGAAGAGGTGGTCGGGTTTATAGTCTTCAGTTTTTTGGCGGACCAAACAAGCAAATACTTGGCCAATATACAGTTCTACCGCAAAAGTTCCGTACGGTCGGGGCCCTATCAAATATATATTACACACTCTTGATTTCACCAAGTATGACCTACATATTTACTTCAATTTTTACTCTCCCAATTTTTAGGATAAAAATATAAAAAAATATAATTCAGGTAGCCGATTAGCTATAGGATTCTGATTATTTTTAATACTTAGTGTACCACCCATTTGCCTCAATTACAGCCTCAACTCCGCGCCCTATGCTCGGGAAATTACCTAGGTATTCGCGAAAACACTGGTATCGATATCCGTACGGAGACTTTTGCGGAGGGACTGTTGGATCGATAGCCTTTCTCCTTTTTAACACCCATATTGATTTACAGAATCAGATCTATGACAAGCGAAATCCTTCTCGGGCCGCCTTGGTTCAGCCAAGGTCCAAATTTGGGGTCCACAATTGACGAACCCGGATAATGAGCCCTCAATGGTGTCCAAAACAGGAGCCGAAGTACACTGTGTCCACAGTGTGGCTTTTAATGCGGAATACGCGGCCCCCAGGCTAATGCACGGCATGCATAGGGGAAATTAATGAGAGGCGAACTGTTGAGAGTCACGGCTGGGGAATACCAATGTACACATCCAGTTCGTATGGCTCGTATAAACCGAAAGACGTTGTCAACCTACAGTATTTTATACGGAGATCTCTTTCAATGCTTTTTCCAATTTTACCGACGCTCTATACTACTAATACGTGCGATGTAATAGAATACACTGTGCCCAGACTGCGCTATAAATACCGAATCTGTCCCTCCCTCACATCTTATTTTGTCCAATTTTATCATTTAATTCTTTTGATCGGAGTGACGAAGGTAAGGAAATATCTAGATATGCTACTTGTAGAACTATTTTCACGTTAGAAATTACGGATTGAACCGATTTGCATTGCCAGGGCTCCCGATTGAACTCAATATGATCTACAATACTAGTATGTATACGGAAGCGAAAGAATCCCATCAAGCGATACCCTTAATGCTTCAAATCATTTGATTGTTTTCGATGGTGCTCGATATGGTGCTCCTGGTAAGCAAAAGAAATCCCGCACAAAATAAGTTGAACAGAAGATTGTATTTGATGGTGTTGGTTGGGGAAATAAATATACTGCTGGCCAGCTCTCTCAAGCCGATAGATAGATTGGTCTCTAAAACAACTGTCTAGAGAGCTCTCAAACAAGCTAGAAGGCTTTGACAAAACCAATCCGAAAACCTGGTTTATCAGAGGCAATTAAAAAGGCTTGGTTTGAATGCTGTTTCGCTTACTCCGTGCTGCTAGAGTTGTTTGCAATTTTTAACGAGGGATATGATCTATATCAACATTGTAGGGGACTCCATTATTCACCATTTCTTGGTGGTGTTGAATGTAATAATGTCACCCTTAGTTCCAGCACGGACTACAGCAATTCCGGCCTCTCGGAGATGTAGGTGTTGAAACACACGTAGTCGCCATTCAGCAGTACTAGGAGCTTGATCGATTGAACAAACCGATTAGAATGAGACCTCGGGAAGTTAATTTCGATTACTAAGATAACAAGTGTTACCTAGGTAGTTAATGTCGAAGAATCAACATCAAGATTGATCCCAGAGAATTGAATAATCATACAACTTGCCCAGGTGAGTGGTTAGCCAGGGAAAACGCCATCAGTGCACAATCAGGTGATATAAGCCAGGCAAAGTGGGCAGGTACATATGTAGGTACTATCATGGTGATCAATGGGATCTGACGCATATTTGTAGGCTACAAGTGTACTAGTAGAGGATACTACTAGTATGATAGGTTCTACTAGTAAATTCAAGGGTTCAGTTTTCTCATCTCACTTACACACCTTTGCCACTTAGTCGCATCCGATTGCTTATTGCTACGAGACCCTGATCAATGTTAGTAGATTGCACGGGCTGGGCCGTGATAGTGGATACACGGGCTTGGGATGCATGGTTAGGCTGGGTTGTGGTTCTGGGGGCGGTTAGGGGGCCAGGTGGTATATATACATAGTAACGCCCCAGTGGTACTTACACTGCTTGTATACATCCATGGATAGTCACCGCCCACTATTTTATGTAAGAAACTAGTAGCTGTACAAAATGCAACCTCGGGACCTCAGCCGCAAGCTCGTATTACTAACATCAACGTCGAAATACCAGGTGTGCACGTCTTAACACGCCATGGGAATACTCTTAGCAAGAGAGTGAACGTGTCAGTCTGCTACCCGAGCCGGCGGCTCTGAAGATGCCTGAATCACTCGACAATTCGAATCCTTCGGTCGCCCCTTTACGAAATCCTCCTCGTTCCAATACTCGGTTGTCCCCGCGTGCGATGAGCGGCGTCACAAAACACCCACTGCGCAAATCTTGTGGATTCTGTCGGTCCAGGAAGATCAAATGTTCCAACGAGAAAATCTGCGAAGCCTGTCGGAAACAGCAAGTTGAGTGTATCTACGATGTTCAGCCAGTGTCGCGCGCTCTGCAAAACGATCAGATACCTCCTTCGCACCCCGCAGATCATCAACCGGTGCTCCTAACACATCCGGATGCCAATTCCACTGGCTCCACCAGCTCTATTCGCAGCCCTGGCCATAATACCCCTTCGACCATTGCCTCCGAACTAGAATCAATCTTTGTCGACAACTTCAGTTCTAGGAATGACCAGGACAATGAAGCGACTGATAATCCATGGCATCGGAAGATCAGTACATTCTATCAGCGTGTCCCACAGCCGGAGGGAAACAAGACAACCTCATCCCAGTCAAGCCGACAACCTGATGTTTTTTCGATCATCGTGAAAGAACTCGTTGCCCTAGTGGTTTCCAAATTCGGTCATTTAGGGTGCAATCTCGTGTATAATCATGAAGGCCACTTTTTGATGAAAGCGTTCCGAGCGGACCATACCACGACTATGTTCGACGAGTCGCGGCCAGCATCAAACCCATTGGCCGAATTTGAGACGCGGAAAATAATGCAACTCATTGATATCTGGTTTTCGACGCACCAATTGTCATTTATTCTTTCGAAGACGCTGGTGATGTACGAGCTACGCCGCGAAACGCTGGATGAGACCCTTCTCGCCACCATCATGGGCGATGCTCTTATTCTGACGGGGGATGAGGAGCAAGGGCAAAGATGCTTGCGATGGGCGGCAGATCGACTTTGGAAGCATCCGTATTCCAAAAATAATGCGTCGGCAGAGACAGAGGAATCTCCAAGAGCCCGCGCATCGTCTGTTTCGCCTCCTGATATATGCATAGCTCAAACCCTCATGCTCTTAGGGTGGCATGCCCTTTGTCGCTCACAAATTCGACGAGCGTTATGTCACATTGGCCTTGCATGTCGTATAACGAAAAGGCTGCGAGAGTGTAAATGGTCTACCGCCACAACTAGTTCTGGGAGCCGTATCAATGGCGTCGAGGTGCGCGAAGTCGAGAGAGAGATAGTAGCTTATCTCTGGTGGATCACCTTCATCATTTTCCAGTGGCTGTTTATCCAGATGGATGAGAAACTGCCATATCTGCCCCGCACCAGCTTGTCATCAGTGTTTCTTCCCGTTGATCCGGCCTCGTCAGCGCTGATTTGTCTCGATGAGGCCTCAGACCACATATCCACTCTGCATCGACAGAAGGTTGCCATGGTTGATATTTGGCCTGTCGCCCACGTTTGTTCGATCGTAGCATACGTGTACGACCTGTATCCCGAGGATGCCGAGACCGGGGCCGATGAGCCATCGGCGGCAATTTTGTGGCAAGAAGCTGCTCTGTCTGCGCTGGGTCGCATACAAGAAAACTTGAAACCACAGGGCCTTGATGTAGTGTGTCATGAAGTTCATCAAGTACTTATCGATAATGTCTCTATCATGGGTTCGAAATTGAAGCATGACCCATCAAGGACATTCGTATTGACGGTGTACCACTCCATGGCTATTCATGTCCTCTTTCCGCATACGAGAAAGACAGGACGTACCGCGGAAACTCCTAACCTAACCAGGGAAGTTATCGAGGCTTTTTGTTTCTCTGCCAAGGAGCTCATCAAAATCATCACATGTGTGCTTGAACCTCTGGATGCAGAACCTTGGTCTCACGTTGCTTCGCAACTACACCCGTACTCACCTGATACATTCACACTCGCACTGGATACCTGCTGCAGAGCCATGGAGACGGTATGCGCAGGCAGAACTTCAAAATCGCAGAGTATTTCTCCTGATATGTGGCAATCATACGAGCCCCAGCTTCGTTCTATTGCCACCAACTTGTATGAACTCGGCCAAGTGCAGAATTTCAGCACTGGGCCATCTTGCCGCGCGACAAGGAAACAGGTAGAGGCCGTCGCACGACAATTTGGGGTTGGACCGCACCCCTGCAGTTGTACTACCCAATACCAAGTAGATGAAGACCCACAAGGGCTGTGTTCAGTCCCTGTATTGGAACTGAACCATGCCACTGCAAGTGATGGGTCAAACAGGATGGCAACGATGCCGCCGAATTATTCGACCTTGAACTTGTCCTCGCTCTCTGATATATCTATGGGCAGTCAAATTGCCCCTGTGAATGATAATGCGATGCCGCCGGCAGATGGCATACTTTCAAACCTCGGAAATTTTCAAAATCACCAACATCATTCAGTCCCATCCAAGCAGCTCAACTCGCAAGTGGAAAACTTGGACGAATGGGGCAGAAGCCCAGGATATTATGACGACCAAAACGGGATGATTTTCAACCCCTTGGTAATAGATCAGACCTGGCCGATGCTGCGGCAAGGATTATGATAACACCACACAAAAAGCTTAAAAGGAGAACTTGAACAGAGAAAGTGACTGTTTATACTACATTTTGCAATCACTGTTAGAATTCTGGAGTACCGCGAGGTAGAAATCGAAAATATCTGACTCAAGGAGAGTAGACTATGTACATTCCATCTCCTTAATGCCCGATGTATGATGCACTGAATAGGATTTCAATGTCTGGGTTTCCCCGGGATCTTTCATTAAATGAAAATTGGAGGAGCAATCTCGAGCAACAAGGGACACTGAAAAAATGAAAAGAAAATGCATTATAAAACAAACCAAACCGAACCACACTTCTAAGACATAATTGATACGCCAATACTATCACATCTAGAAGACATGAAACGGAGAGATATACGGTTGGAATCCAACAATTGAGCAAACTGAAAACCGCTCGTGAAAGAATCCTGGATAACAGGTGTCCTGGAGGCGAGGGATTCGTTTCTTAGACGGTCCCTTCCGGCAGCGTTTGGAATCTCATGGACCCTCACTGGCAAGCAAATAAAGACAAATAGTGAGACCTGATCTACTTCCCTCCGTTGAGCTCCGGGCAAAATTAGGCCCCCTCCAGAGATACCACTGGCTGCGGACCTGATCTCATAGTGTGTCTGATGATGCAACCTCCGGACCCATAACTGATCCACATCAGATTCTCCGATTAGTTCTCTCGATTCCTACGAAGGTCTCCGTTATTGACGGTGCTTTCAGGATATACCTCGCATCGAGTGTGTTCCGTGCCGTCACGGAAAAGGATTAATAGTCGGATCCGAGTGGGTAGAAGCTTACCACCGCCACAGAGCCTAGTTATGATCTTGGATATGAGCACAAGTGGAATTAGAGGAGTAAGGAAATACTTAGACCCGGATTCTCCTTTTCAGAGAGTTGAGAATGCAAATTTGATCAAAAGACATTCCCCGTTATCACAGATTATTTCAACATATCAGAGAAACGGCAATTCCATAGACGATTGTCTTATCACAGTCATGGCAGAAAGGCAAGCTGAATATAAGAATGGGGACTTGGACCCGTCAGTCATTGTTGGTCTGGCTTGCCGAGTCCCAGGATCCAAGAATCCCAGTCAACTTTGGGATGCTATTGTGGAACAGAGAGATCTACGGCGCAAAATCCCGGAAAATCGATTCAATGTGGACAAGTTCTATCATCCCGATGGTACCAACAAAGGAACAGTGAGTATATCTCTCTCGATTTAATGATTAAGCCGTTTGAAGAGTCCCTTCCTGACAAAGAATACAGACAAATGCCCGTTACGGCTACTTCCTCGATCAGGATCTCGGAGACTTCGATGCATCTTTTTTCGGAATTTCGGGAAGTGAAGCAAAAGCCATGGATCCCCAGCAGAGGATTTTACTCGAGGTGGTCTACGAGGCTCTTGAAGATGCTGGGATCACTCTGGATGAGATAAACGGTTCCTCGACATCGGTTCTGTGTGGGTCGTTCACGAACGATTACAACGCGATGCTGTCAAAAGACTTCGAGTCGTACCCCAAGTATACTGTCACTGGAACTGGCAACGCAATACTATCCAACAGAATTTCGTATTTCTACAATTTGCATGGGACAAGCCTTACAGTCGACACGGCTTGCTCGTCATCCATGGTTTGTCTACATTTGGCCAACAAAGCCCTCCTTGATGGAGAAGCGGATATGTCAATTGTTGTTGGCTCCTCTCTTCATTTCGATTCAGATATGTTCGTTACAATGACAGATCTCGGAATGCTATCCACCGATGGGCGCTGCCGAGCCTTTGATGCCGCTGGAAGCGGCTATGTTAGAGGAGAAGGAATCTGCGCTGTCATTCTGAAACGCCAGAGCTCTGCGATTCTCCATGGCGACTCTATTCACGCTGTTGTGCGAGGTACTGGTTCCAACCACGATGGACAGAAACCGGGTATTACATTCCCAAATAGTGTTGCCCAGGAGGCGCTGATCCGCTCTACCTATCAAGCGGCTGGTCTTGACCCAGCTGATACACAATATTTTGAGGCCCATGGAACCGGAACTCAAGCTGGCGACCCAAATGAAACGAGAGCAGTGGGCGCGGTATTTTCAGATCGCCAGGAGCCTTTGTTTATTGGCTCATTGAAGAGCAATATTGGTCACCTCGAAGGTGCCTCCGGCGTGGCAAGTGTCATCAAGACAACCTTGGCATTGCAAAAGGGGAAAATTCCCCCAAACATGCATTTCAACACCTTGAACCCCAAAATAGACCTACAGGGATGGAAACTAGCAGTACCAACAGAGCTGGTCGATTGGCCTCGTCCTGAAAATGGCCTCAGACGCGCAAGCATTAATTCATTCGGGTACGGGGGAACGAATGCCCACGTCGTGCTTGAAGAATACCTCCCAGCAAAAGCGATAACGCCAATGAATATCCCCGAGGTAATTGCTAATGGGGTTCATGATAGGCCTTATTTGCTGCCGTTGACGTCTCATTCTACGAAGGCCGGAGAGCTTTGGGAAAAGCTTCTCCGAAGCTACCTCATAAACGAATCGCCCCAGCTACCTGATGTGGCGTTTACTTTATCTCATCGGCGTACGATGCATCGCTATCGCTCGTTTATCGTTTCCGGCAGCTTGCAGGCCGCCCTCGAAAATACTGAGCGGCCTCGTCCGTACGCGCCGTGGTCACAGGCGAACAGTGATCCACCAAGACTGGGATTCGTTTTCACGGGCCAAGGTGCACAATGGCATGCGAGTAAGTTTTAATTCTTGATTAATATCTAGAATCTTCTCTACTTCAAAAGGCTAACCAGACCAATTTATAGTGGGACGACAGTTGATTCAAGAATGTCCATTGTTCAGGCAGACTTTAGAACGATGTGACTCCATCTTGCAATCCCTACCCGATGCACCGTCGTGGTATATCCTTGAGGAGCTTTGCCAATCCGAAAATGCCTCGAACCTTGGCCAGACTCTGTACTCCCAGACTATCTGCACAGCATTGCAGATTGCACTTGTGGACCTCATGAAGTGCTGGGCAGTAGTGCCCTCTGGTGTAGTTGGACACTCCTCCGGTGAAATTGGAGCTGCTTACGCAGCTGGAATCCTGTCTTTTGAGAATGCTATGGTTGCGGCCTACTACCGGGGACTTTATATGTCATCCTGTGGAAATAGCGACAAAGTTCCCGGCGCCATGATGGCAGTGGGAATGAACAAGTCTGATACTCTGAACGCGTTGGAGCCGTTCGTCGGTCGCATAGTGATTGCCGCCATCAACAGTGCCAATACAATCACTGTATCCGGAGATGAAGATGCCATCATTGAATTAAAGAATGACCTCGATCGTCAGAAAATCTTTGCCAGACAGCTTCAAGTCAAGCAAGCGTTCCACTCTCACCATATGGTTCCACTAGCCCCGGCCTATCGATCAGCGTTGCAGTCTTACAAGGAATTCGATTCCCAGTCGGCAACATGTCAAATGTTTTCCACTGTGACAGCTCGAGTAGCTGATCCAGAGGCGATGGGTGCAAATTACTGGGCAGCTAACATGACGAATGTTGTCAGGTTCTCAGATGGGCTTGCCGGTACTTTACTGGATGAGTTTGATGAGAAGAATGTGGATATACTGGTGGAGGTCGGACCTCATCCAGCACTCAAGGGACCATGCAAACAAATCATGCAGTCTCTCAAGCTAGACCTACCATATGTCGCCACTCTGACACGAGGCACTTCCGATTTCGAGTCTATGTTGACGATGGCCGGACAACTCTTCTCACTAGGATATCCCATTGATCTCGCAGCGGTCAACCAGAATTCAAGCTTGGGTCCCTCAGGAGAGCTCATCCAAACGGGACCAGGGAAGAAGCTCAAGGATTTCCCGTCATATGCGTGGGATCATAAACGATACTGGTCCGACACCCGTGTCATTCGAGAACATCGACTCCGTCGGTTTCGACACTCAATTCTTGGCCACATCTTGCCGGGATCAGTTGCCAGCCAACCTACCTGGCGTAATATTCTCCGTATTTCCGAGATCCCTTGGCTGGCAGAGCATATTGTTGATGGAAAGACTGTTTTCCCTGCAGCGGGATATATCAGCATGGCTATCGAAGCGGCGATCCGTCAGCGTTCGCTTGAGCTGAACGAAGCCACAATAACCCTTCAAGGGGTTTCTATCAAAGCGCCGCTGATTATTGAGGATGGTGAGGACGGTGTTGAAGTACTCCTCAACCTTTGCCCCACTACTACCTCCGCAAAAGAAAGGTCTGAGTCTTTGTTGGAGTTTTGTGTTTCTTCATACAATAATTCCGGAGTCTGTATCGAGCATTGTCGCGGTGTAATTTTCATTGGGGCTAAGTTGCAAACAAACTCACAGATTTCTGAGACCAAGGCATACGTGAATGGTCTTTTGAAACGCACGAACTATTCAGTGCCAGCGCAAACTTTCTACCGACATTTGAGTCAAATTGGTCTTGATTATGGAGATAGATTCAAATTATTGACAGGAAATATTGACCGTGGAAATGGATTTGCAGTGTCGAGTCTCGTGTTTAATCCGCAATCGCTGCCCTGCGAGGAGGCCGATGTCACCGTCGTGCACCCGACGCTACTCGACTCATCGTTCCATTTGATCTTCAGTGCTATTGAGTCATGCCTGGACAGAACACTCGATGAGCCCTATGTACCTTCGTTCATTCGATCTATGGTATTTGCTGGTTTTTCGGCTGCGGCAAGGTCCATGGACACACGACGATACCAAATATGCTCCGCCACAAAGATGCTCTCGCCACGAGTCGCGATCAGCGATATTCTCCTTCAAGATGAGACAGGGAGTATGACAATGCAAATTGATGGTCTCGAAGTGAAATCACTTGGAGGTGATCAGTCAGACTCTCAAATGAGCCGCAGCCTCTTCTTTCGCCAGCAGTGGTTGCCTTGCTTCGATTTGCTTTCCTATGACCCTCAACTCGAGAGCAGATCTCTTGCGGAGATTGTAGAGATTTTTGCCCACCAGTACCCCAATAGTCGACTTCTCCATATCGTGTCCAGTATCGATGAATCGAGACAACTGGTACATACACTTGGCCTGAAGTCAGGTCAACGGCGCAAGGTGCAAAGCATTGATGTTTGTATACCTGAGGGCTCGGGCAGCGTCATGGCTGATCATGAACTGATCAGCCAGTCTGGCGGCCTTCTGAATATCCTGGAACCAGATGGCGTGTACGACCTGCTGATTGTGAGCCGGGATACGGTCAATATTAACCTGGACACAATCCTCAAACCCAATGGTTCTATAATTCAAGATCACAGTAAAGTCAGAACAGCAATCAGAGACGACTACCAGGTTCTGTTTTCCAGCCATGGGATGACGGCATATCGGCGGCATGAAGACATTTCCCCAGCAAAGGCAGAGGAGGTTTCAGTGGTAATACCTGATTTACTTTCGGGACGAGTACAAGATATTGTCAATTCTTTGAGGTCTGTAATCGCAGACATCAATCTGGTATCTCTGAAAGAAGTCGTTGAGCTTGACCAATTAAATCAGCACGGAGTACTGCTAGTTCTCGCGTCCCTGGGCGGACCGCCTCAGGATGAAGGTTCATTCAGGGCTTTTCAGAAGATCCTAACTTCCATCAAAAGAAAAGTTATTTGGGCACTAGAGGGCGCGACAAGTGAGTCACAAATTGTAAATCTGAACTTTCAAAATAGCAAATTTGAGCTTGAAGGAGAACGGAGACGCTAGAATCATAGAAACTAACTATATATACACAGTGGACTCCCCTCATCCCGATCAAGCAATGTTTCTCGGCCTTATCAGGACTGCCAGGAGCGAGAATGATCAGCTACAGATCACCACCGTGGACTACAGTGCGAAGACTACTCCAATTGCGTTTGCCAATGGCCTTGTGAAATTTTTGAATTTGGCGCAACTCGATGAAGATGAGCTAACTGAGCGTGATGGGTGCATCTATCTACCAAAGATCGTGGCAGATGATGAATGCAATCGCAAACTACGAAATGGCCCAAATCAAGAGCCCAGCCCAGAGATGTTTGGTAGTAGCGGGCCATTAACCTTGAAAATTGGCAAAATTGGCCTTCTTGATACATTCCACTTTGAACGGGACGAAGACTTCTTCGACGAGGTTATTCAGGATGATGAAATCGAAATCCAAGTGAAGGCCTCACCGATAAGTGCGCGGGATGTTGCTGTCGTGACGGGCACCATTGACAGCCATAAACTTGGAGATGAATGTGCTGGAATCGTTACTCGGATTGGCAATGCTGTTGAGAACTTCAGTCCTGGCGATCGTGTGATTGCCTGGCGACCCGGTCAGGGGGCACATAGGACATTAGTTCGCAACCCGGCAGCTCTCTCCTACAAGTTGACAGAGAGCATGCCTTTCTCAGATGCCGCTGCAGTACCTATAGCAGTGACAACCTCATGGTATGCGCTTTCATACGTCGCAAGAGTCCAGGCCGGGGAAACTGTTTTGATCCACTGCGCCGCGAGCAGCGTAGGCCAAATCGCTGTTCAAATTGCAGTTCGGGCTGGCGCGCGGATCTTGGTCACAGTGGGGACACCAGAGAAACGATCGTACATGAAGCGGCAGTATGGTCTTCAAGATGATCAAATTTTTGACTCTCGCGAAAAAACATTCGTGAAAGGTGTCTTGCGGGCTACTCAGGGCAATGGTGTTGATGTTGTCTTGAATTGCTTGTCCGGTCCGCTTTTCCAGGCATCTTGTGCTTGTGTAAAAGCCTTCGGTCGGTTGATTGAGCTTGGCAAACGAGATATTCAAGATGGTACCTTGATGAGCATGGAATTTCTAAGAAAGAACATCTCGATTGCTTCCGTGGACCTGGTCAACATGTTCGAAAGCAACAAACCCCTTGCGGAGCGGGTCTTCCAGGAGGCTTGTGAGCTGGTGCATAAAAACGAGATCCAGCCTCTTTCCGACATTACCACATTCTCCTATGCGGATCTTTCAAAAGGCTTTCACCTCGCTAAGAAGGGAGAGCATTTCCACAAAATCGTCCTAGTTCCAGGAAATGATGATATCGTTCCAATTGCACCTCCTAGATTCCTGGGCACCAAGCTATTCCAAGCCCAGAAGACCTATCTTCTTGTTGGGGGACTTGGGGGCGTTGGCCGTACCTTGAGCCAGTGGATGATTCGTAAAGGCGCGAGAAGCCTCGCATTCTTCTCTCGGTCTGGCGATGATCAAACTGAAGCGAAAGCCACGGTCGCATGGCTGCAAGAACGAGACATATCCGTCACCGTGTATCGTGGAGACGTGACAAATATTCAAGATGTTCAAAATTGTGTCAAAAAGATAGGCATTTCTCTTGGAGGGGTTATCCATGCTGCCATGGTCATCCAAGACGCCACGTTGGACACAATGACCTTCACGCAATGGCAGCGTTGTATTCGGCCGAAGGTGGACGGTGCGCAAAATTTACACCTGGCTACACTTAGTTTGCACTTGGATTTCTTTGTTTGCTTTTCATCTGTGACTTCGATTATTGGCTCCAAGGGACTGGCAAACTATAGTGCTGCAAATGCCTTCTTAGATGCCCTGATTGCCCACCGGCGTGCCAGGGGTCTCTGCGGTTCGACACTCAATGTTGGTGCCGTGTCAAATGTTGGGGTTATCGCCGAGAGTGAAAATCTCCAGAAAGTTATGGAACGCCTTCAAATGGATTTCATCAGCGAGGAGGAGCTTCTGTACCAGTTGCAGGAGGCAATCAAGCCTGATATCATGAGTGACAGTGCCCCGGTTGGCATTGACAAACATCAAACGATAACTGGAATCAATCTTCAAAGCGCTGATGTCTACTGGGCTCAGAAACCTCTCTTCCGGAATTTATATGCAAACCATGACTTTGAGGACAGGGCCGATAGTAGAAACGACAAATCCATCGCCGCGATTTTGGCGGTAGAGCCGGATTCCGAGGCTAGAGAACGCATACTTGTTGATACATTCATTGATAAAGTCTCCAAGGTACTCGAAATTCCTCGTGAAATTATCTTACCCAACAACAGCCTTTCCTCCTATGGTCTGGATTCCTTAGTTGCAGCCGACTTTCGGTCATGGTTCCGAAAGGAGCTTCAAGTTGACATCGCACTATTCGATATTTTGAGCGCACAGTCAATCCAAGCTCTCATCAAAAAGGCCTTGAATCTCATAACCGCAGCTATATCAGCTGTTTCGGGTCCCGCCGATGCCCCTTCGAAAGCATTGCCTGATAATGATCAGACCAAAGCTGTCGACGGTTCATTGCCGCCCATGCACATAAGTGAGATTAAGAAAAGTCCTCCGGACCAAGGAGACATTCCTCTCTCTACATACCAGTCTCGACTGTGGTTTTTGCATAGTATGGCGGAAGACAAGTCGGCTTTGGTATTGCCAATCGTGATGTTCATTCGCGGTAAGCCTCATCGAGAGAACCTCCGGCGAGCCATCTTAGAGCTATGCATGCGGAATTCAGCTCTACGTACGGCATATTTTGAGGGAACAGACTTTACCCAGCAAAAGCCTGTTGATGACTTCGATGTCAATCTGTCAATGAGGGACTTTTCCCGACTCCCTAGCCCCGACGAAGCATTGGAGCGGTACGTCGCGCAAAGCAAGCTGAATGAGGTTGATATTTCTGATGGAGAAGTAACAACCTGGTGTCTTGCAAAGCTAGGTGATGAGAGATACGCACTTGTTAGCATGATGCATCATATTGCTGTCGACCGAGGCTGCTATAAAATCATGATGAACCAGGTTGTTCAACTATACGACGCATTTCAAATGGATCGCGATCTATCGACTGTGCCAAGTCCAAAGCTGGACTATATTGACTTCACTCTATGGCATAATGAATATCTGCGTTCGCCAGGAGTGCAAGCTCATAAAGATTGGTGGAAGTCTAGTCTCGCTGGAATTCCAACATCTAGTCGCCTACTGCCGTTTTCCGCGGTGCCTGAGCGTCCTTCTCATGGAGATCCAAGACGCGCCACTGTGAAGGCAAATCTGGTCACAAGGCTATTCTCTCGCATGAAAAGACTCTCCACGGAAATAAAGGGTACCCCTTATCACTTTCTTTTGGCTGCCTTCCGCGCCTTCCATTACAGATACACTCAAGATCCGGATCTTGTGATGCTAGTTGTGGATGGTAATCGGCCACACCCTGACGCCGATGATATTACTGGATTCTTCGTAAACATGTGCCCAGTCAGATGCCAGGATGAGTGTGACACCACATTTGATCAGTTACTTGTCGCGACCAAAGACCGAGCTCTTGAGGCTATGTCCCACAGTTTCATTCCATTCGATGAGATTGTGAACTTGATGCAAGTCGACAAGACTCCAAGTCACTCTCCAATTTCCCAGGTTATTGTTAACTATCAAATCCACGGCCCAGCTCCTCGATTTGAAGCAGCAGACTTCGCCATTGAAGGCGCATCCATGACAGATATCCCAACAGCTTGTGAACTGAGCCTAGAAGCCCTTGAGACTGCTACGCACAGTCTCGACCTTAGAATTGAGTACTCGACGGCTTTGTACGGTTCAGAAGATATGCAGCGGTTCGTCGACAACTTTTTGACATTTCTGGAGAGTGTCATCAAAGATCATCGGCAACCCGTTGAAGAAGTAGACTTATGCGGAAGACTTGAGTTTGAGCGACTGCAGCGAAACTTTTGGAACACTGAATTCCAAGACTCCTTGTGGAGCAATCAAACTGTCATCGACAGAATTCTCGATGTTTCTCGCAACCAGCCAGAAGCGACAGCTCTCATAGTTTCTGACGGGACAAATATCACATACGGAGAATTAAGTCGAAATGCCACCTTGGTTGCGTCCGCTTTACGAGAAGCTGGTGTTGAGAGCGGCGATCGCATTGCACTAGCCTGTCGCCCTTGCATTGGGGCTGTGGAGGGCATGCTCGGTATTCTTCTTGCACGCGCTTGCTACGTCACTTTGGATCCAGATTTTGCAAAAGAGCGATTAGCATTCATGTTTCAGGATGCTGGTTGCAGAGCCATTCTTGTGGGCTCGGGCGGCGAGTTTGTGGCGGAGGAGATTACCAAGTTGGGTGTCTCGACCAAAGTCATCAGGGTAGATGAATGCATCAAGTCGCCCTGTCTTCTTTCAAATCTCGAACCAAGGCAACTATCGGATCCGTTCTATATGATTTACACGTCGGTGAGAAAGTCCTTTTTTCAAACGCCCAAGTCTCACATACTAATCTAACATGATACTCTATTCAGGGCAGCACCGGAATGCCGAAAGGCGTGATCTTGAGCGAATCAAACACTCACCAGATGTTGAGCACCCTACACAGAGACTTCGGGTTTTCACGAGCAGACAGTTTCCTCCAGCAATCCTCCATGGCCTTTGATCTTTCTATTGTCCAGATTTTCTCTGCCCTTTGCTCCGGTGCCAGGGTTTGCATCGCATCTTCCGAGACTCGCAATGATCCATACGCCTTGGCGGGCTTTATGAAGCAACAAGGAGTGACCGTAACATATTTTACTCCTACCCAATATTCCTTGCTTCTCGAAAGCAATCGGGAGGCGCTCAAGCAGTGCCGCGACTACAGAGTTGCCTTCTTCGCCGGAGAAAGACTACCGATACGTGTTGTCAAGGCCTTTTATGACCTGGCTACACCTGCAGTTCTCTATAACACCTGGTCCCCAAGTGAACTTGTTGTGCAAACTACCATCGCGCGTATTGACGAACCTGACGAAGCCTCTCTTAACCTCCCAATTGGAAAACCGCTAAGCAACTGTCGGCATTATATTCTTGACAATGACGATCACCCTCTTCCGCTTGGATTCGTTGGTGAAATAGCGGTTGGTGGAGCGCAAGTTGGGCAAGGCTATCTGAATAGACCGGCCGCAAACAGGAAATCATTTGTTGAAGATCCATTCTGCTCCCAAGATGATCGCCGCCGTGGCTGGGCAAGGATGTTCAAGACAGGAGATCGTGGAAAATTTCGCCCAGACGGGCAACTCGAGTTTCATGGTCGCATTGCAGGAGACAAGCAGATCAAATTACGTGGTTTCCGAGTAGACCTTGGTGAGATAGAGCACTGCATTTTCCGAAACTCGCAAAGCATCGGTAAGGGTCTCGTCGATATTGCCGTCATTTCTAGACCGCGTGAAGACGATGAGCAAAATGTCCAGCTCATTGCGTTCTTCGTTCCATCTCAGATCTACGACAAGCAGGAGCGTCACGTATTTGTTACAGAATTGCATGCATTGATATCTTCGCAACTCAATTATTACATGCTACCAAGTGGGTATCACTTCCTTGAGAGGCTTCCGGTCACAATAGGAGGTAAGGTCGATCGACGGGCACTTCTCAGCATCGATCTAGATCCTGTCTTGCCATTTTCCGATCCGAGTAACACCGACGAAAACCTGAATGACGTCGAGAAATCTGCTATCAAAATCTTTCAAAAGGTCTTAGGATCAAATGTTGGCTACACTCGGCTTAAAGACAACTTTTTCCATAAGGGTGGAAATAGCGTCCTTCTCGTGCGACTACAAGCAGAACTTCGTCAATGTTTTGAGAAAGTCCCTACTCTCACTCAACTGTTCCAGGAGCCAACAGTCGCAGCAATTAGCACATTTTTGCAGTCAGGTCGGGCTACTAATGGCTCTATTGTTGCCAATGCCGACGATGCCATTATTGATTGGGCCGCCGAGAGCAAAGTTGCTCGTGACAGTCGATTCCCACTCCAACATGGAAGCTTGACTGTCCCCAGACATGAGGTTACAGCTGTTCTCATTGCGGGAACGATGTCACGCATAAATGCCCACTTGATAGCTGAGATTCTACATACCAAGCCAACAGTTCGCCTGTATGTTGTGGGGCTTTTCAATGTTCTCACAGCTGCCTCAGTGACCGAAGAACTTGGTAAATATGGACTATTGAAACCCAAGGGTCTGACTGAGAGTAGTGTTATTGGTCGAATTACTCCAGTCAGAGGAACTCTAGTCCAGGGCAGCTTGGGACTGAGCAAATCCGCATTCCGTGAGCTTGGTCAGACTGTACAGTCTATTTACTACCTAGGCGGAGAAATCTCCCTTCTTCAGACGTATTCGCATTTGAAAGCATCCCATGTCAATGCCCTACTCGACCTCATACGCCTCGCTGGAACAGGTGACTTTGTCTCGGAGTTGCATTACCTCTCAACATGGAGCGTAGCCCACCTCCAAACATGGCCGACAGCACAGCGGACCTTTGACCAAATTGTCACCACTGAAGGCGATATGACCCACTTTCTACCTCCGCCAGGAAATGAGCTGGGATATTTTAAAGCCCGATGGGTAGCTGAGAGCTTACTGGTAAAAGCTGCTGAGCGTGGATATCCAGTGACTTTGACCCGTGCGTCTTCTATTTCTGCCTTGTCGCATTCTGCGGTTAGCTCGGGGAGCACAGTGAACCCAGGTCTCGAGGACTTCACTGTTCAAATGGTTCGTGGCATGGTCGATACTGGCAGTGTACCACGCATTGGAATTGAGAATGGACCATCGTTTGTGGTCGATATCATTCCTGTGGAGTACTTCGCTGCAGCCTTTGTTGCGTTAACCACACATACTGCCGTCGAGAGTGATGGGAACGGCCTCACAGTATACCACCTGGGCAATCCACAGCCACTTCACATAAATGACCTGCCGGAGGTCATTAGCCAGATGCGACCAAATTCTAAGCAGTCTGTCTCTCATGTTTCTCTAGAGGAATGGCTGGAAAAAATGGAGACTGCTCCCGGAGTTGAAGACTTGGATGCTGCAACCGTTCGATCTACCGTATTGAAACGGTACTTCTTAGCCAATGGGCACGTCATGTTTCCACTGGACCAAACAGAGACCAAGAGGGTACTTGACAGCATCGCTCCCCATTTGCAGGGAATGTGTCCAAGTGTGGACGCTGACTTTTTGGATGCACTGTAAATTCTGTTCCTTTTGCACATTGAGGCATTTCGCGTCAATAGATTACACTTATTTTTATATGAATATAAATGTCAGTATTACGACACTACTAGTACGAAATTACCTTGGAAAACTTGAAGATCTACACAGTATCTGTCGTAGAGGAGGCGTAGTCTCTCCTAAACTTGCACTCCATTTGCATTCATCCATTTGGGGCTGATTCATTCAACATTTCGTTAGAACTTGAAAGATGAAAGAATGAGAAAAATAAAGTGACAATGAAAAATTTGTCTAAGGTAGTTAGTAGTAGATAACACATAACCCTTTAATTGCCATCCTAGAGCAGGACATGTGATTTACTCAAATAATTCTAGTCAATGTTTTGATGAGTGAAAATTTTGAGATTTGCGGTTGCTCGAATGTATTCTCGATATCGCATTCTAATATTCCAACCCATGGATCCATTGGTACGTCTATTTATAAGTACAAGTGTTTAACTTCGTATTTTCTAGCCCAGTCACTGTGGGCTGTGTTCCATAAAGCCATCGCAGATACCACATCCAAGCCCAAGAAGGGAGATAACTATAAACGAGAGCTCTGATAAAACCGCCTGTTCCGTACGGCAGATTTGCAGTGTGAAGAAGTGCAAAGTTAGATGAGAATCTTGCAAGGTCCTGTACGCGCTTCTCACGCCGCTGTGAATACACCAAAAGCATATTGCTTACTTCCTGGTGAGTGAGCTTGGAAAAGCCAATGCCCGGGCTCAAGACTTGCTCTTGAATTAGGTCTGCCAAAACGGCTGCATCTTCGATGGCTTGGCATCCACCCTGTCCAAAAAACGAGGTCATACTATGGGCAGCTGTCGCGGTTGAGAATTAGTCGCCTTGAGACTTGATAGAATGGAGATTGGTGGTTAGAGCATACCATCACCTAGTAGGGCAACTCTTCCTTTAGCCATGGATGGAAATGCAACCTCCTCGAAAACGTCACTGGCTAAAACTCTCTCCGACTCATCCACAACTGGTACGGAGTCAAGTCAGTCAACATATCACGCAGGCATCGGGGCTTCTGTTTCGGTTAATCTTACTATCCCCTAGCTTGCCGTTCTTGGAAAAAGGATGAACTTCATTTCCATATGCCTCTTTTACCGTCTCGGGGGTTGTACCAGCCCAGACCGACCTATTCTTATCCTTCGGGGTCGAAATGTCAGTCGCCATCTAGTTATTCAACAGTAATCCCCGGAAAGTCAGCAACATGAACTTTAAGATATCACCCAAGGCCAAAACAGCCTTATTTAAACGTACCTTGGCTCCAATAAACCACTGTCTATTGTCCGGACAAGACCAGGTTGTCAGGATTGAGTCATCGTAGAGCATCCAGTTGGCTACTCCCTTTTCATTCTCTCCTAGGTGCGATAGGGGGCTTGTGATGCCTGACATATGCACTCTCCCAGTGTAACGAATTGTATTAGCCGTCTTGTCGTTGGCTTTGCCGGCAAGGATACGACGTGTTATAGAGCGAATCCCATCTGCTCCAACAACAAGACGCCCTCGTAGCTGTTTGCCACTGTTGGTAACCACTGTTACAAAATTCTCGGCTGGATCATCAATAATATCCTGCACCTTGCAGTCCATCACGACTGTCTTTCCTCCGCCAGCCACACGGTACAACAGACGATGGAAAGCATGGCGCTCCATGGAAAGGATTGGGTATCCGAAATTCTGCTCGACTAGAGTCCAATCCAGGGTATTCCACCTTTCTTGATTACGGTTGATCTGAATCTTGTGAACTTTTTGGCCCATTGCCAGGAGCTCCGGGTACAGACCGAGCTGATCGAGCAGCCGCAGAGCGTTGGGGGCAAGAGAGATACCTGCCCCAACTGGCTTCAGTGTCGGTGTCCGTTCGAGAACTCTGCAATGAATGCCCAGCTGCTGGCAGATCGCAGCCAAAGTAAGACCCCCAATTCCTCCTCCAATAATCAGGATATCGGTATCCACGGTTTCCATGTTGGATACTTCCCGGTAGTGTGCGATTAATAGAAACTGACAAATTTTTAGACCGTCTAGAATCGTCAGGAAGGGATTTTACCCGTATGTATTTAGGCTGGCACAAGCGACCAATCGCTAGCTCTAGTGCTGCTTCCGATGTTCTTCGGACGGAGATTCTGGCTGCCTTTCCGTCCGTTGCTTTTTCCTCCATCTCCACCCGGCGGCGGAAGTGGGCTCAGCCGCATGAACTGCGCTGGAAAGACAAGTTGAGAGAATGAGGAAATGAGGGAATGCTTTCCTAGGGAGTTATCTCGTTTTAAGTTGGCGTACACTCTACACTCCACCGACCACGTTTATCACAGTGGCATTGATACATGGCGCGTTTCTCTTTTCTAACACTAGTAGGTCTTAGTTAGGAGCTATTGTTATTCCGCGGTCGTGTTAACACAAAAGGCCCTCAAGCCGACCTACTAGAACACAGTGATGCGAGTATGAAGTTTACTCGTGGATACTAGTATTTTTACTCTCTCGGTTGTACTCCGTATACTAGTAAGCGAACACCGTGTGGCTATTGATATCATGCATGTAATGTATCTAATTAATGCATCTATGGATTACTCCGGGTCGCCCTCATACGGGCATATACCTGTATCCTCCACTGGCACGAACAACCTCAAACAACCACATTCCCCCATTGGATATCGGCAATACCGACTGCCAGCTTCTCCCAATCGAAGATAATGTATTTATCCTTGGCGAATGTCTCTCCAAAATTACCCAAGAACTGGGCGTGATTGCCGACAGTCCTCACATTCAATACGCACGTTGAATCGTCGATCTTCTCAACATAGTTGCGGGGCACAATACTCCACTCCTTTTGATCGCCCTTGAAGACGTAGCTCACGGTCGGAAAATCGTCAATGCAGGCGCAGTCAACCTGATAGAAGGCCTGCTCACCGTTGTTGGGGGGTTTGTTAAGCGTTACAGGTTTTCCCTCGGTCGCAGCAACCAGGCGTTCGTAAATGGCCGGCGATAGCGGCATGCCGCGACCGTAACTCGCATGATCAAAGATGGCCGCAGGGCCAGGATTATTTGGGGTCGATGTGACAAATTGTTTCTCATCCCCAATTTTCACACTCTCGACTTCAATCGCCCAGTAATTGAGGACGGCAGGGTCGTAGATGAAGTCAATGTTGTTGACATCGGGAAACACCTCATTTTGATACCATCGAATTTCTTTCTCGTCCACTAGCGTTTTGTTGATTCCCCCATGTGTTTGTATGGCATCGTGACCCCCGCAAGTAGCCTTTGCAAGGTCGGGAGAGCCAGTATAACAGAAGTGCCAAGCTACGACAGGGGATTCCCAGGCGTCCTTGCGATATGACTGATAGAAAGGCGATTGGAGGGAGGCTTTTTGAAATTAGTGGAAGCCAAAGAGGTATGGAATATCAGCAAAACATACCATTGTCGCCTTTGAAAACAGGAGACAATCCGTAGATACCAGCAAAAGGGTAGGCGAACTCTGTCAGGTTGAAGGTAAAGTCTGAAGTCTGGAGAACGACGTTCGTACTTTCGAATCCGACTGTGAAATAATCGGTCGCATAGTTGACCAAAGCTGGCTCGTTCGGAAAGAAATGATTCGGATCCCATGTGCGACTAGGGTACAACGCGGGCATGTAGCGGAACGTGTGTGAGGCCGACTGGTTGAAATACGTCTGCTCGGGGTTGAGGCACTTTTGAGGGGAATTTGGATGATGGTAGCAAGTCCCAGTCCAGACATATGCGCTGATCCACGTCCAATCCATTAGAATATCCAATTCCTGCGGCGGGTTTCCCACCGAGATTGGCGCCGTGAAGCCGTAGCTAGTCCACGTATTTGGGAGATCATATTGTTGTCCAGCAAATGCGGCAATGCAGAGCTGACTTGTAAGGAGTAGAAGACGGAGTGAGAAACTCATCACGAAATTCTCGACTATTTCTTGCGCATGTTGAACGCGACTTGTTCAAGGCACTATACATATGTATGTGGTCTAAGGACCTTTCTATTGGCTCCTTCTGTAGACGGCGTCCGTCTTGGCCCTCCGTCGGCGCACGGAGATGCAAATTATACGACTAGCCTCTGCTAGACCCATTTCCTGCTTCCATCCGATTGGAAGCTTGCTGCAGATCAATGGGGAACTTGCACCAAACCCATCGTCTTTGTTCTCATCCTCGTGAACTTCTGCAAGAATACTTTACTTTTTTTTCAACACAGCACTTCTCACCTCAATCATTCAGTCATTTGCGTTCAATATTGACACGATGGAGAAGCAAAGCGACTCAAACCCACCTTCGGCTGCCCACTCTATAGATGTGCTGCCAGCTGCACCCGTGGAAGACGAAGAAAATCATGACAACGGGCCCCCAGATGGCGGTTTCAAAGCGTGGGCAGTTGTCGCGGGTGGTCTGATCAACTACTGTGCTACTTTTGGTAAGATGGATAGCATTTTGGATTTTCCTGTCATTCTCGCTCTTTCTACTAAGTTTGTCGTCCAAAATTCTAGGATTGTTGAACTCATTCGGAACATTCCAGACCTATTACCAGAACGATCTTCTCAAGGGGACAAGTCCGAGTGCAATCTCATGGATAGGCTCGATCCAGGTAAGCGGTGATTATTCAAGCACGAGGCGCTAAGGGACATATTGTTAATAGAGAAAAGTAGCTCTTCCTCTTGTTCATTGCTGGATTAGCCATGGGCCCGGCGTTTGACAAATTCGGTGCTCGTCGCATGACAGTTCCTGGGATGATACTTTACGTCCTCTCTCTCATGCTGACAAGTTTTTGCACCAAATATTATCAAATTTTCTTGTCGCAGGGGATACTATTTGGCATAGCGGATGCTATGGTGTGAGTGATTTCTGAACACTCCCTCTACTTCATCACATCACCACACCAGTGTGAAAACTAAACGAAATATCCAGGTTCTATCCGACCATTTCTGCCATTAACATGTGGTTCGATAAGAAGCGAGGAATTGCACTTGGTATTGTCGTTGCCGGATCCTCGATTGGCGACATAATATGGCCAATCTTGGTACACTACTTGCTTGGACAGGTTGGGTTCCCGTGGACACTTCGCATCGTAGGCTTCATTTGCCTAGGTATGATGCTCATCTCTACCGTTTTGATCGTGGAAAGACGTGGAAATGGAACACAGGATAGACATATTGATAAGAAAATTCTCAAAAAGGAACTTCTAAGCCCTATATATACTATGGTCACGGCGGGGTTTACTTTTGCTTATCTGGGAATGTTCATCCCCTTTTATTATCTTCCGCAATATGGAATGGCATACGGCATGAGTTCTACCATGGGCAACTATCTCCTGGCCATTTTGAACGCCGGTTCATTCTTTGGTAGAATAATATCAGGATTTCTAGCCGATAAAATTGGCGGGTTTGTCTCCTTACCTGGGTTATTTGATTTGGGTCATCAATTAACACCTGCTCTAGGTTTAACATGACGGTCGCGACCTCTTTACTTTCAAGCATCGTGCTCTTAACTCTACTGTCCGCCAAGACCGAAGCATCGATCATCGCATTTTCTGCAATTTACGGCCTTTTTTCCGGTGGCCTCATATCCTTGCAAGCGGCTACTGTAGCCCGACTGACCGTTAATATCAACACTTACGGCACGATGATAGGAGTACAAATGGCCGTTAATTCCATAGGGTAAGACCGGAGAGATATGCTTGAGTTGTATTATCAAATACCCCATTGCAGTTCTAACGTTTTCCAGTGTCTTGATTGGCAATCCGATTGCTGGAGCTTTGGTGCAACATGAAGATGGGGGTTTCAACGGTATGATCATTTTTGCTGGAGTTACCTTGCTATTTGGCTCGGTGCTTTTTATAGTATCTCGTATCACTGCAGCCCCAAAGATTAAAGCATTTTAATTTCAGTCTTTTCCTTGCGAATTTTCATTCCATATGCCGTCATAATGCTCGCTCAAAACTTGAACGCGTGAATTTAACGGATTCTCTACTGTCTATGCTGTAGTTATTCAGAGTTTGTATTAGTAACTTCCGAGGTTCATGAGCTCCAGGGCTTCTTCGCCCTTTTTATGCTGATTTTTATGCCACTACCTAGATTTATATATATTCATTGTCCACATCATACCTTGCTTTACAACAGATTTTTGTCATATAATATATGTAAATGCTGTTGGACTCCGAGACCGATGAAAAGGTTCCTACTTGTAGCTTGGAACAGTGGCTTTCCGTTCATAGGACAAGCTATGTTTACTAGTCCCTTATTAGTACGCCGATACCTTAGAGTAGCAAAGCAGTCCAACTTCCAAAGGACATAGGCAATCTAGAAGTCTAGAAAGACCTACCCCGGAAAATCCCCCGCATCTTTCTAGGGCTAGCGGCTCTATTTTGTTATTGACACGGAAATGGATATAAGCACAATTGCCCGGACTAAAGATTATATTGAAAACTGCCTAGCGTAGAGGACATACTGCTTCTATATTACTATGGTAAACCTAAATGATTTATGTTGGCTAAGAATCATTCAAGCCCTTAGCAGGAACACGTAATAGGGGAGATGTGGCTGGATTATAGATCATTCTTTGATCAGTCGAGAACAATGTGGATCAGCTGGGGCAGGTGCAAAAGTACGTTCATCCGAGAGAGCTGCCCGTGAAACATCCCACTGACAATTCCTTGGCACTTTGATCCATCATGCTATCCAAAACTACGTAAAAGTGCGTTCTTTCTTGTCCCCCATTGACCCCATAGTTATTCCATCATCGGTTCCATCCGATTTCGCCAAAAATGGACCCATTTGCAACTCTCCCAACGGAGATCATTTTGCTGATTTTCGAATCCTGCTGCGACTTCACCAGCCTAGACGGTCTGCAACAAGTATCTCCCCGGGCGAAGCAGGTATTCAACATCTCGTATAAGTCTGTGACAGAACACGTCCTGAAGAACTGTCCCCTAACCTCGGAGGGACTCCACAATCAATTCACGCTCCTAGCCTCTATCCAATCTACTACATTCACACCCATAGCCATGCTAGAGCAGCTCGATAGCTTGTCGGAAACTGCCGTACGACCTATTTCCATTTCCACCAACAACTCGCTAGCTGCGGTACGCCAGGCTGTGAGTACAGCGGCAAAAGTCCATCTTACAGCCTGCGCTTGTCTCCAACATCTCTTTGATCGTATCGAGTCCGCAAAGCCCCGCCGTCCAATCGCTCCTACGGCGGACCTTATGGGCTGGGTGAGTGGAAGGCTTCCAGAACCCAATGGTGAAACATTCCAATTTGTGATCGATCCGCCATCATGGATCGAGACTTATCGGATGCATCGCAGCCTCTGGAATCTAGAGGTCTTCCGCCACATTTATAATGCCGCATCAACACGCTGGTCATGGTCGACGTATGATCTGGATTGCTTCGTTAAACAATATGTGGTAAGATGGCGGTTTAATGGGAGGATAGAAGAAATTCGGACCATCTCCGAGTGTGTGGTTGGTCTATCTTCCTCTGAGCCAACTATTATCTGCCATCAATTTCCATTTCTCATTGGCATCCCGTCACCAGCCGATTTGACGTTGAAAACATGCTGGTCTTTGCCAGTGGTGCCCACCGATGCTCAAGTTGATTCGACATGGGGTCGAGGTCGGTCAACAGCTAGGTGCGGAAATACTGTGCTCCATTATTACAATCTGCTTCGTGGTGAAAAAAGTGGACCCCTTAATCCTCTCTGGAGGTTGGATTTCCGAGCATTTCGACGACTTGGTTTACCTCTCTGGGATGGGTGGCGATTATACCAGATGAGACTTGTAAACCAATCTCGCAGTGTGCTCTCACCGGAGGGGAATTTGATTGGTGGTGGGGAGTCAGAGCAGATCCAACGCTCCCGGTGGGTTATTACATATACATGGTGTAGTTTAGCAGATAATGGTGATATACTTGAACGGGTTAGAAAATAAATCTGAGGATCTTTAGAGGAACTTTCGAGATCAATCAACAGTGCACAATCGAGTCACACCATAGACCAGTCCCACAGGACAGACTACTTCTTTCTTTGCTGCAAGATCCCCTCCTTGGTCAAAGCACTCAGAATGATGGGTATCTCTTCCAGAATTGCGTTGTTTGTATACAGTCCTAGAGCAATATCAGAATCTTGTGTAAATAAATTATCTACTATAAAAAAGTGGTAGACTCTTCAATAATCCTCTATTTTCAATACAGGTCACAGTTGTGCAACCTGGTAATTATATCATTACTGTAGTTGCACATGGCTGGGAGCTTCTCCGAACAACTATCCTGCAAAGTGAGACTATTTGCTGGGTCCACATCTTTGAGCTGATTATGACCAACATCGAATAGCATAAACACTGCGACCTGCTGTTGAGTTGGCTCACAGCGACGGAGGTCCTTCTGATTATGCACCGGCTCGGAATTTCGAAACATTTCATCTACGCCAGCAAGTACCTGAATTTGTTTCAGAATGTTAACCCGACTACAGAGTTTTTTTTCCTTCCTGTCCTCTCAGCTGAGAATCCTATCGAATCCCAATTCTCGGCCATAATGTCTCGGTACTGGTGGATATCATTTCCTAGGCACGACTGGATTGCTATAGCAACCTTTGGAACGAGCTTGGCATCGGATGGAGCGGCATTCTCAGTTGAAATGAATGGGGCAGTGCACTGTACCAGGAGGAAATTTGTAGGAGGTGATGGGGGCGGAAAAGAACGCGGTGGTCAATGAAAGAGAGGGGAGCACGAGCGGTGTTTTATAGATGGAGGGCAGGCAGTAAAAGTGGCCAGGGACAGTGCTAAACCTGAATGAGAGCAAAGTCACGGGCACTATCCCTAAAAAGGAAGGAGGGATGGGGAGGCGGTCGGAGGAGGCAGAGCGGTGCAATGGGAGCTCACCGTCTAAGTAAAACTGCAAATTATAAAGTAAAATCTAAAGAATAGTGACTCAAAAGGGGAATGTATTATTAAACTATTACGAACATAGGTATGGAAATCCAATGTTGTTAAAAATCTGTATATGTCTACGTACTCACCTGTCGAGCACCTAGATGGGCTAAAATGTTGACTAATCACGAATAGTGAGATATCATGTGACTAGGTGCTGTGTGGTCATGTGCGGGTACCCGTATGGAGTAGATGAGACACTTTGAAATTGCTGTGTATCTTGCTATTATGTACTCCGTAGATACTCCGTCCTATATCATTTGTTATTTTGTGTTAGATTCCTCAAAACCAAGTGTGCTTATATTTTCACATCCATCGTCCGTCCGAAGCTCAATCTGAACTAAATCCTGTGTGACTACATGTAATCCTAGCTGAAGATCTCATTTTCTAAATCTTGGCTCCACTTTTGAGAATTTCCCCGAGTTGTCCTAGTGGAAGCTACGGCGTAGAGAATTCTCGAATGATAACAACATTATCTAGAGTAAATCTAGGTATCTACTCCCGTCAACGTTTGCCTAGGTGTATCCTGTACTCCGTACGCCCTTCTAAGTAGGACTAGGATCTGCGCCCCGAACACCACGTTGGGGTTTTTGCATATTGCAGAGAGCAGGCCAGATGAAAACGACTATGTATGGATGCAAGTGTAAGTACAATGTAGAAGGTGGAAATCATAGGTAGGCTTGAGTGAATTACATATAATATAAAATATATGGAGTATGATGGCCAAAACGAGATCAACATCTCAAGTATGTTGTACTCTGTACAGAGAGTATAACCCTCCAAAGTCATGACTCAAGATTATGGCCCCATATCCACTAGCCCGGTAGTCGGCTAGCCAGTGCGAGTCAGCACAAAGTCATCTCTTCTAGAAAGTCTCTCGGCAGTTTAGGACTATCGGGAAATCCGAATGGAAGTGGAAACATGCACGCTAGTGACTTGGGGAAATCTATAAGATCTAAGGTCTCAAGTCCAGCTCAAAGTCCGACTTAAACCCGTTATTGATTTCTTCCCTTGCCCCGGTGATTATACAATATAGACAGGGTACCTGCGGTTAAAGGCTGAAAGCTCAAAGGCTAGGATTCGGATCTGCATCGAGGATTTAGGCAAATAGACCAACCTCACTTGATCTGTGGACGATAGTTGGATGTAGTATATCGTATATAGAACGTGGTGATCCATATTGCCGTTGCTGTTATCAAGGTGGCCTAAAATAGGTGAGTATAAAGTGAAGAGATATAGCCCAATAGTAGAGCTTGAATACAGCCCAAGAAACCAAGATATAGGCGAAAAGTGCCAAAAAAAGTGTTGTTCTCATTATTTCACTATTTTTCCCCTATACAAACTCAGCTCCGCTAAATCCACTTCTTTCTCTCTCCCCTCCCCCTCCCCCTCTCTCTCTCTGTTTCTTTCTTTCTTTCTCTTTTTGGGATCTTCATCGGATAATCCCGCTGTAATTTCAACTTGAATCTCCATTTCTAGGAAATATTTTTTCTTTGAAGCCCTTCCCCCTCATTCTGCCCCCATCCCAAAAGCGGCCTACATTTCCTGGAATCCGCAAAAACACATGTACGCACACAAACATCTCTCATAGAGAGTATAGTCAAAACCACCCCAATTTCAAAAGGGACTGATGAAGGTATGTGCGCATTACTTTACTCCCTATGCCCTATCCCCCACCCCTCTCCCCTTCCTCTAATAATAATGATATCACGCCCTTCTCAAGTACCAATTTCCCACCTTGGGTCGCTTTTTCAGACCATCACTGACATTGACAGCGACCCTATCGCTATCGACTGGCCGGAGGATTGGACTCTCACCGCATTCGCTAGGTTCTCCTGCATCTCTCAGACAAACGACGGTGACCTGCGCCCTCCTTTGTCCTGGTCTCCCATTGCTTCCCCTCTCCCGGCGCTTCGACCGAATGTGCGACCCCGATACCCAACCTCTCACCGGACTCCATGTGGTCTCATAACAATTTCCTGGACAAAAGCGACCCCCAATTATACAAGCGCAGTCGTGCCGCATACATCGGGTGCCAACAAGGTCTTCTCACCGGTTGTTTTGAGGGAGGTAGTGTTGGGCGCCATTAGGAAGTGAACCTGTCTCTCCTTTCCTCAACATATTGACGGGTTTCATTTTCGTTTTGTGTACATCGCCTGCATCGCCCGTCGAAGGAGCTGTCTACAACCAAACGATATGGAGTCCGAGAATCCGAACGCGTTCAAGCGGAGCTCGATGCACCAAGCGTTATACAGTCGTCCAGTGGAACGGCGTGCAAGCAAGAAGTCTTCATCTAGGGACCGACACGGTATGGTCTATCCCGACAGTTTCCGAGAGACTACCATTCGAACTGTGACTCCAGAGTCGCACTCCCCCACCAACCATTCACCCTTATCCGAACCGGAGCACCTCACGGGTGCTTTGTCTTCACCTCGAAACACTGTGCGATCACGGCCCATCGAACCCGAACGTCGTCGGGATTTCAGCAAAAGCTCATCTGGAGCGGGGGAAGAAGATCCCCCGGTGGAAGCAAGGAGTCAACGGGCGCGATCGCGGACAACAGCGGCCGAGGAGCAACGCAACGACATCACCCCTAATACCTTCAAATCTCGAACGCGGGTTGGGTCAATTAACACAGCCAGTCCGGCTCAACCGAAATTGCCTGAAGATCCGTCATCTTCCATCGGTTTTCCGTCAATCGAGTCACCAAAATACAGCAGCCATACTGTCCCTCGCCCCCGACTAACCAGAGCTCCCGGTCTGGTGGCCGGTGGAGCACAAAACCAAGATTCCTATTCTTCGCCCCTCTCAAGTACGGAAGCCACAAAGGTCTTACAGTTGATGAAGACCACCTGTGGTAGAATGCATGGAATCCTATCCTTTCGAACAGCCTCGACCACTTCCTGGACATCCGGATACTGCGCCATCAATGTTGCTACTGGGAGTCTCATTTACCAAGCTAAGGGAGAACCAGCATTAGCCAAAACATTGATCCCCGATCTACGTGGTTGTCGAGTTCGAACATTGTGGGACCCCGAGCTTCAAGCCACTTATCTGAGCGTTTACACATTTACCTCTGGGCTTGGGATACAACTACGACCTCACGTGAACGAAACTTTCGACTCCTGGCTTGCCGCTCTGCTTTGCTGGCAACCAATTCGACCTAAGGGTGTTCAGAACAAGATGACAAAGCCTCAAGAGGTTGTTATTGGAGACAGACGGATCCCCGAACGTCGACGCAACTCAGAAAGCTCAGCACAAAAGGATGCAACTATCATCAAAGTTGGCAAGATGCTTTTATGGGATAAGCCGTCTGCTGCCGGTGCGATGCCAGTGTCCGGACGTCGCGTGTCGACGTACAGACAGTCAAGGGCTCTTTCTTCCTCATGGCAGAAGGTGAGCTGCACACTACAAGAAAACGGGTTTTTCAAGCTCTACACAGAGTCCGACGTGGCTCTCCTGGCATGTGTGCAGTTGTCTCAATTATCGCGCTGCGCTATTCAGCAGCTGAACTCCTCTGTCTTGGATGATGAGTTTTGCATTGCCATCTATTCTCAATATACAGCACATCCAGTACCGGATTCCAATGTGCGGCCTATATACCTCGCTCTTGAAAGCCGTGTTCTCTTTGAGGTGTGGTTTGTGCTTCTCCGTGCATTTACAATACCAGAGCTTTATGGCCCTGTGTGTCAGGGAGAGGATCCCAATAAAACACCAGAAGCTGAGAGCATCGAACCCCCTTTAACCAAAGATATGTTCCGGATTGAACGATTCTTGAGCTTGAAAATTGTGGAGGCGAAGCTATTTCGCACCAAAGAAGAGGACACTCCCCGAAGCCGAAAGGCGTCAAGATCGCATGGCCAGCCTGTTCCAACCACGAAGGTCAGCGACTATTACACAGAGGTGCTCCTAGATGGGGAAATTCGTGGCAAGACTGCTGTCAAGTATCGCACCATGAATCCTTTTTGGCGAGAGGATTTCCTCTTCACTGATCTACCCCCAGTGTTATCCCAAGCCTCTATCCTCGTTAAAACTCTTAACCCAACCCAAAAGGATTGGACACTTGTCTCTAATGGAACGTACGCACCCAATCAAGACGTGAGTGCTGTGAATATGCTGGACGAGATTGAAATTTCTGCAAATGATATCATCTTTGGACGGGTAGACCTGCGACTTGAAGAATTGGAGGCCGGCGTCGATACCGAAAAGTGGTGGCCAATCCTGGATAGTAAAGATCAGCCAATTGGTGAGATGTTCATGAGGGCTCGGATGGAGGAAACGGTCGTCTTGATGTCCGACGAGTACTCAGCAATGTCGGAACTTCTCCACTCCTTCACCAATGGCCTTACAATTAACATGGCACAATTAATGTCATCAGAGCTGAATCATCTGGCCGAGATGCTTCTGAACATTTACCAGGTCTCGGGGTCAACAGTGGAATGGATCTCAGCCTTGGTTGAAGATGAAATCGATGGTGTTCACAAAGAATCCACCACCAACCGGCTGAGGTATACGACAAGGATTCATTCAAATAACTCGCAGGAGACTAGCCAAGAGCGCGAGGTCCTTGTCAGAGACATGGGAAGGACGGCCACCGTGGAGGCTAACCTCCTGTTCCGTGGAAACTCGCTCCTAACCAAGGCCCTCGATCTTCATATGCGACGTCTGGGTAAACAGTATTTGGAGGATACTATCGCAGAACGACTGCGTGAGATTGATGAGACTGATCCGGAATGTGAAGTCGATCCAGCTCGAGTTCCACGCCACGAGGATCTTGAACGCAACTGGCGAAACCTCACATCTCTCACCACAAGCGTGTGGAAATCCATTGCGGGCTCTGCATCGAGGTGTCCCCCTGAACTGCGACGCATTTTCCGGCATGTCAGAGCGTGTGCAGACGATCGGTATGGTGACTTCCTTCGGTCTGTGACGTACAGTAGTGTTTCTGGTTTCCTGTTCCTACGTTTCTTCTGCCCGGCTATTCTGAACCCGAAGCTTTTCGGGCTTTTGAAAGGTATGGAATTACGCTCGTATCATGGTTTTTATTTTTCGCTAACGACTGCCAGATCACCCTCGTCCTCGTGCACAGCGCACTTTGACCCTCATTGCCAAAGCTTTGCAGGGTCTGGCTAATATGACAACATTCGGCAATAAAGAACCTTGGATGGAACCGATGAACAAATTCCTTGTTGGTCATCGCACGGAATTCAAAGACTTTGTTGACTCGGTTTGTGCGATTCCCGCCGATCGACCAGTCCCTATCGTCACACCCTCCTACACAACCCCCATTCAAATCCTTGGGCGGTTGCCGCCCACCTCACGTGAGGGATTCCCTAGCCTCCCATTCCTCATCGACTATGCTCGCTCCTTCGCGAACTTGATACGTGTCTGGCTTGATGTCTCCCCGGAAAGACTCGAAGAATTGACCGAGCTGGACATCAACCTTTCTAAGTTCCAGAAAGAAGCACTTCGCCTGCGGGCACGCACCGAGGAGTGTCTCAGACGAGCCGAGCAAGCAGAGCGGCCAAGTGGAAATCTCGAGGTCAAATGGGAAGCACTGGTGGATTCGATGGAGCGAGCCGTAACGTTCTACGATGAAAGCTCAAGCAAACCCGGCACCCCGGCGCCAGAAACGTCAGCTGGTACTACACCGGCCCCAAACAACCATCGAAATTCGACTGGTTACTTTGCTACGCGCCCTGCAATTCCCCGCCGGTCCACTGATCATGCTCCTGATGCCGACGATGACACGCCTCCAAGCTCGTCATCAGCGACCTGGGATCAAAGTCGTATTCCATTTGCCATCCCACGTTGGTCTGACCCACGCGACAGCACCGGAAGCTCGAAAAACTCCTCGACTTACTCCCTCGAATACCCCGAGCCCTCCACCAAGGCACGCAGGGCCAGTGTTACAAAGGAGTCATCGAGCAAGTACCGTTTCTTCGACTTTGTCCCTGCTCCCTCCCGACGCAAGGCCAAGGACCGTGACCAGACCCAAACCCACTCGCACGAGGATCTACGCAATGAATCTTAATGCAACAATGTCTGCCTATGCAATCTCCTTTTATCCTTACACGTTTTTGACTTTGTTCTTCCTCATCTACCTCGTTCCCATGTGCTCATGATTTCAACGTTCCTCTCTTTTCTCCCCTTCTATCCCTCTCCTCCCCGTTTCCCGGCTTGCCTCCTCGAGTTCCGTTCTGCTTGATCATCTATATGTCTATGTTCTCCTCTAAAGCATGTGTCATGGTGTTGATACCCATTCCTTCTTTTGACTGTGTGTTTTCATGGTCCCGCCATCCCTCATACACATCTTCCCCCTAGCCCAGCTCCAAGATAAAACCAAAGAGAGCTAAAAAGTAAGGATCTGGATTTTTGGGAAGAAAAAAAAGAACACGATCTGATTTTTGAACTTGGCTGAGGCTTTTGTGTTTTTCTCCTTTTTGGTCGTTCTGAGAATCATTTTGGAGATGGTGGCCATCGTGTAAATACCTTTTACTCTTTTTATGTTCTTCCAATAGATGGAATGGATTGGTGTTTTCGTTTTTTGAAAGTTATTGTGACTTTTGCTATTAGATAGAAATACAAACATCAAAGCAAATGTTATTCAGTACCTCTGTACATCGGATCAGAACAAGTATCAAATCTGTCGCTTTTGGCCATAACAACAGGGGAACAACAGAACCCTAGGAAACACCCCTACAACACCAGATGTTGGAAGATCAAAACAAAGATTAGAAAAATTAGCAAACGAGCTGTACAGCCACATACTTGAAGAAATAACAAGGATGAGCGAGGAATACACATCACTTCCATAGGCACAGCTTGCCACTAGCAGTGCCACCAGCAACCCAGTTCTTGCTACGGTGGAACACAGCCACAGCAGGAACAGCAGTAATCCCGTCACCACCAAGCTGAGCCAGCTGATCTCCACTGCTACTGTACACATCCACGAAACGGTTCATATTGCCGATGCAGAACCGCTGGATGGGAGATTGGGGGTTGAGTTGCCATTGAGGGCGGAGACTATAAGAATAAAGTTAGGGCTTGGTACTTTTGCAAAGCTTAAAGGGACGCAAAAGCAAGGAAAGAAAGGAACAATCATACATCGTCACCCAACGGCCAGTCTGGCAGTTATGGCGGACAACAGTGTCAGGAGTAAACTCTTTCTCTGAAAGCTTATGACCCTGCTTCCACGAAGAGAGGCCCTTTGCCCCCACATCGTAGATTTTCAAAGTGTCATCGTAAGACGAAGTAGCGATCTGCCCAGCAGCATTGAAAGCTGCGTGAGAAACCGAGAGCCGGCTTTCATGCTCGGCAACAGGGTTGCGGCTATGCGGCGATAGCTTGCGCAGATCCCATAATCTCAGGAATCGATCCAGACTCGCCGTGGCGAAGTAGTGTGGCTGGGTGGGGCACAGTGTGAAGCCACCGATCTTCTTGTCAGAAAGATCCCAGTTTGTCACATTGCTATCTTTCCGCGGCGTGCGCGTATCATATCGCCCGAATCCACCTTGCAGTGTAGTCCAGTACAGAGTGTTAGGGTCATCCGGGGCCATATCTACCCCGGAAATCGCCTCGTCGATATTTGTTGATTCAGGAGCATAGCTCTCTGAAGACACCATTTTCTCCAAGTCCAGTGCTCGAATCGAGCTGTCGTAACTTGCCGTATACAGATGTGTTGGCTTTGATGGGTTGACTGTCATTGCGCTGATGGTCCGGGTATGCGGCTTCAATGTGGTGAGGACTGGATCTGGGTCCTCGTCATCTTCGTCGTCATCCTCGCCCGCCGCTGGCTTCTCCTGCGAGGCATCCAACATCCCTAGATGACCCATTTTATCGCCCGCGAATATGAGAGGTTTGGATTCGGATGGGTGGAACGCCATACTATACACACGCTCCGGGGTGATCTTGATCCCTGCGATGATCAAAAATGCGTCAGAATTGTAGCTTCCTAAAAAAAATATATAATCTTCTTACGTTGCGGATCCCATGATTCCCACAATTGAAGTCCATTCATCTCCTCCCGAAGAGCCTTCAGCTCCTTATCCGCTGTTTTTTCTATCTCGTGGTCTCCGAATGTCCTCTCATAGGGCTTCGCAACACCCTTGGTAATAACATCCACCCCGATCAAGCTATCAGGACTAAGCTTTTGACCCGAAACAAACATATCCGCCTGGCTGAACGAGTCTGTCCGGCGCATTCTTTTCAATCTATCCGCTTCGCGCATCGCCTCATACTCGTCGTCGGCCTTGCGCTTCGCGACTTCACTTTCGGCCGCAATGCCCTTAAGTCGTGAGGACGTGCGCCGGGGCGTGGGGGCCTCATCCTCAGTCTTCACTTTAGGAGCTGGGCGCTTTTTCGGTTTTGCGCCGCCGCTGGCGGAAATCTTAGGGCTTGAGAAGAGTCCTGAGGATTGCGACTCGAGTGTGAGTTTCTTCAACAGCGCATCGCGCTCGGCAATGTTTGCCAGACGCTGCTGTTCGAACTCCGACAGCTCATTTCCCCCTGCCATGTTAGTTTTGAGGTTTTCTGGCGTACTTGGTTCGTATGCAGTTTGCGCCTCTGGGGTTCGAGGCACGTCCTCGCGGAATCGCGTGGGCGAGTTACACGACATCATGTGACTTTGCGGGAAGTTGATCGCCAATTAGTCCGTGCGGTTTAAAAAAAAGAGCGATAAGTGATCTTCTTGATTGTTTCTCTTTTTTTTGTATTGAAGTTGGAAAGCTGGAAAAGGGTGAAAGAGAAGAGTCAGATTTACTTCAGGTTGGATTTACTCTAAGAAGTGCACGAACAAGCGCAAGTGCAGACTTAACGACTCAACAATGGCGACAAATATCAACCGGCTATGCTTCCTTTCAAGAAGCAATTCTACGGCTCCTTTCCTATATCACACGCAAACACTTACGCCACTCTCATCCGCGGCCCGAAAACAATTTAATCGTCGCTTTCCGCGCTCTTTTTCTACCCAGAACAACGCCGAGGCCAACGATGCAACAGAGAACAAATCACTAGCGGAGGATAGGACACTAGCGGAGGATAAAACAAGCGAGAATACATCTGAAGAGTCAATTGCCTCCAGCTCGACGAGTGAGGCAGCCCCGAAGCCGCGACGAAGCTTTCTGCAGAAAAAGGCAGCATCTGTCTCTGCAAGGCCTAGCCTCAGACCATCTGTGGTGAAGAAGACAACGAAGATAGCACCAAAGATCACAACCCAGGAGAAATTGGTATTTGGAGGGCTCCTAGAGCAGCTTGGATTCAAGCACGATGGGGAAACTACCGAGCCAAGCTCGTCGACACCAATGAGCGAAGAGAAGAAAGCCGAAATGGCCGAGCTCGTGTCAGTGTTCGATAATCTGCTAAAAGACCCAAGACAAAAGAAGGCATCTATGAAAGCCAAGCAACAAGCGAAGGACGACTACTCTTCTCATCGAAGACCAGAGAAGTCACAAACAGAAGGAGAAGTCCCAGCGGAGAACCAAGGTCCAAAGCGAATCAATCTCCGCGATCTGGGCTATACCGAGCCCGCCACAGCCAGTGCCGCCGAAGAGACCGTCAGTCTGCGGAGGGCGATCGAGATCGTCGTCAAAGCGGAATCAGAGCACATCGAATTCGCACTTTTCCAAGCCGTCGAGGAAGGCAGAGGTGACATGGGTGTGTGGGAAGTATGCAAAGAGCGCATCTTCTCCATGCTGCGCCACCTCGACGAACAATCTCTCGTGGAAGCTTCAGACCCCGAGAGTCTGAGCACAAAAGACCAGTCCGAACTGTCCACCCGACCATCAGGACCCCTCCGAGTCCCAGCCGTCGTCCCAGTAGCCCCCGTCGTGGTAGCTCTATACCCGAAGACGCTCCTGATCGCCTTCCGCCTGCTGAACACGCACTTCCGCGACTCCCCGCTCATCCCCCAGTTCCGCTCGACGATCAAAGAGTACGGCCGTGTGTCTACTTTCCTCGGTGCTTCATCTGGCTTGTACGATGAATTGATCTACTACCACTGGCGAGTATGTAAGGATCTCCCCACTGTAATTTCGATCCTGCGCGAGATGAACCAGCTGGGCATCAACCCGAGTGGCAAGTCCCGCGGCATGTTGACCGCACTTATCATTCGCCATGCCCGGGACTTGGAGGAGCATAGGAAATCCCCGGACGGGAAGGATTTCTTCTGGGATTTACCGTCTAACAAGGAGGCGTTCGATGAGCTTACCCGTAAGGATGGATGGATGGATCAGATCGAGGCGCGGTCAGAGGAAGAGGCGAGGCAACGTCGGGCTGCTCGGACTTTCCACCGCTGAGCTCTGTTCTTTTGGACGGGTTGTTTCAATGTACAGTGTAGACTATCATGTATAATAATATCATCAGCGAAGCCATATAAAAAGTTAATACATTATTGTCCGTCGTTTGGCTGTCATTCTATTGCAAGAGTAATATACACGAACAGTTTTATCCAAACAAAAAAAGAGCAAAAGAAACAAAATAAGAACCACCAAAACCCTTACAAACCCCCATGAATCCCCCAAAACTTTTCGGCATTGAAAGTAAACTGGTTATCGTCTTTCCACCAGTCATCAAAAGCAGTAAAAAGCACCAAATCCCCTCTCCGATGATCAAAGCTCTTCCTCAAGCTCGCAATAGCCGTTTCCTGATTCCTCGCCGAAGGAATAGCGCCCCCATTCGCATCCCCAGCATGCGGCCACCCCGACTCCGTAATCATAGTCCGCTTCCCACCCGCTCTCGCAGAGATACTGCGCGCCTGCTCAATCGCATACGCACCAGCCCCCGCAGGCCGCTGCGTGCCATCGAAGAAAGCATGGCAGTTCGCAGCGCAGTAGTCAGAGACCCGACACATTTCAGGGTGATCTAACAGAACGCCGAAGGTATCTACTGTAACGACTGGGCCTGGATATCCCTGTGCGCGGAGGATGGCGCGTGCCCTCAAGACGGCTGCCGCGACTTCGGGGGCGGAGTTTGTGCCGCTGTTTACGAGCTCGTTGCCGATGGCGATGGTGTGGAAGATCGACCAGTCTTTTCTGCCAGTAGGACCTGGGAGGGCGTCGCTGAAGGCATTCAGGCTTTGTGGGAAGTTGTTTAGGTCGTAGACGCCGGCGAAGACGTGCATGTTGTGGCGGCGTGCGGCGTTGGTTACGGTTCTTATTTGGTCGCAGTCTGTGCCGTAGATGCGGATAAAGCCGTAGTCGGAGACGCGGGCGACGTCTTTGTTTACTTCTTCTTGGTTCTTGCAGCTGCGGTCTGCTTTGTAGGGGGAGTAGGAGATGCCGAATCCGGCGTTTTGGTTCTGGGGTGGGCGGGGTTGGGGGAATGGATTGGGTAGTTTGAAGGGGAGGCCGGGGATTTGGAGCCCCTTGTTCTTGTCTATGTTTGGGATGGAGCGGTCGGTCGTGCCATCGTTAGTTGCTGCAGGTGGTGACGCTGTACCGGAACCATCTTTGTCTGGGGTTGGTGGTGAGGGCTGCGTTGATGGGAGAGTTAGGGCTAGCTTTCGATGGGGGAGGAACATTTGTTCTATCCATCGGGGAGAGTTCTATCTACTGACATTATCTTGGGGTGCAGAGGTCAAACCCTGAACGAGGTGTGCTGCTTCCGAGGTGATGGGCTCTCCCTGTTCATTGACCCAGACAACTACCTCTTTAGTCAATGATGGTTGAACAAGATCTCCACGGGGTTGTTTCTCAACTATCATCAATCAGCAACATCCCTATGAGCATGAGTTTCGGACATGTCCTTACCCCGAGCTTCAGCGCAAACACCAGATGCAAATAGCAGTCCGACAAGCGCCTGAGTAAGGTGCTTCATTTCGCAGCAGAGTCCTCCCTGAAGAAGACGATCTGTAAAAGCTCGAGTGAAAAGATCTGAAGTTACTCGACAATCATAACAAAAGTGACTGTTCCAGCTTGACTTTTCCAGCCATCTAGAAAGATAAACCCTGCATAAGGTGCCGATCGGACCCATTATATCCATGCTAGCGAGATCAAGCATGGAATTCCACCTACGTCAAATCAATTAGCAGACCGTGTAAACACAGGAATAGCCAAGCACAACACCTCGATCTGTGGGGGACATGTGGAATGGAAACAGCGAACATTAGAGTTTCCTGCATATACCCCTTGGCTTGATTCGGCCCCCTTTGGCGTCTTATTTGCCCGGGCGAAGAGATCTGGGTTCCGGGGCACCATATGGACGGGATCTCGACGTCGGATATGCACCGGGGACGTACCGGGGCTCCTCCTAATTATGGAGCACATGGAATGTAGGGCTCATTCTCGGGCGTTGCTGGGAGCCACAGGGGAAATCGGTGAATGTGAGACAGAATGCTAAGGAATTATGTGATACTATTATTGTCAGACATTGGAAGGGGGTCGGAGGCGCAGTTCTAGAGTTTGAGTCTGGCCCTTGAATATTGGGCCTTTGGTCTGCAAGGTTCCAGAACGCATTGAACAGCCAAAGGGTAGATATTTCAAAATTCTAGATTCAGCGAACATGTGTCTGGCAGACACTTCGAACTTCTGGCCGTGAATTTTACTATAGCAAGAGCGAAAAAGCAAAGGATCGGGACACGAAGCAATACCGTTCATTCCATGGAACAAAAGTGGTTTTGGGCCTGAATAATGTATGAAGAAAAATAAACACATCCTTGAAGCAAAGAGCCAAGGGCAGGAGGATAGTATTAAACAACTTAAAAAAACCAAGCACAGGTAAAGAATCATACCGCCAACGAAGAAAGAAAAGGGCGAGCCTGTGCAAGGCATGCAATAAGAATGTATATCGACAAGGTAACAATACAAAGATTGAAGGGGCATTAGGGCGTAGGTCGATTGAGAAGAATGGAGGCTCGATAGATGCCGAAGTCATAGGGGCGTGAGCAGTCATCGGATGTCTGGTCAGGACCAGATGCTAAGAGGTAAGGAAAGATATTACTTTCTCTTGCTCATCACCTTGGTGATGGCATGTCGGATAATTGTTCCAGACTTTTCGATCTCTTTCTTGGTGAGACCAATAGTGACGCAAACCTTCAGAGCCGGCGGGACGATCTGCTTGGGCTCGAAGTTGTCCTCAAGGGACTTCAAGCGCGTAATCAGAACGCCGTTGGCGAGAGACTGCGACAGCATTAGAAATGGACATAACAAGTGTTAGAAAGATAGAAAATGTGACACATACCTCATCGACAGCATCTTGAAGCAAAAACTGCTGGTCGTCGTGCGTTAGCCGCTTAGCAGCCACAACCTCAGGCTTGATGACCAAAATAAGAATAGGGTTCTCAGGGGCGCTGGTGCAGTAAACCCAGTCACTCCGGGGATCCAACTGAGCCCGCATAACCTTAGTGAGTTCCCGAAGTTGTAACACTGTGTCAGGGTTGTTCTGGAGGATGTTGATAGTGGCACTAGCGGTAGTCGAGAGCAGAGCAGGAAGTGCAGCGGAGAAAGTATAAGCAGCGGCGGAAATACGCTGGTGGTGAACAATCTCCTCTGAACCAGCACAGAAGCCACCACCACCAACGAGAGGACCAGCCAGTGATCCCACAATCATATCAACCTCAGCAGCATCGACGTTCTGGTGCTCCGTGAGACCACGGCCAGTGCGTCCCAAAACACCGAAGGACCAAGTTTCATCGAGGATCAGACGGAACTTGTACTTGAGTCTGAGTTCGACCTGTGACAGTTGTAAGTAAGGCGAATTCATGTTTCAAGGTTATAGGGTTACATACGATCTTGGGCAAGTCCGCCATATCGCCGTAAGACTCAAACAGACCCTCTGTGATGATAAATCTGCGAGTCAACGGCTTCCGAGCTTGCTCCTTAGTGACCTTGGCGAGCACACGCTCCAAATCCTCCATATCATTATGCTCATACCACCGGACAATGCTTCGAGAGATTTGAATACCCTTTCGAATGGCAAAGCTAACCCCCTTATCCGCGACGATAATGTCTCCACGCTTCGAGAAGGCAGGAATAACACTGGAAATAGTCGAGAAGGCCTGGGAGTACATGATGCAAGCAGCGGTGCCCAGGAACGACGCCACATCATCTTCGGTCTTAATGTGGACATCCTGTGTGCCGTAGAATCCACGGGGTCCGCAGGGACCAACTCCGTAAGCGCGGAGTGTCTGGATTGCCTGTTCCTTGAGGGATTCATTGGTATTGAAGTTGTAGAAATTGAAAGAGCCGAGGTTCATAACAGTGCGGCCGTTGGCCAGTTTCGATTTTGGGCCTACGGGGCTGCAGATCCCAGTTTCATTCGTCAGTAAAATGCCCGCGGAGGGCGCCAGGAAGAAGGAACGGGAATAAAGGGGTCACGATACCCAACAATCACGGTTCGCTTATCAACTTCCATCTCTTCCAAAGTTGTCGGGCTCCCAACGAGGGGTTCCGGGGTCCATTCATCAACGAGGTCATCAATTTCATCTTCCGTGAGTGGCACGACGCCAGGTTTGGTCGAATACTTAGGCGCTAGCAAATATCGCACGGCGAAAAGGAAAAGGAATAGTTCAACGGCCGAGCGGATTGGGTCATCTTGATAGCTTGATTTCACGTAGCGGAGGAAGATTGCGGACCCAGGGACACGGTGAAATAGATCCGCGAGTTCATGCAGATATTCGGAAAGGATACGCTGGGTCTCCTGGAGATCCATGGCGGAGAATTGAAAGTAGCGCAGGCGGTGTGGTGCACCAAGCCAGTGAGATACCCGAAATATAATAGGTTGGAAAGGGGCGCGAAAGAGAGGTGCTTGCTTGTGAAAGATGGGGGTGAATATGAAACGGGAGGCTCGGAGGCCTGGGGACCTCCGTGTCACGTGACGTGTATATTGGTCTGCAAACTGTATGGCCTTTGACAATCTGATTTTGAAATTACAGAACTACGACTTGAGTTATATCAAACAGAGAGAGTTTCACGAAAGCAATGCAATTTAATTCCGGTAGAAGTGTAAATAAAACAAGCAAAGAAAGCTGGAAAAACGAAGGTAAACCCCCGAGGAAGACTTAGAACACTCCTTCATACAAGCGTCATTCCACAAACAATATTTGGAAGCAACCATTCATTAAGATCAAATTGTGCGCCGATGAGTTCAAAAATGCGGCGAGTTTTAATAAACGCATAACTTTGTACAAAGCATTCCCATGTCGTGTCGCCCGAGGCGATTAGATAGACCACTTGCCGGTACCCTCGTTGGGTGTCGGGATGGCGCCTGAAGTATAGCCCTTAGGAATGTTAGAGCCGGTGTACCAGGAGACGGTATCATTGAGTCCGTGATCGAGTGGTTGCAGGAGACCAATTGCGTCTGTGCTGGAGACACCGAGGCTGTCCCAGATGCCACCCTGCAGAATGCTATCCAATGACTTCGTGTTCCGAAGCACGACAGGCGCAGCAATGATGACAATGAAGATGAGAAGCATGGTGAAGTAGAGAATGGCGAAGCGAACAACACGTCTCTTGCGGAGCTTGGACTGTTTGAGAGAATAGATGGGAGGGCGGATTTGAGAGCTAGAAACAGGAATGGTTAGTAATGGAATATTCGATACCGGGGTGGAGGGATATGTACCTTGGGCGCAGCCAGAAGAGGATGACCGAATGGAAAGTGTCAATGTAAGGAACAGCGAGGGCCGGAAGCATGGCAAACAAGAGAATATGGCCGAGGAAGAAATCGTTGGCGAAGTAACCGAGTTCGGTGATCTTGCACAGGAATTCACGTCCGGGCTGAGAGAGGGTGTGCCAACCCATATTGTACCATTTTCCAGTCCACCATGCAATATTGGATTGATCGTTCTTGAATTCACGAGTCAATGCGAGGGAGATGATCAACTTGTAGATGAAGCGCTGGAGAGCCATCGCGGCGATCATTCCAGAGATGGTTCGGGGCCAGTTGAGAGATTCAAGGAAGAACATGGCCAGGAAGAGGAGCAGGTATACGATCACAGAGATGGCATGAGCGATAGCTGCGAGAACAGCACCAAACCTCTTGCAGCACATACCAAACAGGGGGCCCATACAGCAAGCCATTCCGAAGAACATGCCCGCCACACCACCATTGACACCCACGGGAGCAAAAGCGACAATTGCAACACGGAGGATGGGATTAGCAGACCATTTGTTATCATCGGAGTACATTGTGCGAGAGTTGATGTAGAGGTACGGAATCAGAGTGACGGCAACACCAAGGAGGGGTGAAATGATTTCACTGAAGAAGATGTTGGTGATGCGCGCTCTGGGGATATCACCGGAGCCCTTCTCCGATGGAACACCAAGAAGTTTCCGCTTGTAACCAGTGATGCGGGTACGGGAAAGGCGACAGAAGCCGATCCAAGAGGAAGCATGGGATCGGGAGTTACCGCGAGAAAGCCAGCGGATGTAGTCACGATAATCGATGAAGAAGTCGTTCCAGGCAAACTGGTGCGGGTTGAACAGGAAAGGAGAGATGGACAGAGCGAGTAGAGAAACCCAGAACCAGATCAGAGCAGGAGTCCAGACCGTTGTGGTACTGAACAACAGCATCAGCAGAAGGCGAGCACCCAAGTAAATTGAAGGGCCAGCAAATCGTGAGTAGAGGACACCGAATGGGATACGAGCAGTGGCGAAACCACGACCGGTACCAATGTATCGCGCACCACCGAAAGACAAGTTCTGGTGGACAGCGTTGGCGTAGATCTGACAGACGAAAACCTCGAACATGAACGAGAAGGAACCGAAGTGCTTGGCCAAACGAGTCGCCATACGCCACACTCCTCTCTCTGTCAGCTCTTGCACGGCAAGAGGAACGAAAGAGATGAAGAACACAATGAAAATGGAGATAATGCAACGATTCACCCAGTTGACGATTGGAGTCAGGTTGAGACAGAGAGTTGGCACAAGAGGATCAGTAATGGGCAAGTCCGAGTTGTAACGGCAGGTGATGTTCTCATGCTTCAAAGCACCAAGATTGATCAGAACCACCATGAACATTTGCACAGAAAGCATAATGAACATGTTATTCACGTGGAAACCAGGGTGAGCGTAGTAGAACGACAGGAAGCGGTCGAGGGGCAGCTGGGTACCGAGGTAGTAGTACTCTCGGGACAGCATCTGTTCACCCATACCAGTGCCAATCTTTGTGGTGAAGTTGAGAATGGATCCGAAACCGAGATCACGGCCCTTACCGCATTGATAGTATTCACAATGCTTAATCCGACCTCCACGGAGAACGGCATTCATACCAGCGTAAATATCCTCGTTCAGGTGCAATCCTTTCTGGGCTTTGGAAACACCGCCACGTGTGGTCATGAAAGTGGCATTCAGGAAATCAGGGTGACCGTAATGCAGCTTACCCCCGATTTGAGCAAGTGTACGAGCGAAGAGAGTACCGAACGTTTGTTCCTTGGAGGCAGCAACATCACCCAGGACACCCACACTCTCAGAGAAAATGTATTCACGGGCTCCGAGAATGGCAACAGGGTCCTCCTCAGGCGAGGAAATCCCAGGGGTGTAGGGAGAAACATTGTCAGTTGTCAATTCCTCGAATTCAGCCAGTACGCTGCGAATCTTCAAACACTCTTCAAGGTAGTTGTCCTGGTTGGCGTCGATGAGCTGGATGTATTCACCACGGTAGAAAATGATCGCATGGTTCTGGTTGTCAGACTTTCCGTCGCCAAGAATGGGGTTTCCAGAGAGCTGAATTCTGAACTTGGGTTTACGCAGGTTGTTCTCGAGAAGTTCACAGTGACCGTCAATCAGGGCGGAGTACAGACGGGGTTCTTCGCCTTCATTGACAGGTGGCTCCTCATCCAGGTATGCAATCTGCAGGTCAGGGTATGCGCGGAGTAGGAATTCGGTGTTCTCGCGTTCATCCTTGCTGAACTTGGCGTATCGCTGCATGGAGACACAGATGCGGAACTTGCGGCGAGCCATGCGCTCGAGCTCGCGCTCAAGCTTCTCGGAGTTACCACCGAACATCTGGACGACCTCTGGGTTCTCGACGCGGTAAAGCAGCTTGATAGCACGGCTGTAGTTCATGAAGCCAGACACGGTTCGGTACAAGGTTTGAGATCGGAGAGAGGCCCAGATTCTTGTGCGGAGGGTATATTCAGGAGCGGCGGACTTGAAACCAATGCAGTAGAAAGGAAGATCATCAACCTTGCTCTTAGCGGCATCTTTCTCGGGCTTTTCATAATCACCGTTGAACTGGGAGGTCTCGTCGGCTAGAATCTTGGTATCCTTAACAAAGCAATCCCACTCGTGGGGGTGAAGTTGCTTGAGGTATTCCAGCAGAGTAACACGCGAGTAAGGCTCATCTTCACGGATGATCTCACGGAGAGACAGGAGAATCTTCTCACTGTAGTGAGGAATCAGGACAGTGAAAGTGGGCATGTTGTCAACGGGGAGGGGCTCGGGCATGGGTGTAGAGAGTGACTGCGCGAAGAACGAGATACGGCGCTCTGCCTCACTTCCCTGGGGGAAAAACTCAGTCTTGAAAGATTGATCTTCCTGTGACACGAAGAAGGTCGGAGCACGGAGGGTCCGCTTGCCTTCCTGCTCGGAGGGAACCTGATGGTACAGCAGCTTCTGCACGTGGTCAATGGCCAGGAGATGCTCACGGTACATTGAAATGATGATAGCATTCCAAACCTGTGAGATCAGAACCTTAGGCTTGTACTTGATCTCCATGTCGGTAGTAGCGAGCACCTTGGAGTAGATACGCTTCGGAAGTCGGGAGAAGATGTTTCTCCACGGTGACCAAATTGACACACCCAAGTAGAATGATCGGGCCACAGAGAAGATTGTGTTGCAAATAATGTACCACAGGTAACTATCCAGGAAGAACAGTGTCAAGTCCATGAAGGCCATCAGGCCAAGCAGGATCTGAGGTTGACGGTGGCAAAGTGTATTGCCAATGTATTTCGCACCAGTACACTGATGGATCTGCATTGGGGACAGAATGCGGATGGGATCCTTGAAAGACAGCGTCAAGAAGAAGTAAGATTCAGCCAGCTTGGCACCGAAAACACACAGCCAAAGGCCATACGACATCCACATGTCATTACCCTTGAGACGAGGGAAACTGGCGGTGAATGTCTGGCTGGCAACGTACTGTCGTCCACCTTTCTTCAAGTAGCTGCCGAACAGTGCACCCAACGGCTGGATTGAAAAGAAAGCAGTTGTCAGGACTGCAAGAACAAAATGGACAATACCAAGAGCCAGACCAACACCATCTTCGGTTGACTTTCCTAATTTCAGCATCGGCAAGATACTGAAAATCACGATACCGGGAGCCAGGTTGATAATGAAGACGAAAATCAGGAACATAAAGCGCTTCCGGAGATGCTGCGCTCCAGCCCAACGTCGGGGAACGTACATCCACTCACAAATGGTAGCAGCGATCTGGATGAAGGAGACGAGAGCACCACCGAAACCGACGGCAGCGAGATATTTGGGCGTAGGTGGCTTGTTGTCAACCTGTTGCTGATAGTTGATAGTATACAAAGTGGGGGCGTTGTAAGCAGTGAAGAACCAGAAAGTACCAAGGTGGATAACCCAGATACGGTTGAAGTTGGTGATCATATGGAACCAAGAGCGAGTTTCCTTGTAAGTCTTGAAGAAGGCATTCTTCCAGACGACGTCCTTCAACTTAGGCCATCTTTCAGCGATGGGAACGTCGACGAGACGAGTTTTGTCTTCAAACCCGATGCGCTCAATACCCTCCGGGTACCAGAACAGCTGGTTCATATCATCATAACCGATGATTTTGTTGTGATCGTGCTCACGACGAACGTACTTGCCATCCATGATTTCATATCCCTGATCCCGACAGTAGTGGTACAGAGGAGTGACGATCTCATTCAGGTAGGTGAATTCCTCCACTGGCTCAACGCGAGCTTGACATTCTGGCGAAGTGTAGTAATCGTCGGCACACTTGAAGATGAAACAGATGCACTCCGGCAGGAATCGGACCTGATTGGCTTCACCCCAGATCAAAAGATATAGGGCGATTTGACGGGCCCGATCGTGCTGGGACATGCGGTTCATCCGAGACTTCCACCGGTATTCCGCGGCTTCCAAGCTGTTGTCTCCTTCCAAGGCCTCGAGGGTTTCCTCTTCGTTCTCAGGGTTCTTTTTGGCTGCCTTGGCTGCAGCCCTGCGGGCCTTCCGCGTCTTGCGATCGGCCTTACCGAGCTTCATGTTGGCAAAACCAACCGCATCATCGAGATCGAGATGGGCGGCGAAATACCACCGGCGGTAATTAGCGTTGTGCCCACCGATGTAATCGGAGTGGACGGAGAGAAGTGCCTGGTTCGGGGTCATACGCGACGCACGAGAGTCCAATAAAGTCATCATATGGTCATACATGTTTCGCATGCTGTCACGCTGGAAACCAAACTTGTTGACCAGATCCAGGAAGATATCCTCGAGCTCCTCCTTCGAGAGAGGGATCTGGGCGTCGGCGCTCCAGGCAGGATAAGGCTCACGCGAGCGCTGGCCAGCGGGAAGGGCATTGCTGTAGTCCATTCCGTAGACAGGGGTCGAAGCACCGGATGATCGGTTGGCTCCGTAGGAGATCTGAGAGGAAGGAGGACGGTAGCCACCACGACCGCCGTACTGGCTGTCTGAGTAGCTGTTGTACCGTTCGTCTCCACGACCATAGTAGTCCATGTCTGCGGCACGAGCCGTCTCGGACCTCATTGTGAAATCGCTGAAGGTCTCGGAATCCTCCTCGGAATCATTGCCACGACGGCCTCGGCCATATTCTCCTTGTCCCTGATCGTAGTACTGCTGGTCGCCGCCTGCACCGCCTGCACCGCCGGCAGTCCCGGCAGCGCCCCCATAGTACTGGTCTTGGTGTCCGGCCTCGTAATATCCTCCGTCGGCGTATCCGTGGCCTCCATCCGCATGGGCTGGGTCGGCGCCGTGACCATCCGCTCCGTAGTACCCATTACTGTTCTTCCTGTCAGTCCTTCCAATACTCAACCTTTCTCTGGCCAGTGATCATACCCTTGGTCATAATAGCCTCCATCACCATATCCTTGGTTGTCATAATAACCCTGGTTATGTTCGTCCTGATAGTAGGAGTCACCATGAGCATGTGGCTGCCCCCCTGCTGCTGTTGCTGCTGCTGCTGGGGGGTATAGCCATCGTCATAGTGGCCTCCGCCTGCGTAGCCCGACATGACGAGCTACTTGCGATCGATTTAATGCTAAGAGCTCTGCAGATGGAATTAGCTTCAGAGGTTCAAATCGTGATCATTCCCAGGGTAGGCAATCTCACCTCAACCGTGACCATTCAAAGTATTATTTTTTGTTAAGATTGTGGAATTAATGCAGCATGGATGTAGAACGACGAAAGCGATGAAAGAAATGCGTTACGTTGGAAACCAAAGCGAAGGTGTCGAACGAGTCTCAGACCCTGTAACGAATGGCAAGTGAGGGTTTCCCTGTCTCACGAGAAGGAAGGTGCAATGGGTGCAATGTTTCTGAGAGCAAAGCAACCACTCCCTCCTATCCTTCAAAAAAAAGAAAGAACACGTAAGGTAGCAAAATAGAAGGAAAGATGGAGAACAAGAAAAAAGCGAATGGAAGGGGGTTGGAGAGAGAGAAGGCAAGAAAAATGCTTGTTATTTTTGGGATTCGGGGGGGGTTGCTTGCTCTGTTGTCTCCAAAAGTAATTTACCGTCATCTTACACTTAGAAAGGGTACGTGTCAGACTTCCAGGTACTGAATACCTTTTCCTATTATGGTTGGTCCCCGTGTATTCCAGGTACCCATTACCAGCCTTTTGTTTACCATACGTGGCGCATTAAGTTTAGCCCATTGAGTTTTCCTCCCCTTGTCCAGCCTATCCAATCTATGCCCTGATTTCAGACGCCTTTTTCTTTTTTTTTCAAGTTACCGTTTTTTGTGTAATTACAATATCAACTTCCCAGTTCTCTCCTTTTTCAATCCAATAACACTCTTCCTCGGACTCTCGGAATCCAAGGAAGTCTCGACGGCCCCTGAAACTTGCCCCACCTTAACCAGCCAGCATGTAATTCAGGTAACAAATAATGTGGCTATTTGCTATTTTCAGACCTAACTCTCCCAAAAAATGGGTTTGTTATGGCGACCTGGTATGCAGGGATGGCGTTGTTCATTCCTCGTTACTATGCTGTATGGTGTATGTACGGAGTACAATGTATATATCTTAGACACTTTTAGACTTGGTTCTCTCATACTTGAGGATTCCTATGGTTCGTATGCCTATCTATTTGCTTTGGCACGGAAGTCCTACAATATGTGACCAGTATATATCAACTCCAAAACTCCATGCACATTATTATAATTTGACCCAACCGATAAGTAGTTCAACTATGATGCGTTCAAATAAGATTAATATCAGCTTGAGCTCCAGATACTTGGTCATCAACCTATTCTCAGAGTCCCATGGATCCCAAGCGACAACATCTTTCCACGGTTACTTTCCACACTTCTTTTGTTTTTATATATTTACATATGTATTGTTCTAAATCCACGATCTTCAATTCTTATTGCTCCTTTCATCATATTTAAGACCTTTTTTTTCTCTGTTTCAGTGGTTTAGTGTTTTAGTGTTTTACTGTTTGCGTATGATTTGCCACCGCAATACAACTTGTCTCAAATGTAGTCGATCGGTCCCATGTGTATTACATTGGACTGTCCAATGCCGACTATTTTATCACTGTGGCTGGCAAGCCATACGATGTACGGAGTACGGAGTACATCACAGTGGATTATGTATTGCACAGTGGACACTCCGTACCCGAAAACCTGAAAGCGTCCTTCGCACTCCGTACTCCGTACCTATTATATGTACCTAGGCTTATTTAGTCCACAGCCACAAGCTGAACTCGCTAAATACATACCATTCCAAGGTTTGAAAACCCAGGCTTCGTCTATATTTATCTCTTTCCAAGGTTACCTCTAGGCTTATATCTAACTGTTCTCCAGGTCTCAACCTCACACAGTTATATTTTCTTATAGACATCATTAATTATATATCGCCGCCGACCGCAGATTAAATATTCAAGACTTCAAGTTGTATCTGAATACCCCAACTGATACAGTATAGACAAACAGAGCTAGTAAGTACTTGTATTCAAAAAAAGGATCTCCACCGTTAGGCCTAGGATTTTATCTTATTCCACACACTATGAAGTGGATCACCGATTGCTTTTTTCTTAATTCTTTCAGAGAGTCTCGACCAGAGGGCCACGACATTGTAAATAGTGAAGCCACTGTACAAAGCTAGTGTTTATCAGTTATGTCGTGGCACCTAGTAGCAGTTACAGTACAGAGTACGGATGTATATATGTTGTACTGTGCATCGCGGACTACGGAGTACAGCATTATCAGTTTGCAACAGAGTACTCTGTACCTGTACCTTGTACACCCTCATAACCGGCGTATGCAGGATCGCGCAGGAACGATACATCAGCTGCATGAAGGAAGCCGATCTTTGACATTTGATATCGTTCTCCTGTCGGGTGGATTTTCACTATCTATCCACCTTACTAAGAATTGTTGACAAATACCACTGGCATCTCAAGATAGCGATCGTAGTTCTCCGTACATACATTAAATGGAGTACGGAATCGTAATCCAAAAATAACCTGACGGAGAAATTAATCTCAAAGGGTTTGGTCAGCGATCACTAGCCGGTAGGCGTGCCCTAGTGTCGCACATTTATTGTACTGATTACTATGTATTGACCCACACCTTTCAATACTCCGTACAACAGCCTTAAAATGTGGCTAGATATTCAGCAAACGGTCATAATTATTTATGAAGACAGCATACCCCGTCTATTATTTAGTACAAAAATGGCTGGCTGCTGAGGGGCCACCGTCGTCAATGGCCGCCATTGGCGTTTCTAGAACCCCATACACGATCTTCCATATTATTTTTGGCTCTTGCCCCTGAATAGGGCATTTTACATCCAACATTACCACCGGCTCCCCATGGAAGGATTCTTCCAATCTCCAGCCATTGATTAAGGTGCATCTAATGATTATCATATGCACACTGCTTCAAATTAAGTAATTAGGGGGCTGTGGCCCCCAAGGCCCCCTCCACTGTCTATCTGCATTGTGGTAAGAGCCAATCACGACCCCTGTTATTGAGGTTGTAGTTTTTTTTTATTCCAAGTTCTATTTGGAAATTCTTGTCGCACCACATGATTTGCACATCACATATTGTACAACATACGGAGCAGTTGAATCGGTATATAGATTATGTACGTATCATCGTAGCCAATTGAAGATCATGGGGTTTAAACAAGCAACCGCATTTCCCGCCATTTCACATGAGCAGTTCATAGTGATAACAAAATAACACATATGACACACGTTTTTCTCCTGGCAGATATTGCATACATATGTAGTACAAAGTACAGTACGGAGTACGGTGCTATATCTTTATGACATGGTTCATGTAAAGCTTGGCCGTTTGCAGGTTGTGTACCATTAATAGCAATCCCACTCGCCACTATGGAGCAACCAATGATACTCCGTACAGAGAAGTAAACGACGTAGCTATATACTAATACTACTATACTTCCCCAATGGTAAAACATACCCAGCAAAGGGTAAATGTTGCTTAAATCTCGCCGTATAGCTGCGTGTTTTATTTGTTGATTTTGCTTCCCTTGTGGCATTTCGTTGGCACTACCACACATTGCCCTCTCTCCCTCTCTCTCTCTATAAATCATTTCTTCCATTTTCAATGTGAAAGCCACATCATCTGCGCCCAACTCCAATCGAAGCTATTTTGCACTAGATTGATAACGAATTACTATACACTATATCCATCTTAAGGCGAGAATGTTCATCAAGGATGCTAAGCTCATCTAGGTACAGATGCATGGATGATTGACATAACCTCTCCACCAATCACAGATTATGTCCAGATCAGATCCCTAGTTCACTCACAGATCAGATTCCAGATTTGTGCACTGAGCAAAGCAGATAATCTCTAGCATGTATTTGCTGGGAGGCAAGGGATGCTGATCTTCAACGGCACAGCGATGGAATGGCCCTGATCAAGGTCCCTCTACTCCGTACCGAGTGTCGATCTAGTCCCGGGATCCAACCTTCCACTACAAGCCGGGCGGCACAATGAGCTTCGCTGTTTGGGATCAGCATGCCTCGGGGATTCGTCCATTCCGAGTGAGGCTGTGCGGCTCCCTCGCCGGGAATACTGTTTGCAGTAAGGAGGTCCGATATCTCTGCGGTCTATGCATCATCCTCGCATTAGACAGTCTCTAAACTTTATTTGTTCTTTGTGCTAGTTATTGACTATATGATATCATTGAGCTACGCTTGGTTAACTTTTGTCTTTTTTCTCCTCTTCCCGGTCTCTGCGTGCGTAAGCAACATATCGTGGTTATTTCCGGACTATAGCTTCTCCGGTGTCGTGATTTGGTGCATAGTTTGGGCTCTAGAACTTGGTCTTCATTCACCCAGTATCGCTGCTAGAGCCTGAAAGTGTAAAGGGTATTTAGTTAAATAGTTAACGCTTATTTACCTTTGTACAATGCCGGATGGTACCTACATAGTAGCTTTGTTGAAGCTTCCAGTTCAGACTCACATTACTACCTTATTAGGTTATATTAATGCTTAATATGAGTGGGCAGAAGGCATATCTTCATACATTAACTATAGATTTTACAACATATGTATACGGTTTCATCTACGAAATGTTCGAGTTATAGCTCCTATTTCTAGTCTTACATAAATTATCTTATATTATAGTTATGTATAGTAATTAAAACTAGTATGCAGTTTGTATGGGTCTATTGTTTGTTGGGTGCACCTAGAGAGTGCATGTGCGGCTACTATTGCATCCGATATATAACCACAAGGCAACAATTCTATTTTTCTTTATTTTCCCACAGCAATCTTTTTTCTTCTCCAAAAAAGAGCCACCACATATAAACGAATACAGGCTATGATAACAAGAGATAATATGAAGCGGAAAGCAACTTGGCCCTGGAGGGGTTGGCTCGTAGCTCAATCCTGGAACCCTCGGGAAGTCCCGACATCCGGACATCCACGGGGTTTGCTATGGTTTTTATTTTCTCACATCCTGCTCATGATACAACGAATTATGAGCCTTCTATAACAGCCCAGGTTGCAACCTGCAAGGTTACCTAGATATTGATATGAGACTGAGGTTGCACATGCAGTGGGTTGCACGTTGCCGTGCCAACGAAACCGTTGACAGCTCAACAGCCGGAGCAACATGGGACACCAACCTTAAAAGAACAACAAAAATCCCTGGGGACTCCAGCACCGACCTGGTCAGCGCAAAAATAGTGATTAATTTGCTCCTCTGAAATCGCTCTTATCACCGTCAGTCCCCATAGGGTCTCACTGGTGTGAGAAACAACACGGCAACCATGGCAAGGCTCAACACAGCTAACCCCTTGGTCAAAAATATGCCTCACAAAGAGAATGTCGCACGTAACCAGGGGACATCCCACAACAGTCCACTGCCCAGAGAGCCATGTATGAATTTCAGGAACACAGCCAAGCACAATATGCCCACCAAGCCGCAGAGTCAGTCGCAACGGCAGGCAAATGGCTCAAGTGGATCATTCGTTATATTCCCCGACAGCGAATCGGCATCGGAAAGTGAATTTGGACAGCACAGGTCCACCGGAAAGCAGCAAAAGCAAAGAACACTAGGACTCGCTCGTGTGAATTCCTTACTGTTACCAGCAAAGCGGAGACCACGTCCAGCCATCCGAAGGGAGACAGAAGATTATGACAAGGAGAATGACGTGCCAGAATATGCCACGGATGGATATCGAACTCCAGATTTAACACCAACAAGGCCGAGCCCCTCACAGGCTCCTACAAGAAGTAGGATGGATTATATCGCCGCTACACAGCCAGTGATTGACCGCCGAGAAGAAGAACGAGAAGAGCTGGAGAACAGCTTTGAAGAAGATAGTTCTGACTCACTAGACGGGTTCATTGTCAGTGACAATGAAGAGCTGAGCTCCTTTGAGACATCAGATTCCGAGACAGCCGACACAGAAGATGAACCTAGCCCGGCTCCGTCGCCTGTCAGGTCGCCAAGAAAAAGACTCATCCGTGGAAGAAGACCAGTGTCGGAAGCGGAATCAAACACTACTGTAGATGAGGAGCCACCAATGGAAGTGACAAAGTTGGCGACAGAGCTGGATGAATCAATTAAGAAAACAAAGGCAGTCGCTCCAGCACCCGAAGACTGCACACCAGATCTTGCCGCCAGTTTCAATTCTACCTCCCCTGTCCATAGGGCAGAGACACCAGAGCCCCAGGTTGATTCAAGCACTCTTCACTTCGGCCTCCACAACTCCAATGACTTGATCCAACACTTCGAGGATCTTGGTCTAGGCAGCGACGATGAATCTACATCAAAAACACAGACAGAGAAGCCTAAGTAGGTCCTGCGGTGTGCATTTATGTACACTCTCGGTCTCGCGACGATTGTTCGTACTAACTTCTCACAGTTCGGAATCAGAGGATGAACTACCGTTGCAGCTATACCCAAGCCACACAAAGAAATCACCAGTGACACCATCACGCACAAACCCTCACTTTTCTCTCAATCACTTCTCTCTCAATCGGTCTATCACATCGGTTGATACCTCGCCGGGCATGGCTGCTCCCACCACCGTAAAGGCCCAGAAAAAGGCCGAGGCGGCTCGAAAGCGCGAGATCAAAGCCCAGATAGCCGAATTCAATCAATGCAAGATCGGTTTTGCCAAAGAGTTCCTCCGGCACCTTGACAGTGTCTTCGGTGACCGGATTACTAGCATGACCGAAGAAACCGGTGGGATCAAAATCATCTGGACAAAGAATTTCAGAAACACCGCCGGCCGGGCAACCGTACGTTCAGAAAGATTCTTCCACGGAGCATCCGGCGTAGAAGAACCCGGGAAACGGTGTTACCATGCCACCATTGAGCTCTCCGAGAAAGTCCTGGACAGCGAGGACAAGATTCTCTGCACCATGACCCACGAGTACTGTCACCTCCTCGATATCATGGTCACTGAAAATAAAGCCAAGGGCACGGCACAGCACGGCGCGAGCTTCAAGCAATGGGGCGATCGATGTGTCCGTGCACTGGAAGGACACCCTATCTACGGGGGTCGGGTCGAGGTCACGACTAAGCATACGTATGAGATCAACCACAAGTACATCTGGGCCTGCAAGGCTCAGGGCTGTGATTTCAAGGTCGGGCGACACTCGAAGAGTGTTGACCCAAAGCGTCAGTTCTGCGGCCGTTGCAGGGGCGGTCTCGAGCAGATCAAGCCGGTGCCGAGGGCCATGGCGCCGAGGAGGCCTGTTGTAAAGGCGATGGTTGCGGAGAGAGAGATTGTGGTCATTGATCCTTGATGTCTAATGGACCGGTATGCTTGTGAATAGTTGAGTATGACCACTGGGTTTACGAGCCCTGTATAATGAATTCATGAATGTCTGGCCATGTCGATTGATTTTTGGACCGGTAATGATTGGAAATAATTGAGTATGGCCAGTAGGGTTATCAATAAGCCCAATATAATGAATAAATGAATGTCTGCCTATGCCAATTAATTTTCTACGATAGTAGATCCAAGTGGGCGCTTCTTTTGTAAAAGTAGCGGAGACGACGTGGCACTAGAATGCCACCGAAAACCAGACACTAGAGTGTATGTGGGGCATATAGTGCTTTACCTACTCCTAAGCCAACAACAGACTAGGTATTTCCCCATCCACGGCCATTGATGATGTAATCGAAAACTTCGGAGAAAAGACACTTGAAGATGATTTTGATGCAGCCGGTTTCCTCGGTCATGCTAGCAATGTATCAAAGGCATTGTCAAGGGTTCGGAGGAACTCCTCAGCAAGGCCGATTTCCTTTCGGTTGAATTCGGCCAGTTAGACTCGAATAGTTTTCGCTCCACCTCGGCTTTTTTTTCTTTCTGCCCTTTTGAGCCTCTTGGTGGGAAAAGTCGGTCAATACGAGGCCCCTCTAACCCTAACTAAAATGCTAGATACTTTATATAGAGTTTGCAAGATAAACGCTATAGCTATATATGTTTTAATAGAATGCATCGGATCAATACTAAAGTTCAAAATATAAGCATAGTTAACACCCTCGGAAGTGTATTTAGTAGCTGACTGGACCGAGCAAGTGCCAAGGCATATATACAAGGTTACTTCGGAGTGGCCAGCGTAGATATGAATGCCACGTTTCAGGCTATTTTATTCTGCGCTAATGATATAGCGTACTAAATTTTCATATCCCGTAATATGGAAAGACTTGTTAAGGTTTTGTCGTGCAGAGTCATCAGAAGGTAACCTTGCAAGGTTCCAAGTCACATATAAAATCATTCTATGAACCAATTAACCCCAGACTTTTGCTAAGCAATTGGAAGGTTATGGTTTTTTATAGTATAATGATATAATGATTCATGTTAGATGCATATATATACATATATATATGCGAAACTAGGCGAAGACTAAATATTATAGGCTTGCTAGTTTATAGACTCTCAAGGCTTATTTGGCGTACTACTAACGAAACTAAGGTTCGCTGTTGTATCTAATTAAGCACCTGTCCGGATCTAGAACTCGGATTAGTTACTTCATCTAGAGTTGGAGTAAGGTTGATAACACTGCTTCGGGTGTAAAACTCCCGGATTACACCAATCGGACTGACTCTCTCAACTGGGACTAGGGACCACTTGATGACACCGAGAAAAAGGATAATCTTCCTCGCATTCAAACATAACCAGCCGATAGAACAAATTTCAAATACGTAGTGCTACAAATAATAGTGGACCTCTATGTCATGAAGCTCGTTGGCTCATAGGGCTTCGCATCATCCCGGCACATCCTGAAGGATTCCCACCAATGCCGAGAATTAGTAGTTGCTCAGTTTAAGGTTCATCCTTGACCAGATTTAGATGTAACTATACAGCGCGGAGAAAATAAAGTCCCACAAATTTCTACTGCAGCCCGCTCCATCCGCAGAAATACGTACGTCGATGCCAGCCCTTGCTTCTTGAGTACAACCTTACTGCTTACGTGCTTTATATTGATCTAATCATCCCTCGAGAGAATAGGTGATGTCCACTATATGACTTTCTGTACCCTCTAAATATTCATCTAGTATTCAGAGCAAGAAACAATGTCAAACTTCACAGACAAGACGGACAATTATCCGACCTTGAGTCGTCCGTTCGAATCAATGAGACCAGAGTATGATGTCGTTATTGTAGGATCTGGCTATGGAGCTGGAGTAGCGGCAAGTCGAATGGCCCGAGCAGGGAAGAGTGTCGCAGTGCTAGAGCTTGGCTGGGAAAGAAGGTGTATGGATTGAGAGGCTTTCAATTAAGATACCACCGCTAACATTCCCGTAGCTGGTTCATTTCCGCAATCATTCTCTCAATGTCTCAGGGATGTGAGTATCTCCGGGAGTTCTGTAAAGAGCTCCTTCATCTCAAATTGGGTGTCACCTGGTGACCCCACGCGGCTTTTTCAATTATTTTTGGGCGATGGACAGCATACCTTTGCTGCTCATGGTATGTGAACGAAACTCTATATATCCCCACAATGTTCATGAGGGAAACCCAACAGCTTTTTTTTAATTGATTCTGGATAATAGGACTTGGAGGAACTTCATTGATCAACGCTGGGGTTTTTTTGAAAGCGGATGAAAGAACACTGCAGATGAGCCCGTGGCCATCAGAGATCAGAAATGAGCCACTTAAACTCGATGAATGTGAGTTATATATATACGTATGGCGGCGATCATTTAATAACTTATAGCCAATACAGACTATGCACGCGCCGAAACAATGCTACAACCTGTCACGTATCCGGATAATTCAACACTAAACAAACTTGAGCATCTCCAGGGAGAGTCAAGATGGCTCGGAGAGAAAGAAAAATTTTACCGAGTGCCATTAACCATATTTTTTCACAATGGCCGCAATAGTGCAGGTGTCCCAATGCAGGCAAATAGACACTCAGGCCATGAGTGCACTGGTCTTAACGACGGTTCAAAAAACTCGGTGGCAACAACATATCTTGCAGATGCTTGGAATTGGGGAGCCGAGATATTCTGCGGATGTGAAGTTCAATTTGTAGAAAAGACAGACGGTGGAGGCTACACTATACACTTTGCCTGGCATGGAAGTGGAAGGTCGGTGTTTGAAGATCATTTCAAGGAACAACTCTTCTGGGTCAAAGCAGTAAGTAACAAATTCACCCTTCAGAAATGGACATCCCAACTTACTCTGTCTACTTAAATTACATCAGAAGGAATTTTGCTTTCTTGGGGCTGGTGCTTTAGGAACTACTGGAGTCTTGCTTCGGTCAAAGCAACACGGTCTCCAAATGTCACCGCTCGTTGGAAGAAATCTCTCGGGAAATGGTGACCTTCTAATATTTGGTATGTACCTCTCCGGAAAATAACCCGAGCAAATTTGATTTACAGATTCAAGGTTACAATGGAGGTGCCAATATCAACGGGATCGCCCGTGAATCCTCGCGTGCTCCCCCTGGACCCACCGTCACGGCTGTTATTGATAACCGAGTCGGTGACCCTCTGAAAAACCCATTGGCCGGATATGTTATTCAAGATGGCTGCATTCCTGAGGTGTTCAGCCCAGTAATTCAAATCATGTTCACTCTACAGACCATAAAGAACCAGGTGCTGTCTTTTCTTTGGAATCCTTGCCAAGAAGCCTGGAAGACCCTTGCCTCTTTCAATTCTCTGCTATTTGGCCCATACGCATACCATGGAGCTCTCCAGCGGACTTCAACCTATCTTGTGATGTCTCATGATAGCAATGAGGTAACATTGACACTGAAAGATGATCAATTGTGCCTGCGGGGACCGGCAGAAGGACGGTCTGAGCATTTCAAATGGATAACAAAGAAGTTCAAGGAGCTTTTTGCTCGCACAGGAGCAATGATAGGATTTTCATATTTTTACGGTAAGTATCAATAATCGTCACAACAAAGCTATGCTAAACATAACCTAAGGTTGTCACCAGGAGGAAATTACAGTCCATCTCCTCGGAGGAGCCAACATGAGCAACGATGGAACAGGACATGGGGGTGCAACAAATCATCTAGGAGAGGTCTTCAGTGGCTCTAATAGTGAAGTACACAAGGGTTTCGTGTGCTGCGATGCATCTGTCATCCCGACAGCCCTGGGTATGTCAAAAAAGAGATCTGATGGCTTGTTATGTGCTGATTCTGACAGGCGTAAACCCACTGGCCACAATATCTGCACTCGCTGAGCGGTCCGTCAATTTGCTCACCGAGAGATCTGGATTGTCTATTAACCTCGCGACTAAAAATCAGCCATTGAACGCCTACAGCAAGCCTAGTGTATCATGGGATTCCTACGACCACCAAGACAGTATTAAAAAAGCACTTCCGTCAATAGGATGGCAATTCACGGAGACTATGCATGGGCACATCAACATGGGGCCGGAGATCGGAAGTTTTGCACTTTCTGAGAGGGTAGGAAAGGGTTCATCCTGCGCGATGCGGATGTTCTTAACGATCGAAATTTGCCGAGAAGGTAAGGAATTGAGAGAGTCTTTTAGTAGTAAAATGCTCACATGTATAGATTCTCAATACCAAGGAAAATGCACCGGCACGGTTTCTTGTCGCGCATTATCTGCAGCCACGCTCAAGATTGTCGATGGGACGGTGGACTTCTTCACGCCAATAGAAGAGAATGCCGAATCATTAGCAATTTCATATAAACTGAAGCTCCTCTCGGTAGAGGGCAAACAGTACCACCTGAAAGGCCACAAGCTCATCAACTCGAACTTAGCATTCTCAGTCAGAAAAACTTGGGAAGCAACAACTACAGTGAACGTCAATATCACTCGATCAGACGGGATAAATATTGGAGCAGGTGCCCTTCATATCTCATTTCCAGACTTCAGAAAGCAGATCCGAACATTCCGGACAACAAAAGATTTCCAGATCAGCCTTATCTTGGCCTTGATGGTATTTTTAGTTACTTTTATGTACCATATCAGTCTCTTCTTCTTTCGTCCTTTCGCCCGCATGCGCTTCCCTCAGATCCCAACTAAAACCACCGATTCAAAACAACCACCTTCAAAAGAATTACCTCCAAAACAACCTCCTTCACTCTCGTGCAACTTCACCGCAAGCGATGGCGTACAGGTCCACCTTGATATATATGACCCTGTTTCTATACAAAAGATAGGCGACCCGGTACCCAAGTCCAACCTTCCACCAGTCCTACTTTTACCCGGAGTCACCGGGATCGGCGCGATGCACAATTTGTACGCACTGCCATTCTTGCGCCGCAACATGGTTGAGTATCTCACGCAGCGTGGACACAAATGCTACGCACTCACTCCTCGCTGGGGCTGTGATCCCACCGTTGCCCAGAAAAGTACCGTCTTCGACTGCCGTCTTGACGTTGCTGCTGCAATAGCATACGTTCGCGAAGAGGAGCGGCAGAAGCTCTATGTGGTAGCTCATTGCCAAGGCTCGGTGGCTCTCTGCATGGGACTGCTGGATGGAACCATCCAGAGTAGCCACCTTCTCGGTATTACTGCGAACTCAGTCTTCATGAACCAGGTCTTTGGGTATTGGAACTCCCTCAAAGGAAGGACGACTCTACTGATCCAATTTTATGAATTATTCGCTGGAAATTACTTCCCGATTATCAGCAATGCTAAAAGTGCTCTTTTCGAACGATTACTCGATATTCTCCTTCGTTTCTATCCTGTTGGGCACGTGCGAGATATCTGCACGTCTACAGCGTGCCATCGGACATCTTTCGCTTTTGGGTTACTATGGAATCATGAGAACCTTGACACAAATATTCATGACAATGTCCACCAATTTTTTGCAGGGACCAATACAAAGATTATGAAGCAAGTGGTTCGCATGGGAACTCGCGGGGTCTGCATGGATAATGATTTACGCCCCCTTATGACGGCTGAGAATTTGCAACGGCTGCAAGGGTTACCAATTCTCTTTGTCTCAGGCACGGATAACCAAGTATTCAATCCCGAGACTACCCTCAAGGACTATGAGTTGTTGCGACGACGATTTGGCGAGAGGCTTTATCGCAGATTTCTAGTCGATGGGTATGGGCATCTCGATCCTATCGTGGGGAAAGATGCGGACAAGGATGTATATTGGAGGATCTGTGCGCATTTAAGATGGTGCACGGAAGAGATGGGAAATACGAAACCGAAGACTAACGGACTAACGAACCTGAAAACGAACGGAATAACGGGTGTGAAAACCAATGGAATATGAGAGAGGTGATATAGCCAGACAACGATATAGAGATAATGCATTGAAGTTGAGGGAATACACAGCTACTACATTGCCACTACTCTTCAGGGATTAAAGAGGGCTGAGTGTTGAATGTTTTGCACTTCTACCTTGAGTTTATCTACCTTGAGTTTATCTATAACGAATATCTGTATACATATTTCCAACATGGTCCAATTCTGTGAGGACTACGGCCATCTTCTTCCAGTATCATCAGCAGAACAGATTCCGTGTGAACTATGTGGAAAGTCTAAAAAAAGTGACACAATCACCCTGGAAGATTTTCTTTGTTATTGATACTCTTTGAACTTCAGATACCATGCTTACTGACGCTCAAATGTCTTCATCGACCAATTTCCCCTCAAGGCTTCGGACCAAACTCCTTTCCAACACCCAGGTTGTCTCTCAGAAGGACCTTGGCGATGGTCCTATAACAGATATGGAATGTCCCACGTGCTCGAATCCTAAAGCGACCTGGACTGAGGCGCAACTTCGGAGTGCCGACGAAGGAAGTACGATCTTTTATTGTTGCACTAAATGCAGACACAGGTATTTAAATCACCCCTTCGTCACCTATCTTTGCTGATTGGATTTAGATGGCAAGAAAATAATTGAAAGGAAAATCTACATGATAGCTCATATAAGGCTGTATACAAAGTGGATTAAACTACTCCGCTAAATATCAAGATCAGCCAATAAAACGAATTTATATTCTCGAGTGGGACCCCAATCACTCGTAGTCGCTTGGATAACTTCATGTTTGGAGGCAAATAATAGAAAGACCCACAATCTAAGATCGGTTCCTGACTTTCACAGCAAAAGAAATTTGCCGTCCAATCCGTAAAAAAAAGCCCTCACCTAGACATATCCCCAAAGCACCAACCATGTCTCAAGTTGTATATATCACTACAGAACCCTCAGACAAGATTCTCGTAGAAGGAATCCTCCATACACCCGATTGGATCCACCCACATCTAATTGAAAGCATCGACCCGATCAAAGGTCGCCAATTTCGCGTTTCCGGTCCCATCCCTAAAGGCGCCTGTCTCCTCGTCGATTCCCCCTACGCAATTATCCCCGTCGTCGACGAACCCGCCCACAACGACAATCTCATCTGCAGCAATCCCGCTTGTAATCGGCCGGCACCTTGGCATACCCGGACTTCATGTCCGAATGCCTGTATCCCGGATGTGACGTGGTGCAGCAGCACATGTCGTGACGCGGATAGTCTTCGACATGGGTTTGAATGCGCTTGGCTCAAACGGTATGCTGGGACTATTCGGTCTAAGTGGAGTGAATATGATTTTGGCATGCTGTGGGTGATTATTCGATTGCTTGCTGCGCGATATTGTCAATTGAATGAGCAGACGGCGATTGGGATTGATGAATCGAAGAGGCTTTGGAAATATGGCTGGAGTGGCATTGAATCGCTTTGTGGTTCTGAGGATACTTGGCCTCATGACAAGGTCCGATCTTGGTCTGCGCTTGTGAAGAAGTATTTGAAGAACAGTCCTGCTCTTCCACATGAGATGAGTGCAGATCGTGTTCTTCATCTCATTTGTCAGGAAGAGGCAAACTCATTTGGGCTTTACCCGCGAGAAACAGGTCATTTCCCCTTGCCGAACCCTCCTGTCGACAGAGGGGAGCAGTTCGCTGCTGCTGTTTATCCCACTGCGGCAATTGCGAATCATTCGTGCCTGCCAAATGTAAGTGGACATTTCCCCCGGTCTCTAGACTTGTGAAAGTAATACTAAACCACCACAAGATTATCCATAAAGCCGACGATAATGGCCGTATGGTATTCACTGCGTCCCGTGACATTTTTCCAGGCGAAGAATGCTGCATTTCATACTTCGACCTGATAGAATATACGGATCTTAATTTGCGTCGCGAGCATCTTCGAAAATCGTTCCGTTTTGTGTGCCAATGTGAACGATGTGTTTCCGAAGAGTCCGCGGATGAATCCGCAGAACCAGAAGGGACTGCAATGCCAATGATGGATATATGAGAATCACTGACTATAAAATGAATAGATCAATAGAGACCTAGATAGCGCTATACCACAATACAACTTCTGATTTATACTGTATAGATTAATACGTCCCTGTATAATCTTTTAAACACACAAGATAGTTTTGATTCAATTGTTGTATTTCTATCTACTTGTCCCAAAGCGCATATGGCACTTGTTCCCTATTCCAGCTATTACAGCCATATCCTCCCAATAAAATACCAATCCCAATCCCAATCCACTATCTGCCATCCAGATCCATAGTATAAAAAACAAAACAAAAAAACACTTAAACAAAGAGACCCCAATCACAAATCTGCAATCTGCCCAGCAAAGCCCCAATAGTCTCCTCCGCAACAACCTCTTCAAGCGACAAGCCCCTAGGATCGCCATTCTTATCAAACTCCTCATGAGGCACATTAAAGAAGACCAAAAAGTCCGTCTCCTGAGCCTCCAGTCTAACAAGCAAGAAATGGCACGTCAACTTCGAAACCTGCGGCAAGCCACCAGAATCGCCATTAATATGCGCACCAAGCACACTTGAATCCATAATACCCGCAGCCGACCCTTCAGCCGACGCAGGGACACGGCCGGCGCCGGCGCCACGCACCGGCGTCGTGAAGGAGACAACGCCGCGATACGCCTTGACAGCGGAAGGCGCGGAAGAAGCAAGCTGGATGTCGACGCGCGTGGGAGACACGATTACTTGCATGGTGTCGCCTTCATCGCAGAGATCGTTCAGGTGGTACAGGGCAGCGGCTTGGTCGATTGTTTCTGCTGTTGCGGGCGCGGCGCTGCCGCTGCCTGGCGTGGCGGTGGGTTGGTGGTTGAGCGTGGCGAAGGTGCTTAGAGCTTCTGCTGCTGGCACGCGCTGGTTGATTTCAATGATTAGGTTGGAGAGTGTTGTTGGTGAGAGCCATAGCTCTTGGTGGTCGGGGACTTCGCGGAGGGTGCTGGGATTGAGTGTTAGTTTTGGATTGTTTTTTTTTGACTGGGATGTTCTGGGATGGAACGGGGAATGGATTGAAGGAATAAATGGGGTTTTCATGCATAGGGGGATTGTATACTAACCTCGAATCGATCCAGCCTTGTGGCACGACGCCTCGAATGGCTCCGCCGAAGAATTCTTGCTCGGTGAATTGAGACATGTTGGAGGTGATATGTCGTGATTATAAGACGAAGGGGTTTGATATTTCTTCTTTCTTCTTTCTTTTTTGAAAGGATATTCTGCTGATTGTGCAAGAGCGGAATCAAATCCAAGTTCTTCAAGATAAATTGCGGATTTTTTCTCCGGACGCTTTTTGCTTGAAGTTCGACAATACTGAAGAAGACAGGCGATATTGGAGAATAGCACAGAGTAACAGGGACTATATAGTTCCAGAATATAGAATTCGTTTAGGTAGACGAGCAGACGTGCATGAGGCAACAGTTCGGGCGGCTGTTTTCCGCCCAATGACGTTGGGCGGTTTGACGATTTAGCGGGGTGTTGACTGCTGTTGACTCAGTACACGACTATGAACTACATTAAGCGATTTTTCGAGTCAGAAATTTAAGAAGTTTGAGTCACAAATAATAGCTGGCAACGATCCGTCCTGATTTCATTTGAAATTCAAATAATAAAGTAATTCCCCGCCACCTGAAGCGGCGCTTCACCATTTACATCCTAGGTAGCCTCGGAAGACGCAAGCTACCCTTCTTTAAACCCTTTGCTGGACCCTCCTCGGGTGAATTTGTGGTATCAATCCTTGCAAGGAAGGGATGACTAGCAGGGTCTGATGAATGATGCTTCAGAGTCACTCCAAGAGACTGTTGAAGGAAGCAAGCTGCTCTCCTTCTCTGGACGCTGGTTGTTCCAAGTCTTACTTCAAAACTCTTCTTGGAAGAGCTCCTCCAGATATCGGTCAAGCTCAACCAGCTTGAAGCGCTCTCCCCACCGAATCCGGAACTCCTTCTTCCGGTATGCATAGCTGGTTCCCTGAGCGAAGCTCACTAGCTCAATGTTCCAGCCGCGCTGCAGCGCGCGCTCGACCATCTTCATGAAACCGCCCGAGAACTCGGCCACTGCCGCATCACCCGTCGCCAAAACAATCGTCGCCGGGTCTACTGTGTCCACAAGACTCTCCAGAATTTTCAGGTGGAGGATCTCGTCCACACCCTGCTCAACCCATCGCTCTCCAGAGGCGGCGACCGTTTCAGGACCGCTAGATCCACCCTGGGAACTGTAACCGGGATACTTTCGCGACTTACGATTGCGACGGGGTGTGACCGCCTTCACCTTGTGTACACGCTCGAGGATATTCGTTTCGTAGCCGAGTGTCTCGGCTTCGTCGGCAAAGGGAAGGTGATCAGAGCCGACCAAGACTTTCTTGGCGACCTGGCGGCCGCGCTCCATGATCAATGAGAGGTTGGAGAAGGACATGTGGACACGAGGAATTCGGGTCGACAGAGGGATATTTCGCGAGGTTTTCACCGCATCGTGAAATCCCACCATGATCTAGGATGAATTAGCTTTAGAATAGTTTCATAGATGGAGAACCGAAATATATGCACATTTGACATGTCAACAAAGACATGGATAGGAGGTGAGTCAATATCGGATATCTGTCCGACTTGATACACGATGTTGGCGTAGGTAGGGAAATGGCCAACAAGTCTGATCATCAAGGTGGCTCTTCGCTCCGCAGCCGATTGGTGCAGGATAGACCGCACACGAGTACCTCCAGAGGAAGCATGTCCTCGGATGGTATCGGCATTCAGTGTCCAGTCATTGTCATCAAATGACGACGGTGGGGTATCCAGAGGGCGAGTCTTTGCTCCAAGCTTGTTGACACGAGATGAAGCAAATGGAATAGGCACAGGTCTATCAGAAATGGAATAGTCGCACACGATACTTGTATCCGATTCAAGCCCAGCGCTTTCTTCGGACGTAATTGGGTTGTTGCGCGTGTTCTTTCGGAAATCTTTTCCACGAGACCGAAGCTTGCGTTTCGCCGTAGGAGTACCAGTTAGATCACCAACACTAGCTCTAGCAATCACCACTGGAGGGGTCGGTGGAGTACCAAATTTCACATTGGCACTCATTCCAGAAGACTCATGACCTGGGCTTCTCTTCAGAATAGTGAAAGATTGACCCCCCAAACCAGCAGGAATACATGTCGCGTACGTGTTTGAACTAGAAGAAGAATAAGGGTCATTGCCGGTGATAGTGTCCTTGAGGGCCCGTGGCTTTGACTCAGTGATGATACAAGAGTTGAAGGATGAAACAGGAACGGATGTTTCAATGTCAAAGAAGTCAGAGAATGAGACATTTTTGGCGGGTCTTGCTGCCGAGCCAGAAGGCAGTTCATCGAGTGATGGAACCTTCCCTAGCTCAGATTCGGTGGTCTTTGTGGGTCCTAAAGTTGGCGAGACACATGCAGGAGCAGGGCCCCCATTGAATAGTTCCCAAAGAGAATCAAAGTCACCAAGCTTTGGGTTAGCCCGCTCAGAGATAGTTTCTGTGAGCCTTCCATGAGTGGTGTAGTGGGGGTCACCCTTGGCTTGTTCACCAAATGAGGGGACTGTAGATTGATTGTGGCGACTGGGTTTCGCCGTGCAACCGTCGATGGGCAACCGTAGTAGGTCATGCACTGGAGTAAAGTCCCAGGCTGAAGGGACAGGGGGATCTGAGTTAAGCATTGGTGGCTAAATGAGAAGGGTGAAACGGCTGTGTAACGGGTTCGTGTGTTGGGAGTTTGGATGATAGCAAATGAAGGAACGATGGATTCAATGGTGTTGTCACCAAATACTGATCAGATTGATAATCACGAAGAATCAGAGGAAGATGCATGAAGAAGAACAGATCTTATCTACATAGTGAGTCAGAAGGGAAGGATGAGGCATGAAAGCAAACAAGTTGATCGATGGACACTACAGTTGATGCCCGAGGTGACGGAGGCGGTGAGGGGTTCTGCCAAATCTCATTGACCGCCTATTATCATTGTTCCCAATTAGGCTTAGTAGTGGGGTATAGGCTATGTCATGTGATTATCAAGCATGTGACAGTGATATAATCATGTGATCTCTCAAGCTTGGCAACCGCTCGTCCTGGACATCTTCAAATGATGTCATCCCTACTCCCCAGAGAAACTTGTAATGGAGCGAACTAACTTTGCACCACTGGGTGCCACAGCCTCTACGTCGTTGAATGGTCATTTTCTGGGCCGTAGGAACCATGCTGATTGGAGAAACAGTTGTTTACATTGCCGGTTATCCCAGGCAACCTTGGAAATAGATTTGTATACACCTTGCCTAGCTGGGGGTAGTATCTGGTTTCCATTGTGAATAAATTAAGTTGATCACGACAGCAAACAACCACGACGTCATGTAATTTCTCTTTATGAGCTATGAGGCCAAACAAACCTATATAAACCCCCCTCTACGCCTCTTTGGCTATTCTTCCTTCATCAACATCTCCTATTTCAACCAAACTACACAGTCTACTTCTTCTACTTTCAACCACCAAACTTCAATCAAACTTCATCATGTCGGACACCGGTCGCAAGGATTTTACCACCAGTATGTGGCACTGCTTTACCTGCCTGTCAAGATGTTAAGACATCGTTACTAACCACTTATTCCTACAGAGGCCAAGGAGGAGTTCACTCCTGACTCCACCAAGTCTACTCAGGAAAAGGTCAAAGAGACTGTCACCGACACCACTGATCGTGCCAGCCGCGGCTTGCAGACCGATGATAGCAAGGGTGTTGGCCAGGAGGCCTTCGATAAGACCCAGCGTGCTAGTGACAACCACGGCCACGGCGGCGCCACTGGCTCCATGTAAGCTATTCTGTCCTTTGAACCAAAGCGTCATATTCTAACCATATCTCCAGTGGCGACAAGGTCAAGGGTGCTCTCGGCCTCGGCGGCAACTAAGATGGTCTTCGTTAGGCGAGTGATCATTATCATGGTCATTCCACAACTTCGAGTGCAGCTATGCACTCAAGACTCATGAGTTCACGATACCAATTACATATTTCCAAATATCCAGAGGACTTGCTCCTCGAATTCATCATATTTTCAAGTGAAAGCTGTTTCATGCATCATGTAGACAAATTTTTGTAAGAAGGTAGTTCTACAGATAGTCTCTAACAAGACGACTAAAGCTAGTTTAAGCATCTGTTCAGATATATTTGTCCTGCAAGCATTTTTACAGCCTCAATTACCTATAGGGATAAATGAACCGATTAGCCGTCAAACCCACTCACTAGCCTTAGTCCTCCTGAATGCCAAAGGATGGAGAGAACTGGCATTAGGACCGCTCGTCTATACCGCTGAGTAATGAGTCTCGTTGTCGCTTAAGCTGCCCAAGCGCACGCTCTAGCTCTTTATATTTTGCCCGTGCCCCTGGAGTATCTTGGGGAAGATCATGGTATGCCCTCACGCGACCTTGCAGCGCCTTGACCGTCTCCCGCATCCTGATAACATTCTCCTCCTCCGCCACTAGTTCCTCAATGGTCGGCCCCCGGGGCTGGACTTTTTCTAGTGATGCAATGCGATCTTGGTACTCCCCGACCTTGATCGCAAGTGTCTTCGTGCCGCGTGTCCACTCCGATGTCAGGCTTTGTGTATCAGAAGGTATCTCATACGCCACATCGGTCTTCAATTCCTCAAGCTCCGTCTGTAGCCGTGCTAGCTCTCGTTGGAGGTATCGATGCAATGTATCGACCTTTGCAATTTGTTCCTGGGCCTCGAACTCCTCCATCGTGAGCTCCACAATCGATTGCCCCAGATCCCCCGGGTTCGGATTTAAGGTATTGCCCAGAGCTGCGGCGGAGTCGGCGAGGTCCTCTAGATCGCGTCTTCCTTTATCATCCAAACACATCTCGACTTCCTCAAGGAGTTGGTTCTTCTGTTGTTCGTGGGGATCGTTGCGTTCGAACTCTTCCCGTATTTTGTATGCTTGCACAGCCTCCTCGCGCGCTTGATGTTGTAGATCGGCTTCTTCGTCTGCAGCATCGTTGGCTGCAGCTAGTGTCAGGAGAACGCGGAGTGTATCTTCATTGCGCTCGAACTTGGGGACTGGTTTGGGCGCGTATTGTCGATTGAGCCAAGAGTTCACATACGCCCAATCTTTAGCTTGGATCGCGGCCTGGCGGGCCTTAGCCGGCGAAACGAGTGGACTATCCATGTAATCAGGTAGCAATGCAATTCCAGAAATGAATGAGATAAATCACGAGTAGAAAATAAATAAAAGTAGTGTGTTAACGATAAGATACGGTGAAGGCGGTCGATGCGCCAAGTGCGAGGTTGTCCTCTACTTCCCCTCGCCGACCCTCCGCTGCGTTGCTCGAACAACAATGACTAGCTACTTTGCACCAAGTGGCAGTGCCAGTAATGGTGCGAATACGCCGAACGCATCGTCCCAATTATCCCCGTCAGCGCAGCGCCCGACCGCGCTCACCAATCGGTTGACAACGGTTCTGTCGGCATCGTATGCGGACTCGGACATTCGGGACTCGCTCGAGACTTTGAGCTTGAGGGGCATTCACAACACCGCGGAAACACGTCGGCAACTACGACTAGATGTTCAAAAGGAAGTTGTCGATTGCAATGCGGAGATCGTTAAGGACTTTGGAAAAGTGGCAGAGGTGAGACTCCTATTGCTCCTTTAGAGATTGGGAGCTGGAACTCTAATTCCGAATGGCAATGACAGCAATTGAAACGGATCGGATCGGTGGTGTCAACACTCAATCAGACATGCGAGGATATGCGCAAACGAATCAACCTCGCAAAGCAGGATACCACGCCGGTACTCGAGGAGGCCAGCGCCCTGATGACACAGAAGAAAGAGACCGAGACCAAACAACAGCTGTTGGAAGCCTTTTCGAAACATTTCTTGGTCCCAGAAGAGGACTTATTGGTCTTGACATCGGCGGAGGAGCCCGTTGACGAGCGGTTCTTTGACGTGCTAGCTCGTGTTAAGCAAGTGCACCACGATTGCGAGGTCCTGCTCGGCGGCGAGAATCAACGGCTGGGCTTGGAGGTGATGGAATTGAGCACTCGGAGTCTCAACTCAGCATACCAGAAACTCTACCGATGGATCCAGAAAGAATTCAGGTCCCTAAATCTAGAGGACCCTCGCATCAGCAATTCGATCCGCCGCGCTTTACGGGTGCTGGCAGAACGCCCGAGCCTATTCCACAGTTGTTTGGATTTCTTCGCGGAGGCACGGGACTATGTGCTGTCCGATGCTTTCCACTATGCGCTGACTGACGCTGTTTCTGGGGCCAATGGGAACAGCGCCAGTGATCACACCGTCAAACCGATCGAGTTCTCAGCGCATGATCCCCTTCGGTACATTGGTGACATGCTTGCGTGGGTGCACTCGACAACCGTATCAGAGCGAGAGGCCCTCGAGTCGTTGTTTGTTGATGACGGGGACGAACTTGCTCGGGGAATTCAGGCCGGCCTGAATAGCGAGCCCTGGTCCCGCATCGACGAGGATCAGGAAGTTACCTTTGATGGCCAAAAAGCACTTAGTGACTTGGTCAACCGCGATCTTAGTGGAGTTTCTCGATCACTTAAGCAGAGAATAGAGCTCGTCATTCAGAGCCATGAGGACCCTGTTACTTGCTACAAGGTGGTTAACTTGCTATCTTTCTACCGCACAACCTTTACCAAACTAGTGGGTGCACAATCGCACTTGGTAGACCTGATCCAGAGCTTGGAAAAGTTCACTCTCAGCCACTTTGAGGCTTTGATGCGCGACCAGATCAGCGCCTTGGCGGGCGACAATATTGCTCTGACTCCACCAGACGATTTATCGCCTCCACAGTTCTTGTTAGACGCATTGGAAGACCTGGAATTACTGATGAAGACCCACGAGGCCTCTGTCGGACCAGAAGATTTATCTCCAGACGCGAACAACGAGAACCCCTTTACATCTGTCCTCCGAGCCGCCTTCGATCCATTTTTAACACTGGCCCGGTCCTCATCCGATGAACTCCAAACCACCACAGCGCAAGCCATTTACCGCACCAATATTCTTCTTGCAGCTCGCGCAGCTATATCACCATACCCCTTCGCCAGCTCCACACATGCCCCTCCCATTTCCGCAGCCCTATCAACCCTACGCAGCGATCTCCTCGACACCCAACACGAATTCCTCCTCGAGACCTCTGGTCTCCAAACGCTCTTAGAGGCCCTGGAACCTTTCTCTGACACCGCCGAAGACAAGACTGAGAAGCCAGACCAGCAGAAACCCCACCTAGCAGACCTGGCCAATCTTCCAGCTTTCCAACCAGAGTCTCTGATTACATCCAGCCAACAACTCGACGACTTCCTTCCCTCTGCGCTTATGGATGCAACCGATAATCTGAAGCGTGTCCAAAGCCTTTCGCTTATTCAGAGCGTCACCGAGGACGCTGTTGAAGCGTTCTGTCGTGATTTCGAGTTCGTCGAAGGCATGATTATTGCCGCTGATGAGGCACGAGGAACTGTGAATGTGACCGTTGGAAACGCAGGTAGTGTTAGTGGCCAAAGTGGTAAATCGGGTGATAAGGCTGAAGCGAGCGAGAAAGATGAGGCTGAAAAGGGCGAGGATGAGCAATGGAGTTTGAGATCGTTGTTCCCTCGAACAACAGGGGAGATCCGAGTGTTGTTAAGTTGATCTATATATTCCCCGTATAGCTTTTACTTGATTTATATTCAAATGTACAATCACAACTGCACACAACTGCACAGCCCCGGGGCTTTAATTTTCAAGTGCTTTTAGCGTCGCGCTAGAAATGCTGGGGATCCTATTAGGGCGCAGACAAACCTCTGACTCCCGTTTTTTCGTTTCGAATGCAGCGTTTACTAACGCTGCATTGGCTAAGCCATAATTTGTGCCCCGATGTCTATTGACCATGGATGTGAGACCACAGTAGAAGGCTCCGAGATTTGGCTTATAGTTTTGTACATCAGGTTGATGCATGAGCTGGGTTAGTTAACTAATATGAATCCACTAAAATTACATATAGAATATGAGGCCCTATGGGATTGACGCCGAAAATAGCACCCCTTCAGCTAGATCTAAGTCCCCTCCCTTTTCGCCCAGTTGATTTGAGCACCTAGAAGATGCTTCGCCTTCCCTCCCTTGTACCTACTTTTCAGTTGGACCTTCTTTCCAGTATATCTGGGTCACAGCTGGCTTGAGTTTTTGGAGCCGTCTGGTGGTGGTATTGGGAAATGGGATGGGCTGATGGGCTGATTCTCAGGAGAAGATCAAAATGCAGAGCTTATGAATTTGGTTTTTGGACGTAAGGTCAAACATTTCACTTTTTCTCAACGTACCATCAATAAAAGACGAACGAGTAGACAACTTGCATCATGAGATATTCCAACGGGTACTGATCAAATATGTCTGGGATGAGCTCGAGCCAATCTGGTTTCATTTGACAATATAATGTTGAGTTGCAAAAATCCCAAAACTCGGGATACCAGCCTGACAAATTCCAGTCAATAAGAGTAACTTTGAAGTCTGTGTTTCCACCATCGCAGAACACTCGCTCCACGACTATATTCTTTGGCAGTAGATCTCCGTGGGTAAAAACATTTCGATGGTTCTTGAGGGTGCGGTTGACCATTTCTCGCAATAAACGAATGTAGTGCGGTGATTGCGTTTGGCCTAGCTTCTCCAGTATTCCATGATTCATCCGTTCCTGATCCTTGAATGGCCCGGAAATGATTGGATTATTATCTGGCGTTGAAAGAATACCGTCAATATAAGGTGTGCTATTCAAGTTTCCAAAGTAGTCCGGTGGTGGTATTGTTCGTAGTTCGTTGATTGCCTCTTTGATTCGCTCGCTGACCGTCGTCTTCTCGGCTGATGTGAGGGATGGTAGTAGTTTTTGCAAGTCGGTTCCAGTGACAAAATCCATAACAATATATCTTTTCTGGGTCTCTGGATCGACAAAGTTGGCATGAACCTTTGGCACAGAAACCTTGCTGTTGGCTGAAACGAATTTCATGTTCTCTGCTTCTAAAGGTGGAATGGCATATCCAATCTTGACCGCGAAGCGTTTTTTCACTCGAACCATTTTAATGGCATTTGTTCGTATACTAAGGACATCGGTCGACGCTTCAATCTGGGCAACGGTCGGGAGGTCAATGGTCGAAGGCATCTCGCTGGTCATAAAGATGGACGTAGCCGATCGACTTAAGGAATCAAAAAGGATGCTAGTAACCGTAGCGCTGAAAAGGATCCCATGGGCTTTTTGTATTTGTTTGACATAAGCAAACAATGCAAATACCTAGTTAACTAAATACATATTTAGATCTACCCAGCCAAGCCTAGATACCGTAGAGAAATAGGCTCAAACATACATAGCATTCAAGTTAGCAAGAAGAAGAATACGCCAGACAAACGTTATAAAGAGCTGAGTGGTTGAAGAAGAATCGCTATTCCATTCCTATAATCGTATTGAACATACAAAATCTTCACAGATGAGGATAGAAGGATACGCCCAAGAGGCCACGAAAAAGAGACAGAGCAAAACCAAAAGAAGCACAAGAGTAAATCCAAATCTACTCTATCCGCCCCGTTCGCCGAATTCTTTCGCCCAATCTTCATATCTCCGGAGTCCGTCGGATGATACACTAGGTCGAATGGAATACAAACTTGCTTCAAAGTCCTGGAATATAATGGCGCGGATCTGGTCCATGGGTGTGTGTAGGAGTGCCTCGCCCAGATTTCGCAGGGGACCCATGGCTGCATCTTTAGCGAGGGCTGTTATGTCTGAGCCGGAGAAACCTGGTGATATCGATGAGCAAGATGAACTAGATTTTTTTTCTTTCTTCTTTTTCTTCAAAGAAAAGGCATACAGGGGAGGAAACAACATACCTTCTGTCACTTGTACCAGGACCTGGATGTCAGCATCGCTTAGCTCGTGGTGCTGGTGACTGAGAAGCTTCCGTATCTGCTGCTCGCGGACATGCTGTTCCGGCAAGGGGATGTACTGTCGACGGACGAAGCGACGACGTGCAGCCTCATCGATATCCCAAGGCATATTAGTAGCAGCTAGGACGAGTACACGACTAGCATCTCCTTCCTTCTTCTCGCGGCTCGTTTGTTCGCGGCCTGCAGCCGCGCGCTGCAGGTCGGACCATTGAACCAGGAATTCGGTCTTGGAGCGACGGGAGGCCTCGTGTTCTGAGCCGGATGATCGGGCAGAGAGGAGGGAGTCGATCTCGTCGACGAAGATGATGGATGGGGCGAGGGCTTTGGCGAGACCGAAGAGAGCGCGCACGAGCTTCTCGCTTTCGCCGTGCCATTTGGATGTCAGGCTTGATGCGGAGATGGAGAAGAAGGTTGACTTTGATTCTGTGGCTACTGCTCGTGCGAGCATGGTTTTGCCTGTGCCTGGGGGGCCGAAGAGAAGCATTCCGCGAGCGGGTTCGCGGAGACCGGAGAAGAGGTCTGGACGGAGGAATGGGTAGACTACTGCTTCTTTGAGGGCCTTTTTGGCTCCTTCTAAGCCTGCTATGTCGTCCCAGTGGACTTCGTCGCCGCGCACTACGATGTCGTTCAGGATTTGCTTTGCTGACTGGGGATCCACGCCCCTAGGCAATTTTTCCATGATTTTCAGGACTTCGCTGTCTTCTTCCTCGTCTTCGTTCTCTGTCTCGCTTGTTGTGGTCCGCTGATCTGAGGAATCTGGGTCGCTTGACAGTGGTGTCTCTCGCTGCTTGGCTGGCGGGGCTTTGCGCCGTATTGGACTATCGCTATTCCCTTGAGAGATAGACAGCCGGTCGACATCGCGATGAAAGTCGTCACCTCTAGCGGGTGATGGAGAAGCGCGGGCCGTTTCACCGATTTTGGGAGGTCTAAGCGCAGATGTTGTCCGCGGCGTATTATTAGAAGAATTCACTGCACGATCAAGCCGAGGCGTCAGAGTCCGAGGAGTATGCTCCGAGCTGGTGGCTTGTATTGGATGGCTTGTCGGCTCACGGGAAGATCGCAAGGACATAGGCTTGGGTTTAATAGATGGTTTAGGTGGTGCAAAGTCCGCCGGGTTCGGCATGGATATTGGAGGAAGAGGAGGAGGTTGTCTAGGACTACTAGGTAGAGGAGCATGTCGAGGCCCCCGCGGCGGTAGTGGAGAAGGCGACTTGGTAGGCGGTTTGGGGGAGGATCTCTTCGGAGATGACTGAGGCTCTCGCCAATGGGCAGCAGGAATTCGGTCCGGAGTTAGGTGGTCTCGGGAAGTGCGTATTTTCACCTGCGGAGACCCGGCCCTAGAGCTAGATCTTGGTTCTAATTCTCGGCGGAAACTGGGATCGTGGGCGGCGCTCTGCCGGGATGACGCTAGAGCCGCATCGCTCACAGACTTCTCGCCCGATACAGAGCGATAGATGCTATCCCATGCTAGGCCTGCAGCCGTGGAAGCAGCAGGTCTCGAATCCTTCTTCTTCGACGCAAGCTTGGCTTTCTTGCCACTTTTCTTGCCGTCAGTGCTGCGTAGAGTTGTCAACATGGGCTTCCGACGCTCGGGACTGGAGCCACGCGACTTCGTTTTGCCCGATGAGTTCGAGTTCACACGCAATGCAGGCGTACCAGCCGCTGATAGGGTCGGTGGACCAGGGTCGTCGTAAACTGGCAGCGAGTCATGACTTTGTTTCGTCGGCATCATAGGGCGGCCAGGTATGGCTGCTGGTTTGGAAAGGTCGGTGTAACCCACAGCAGGGATTGTTCCATCTCCGATCCAGCCAGGAGTGTTGGAAGACGATGGCGGGGGCATTCTGGGGGTCGACCTGCCCTTGACAAGAGTAGCACTCGCTTTACTGCCATTTGCCTCTGCGGAGTCTTTCCTGCTTGCTTGGAGAGCGCTTAGCAGATCAACCCGTTCTCGGCATTGAATCTCTAGCGCCCGGATGGAGTCTTGTAGAGCTCTCTCGGTTTCGGATTTCGGGGTATAGTTCGACGATACGCGGCGGGCATTGTGATGGTAGATAGTCTCGAGGGCAGATCTCCAGGATCGTAACGCTTCTTCTTCGTTGTTCTAATATAATGAGCCTCGGCGAACGGGTGTTGGACTAGTGAACTTACCTGGCCCTCAAAGTACACTGCGGTGGAGCACGCGAGATAGCACTCGTCGTACGTCTTTTGCAAGGAAGCCGCAGGCCGTGGGCGCATCATTGGGAATAAAAATGCCCCCCTGTATCCATTTCACGACCAGCTGGTGGAGTTGGTGAGAGCGGATGATCTCCCGCAGGTGAGGGGGAGGATTTTTCGCGTGACGTCGTTCGGCCGCATGCGTCAAGTGAACTATGTAATGTTGTACTGGTCATTTTTATACGGAGTGTCAAGTCAATTAAAATGGTTGTCATCTCTAACATTCCTCACGTCTATGGGTACATGCAAGGTACTAAAAAAAACATAAGTTATAGTGATGCCACAGAGAACCCAGCCCTCTCAAAGAAACCAATAACAAAAAAACCCGAGGTTTTTCCAACGCCGGTCACAGTATAGGACACATCGAATGGAATGAGAGCATCGAAGAATCAAAAAAAGAAAAAGAAATAAACACCAGATTTAATCTCCGAAGTCGAAAGTGGCCGTTGTTCCCGTTTTTCCAAAGCTATACATTGCCGAAAACGCTTCTCATAAAAAGCCCTAAACATGCAAGAAGATCGAAACCCGGGCTCTGCTGACCCGAGATGCGGCCACAATGAGGGTTGCTAGGCTCCGCCCAACCGCCCAAATCCAGAACATATCGTAAAAGAACAGACCGTCGCCCCAAGAGATCAAAGAAAGATTATATGGTGCCCACACAAACGTGGTATATCAAACAAGTAGCAGGTCCATCGGGAATTGTGGATAGGACCCATGGCGAGCCGCCGTGCGAGAGGATCAAAACTTTTAGTCGAGGTGCTTCTTGAAGTATGCCTTAGCCATCTCATAAGATGTCCTGGAAAAGAAGTCAGTGGATATTCAACCAAATATTGAAAAACAAAAGTCTCAGAAGAGGACATACCAGCAAATTGCAGTGCTCGGCATAGTGGAAATAATCCGAGGGCGCATGCCACGCAGGAAGCCAGCCCAGCCAAACCGGCGCTTGATGATGGCAGCGGCGTTGAACAGACCCTTTGCAGTCCGCACCTCTTCGCTCTCTGCGAGGCCACGAGTCTGAAGAAGCGTCTTTACGACGTCGAGGGGAGTTGTAATACCAGCTGCGAATGCACCGGCCAGACCACCTGCGATGCAGTGGGTGAATGGGTCGTAATCTCCCTTGGGGTTCATGACCTTCGAGATCGACTCGTAGGCAACGAATTGAGTGGCCGTGAAGGGCACGGTCATGCAAAGTGTGGTAGGGTAAGAGACGTAGAAGGCCTGGATACCTTCTGTGCGGTAGAGGGTCTTGGCGCATTGCGCTAGGGTCTTGTGAACGGAGCCGTGGACCTGCATACGTTGCTTCATGACTGAAGAGTGGGTTAGCTGGGCGCAGTGTATTGACTTGCACAGGGCCACTTACCATCGAATGGGTTCATCAGCGCATCACTGGCAATGGTAGCGGCCGCTCCACTCATAGCTGTACGATAATCGTGTCAGTCGTTGCACAAAAAAAAAAATCAATTCTAAGGTTTGTTCGGAAATCATACCGGCAGCCAAGGGGTGATGTCCATCATCGACATTACCACCAGCCATGTCCTTCACGATCTCATATGTACCGAAGTAGACAGCGTGTGCGGGACCTATCGTCGCAAATCAGCTTTGAGTCTCTAGCACGGGATTTTTTTCACGATATACACACCTGCGCCGACAATCACACTCGATACTCCCTTCCATAGTGTCCGCCAGCCCTCGACTCGATAGATTGTAGAGACCGCGTTGGTCAATCCCGTGTAGAGTCCGCCCGTTGAAGGGGTCAGGATTTGCATGCGAGTCTATGTCCAAATAGTCAGCGCTCAACGCTTTTTCCTAGAATTCCATCGCTTTCAACTAGAAATCAAGCTTACCTTGAGCAAGTCAACGGGGTACATCACGGAGTGTTCCTTTTATCCGATCAGCCAAAAATCCTCACAAACACCCCTAACAGCCCCATGTAAACATACCGCTATCCCCGCAAAAGCACCAGCTAGCATATTCCGGCTGAGGCCATAGTTGGAAGGAAGGGCTTCATAGCTAGAACAGAGTGTATCGTATTAGCTTCGGCCACAAAATGGGATCCCGCAAAGCGACAACAGGGCGAACAAGAAAGTCAGAATGTTCAACAGGGACAATCAAATAATAGCTGGAGCATCTTAAATCACCAGAAACTAAAATGTGTTTGTCCCTGTGATTATTCCAGCGATCCCGATACCCGGTTTTGCCTGGGGAGGGAAAAAAAACCATTGGAGAGAGGTGACATACTCGAATTCCTGCCCGGGGATCTGATCGGAAGCCGCCATGAAGCTTCCGCTAGCTCAAGGCGCAGCTGTAGCAGATGAATAGTTCGTGCGAAGAGGAAGAGAAGTGGTTGCCGCGGAGGTGGAGGAATGGAAAAGTGAAGATGAGATAAACGGGGATTTGGGTAAATCCGCGGAGATTCCGAGGAACACAGACAGGGACAATGCCAACAAGATAAAAAGAGTTAGAATGTCAACAAAATTGGGAAGAAATGGAGAAAAGAATTAAAGGAATTAGAGAAGATATTTTTTCTTTTTTTTTTTTATAACGGAATACTTCCCAAGTTGGAGAGAAAAGACTAGAACTTTGGATATTTGGCCTATTTGGACTATTTGGACACAAAAATCAGGAATCGGCGCTAGGCAAATTATTCACGGACTTGCCCAGGTTGGTTATTTACATTATTCTTCTACCTAGAGCTATACTCTTCTGTTCTTTTAACTGTTAGACTATATTTTCTAATTCTCCTTACTTCAATCCCCTTAGAGAAGTACTTGGGTAAGAATACGTGAATGCTTATTCAGAATCGGCGGCTAGACCAGACCTCCTAACCTCGGAAGTAACTTGAACAAAAAATATTCCAATGTGTCAAACGAACTCCATAAATTTTACAGCTTAATTTATCTCCGAGACTTCCGATGACGGAGTTTAGGGGGAACCTCCCGGGGCTGATCCTCAACACCTTTTTATGTGAAGTACCAGATCAGTACCTTCACAGTGTAGTAACCACAGTACAGGTACATAGCTGGTACCTTCGATTTTTTATCAATCTGATAAGACGGCCCCTGGACAAGCCATCTATTTCGCCCTTTACCACATTTCGCCTAACTCATATTGAGTGGAGCTTCGGCTTCTTCTTCGAGAAGGATTTTCTTTTTCTAGAAATACCCATAGACATCTTCTTTAGACGTACAGGGTACTTGTACAATGTATACTATATCCTCTACATATTATATACCTTATTATTAACATGGGCTCTCGTCCTTGGCTTGTTTCAACTTGGCATGCAAAAAAACAGAATGCAGAAATGCATCACACGCGATTTTAGACTGGGGCAAGCCGAGGCCCGGACTGCGAACTAAACTCATCTGGTCTATATTGGCTTGGATTCAGCTGAGGGGCCCCTTAATTCTTTTGGAAAAATCTTACACCAAACTCCATAGTCAGGGGATAGATCGAACGTGTATATCACTTAGTGCCGCATGCCATAAAGTTACTCTAGATCATATCGGAGCGTACATGAGTAGACCCCTTGTTCTTCTTCCACTTATTACGCGTGGTGTACTCGAAAGGAAGGAGTTGAATAGGAGAATTTCTCCGAAAATTAAAAAAAAAAAAAAATTAGAAGACCGCTGCGCCTAAACTCAAGGCAATGAGGGAAAAGAAGAAGTCTGAGATAAAAAAAAACACCAAAAGAAAAGCCCCCATTTTACGAGGCTACATGCAGGTAATTCGAGGAAGCTCGAGGAAGCGGGGAAACAAAAAGAAATGTCCATTTCAGCCCTGGAGATGGATGGATATGATCCTTGTTACTGCTAAATCAGTGCAAGAGCAATGATCTAAAGGGCGTTGGGGTTAAGGATGTCGGGGGGAAAGGAAAAGGTATGTTGTAAATACTTGTAAAGGAATAGATGTCGTTCACGTCGTCAAGATCTCGTCCGTAGTCCACGGCGAGCGGGGGGTTAGAGTGGGTTGTGATTTACCACTCAATGTTAAACGACCACTCTCCTAGAAAACATGTGTTAGCAATGTAGTAAACCCACACTGAGAGATTCCAACTTACCATTCTTCAAGTTCTCAGCGGTGTCACTCAATAGAATCACCCGGCGCTTGTTGCAATACGCAGTCTTGTCCAGGATATCCACCTTGAGTCCTGCCAATTCGGCAACTGGCTTCTCGAACATCTCACTGAGGCTCTCAACTGCCATCTCCAGATCCTTCTGATTATCCTCAAAGATCTCAGTCAGGTTGTTGCGGGCAAGGTAGAATGCAAATGCGTAAGTCCACTTCAAGGTCTGCCGGCACTGCTGCAGAGCATGCGATGCGGTGTCTAGGAACTGCACCTCGATCCAGGACAAACCAGACTGTGACTGAAGGCTAGTCATCTTCTTCTCGGTCTTCAGGTACAAATCCTTGTCCAGCTTGGCGGACTGCTCATGGTTCGCATACCGATTATAATAGTGCAGGTAGCGTTCCAAGGAGGAACGGGATTTGGCCTGAGCACTACGAGCGTCTGCGCCTGACTTTTCTTCGTATCGGTTGCAGTTGTACCAGCTCGTACCATGCTCGGACCATAGGCCCATACACATCCAACAGAACTCGTATTTGCACTTGCGGCAAGTCATGTGGTTACAGCCTCCGTTCTTTTCGATCGTCGAGTTACACTTGGTACACTCTTTCGTATTTGCGGAGATCCAGTTGGCTGTCTCGGAGTCATCTTCACACTTCTGTAGCCACATTTTGACCAGTGTGCATGGAGCAGGTTGGTGGTCACTAAGGGAACATCCGAAGCAGAACTCGTGCTTACAAACGCATCTCACCGTTGGTACAATGCGACGGAGATCACGGTTTTTTACCCCACAGTCAATGGCATATTGGCAGTTTGGTGCTGGACACCATTTTAGGTTTTCTTTATCATCAACGTAGGTCCGAGTTAGAAGTTCGCGATATCTGTATGCATGTGTTAGCGATCTCTTCCGCCTTGTGGTAACCTGCAAAATCAAACACCCACCTTCCTTGAAGGTCCTTTGTCACGAGCAGATCTAGTGACTTGGAGTCTACGATACGATTGCAACCAACGCCTGGACACTTGATTCGGCTAGCCTCCCCTTCCTCTTTGATTTTCTGTCCCAGGTAGTGTCGATAACAGTCGACACAATATCGGTGACCACACCGCATGGCATAGGTCTCGAGGTCATCACCGTCCTCGCAGCAGATGTCACACATGAAGCCCGGGACGATTTCGGTCTTTGCAGTGCCTTCGAAGTTCGACCCAAGACCAGCCTTCTCCAGAGTTTCCTCCGGTTGCTCCATGTAGGACTCGATCAACTTTTCTTTGTTCCATCGTTCGTACCGCAACAAGATCGCCACCGACTCAGGTGGGAGCCCAAGGATAGCGCAAACCTCGTTGACCTGGCCAAGCTGTTCGTGATCGATGTCGTGAGGGTCGAGAACCTTGTATTCGACTTCGTACGGCTTCTTTTTATGCTTGATGAGGTCTTTATCGTCCGAAAATCCGGCGTCGAGATCATCGAAATCTGCTCCCCAAGGCACAGCATGTTAGTCACCATACTCCCGGCATGGACACACAAAAGAAACAATATAAAGAACAGAGGAAGACTCACCTTCACCTAAGCTCTCGTCGTCAGAGCCTTGGGTACCCAGGAAATCATCTTGGCTTGAGACATCGCTCATGAACTCGTCGTCGGAGTCCATGCTGGCGGTAGTGGGGGTCGCAGAGAGCCTCCTTTTTAGGCCGGAACCGACGGGGCTTTCTCTCTCTGTCGTTTCAGTTCCGGTCGGCGTTGACTCGCTGTTGTGGGGGCGTCGGTCGGATGCAGAGGTGGCTTTTTGGGAGCCGTGGGCGGCTTTTGGCAGTGGCTCGTCCGCAATCGCCTCAGCCGCCTTTCTTTTTCGCGTTATAGGAGGCGTGGTGAATGTAGCGGCAAAGATGCCGACAAGGGGGGGGGGAATATTAGGGGAGTTCGGGGCCGCACGTCACTGGGTAAAACCTGTGACGGACATGGAGGGGAGTGGGGAAACGTAAGATCTCCAAGGCTGTTTGGGCCAAGGCGGCTGGAACCGGTCAAAGGTATTACGATTTTCGATATTTTTCTAATTACAATTCTACTCTGAAGAAACTTGAGGGGAAAAAGTGAACAAAATTTCACAAGAACACATCAGCTGATGTATCTCGGGCAGCGTCTTTCAGCCTATTGACTCAGATATGAATCATTCCAAGATTGAGGCGTTTGTTAGCTTCATTGGCCGTGCAGCCCTAGCCTCATTTGTCTCCGGCTGTAGGCTGCCGTGGGCTATACCTCAGATTCACGTCGCTAAGCCTGAAAAGAAAAAACATATATTTGACTCTACTAACAAACTAATATTTTGAAATGTTAGTTATAGAACTCTGAAGTGTGACATAAATGAGCCAATACAATATTTATTCTATACATATAAGAATCTATAGAAAGGGAATTTGAACTATGGAATTTTAATTGAAAACATTTGTGGTATCTACTCGTCGTCACTCTCCTCCTCGGATTCTTCCTCGGATTCGTCTTCGCTAGTTTCCTCCTCTGCTTCGGCCAGCCAATTAACAAATTGCTCGGTCTGGCTACGGACAGCCCGCATCTCCTCGGTTTTACTAGAGCGCTCGTCATTCCACCATTGATCGTAAGCCTCCTCTTCAATAAGATCAAGTTCATATAGAGACTTGGCAGTGAATAGAAGGACGGTATCACCCTTGTTACGGTGAATAAGATCCTGCTGGAGTGAGAGGAGTAGATCAACCTGGTCGTTCTTCTGTTCCTTGCTGCGATCGAATAGAGTACGCTCAACAACTTCTTTGTATGCCGTGAAGACCTGGGTGACTGCTGGACCGGCACCCTTGCCACCCTCCATGAGCTGCTGGATATGCTTCATGAAAGATGTCACGATGGCGCGACGAACCTGGTTGTCCGAGGCGTTGGCGCTCATACGCAGGGTAACCAGCTCAAGCTGCACAACATCTGCCGCCACGCCTTCACGTAGACTGTCGAACAAGCTGACTGATGCGTCGTGGTGGAAGTTGTCTGAATCTTCGTCTGCAGAGAAACTGCTCCGCTCAGATCGTGCACCCCAAGAGGTATTCGAGACCTCAGATGACAGTGTTGAGATGGAGGCGGAAGAGAGTGAGAGATTGGGCATGCGGTACACTGTAGATGGAAGTTAGCAATCTGGCCCTGTAGAGATACCCAAACAACATACCAAGTCCCGATGAGGCTACGCTCACATCGTCATCATCATCTTCATCTTCCTCGCCATGAATGAATTCATAGCCCTCACCTCCTTCGCCAACGACTGCGGGATCGTTCTTGCCCACACCGCCATCGTTTCGAGTTTTCGTGATACGCTTCCCACTCTCCACTTGGACGTTATCTGCGATTTTCACGCCATAGGAGAGAAGAGCTCCCGCTGCAACGACGCAATTCTTGCCGAGAACAACGCCGTCAGCGATAATCGCCCCACGGACGTCTGTGTTATCACCGATCACAACATCATCCCAAATATAGGCACCATCCAGCTTGACATTGCGGCCAATTTTGCAGTTCCGACCGAGCACGGAGTTGTGGACTTCTGCACGGTCTCCGATGCTGGTGCCTTTTCCGATGACTGTGCGGCGTCCAATGACGCAGGAGCGTGCCAGGGTTACACCGGTTTCTTGGTACATGCTGCCCTTACGAAGCGTGTACGTGTGACCAGGGAGCAAGTTCGTATCCGGGCACAAGGGATATGTCCAGCGCGAGAGAATATCTTTGCTTATCGCGTCATAGGCTTTCAGGTTGCGCACGCGCGCAGCGTAGTGGTCCTTGATGATGTATGTGTGCAGAGTCTTGCCGTTCAGCTCATAGTCCTTCAAGACGCCAAACAGGTAGTGTTTCCGTGGTGATTGGTAATCGAAACTATCCGACCATAAGCTCAGCACGTCCGGAGTGCAAATGTCGATGCTACAATCGATCAAGTCTTGGCGGATATCCAGTTCAGGGTGTTTGAGAATAATTTCGGCGTCAATATTGAGACGAGCCAAATGATCACCGTCTGGATGCCGGTCGATTTCCTCGTAGTGGAGACAGCGGTCCTTGGTAGGGTCGATGACGAAAATCGGCGAAACTGAGGTGGACTTAGTCCTGTGCTGCAGGCCAGCCTCCCTTAGAACCATGGTCATGATCGCATTCTTGTCAAGCGCTCGGCGAGCCCGGTGCTGAGCTAATGCGCCTTCGATGGGCAGGTTACTGATCACGTCGCCGCTCACGACAATGAAGTCTCCAGTAATGAGGTGCTTGCCGTCCAGATCGCGCATAACGTCACCAACAGAGGCAGAAGTCGACTTGAGGAACGTAAATTGCTTGAATGGAGAAGACGGGGCCCTCCATTTCGATGCACTAGCAATATAGGTCAGCTCTGCCATCTGTATCGGAGGGAGTCCCTAGGGCAGGCCTACTTGATATATTTCTCCAACTGGTCTGAGTGTGCTCCTCCATAGAGGAAGACCTCCTCCACGCCTGCATTGGCCAGGAATTCAAGAGTGTATTCGATCAAAGGGGTATTTGCGAGCGGCAAAAGGCACTGTAATAATTTCGTTCGTTAATTGTGAGGTCTTGGGGCATGGATGCTTTGCTGTAGGAAACATACACGAGGCGTGTCGCGGGTGAACGGCTCGAACCTTGTTTCGAAGGTGTCTGCGAGAACCTAAGAAAACCCACGAGTCAGCAAATTGTACAACACATAGAGACAACTTCCGCGGGAACAGTCGCGCAACCATCTGCCAACTGCTAGACTTACCACAGCTTGAAATGTCTCTTCCACTTCCTCTGCCGCATTGGGCTTCGGCTTTTGCCCAGCTTTTTGCTTAGGAGCCATTCTGTAAGAAGAGTCAGCAACAAGTTTTGTATTAATCTAGAGAGTCGCAAGAACTACTTCTTGTGAAGAGCTTGGTGGGAAAGCGGCAGTGCGGTTTAAGGGCGGTTTACGTTAAATGTATCAACAACCCTTTGAGCGCAAGGGTGGCGAAAGCGAACTGAGAAGTATCAGGGTCGGTCTTTAGATATTGTCCACCGGTCTCCAGAAATAGCACCAAAGAAACGCGACGATCTTGTTATCAAAGAAGAGCACAAAAAAGCCTCGGAGTCATCCCGCCCACCTGTTTGCATAGTTTGCATGCTGGCCCGATCAAACTTATTGCCTGAGGCAGACAGTTCCGAATAGGTTTAGTTTAGGCCCTGTAGATCACTCACTAGAATACCTTCAAGAAATGTAATTCGAACAAATAACTGGTCTGATTAATTTATGCATGCATTGAGGATGCTACATTTTACTGTGCATGAAGTAACAGTGGCAGTCTTATAAAAGCCAAGCCGACACGAGACCTAGGCACTTCTCATTACACAAATTGGCAACAAAGCCAGATATGTACCTATCCCTTAATTTTAATTTTTAGTCTTTATTTATTTTTACGAGTGAGGATCTTCTTGTAACAGTTGCATAAATGATCTTAACAGGTGAGGTATCAAATAACTTGGAATAAACTGAAACGAAACGCCAAACCCAGGCATGAAATATGTCAATCCAACAATATTGAACTGTTCATGAGGCATCAAAACAAAACAAGCATTATATAGGATGGGACAAGTCTCTATGTGATGAATTGGACAAGACAAGATTAAACAGGCGGCTCAACCATCTGCAGTGGAACATAGCCCTCATCACCCTGGCCAGCCGGCATAGGTCCTTTGCCAGTGACCAGAGACCAAAGCGAAGAGACGGAATTCCTGACACGACGACGCAGAGAGCGCGGGCTACCCTCGAAAATAGTAGTAGTAGCCCACCAGCTCACCTTGCGAGCATGACGGCGGCGCGCTGCACTAGCCGCAGAGACTGCACCCGAGCGAAGCTCCTTCTCCAGACGCTCAACATCCATCCAAGAAGGACGACGCCAGAACTTCAACAGCAGACTGCTAACAACGACAGAGACACTGGAAAGAGCCATGGCAGCACCGGCAGCCATGGGAGGTAGCATGAAGCCTGTGAAGGGGAGGAAAAGACCCATGGCGAACGGAAGTCCGATGACATTGTACATGCAAGCCCATATTAAGTTCATCTTGATTCGTTTGAAGACTGTCCGCGAGAGGGAGAGACTGGCTGGTACAGAGAGTAGATCATCTGGGCGCATGAGGACGATATCAGCAGCCTCGACGGCCACGTCTGTCCCGGATGCGAGGGCAATCCCAACGGATGCCGTGGCCAGCGCGGGAGAGTCGTTAATGCCATCACCGACCATAGCGACGTACTCGCCTTCTGCTTGGAGGGCGGAGACGATTGTGCGTTTCTCGGATGGAGAAACGGAGGCGTGGATTGAGGCGGTTGGGATGCCGACTGCTGTGGCGATTGACATCGCTGTTGAAAGTGTGTCACCTGTTACCATGGAGGTTGAAATGCCCATGCGATGCAGGGCCGCTACTGCTGCCACGGCTGTCGCTTTCACTGTGTCTCGGAGGGAGATAGTTCCAGCGTAACGATTGTCGATTGCAACGTGGATGCGTGTAATGCCGCACGCGGTGGCACCAGGCTTGGGTACATCAGCTTCTGGGTCTTCGGTGGGCTCTGCAGAGTCGGGATCTGCATCAGCAGGTACAGGGACGTCTTTTGATCGGAGGAAGTTGGCGTTGCCAAGGAGGACATGGTGCCGGATACGCTGGCCGCTAGATGTGGGTTCGACAATGGCAGAGATACCCCTGCCAACACAGTTGTCAAAGTCACCCATGCTCCCTGGTAGTCCATCTTCTCCGGCATGACCTGATTCGGTTATAGCCGCAGAAAATATTGCTCGTCCGATTGGGTGTTCACTGCCTGTCTCTGCGAGACCGACAATAAGCCACCAGAGCCGACGACGCCAGTCGTTCATTGTCCATTGAGGTTCAATTCGGGTGTGAGCCACGCTCATCCGACCTGTAGTCAGGGTGCCCGTCTTATCAAAGACAACATGAGTAACTTTCGTAGCAGCTTCTAGCACGGCACCTCCCTTGACCAGGATGCCATGCTCTGCGCCAACGCCGGTACCAACCATGACTGCGGTCGGGGTACTCAGGCCTAAAGCACAGGGGCACGCAAATACAATGACCGAGATGCACAGCTTCAGGCAAACCATGACTCGGCCACCATTGCCTGCCATTTCAAAGATTGTGGGTGGATGAGGCAATACATGACTGAGGACCATCCAACCAAAGAATGTGATCAAACCAAGACCGATGATGGTGGGGACAAAGTAGCCCGCAACGATATCAGCCATGCGCTGAATCGGAGCACGGCTCGTCTGCGCATCTTGTACCAACTTTACAATCTGGCTCAACTGGGTATCCTTGCCGGCTCGAATGACTTTGAAATCAATGGAGTTTGTGCCGTTAACAGTTCCAGCAACAATCTGACTGCCTTTCTTTTTGTGAATAGGCAGCGCCTCTCCACTGAGCATACTCTCGTCAACATAGCTTTCGCCCCGGATAACCACACCATCCGCAGATACCTTATCTCCAGGGTGGAGGATAACGATATCACCGACTTGAATCAGTTCGGTGGGAATACACTTTTGATTAACCGTCATGTCATCAGCCATCGTGGGTTGCTCGGGTGTGTCGGGTATAGGTTTGGAGTTCCAGCGCTCAGCCAGTTTCTCTGCCGCAATGGGATCTTCGTAGATAGTCGTCATAGACGGAGTCAGACACATGAGCCTAGAAAGAGCAGCGGAGGTTTGGCCCTTGGCTCGGTTCTCTAGCCATCGTCCCAAAGTGATAAAGGTGATAAGCATCGTACTGGTGTCAAACACGGTGCTAGGGCGTCTGTGTTCCATGCTACAAAGAGCCATGATCATGGTGAAACAGCTGTAAAAGAAGGCAGCGGATGTACCCAACATTATGAGAACATCCATAGTTGGGGATCGATGCTTGAGGGACTTGAAGCTGGTGACATAAAATCGTTTGCCAATGCCAAACTGCACCGGAATGGTAAGAGCAAGACAGATCAGATCTCCAAGATAGAGGCCCGGGAGCAGTGCAAAACTGCCAAAGTCAATCGCGGGCAAATACATCGGAAGAATCATGCTGATGAGGAAGACGGGAACCGCAAAAGAGGCGGCGATGATGAAGGATCTTTTCCATTCTTGGATTTCTTTCGTTTTGGACAATGACTGTAGCTGTGCGTTGGTGTCATCTGAGTCGACAAGCAAGGCATTGTAACCAGCAGCCTCGATCACTTCCACAACAGACCGGACTCCGATCATAGATGGATCGAAAGCAATGACCATACGAGAGGTAGCCATTTTGATTGATGCTGAATGAACACCCGGTTGCTGTAATAAATTGGCTTCCAATGCCGTGGCAGAAACGCCGTCCCGCAGCCCATGCAAGCTCAGATTGACCTGCTGTGTCTTTTTGGAAATTGCCGCCTGCGCCTCTGATGACACGATCGACGCATCAAACCCGGCATCTTCAATAAGGTCCGGGATTTTGCTGGCAGGTAGTCTGGTTGGGTCGTGCACAACCACCGCCCGCTCAGCCAGAAGACTGATGTTGAACTGGATTACTCCATCCACACTGCCCAGGGCACCCTCGACACTAGATGTGCAAGCGCCGCATGTCATGCCTCCGATTGCGATAGTAGTGACCAGAAGTCCAGATTTCTCCTCCGAGTCCACTGATGCGGATTGCTCCTTGGAGCCCATTAAGGAAGTGTCCAGCACTCGCGCCTCGAAGCCTCTATCTTCAATAAGCTCTGCAATCTGCTCCGGTGTGATGATTTTTGCATCATGTTCTACGACTGCGCGCTCGGAAAGTAGTGATACGTCCACGGAGTTCACGCCGCTGACATCGTTCAACCCGCTTTCCACTGCAGACGTACATGCCCCACATGTCATACCTTCAACCGCTAGGGTGGTCACCGAGAGTCGCGTAGCTGGAAGCGAAGCAGAATCGGGATTCTTTTGTTCCTCCGTCGAAAGTACTGCCGCATCGAATCCACAGTCCTCGATCAACTCTGCGATCTTCGCAGGCGGTAACAATGACAAATCATGTTGTACAGCGGCCCTGCCCATAATGAGACTGACAGAAACATCGTGCGCGCCTGCGATCCCTTTAAATGCGCTCTCTACTGCTGATGTACACGCTCCGCAAGTCATTCCGTCGATCTTAATAGTTGTGGTAGCCATCGTAGGTTGACCGGCCCCGCCGGCATGGGGATTCGTGGATACCATCTCGACGGTGAAGCGCGAGGCGAACACGGCGAGGAACGGCGAGACTATAGCATATGGAGGGGTTTTTGAAGAACTGCCTCCGACGCGAGGGCGGAGGGAGGGTGATAAGCGTGCTGACGGACGGATGAGCTCGGATGGCGCAAGACTAGTCAGATCATTCCCTTGTTGAGCCGACAAAGGGAGCTGCAGAAGTTAAAAGGAAACAGTACGTTCAGAAAGCCACGTCGGTCAAATTTAATTAAATACTCGGCCAAAAGGTCCCAAGGGGAGAGAAAAAGTAAAGTGGATTTGCTCGGGACCTAGGACTCGGGGTGGGCCGCATACCACGCTATGGAATGTATAGTCCGTAAGTCCGCGACGCAATATAAGTGTGCCAGCTGATTAGATGGTCGGGTTTTCAATTAATTTGATTTAGCGAGGTATTGTAAAAATTTCTTCCAAGAAGGCCTGAAACAGACTAAGCAATACGAATTCAAGTTGTTTCAAAATGTCTACAGAGATGAACCTTGTTACACTCGGCTTATTGTCGCTAATACTATACCTGCAGAATGGGGGGCCCTGCACTGTGATTACCCAAGGACCAAGGATTTGATTAGATCCATAATAGATCCATAATAAAGCCGAGATACATGCGAACAACAGGATAAAATGAAGGATAAAATAAATAAGTCCCTAGCTATAGAGAAGTTGTCCGCCAAGTTTATGCTTTTTATCGCTATTATACAATATTCTATGTCTAAAAAACCCCTCTGAAAAGAACATCCAAAACCACATTGGAGAGTTCTTACATATAACGTCCCAAATACGTAGTCAAGGGCAGAGGCCGCATGGGCAACGGATATTCTTTTAAAAAAAATGAGAAAAACTAAGTTAACAACATTTGAAGCATTCAACATTTGCTCGGAGGTTGGAACTGAAGATTTGAATCTCTAGTACCCATGGACGGAAATACGGACCTCAGTACGCCCAGTGCTTGAATCAGATAAGACATGTTTGCATGGAGTGCAAACAAGCATCTCCACCTGGACTACATTTGATGCTTCCCATCGTGAACTTAGCTACCTATCAACCATATTAAAGCTCTCCTCTTTGGATACGCTCCACTACCCTCCAACATCTTCATTGAACCTATAACTCTGTCAACAACAACATCTCAATGGATCAAATCCACACACGAGCCCTGGAGGCTCTCCAACCATTCATCCACCTAGCCCGCTCCAACAACGCAAGTTCGCCTCGCTTTATCGCCAATCTCATCACAAATGCCACCTCAAACACGCAAACCTACGTCTTTGCAGAACTGCTCGAGCTGCCGACGGTCCAAGCATTACGATCACCAGACACACCAGCCGAGTATAAAGGATATCTAAAGCTACTAGAGATCTTCGCATGGGGCACATGGCAAGAATATCAAGGTAAGATTGCATACATCCACAACGCAGGAACCCAAAAAAAAAGGCCTGAAACAATCCAAATCAAATCTCATGAGAGAACCAACCCCCAAGCTACCAGAACTAAAGCTAACCCCGCACCAGCAACTCCAAACCTCCCTGAGCTGAACACCGAGCAAACCCTCAAACTCCGCCTACTCTCACTCCTAACGCTCTCAACGACAATCAAACCCCTTACCTACAGCGCCCTGATGACCGCCCTCAGTACCCCCACAAAAACCGAGCTCGAATCCCTTGTAACAGCAGCCATCTACGCTTCCCTGATAACAGCTCGCCTCTCGCCAGCCTCCACCCCACCATCCGTGAACGTGACAGCTGTTGCCCCACTCCGTGATGTCGAACCCCAATCCCTCCCTAAAATGATCGCCAATTTAAGTGAGTGGGAATCGCGATGCGGCGAGGTCGTTTCCGATCTGGAGGCGGAGATTGCGCGTGTCAAGAGCGACGCCGCGAAGCGTGCTGCACGCGCTCAGGCGCACAACGACGCACTCGAGGAGGCTGTTAAGAGGAAGCAAAATGCGGGGAAGAAGGGTGGTCGGCGTGGTGGTCGCCTTGGCACTGGCCTCGGGGGGAGTAAGAGGGATGCAGATGATATTGAAGAGGATGATGGGTTCTTTGAGAACTATGATGGCGGTGACGGCTCGCGCATGGATATTGATGAGGCACCTGGTGCTCGTGCGGGAAATAGTCGGCAGCCGAAGAGGGTGTTGGGCCGCAAGTCTTGAAGTGTGGACGTGCTGATGCATTGATATGACACTATACTCCCATTTGCTCTGATTATGTGGCATAGAAGATCATAGCGGCTCCAACGGGATTTACGATACAAAATGACTTGACTATGGTTTAGTTTCATCTTTTACGGACAATATCTTGTGGGATATGGAACCCGTGGGCAGGAGCAAATTGCATTCGTAAGGCCCTAATGGCGAGGCTCATTAATGAGAAAATAGATACAATACAAATTTTCAAAGTCAAGAGGGGGTATTGGTAGAAGGGAGGAAAGATCACAGCAAAACAACAAGCGCAATAAATACATATGGACATCCATGACAAAGGAAGTAGATGTAACCGCTAATAAGCGGTTTGATAAGGTGGGTTGGAGACCACAAACCCCTTCTGTATAATTCCGAGGGTGAAAATGGGCCGAGATCTGAGACATAGTCTGTTTCAAGAATATGCATCATGGAAGCAAAACCTTAGTATTCGGACTCCACGGTGGAAATGCTTTGAATAAGCCAAGTCAATTGTAGACATGGTGAGAATGATCAGCTGATCAGACAATGAGGTTCACGGGCGATCGGTTTGGGAAGTTTGGATTAGATGGAAGCTGGACGTAGCGAAAAGCTCATAGCATGGTACCGGGAACGAAAATGAACAATATGCTTAGAGCTGCTGCTGTAATAAAGGCGATCAATGCAGTAACGACAGCACGCTTGTTCAGCAGCTTTCGGACATAGGGCTCGCGAATTGGGGCCCAGTTCATAAAAGTGTATTCACTGTAGCCCAGGAAAGCCATGATAGGGTCGATCTTGTACTGATAGGAGATGATGAAGTACGCAGCGATAGCAAATGGAAGAATGATCTAGATTGAAGTTAGCGGGATGGTTTATCAGTGTGTATAGAGAACCATCAACAAACATACCCAGCAACGAATGTTCCGGGGCTTATTCCGCAGAACAACGTAGAAGGCAGCCCAGAATCCTCCACCGAAACTAATCAGAGAAAAGGCAAGGCGCAAGATGGTACTCAGGGGGACCATATTTCCAAGGGCCTTGGCTTGCAAGAACCCTGGGAATGCATCACGCTCCATGGCCTGGAACACATAGTCCTTAGCAGGGTCGAACACTTCGGGGTCGTCTCGACCATCATCTTCGACGAGGTTGATAATCGTGGAAACCATCGAATCTGGTAGCATAATCTCTCGCTCGGAACCGGGAAGTAGATATGTATACAGGATCTTCTCGGCGCTGGCGCGAATGTCGTTACGGGCCACTGTGTGCCCAGGGGAATTTGAGTCGTTAAGCCGGGAATCCGGGGTCTCGCGACCTTCCTCAAACGAAGAAACTTGGCGTGCTGACTCATTGGAAGATCCCAGGCTAGTTTGCCGTGAGGGCGATGTCTGGCCTTCGGAGCGAAGGAATGCCGACAGGCGTTGGTCGGCATCTCTGTCTTTCTCATTTTCTTGGAACCCCCGTAGACGAGAAGGCCCAGCCTCCGTCAGCGGGATATCACCTAGGTTCTCCAGATTGTCTAGCATGGCAGATGATCGTTTGCTATCGGCTCTTTCCATATCGGGAGTTGCGACGAGCACGGAACGGCGGAGTTCACGGACATAGTGTCGGCACAGTAGCATATGTTGGGATACATCGAGCCTAGCGATCTCTGTTAAAATCGGATTCAGCCATCAAATGAGAGCTTACACTTACCAGAAGTCTAGATAGTCTACAGAACGCTGCTGGTCGCGCATGTAAATGTAGAACGAGAACAGATCGACCGGGGCGAGAGTTCGGCGGCTGAGTACCTCGAAGAGGGTCGGTAGGCGATTACGCGACTCTGCGTCGACAAAATCATGGTGAGACATATCGGCCGTGTGTTTAGAGTAGGCAGCAGTGAAATGACCAGCCCGAAATTTCAAAGCGAAGGCGGGGAGAGCAAAAGGGGGGAGAGATTAAGGTCGCGTCAGCGGGCGAGCGAGCAATCTCAACACACCCCGGAAGACGGGAGGAGTAATATGGGCGACTAGGAGCGAATGACAGAAGACCGAGAACGAAATTAGAGGGGTTGAAAGGAATTGAACTCCGCGTCGCCAAGTACACGATGGGTGTTGTGGATATCGGGCGAGCCCCTGAGGTTGGTCACAACACAGCCAGATCAATTGCTCGGCAATAGCAACAGCAAACAAAGAAAACAAAGAAACTTGAAAAAGCCAAATCCTACTAAAAGACGTAAGGGTGAAATGAGGCTATTCCATATTCTTCCTGAAACGAAACCGCAACAACGATGATCCGAGATTAAGATCTGTCAGGGGGGAAGAAATTAACGTTGAGATTTAGGTTATTGCATCATATATCATCATGCATATAAACATTTATAGAACATGTTCTTCTACTCTGTATAATCTCTACTGCCACCCTACTCTACTCTCTACGCAATGATCATTCAATGTTTGAACTATATACTTACTTAGGTATCAACTTGAGCCTGACAGATGTCAGCCCCACAATAAGCACCAAGCATGGCATCTATAGATGTGATTGGTGTGAAGATGGATCAGCATATCTATCCATGGATAGAGCTCCTTGATCTAGACTAACCGGACCACACTGAAAAAAAATATCGAAGAACCCATACTACTGGATCTTACCCAGGCACTTGACTTCTCTATGATGACTCGGTGCAGTGAAAATGCTGGATTGGAAACAAGTCTAGATAATGATGAAGTGGGAGAGTATGGGTTCGGATACATTGGGGTAGAAATAGGAAGACCTAGATGACCCGGGAAAGTTACTTCTGTTACTTCGTTGTGACTGTAAGCTTTATACTGGAAGAAATTCATAAACTGGCATTAGTTCATCAGCCAGTGAAAACTGCATGCTGTAGTAATCTATCAACAGGGTATTGCCCATCAAATCCCAATGCCCCTAACGCCATTCCGTAAAAACACCCTCGCTGCAGTAAACATTATGTATGTCCCCAGATCAATGGTTATCGGCAAGGTGCTAGATGTCAGAGTTAGCATTCGTCTTGTGAGAAACACCTTCATTGTAAATACGTACCGACCACTCCGGAATATTTCGGATCTGCTGCCACATGAACTTCTCAAGCTTGTTGGCGCTCTTGGCGTAGGGTGTGGTCTCATTATTGTAGCGTCGGCAATTGTCAAAGATCAACATGGCGTCCTTGATGAAATCCTGTGGGGTCGGATACAAGTCCTTCTCATGCTTCTCTTCCATGGTCGACAGATCCATGGGCTCCATGATTACCTCGTAGTAGTCTGGAACCTCGTCGCGATTCACAGGTTGAGTGAATGGCCAGGCTGCGCTGTGGTTCTGCATATCGTTCAACAGGTGCAGCAATTGGTTATAGTTGGGTCCGTGGCGTGGTTGACGAGCCATTTCATCCATATCTGGCGACCATCCGGACTCTTTGATTGCAGGAATGCTAAGAGGATCGATCGCGTATACCCCGTTCTTCCATTCCTTTGGAGGGGGGTGGATGATATGCGACCGGCTGAAGGCACGGATCTTAGCCTGCACTGACTCCTTCTGCTTGGTGAGCATGCGACCCATCTCCAGATAGCGGATCTTGGGGAGCATGGTACACTGCATGAGTGTACCGCCCTCATAATCCTTAATGTAGCCCATCCAGATTGATTTGTCAAGTGTGATCTCTTTGGTGAAGCCCTGCTTCTTGAAGTATCCAATGGCATAATTGTCGGCGTAGGTAAGGAAGTGCATAATGGGAGAGGTGGCTTTCACGTAGTCCTAGATGGAAAATGAGTTAGATATATGCATAGGAATCACAACACCAGCAAGTGTGCATACCTTAAGATGGGACATCAAGTGTGCGCCGTATCCTTTCACTTGTTGATCTGAAGAAATAGCGCAGAAGACAATCTCAGCAAACTTTCGAGAGTTGAACGGACGATACGTAATTCCTCTATAGTTGATCAGTATTCTAATCCCACACATTACTCGGCACTTATGACATACCCAACAACTTCCAGTGGGTGTTTTACGATAGCCATAGAGAGATGGGATCGATCGTAGACAAGGCGCGCGATGTAGTCCTTAGGCATCTTCGGAAGTTGCTTCTGGAAAATACACTTCAAGCCTGTGAGGACAATAAAGCTATCGTGTGAACCATCATTATTGACGACACGAAACTCGATGTCGCCTCGGCGTTCCTCAAGAACAGCAGGCTGTGTATCATCAGCCATCATGAATGGAGCATGAAAGGTGGTGTGGGATGGAAAGGTACCTTCTCAGGGAATGGAACAATGCGGAGCGGTGGTTTTTTGAGGAGCCCATCTTCCTGTGCGGGGTACTTGTCAGAACAAATGCGAAGCAATTGAGTTAGGACTTTGGAGCTTCTTACCTCTTTCACGGGGGAATCTGTGCGCGCCTTCTTAATAGTCTGCAACCCAGAGTCCGGGGAAGCTGCCTCCTCTGAGGCTTTGCGCTTAAAACCTGATACCATCGTGACTTGTCAAGATTGTTTCACAGAAGGAAATGTGAGATTATAAGACTTCACTTACTCTTTGGCGAGTCAACAACCATGATGTCCTTTTCCTTGACCTTCAAACTTGACCCTACGCTGATATGACATGGGGTATCGGTCGGAACAACTAACGACCGGTCGGGCCAGATCAACACTGACGATCTATATCACTTTCACATTATCTTTGACCTGCATCAATTTTCCCTCAATCACACTTATTGAATTCTATTATCCTAATGTCTCTGAACGAAGTCTGGGAGGCAGCCTCTGCAACTCCATTTATCCCTCTCATTGGCAAGGACAGCCAGTTCTCCGTCGGCTTCAACCTGCTCCTTCTCGGTGAGCTTATTGATTCATGACAGCTTTGAAAACAGCTAATCTCTAACTAATATTGGTAGCATTGGTTACTGCCACTCTTTTCGTCTTAAGTAAGTTATTTTCCCAAAATTTTATGGAATTGAACTCTGACATTTCATTGAACAGATCAGTCTTTACTCGGCATCGTATCCTTGGGCTTCCCGGCCGCACTGGCATTTGGGTTAGTAATGCGCTATATCCCATCTTTCGACGTACAATATACTGATTGGGTATTTTGGATAGCTTTGGGGCTGTGTTTATGATCTGTGCCGTCGGAGTCTACGTCTAACCGGCCACCTTTCCTATTGCGCGTCCCCTCAAATGTACCATAAGCGTTGGGTTCAAAGGGGCCTGTACTGCTAGAACATCCAAAGCCATCACGCATCTCCGACTTATTATCTTTGCTCTGTGCTAGTATCGCGCCTGGAAAGTTCGAGCTAACGCTCTACGCCACAAAATGGATCCCCTTTTCGCTGGCGTCTCCAACAACGCCCACCATCTCTACACGCTACTCTCCTGCATTGGTTTCGCGCATAAGGCCACCGTCCAAATCACTCCAGATGGCCTCCGCTTCTCAGTGGAGGAAGGCCGCGTCATTCAAGGACTAGCCTTCCTCGACAAGTCGCTCTTCACCAGCTACACATTCAATGCATCGGCCAACCCCGAATCTAACAATCAAAACGGAACACCCCAAGACGACAATGACTCCTCACAAGATGGGGCTTACCCTCATTTTGTTGTTTCCCTCTCCGCCATTCTGGAAACCCTCAAGATCTTCGGTATCAACGAGCTTTCCGAATCTCATCGACCCCGCGACACTAGCATTACGCAAACTGGTATCGCCTCATCAAGCGCATTCAACGCTCCAGCCCTGCTCATGAACCGCTCCTGCACCCTGAAATACACCCAACACGGCGCCCCGCTTAGCATCACCATCGCCGAAGCTGGCGTGAAAACAACCTGCGAGCTAGTAACCTATGAGCCCGACGAACACGAATCAGACATTCCCCTCCAGCGCGATGCCATCACCATGAAAATCATCATGCGCTCCGCCTGGCTACACAATGCAATCGCCGAACTCGACTCTTCCACCCCCACAATCCTGAAACTGTCCGCCTGCGCCAAGCGAGAACCGTACTTTGCTCTCTCGGGTGCGGGCGGTCCGTTCAGTGAATCCACTGTGGAGTTCTCAATTGATCAGCACAACGAGACCGTTGGCAGTGCTGGTCAGGGTACTACACAATCTCAGATGCATAAGGTGTTATTCGATGATGGCTTTTCTAGAGCTCGCGCAACTAGAGCTAAGCTTGCGCCTACTGTCACAGAGACTTTCCTTGTTTCTCCTCCTTCTTCTGTAGGCGACCGCATACAACAGAGCTATCGCTTTGCGTTGATTCGCAAGGCTGCGAGAGCTATGGCTGTCGCCAATAAGGTTAGTATTCGTGGGGATCGACAAGGGGTGTTGAGCTTACAGTTCATGATTGAGCTTGATGATCATAATGTACCAGTAGGCAGACCGGTTGGCGCTGGCGTAAAGGGTCCCAATGGACCTGTGTGCTTTGTAGACTTCCGGTTTGTGCCATTGCTAGACGAAGAGGAGGCTGAGATGCGGATGGATGCAGCAGATGAATAACCGGGTTGGGATCACCACTGTAATTAAAATAGAGCGCATGTATTACAAATGGTTAAATTTCCAGGCGAAGAAAGTGAAATGGTTTCTTCACAGTGGTAATTGACGTACAACAATGAAGCTCTATGTGGTATAAAACAAATCGAATTCAGGGCCAAAAAGCCATAGCAATCACACAGGCGCTAACATAACAGCCTAATGACTAGAGCTGGGGATCAAGCCCCTAAGAGAAGATCGAACAAATCATGTAAATCATCAGAAGTGCACACACTATCAGTATAATTATCCGTATACAAAATTTAAGCCAGAAACCAGCCATGCCACGAATGCGAATATGTCCAAAAGGGCAAATCCCAAAGTGTGTCACAAAACGCCAGAGTTAGAAAAAGGAAGCATGGGATCACATTCAAGCATGATCAGGGTTGTAACTCGTTTCCCCTAGCATACTCTGGCCAACAGGCGCCGCCGGAGTTGGCGTAGCAGAACGCGCAAGCGACGAACTAGGCTCCCCCAAACTAGGCGCATGAGCCTGCGCAGGCCCAATAGTAGCAGTCTGCAGCCTGCGATCCAAAGCCTTGAGCGCAACGGCACGTCTGCGCTCCGCCTCTTCGCGCTTAGCCGCGCCTCTGCCACCACGCTGGTTATTCAACAGCGTGGGCAAGCCAGCCTCACCTCTCGCTAGCACCAGCTCGTTACCGGAGGCGATATCGTCCGCTGAGAACGGCGTCAGGAGCTTAGCTGCAACCAGCAGGGCGTAGATCTGGTCTGCGACGAACGCAATAGGCGGCTGCATTACGTCGGGGAATAGACAGGCGAAAGCGAACGTCTCGCTGGCATCACCTTTGATACCCGAGCCGCTCGAAGTGCCAGTTAGGTCAGGCTGTCGCTTGTAGAAGCGGAGGTAGGTCCAGCTGGTGAGGATGCCGAGCCAGGAGAGGATTGCGGCGGTGTCTGTTCCGATGACGAAGCCGCTGATGCTGTTTAGGAGGAGGAAGAGGGCGGGGAAATGCTTTACGCGCATCTTGATCATCCCTTTGAAGACTGTTACTGTGTGTTCGGGGACAAGCTGTTTGAAGGCGACTAGGAAGGAAGCTTGGATGGAGACTCCGCCGCAGATTTGGGTGAGGCTATTTATTTTTGGAGATGGTTAGTGTGTGGTATAAGAGAGGGGGAGGGGTGACGTGTACGCTCTAGTTGAGGAGCCTCCAACTGCTCCCCAAATCAGGTAGATTGGGATGATTGCGATGCAGGGGATCACGGCAACAACCGCGATGAACTTGCTGAACTCGCGCGAACCCCACGCGCGTTCGAGGTATTTGCCGCCATAGAATACGGTGGCAGCGTTTAACAGGACGGTAAATATATTCTGCTCGACAAAGGTGGCAGTGACGAGTGTCCAAGGGTAGTAGTAGAAGTACGAGGGAACGAGAGTCAGGTAGGGGACGAGAGGAGATGTGGCCGGGGTTCCACCAGTGGTGTCAATTTGTCGCCATCTGGCAATATTGTAGAGTAGGGAGAGGATGAGAAGGCTGACAAGACAGATTCGAGTAGCAGGTGGAATGTTAATTCGGAGCGACATATTGGAGCTCGCTTGGAGCTCAAGACACTGACCACAGGCCGTAGAGAGATGGGGAAAGTTGAGGTGGGAGACTTTGGCGGAGGGCGGGAGTACCAATGTTTGGCCCCGAGATGCTTCAAGGCACAACATTGAATCTACGTACATCCATGTAGCTTTCGATTATGGCTGTTAACTTTGATTTATATTTTCATCTTGTCTTATTTACTTTATAGTGAATACTATTGATATCTCTTTCTTTTTTGTATTCTTCTTTGCAGTTCTACTATGAATATGACTTGGATATAGGATTAGATTGAGACAGTGACGAGACTCCAGGGCTAGTAGCACATATTGACGGTTATTGGGGATTCTTTTAGAAATACGTGTAAACAGTGTCATAGCCTTCATCCATTATCCAATAGGAGTACTTAGCCACCTACCAGACACTCCGTAACAGGAGTTCCCTATGAGGTAGCTAACATAGGTAGCAACAGTAGATGAGAAAGAACCAAAGTATATCCAATTCCACAAGTCCTTAGGTAGGTCAAAAAATAAAATAAGTAAAGGATACCCCGTACTTCTTACAGGATGCACCAATGTCAGGTCCGTAACTGGCGGCATCATTAGCCACGATCCACCATCTGGGATTGACGACCTGCAGGTTCGGGTGGGTGCAGTTCAGGTCATTGGTATATGATGTCCGAAATATTGAATCCCTGTAAGTAGATATTATCGTAAGTGTAAGTTGTATAGGTCGTGACACAGGATAAGCATTCCAGTACATGGAATTGGATTTGAAAGGTGCAAGGGTGCTCGTGCTGAAATCCCCCGATGTGTGGAGAACCCCATTTTTAGGCGCTTAACAGGAAGTGGTTTGAGAAGTTGGAGTATTTCAAGGGTAGTGTATCGGGATTGATCAAGTTTCATTCAGACATCAAGGAGATATTCCAATGTTTGTTTTGCATCGAAAAAAACGACTGGAGCAGAGAAGTTCACAAGGTCATTAAGTGTGGAGGACCCCCGACGCCACAGGGAGGATCCAAGTGGCTAGTGTGTGCTAAATGGACTGCTGCCAAACATTCTGGATCCTTTAATCTCAGATCTTCATTTCTCTCTCTCTCTTTCTCTTCCTCTATCCTTGAATGCTTGGTTTATATTTCTATGATACGGAATAGCTTCTATTCTTCTTCATCTGGAATCCCACCTCTTCTTCCCTTCACTCTCCCACTTTCTTTTCCCCAAAACTCCAATTTCTCCCTTCTCTTGGCTTTCCCTTCGATCTTCAAGTCTTAAAGTCTTAATTTCTTTGCGGAATTCACCAACACTCCCCTTTTCTATTTCTCCGGAACTTCCTCCCTCTTCCGGCCTCGTGTTCCGTGTTCCTGAAGCTCCGTCTCCGCGCATTGAAGCCTCCACTTTGGTTTTCATCGGCAGAAGAGCTCTTCCCTTTCTGGCATGTCCGCGGCCCTTAGCTGGTCGCACATGTAATCATGGCACAACCTGACCTCACGTCGCATCATGTCAACTACTTAATATGGAGGTAAGTACAATGCAACCCATGCATCTCCTACAGAACTAATACCCTTCTAGGTACCTCCAAGAATCAGGTTGGTCACATTGCCCCCTTGACTTTTCCCAATTTGACCTCTAACTCAACCTAGGTCATGGCGATGCCGCCGTGTCTTTACAGCGCGCGTGGTTCCCTGATCCGCAAAGTCTCCCGTTTGCGCCTTATATTAAAACTCATGCGCTGGTGTCGCTGGTCCAGAAGGGCCTGCAATACCACGAGATGGAAGCCTCGCTGGACAAGGTATGTGTTTAATTCTAAACGCTTCTTACGCGCCACAGGAAAGAAGGGAAAAAAAAGCTACTTTCTTTTGGGGCTCCTCAATTTACAAACTAATCACAATGCGTAGGAGGGTAATCACAAAACTATTTCACCGTCTGATTATTTTTTCGGACCAGAACCCTTTGAAATTGGAACCAAAACTGGGTCAGTGGAAAGTCGCGATGAGACCGTCGGCACAGACCCAGATTCGCCGGGCCAACTTGCGCGCGACCGCCCGGTGAACGGCCATACCGAGCCCGGAAAGGACACCCGAAAGGATGAAACTGATAGCGATGAATCTATGGAGGACAAGGCGCAAACTGAAAGTCAGCCAAATACTCCCGATCATATGGATGAAGATGGTGATGTCAGCATGGCCGAGGAGATCCCCGACCTATCCACCTTGGAAAATCGCGAGAGCTCTTGCGTACAGATCGCCCCCGCTAAGCCCATCGATTTGACCCCTGACACCGCCCTGCTGAATCCGGATTATCACGTGACTCATGCCATATGGCGCCCTCGGGATCCCACTGTGGTTGTGGGAGCCGGTGACCTCTTCTGCAGCTTGTGGAAGCTGTCAATGTCATCGGAACCCGTGCAGACGAAAATTTTGGACCTCAAGAAGGGCGACACAAGTGTCTCGACCGTAGCCTGGGATGCCATTGGTGAGAAATTGGCCGTCGCGACTTGTACTGATGACAGGGGCACTATCACCATGTACAACGTCAATGGAGACGCAGTGGATTTACTGCCAGAGGTACCCCGGCTCATCACTGGCTTGCACTGGGCAACTGGTAGCTCGCAACTGGTCGTTGTAGCCTCGAATCATAACGTATCGGAACTCGCGCTTTGGGACGACAGCCGCCGACCAGACGTTTTCCCTCCACCTCAAGTAATTGAGAACCACGTTTACGATCTCGCGTGGTGTGGACGCAACCTGGTATTCGCATCTGGTGATGGTGCAGTCTATCAATGCGAAGTGGACAATAGCATACGTTTGGTTAAGACATTTCCTTCTCCCAGAGATAACGCGACGTGGGAGTTCATTCGCTGTGTTGAAACCGAATTTCACTCGGTTGCTATCGTGGCATCCGGATTGAGCGCTTCGATTTGGATTCCCACCCATGACATTTTTATCTCCAACGCCCACAAGGACAGAATCACCGGCATTGATATCAGTCCTCAATTTGACCCCAATCGTATTGAATTTGCCTCTTTCTCGGCGGATGGTAAGGTCAAGGTTTGGCAAGTCAATCTCGACACAAAGGATTACACGAACATTCATCAGCTGAGCTTGGACTCAACCCCCGCTATTACCGGATCTTTCTCCCCTGATGGATACGCTCTCGGTGCAGCTAGCAAGGACGGACTCTTTATCTGGAATATTGAACACCCTGGCGGCAATCTCATGTCTACCTGGACCGCAACTACACCGGAAGTAAAGAAAGAGGAAGCTGACCGCATGACCAATGGACATAATGGACACCATGGACAGAATGGTCATTCAAAATTGGATTCCCACCGGGCCCTTTCCTGGGATGCAGATGGCAAACGACTTGCCTATGGCTTCAACAAACAGGTACGCTCTCTAGTCTGGTTTTCCCGTGTCAATCTTCCCCATGCTGACGGCCCAATCCCTCAAGATGGCAATCATCAATTTGCAACGATGACAGAGCAGGTTTGAAATAGCTCTAGAGCCATATAAAACTCACGACTCATGCCCTGCTTGAACTAATCTGCCAACCCCGCTTGGAAAGCCTTTTCAATCTCTCCCCTCGAAGACATATCATCCTTCATGGTTTCCCTGCTCCTTTTTTTTACTTTTTACCTTCTGTGAACATACATTTTTCTGCTTTAGAAAATGCATAATGGCATGCATTGCTTGGGACAGGTTTGGGTGGGCACGGCGAATGACATGGACTGGCGACGGTGGACTTTTTCTTTTGCCTTTTTTCCCCTTCACCTAATTCAGGTGGGATCTGTGATTTCTGAAACTCACTTTTAGTGTCTGATAATGAAGAAAATACCCCAATTTTGAATCAAGGAAGGCCTGTACAAATTATAGGTACATCCATGGATACATACATTGTACAGAGTACATGGCATGTACATATCTATGTATGTACATGGATGGATGTATGTACGGAGTCAAAAGTCGCTTTATCGATAATCGATATACCCCTCGACGCTAGTCCACTTCTGGATGCATATAATCGAGCCCTGGATGTGATACCTGTGAGACTATGAGACATGCAAGCTCTGATCTGAATTTTCTCTTCAGTAAATTTGTAAAGAGTCCTAAAATTGGCATCTCAATTGTATTATCTTACCACACCTCAAATCAAATGCATATGGTCCACACATAGTGCAGACTGGGCGCATTCCTGGACCCGCGGCCCTCAAACACCCCCCACAGTGAATCATTTTCCCACCGCCAATTCAACCCTTCTCTTTACTAGCATCGTCGATATCGGCCACTTATAACAAAATGGCACCTCCTGTAAGTATGCGTCTGTCTTGCTACTGTATTTCTCCACACTTCGACAACCCCCGTCGAGTTTTTGTCTACGCTTATTGACCAATGACTCAGGTCCCTACCATCCCGTCGCTTGAGGCGGCGCGCGAAGTAATCGCAAAGTCGAGGAACTCGGAGTTCCCTCCCAACCTACTTCCTGTCACGGCGTCGATTCCTGCCGACCTCTTAACCCCGACATTGGCATACTTGAAGATTGCAGAGAAGTGAGTCATGGGTTCTTTTCAACATCGGTGATGAGACGGGGCATGGAATACCGGACAAGATCACTGACTCGTAAGGATAGCTCGCGCTTGTCATTCTTGTACGAGAGTGCTGCTACCACAGAGACTATTGGGCGATACAGCTTTATTGGCGCAGGTGGGTGATACCGGGATTCTTGGTCCGATTCCGTCGCTTACATTCTCCCGTGCAGAGCCTAGAAAGGTCATCAAAACCGGCGAGGGTCATGGCCCAGCAGCAGATCCTCTCCCATACCTCGAGGATGAGCTTTCTCAGTTCCGCGTTGCGACGGTACCTGAATTAGTCCTCCCGCCGTTGACCGCTGGAGCGATCGGATATGTTGGATACGACTGTGTTAGATACTTTGAGCCTAAGACGGCGCGGCCGATGAAGGACGTCCTCGGAGTGCCCGAATCGTTCTTTATGCTTTTCGACACCATCATTGCATTCGATCATTTCTTCCAAGTCGTCAAGGTCATCACCTACGTTCCCATTCCCTCAGCAGATGCCGATATCGAGACCTCATACCTCAAGGGCCAGTCCATCATCCAGAAAACGATCGATAAGCTACTCCAGGAACGCATACCACTTCCGCCCCAGGGCCCAATTATTCCAAACCAGGAGTATACATCCAACATCGGACAGGAGGGATACGAGGGCCACGTCAATCGACTGAAGCAGCACATCGCCAAGGGCGATATTTTCCAGACTGTGCCGTCACAGCGTCTATCACGACCCACCTCTCTCCACCCCTACAACCTCTTCCGCCACCTTCGCACCGTCAACCCTTCTCCTTATCTGTTCTATATCGACTGTCAAGACTTCCAGCTTGTCGGAGCCAGTCCCGAGCTCCTGGTAAAGGAAGAGCGGGGCCGTATCATCAGTCACCCCATCGCAGGCACAGTGAAGCGCGGCAAGACCCCGGAGGAGGATGCCGCCCTCGCCGAGGAGCTCCGCAGCAGTCTCAAGGACCGCGCCGAGCACGTCATGCTGGTCGATCTTGCCCGCAACGACGTGAATCGGGTCTGCGACCCCACCACAACACAGGTTGACCGACTGATGGTTGTGGAGAAGTTCTCACACGTCCAGCACCTAGTCTCCCAAGTCTCCGGTGAGCTACGGCCAGGCATGACCCGCTTCGATGCATTCCGGTCTATCTTCCCTGCCGGCACAGTTTCCGGTGCACCTAAGGTGCGCGCCATGCAGCTCATCGCCGAGCTGGAGGGTGAAAAGCGTGGCGTCTACGCTGGCGCTGTCGGATACTTCGGATATAATAGCGCCAGCGCAGATGGCTCAGCTGAGATGCCCGGTGCGATGGACACATGCATTGCGCTGCGCACTATGATGGTCAAGGACGGCGTGGCATACCTCCAGGCTGGTGGTGGTATTGTCTTCGACTCGGACCCCTATGATGAGTACATTGAGACGATCAACAAGCTTGGCGCCAACATTGCATGCATTAAGGGCGCTGAGGCGAAATACCTGAGCTTGGAGAATTAGTGTGCAGGCTTGGATTTAGGAATAAAAGCACAAGCACGTGCACTAGTTATGTTTTTTTAACAGAAGCGTCAACCCTTTGGGTTACACAGTTGGGATCCTGTGTTTTGATGAGGACGATTCGCATTAGCGATGGCCTAATCAGTTCTGTTTTTATGTGATATGGAGAGAATCTCACGAAATACACAATTTATGCCCATGTCATTCTGATATGTACTGGTCTTCACTATGTTCATTCATTGGATGTTCTTGAGCAAAAATCACCAGAATCGACCCCGACCCATGTCAATTGCCAAGTTCCTATATTCCTATGCTCTACTCCCAGCGTATTCCATATATGAGAGCTGGATCAAACCTGAGCCGTCGATGCAAACACTTCCGTGTTGCACAACATAGATTATCTATATCTTATTTGATCTGATTGGACCCTGTTTTGTATCCAAAAAAACCACAATAACCCAATTAGGGCTTTCGGTCCGGACCTCGGGATCGTTGTTTCGCCAATGACGCAAAGACGACAGTCGACATGGTGAATTAGGGTACAACATCGTAGATATAAAGCTGAGACTCGCGCCAACTTCCCTACCCTTTCATTTCAGACAATCTTTTCTTTTAGAGCAATCGCATAAATGACATCCATAACACGACCAGTCGTCGCTATCGCTGGAGCCACCGGACATCTAGGCAAGCACGTCACAACAGCCTTCCTCTCCTCCCTCTTCCAAGACAAATTCTCCGAGATAATCCCCCTCTCGCGAAACGAGTCATGTCTCTTCCAACCCTCCTCATCCCAAGGCGTAAAACTCACAGCACGCCGCTACAACGAGAGCAACATCGAAGAAGCCCTCCAAGGCATCCAAATCCTCGTAAACACAATCGGACCCGCAGGCCACGACTTCAAAACAAAGCTCACAGCCGCCCTCCCCAAAACCAACATCCGAGTCTACTTCCCCTCCGAGTTCGGCGTCGACCACTACGGTCATGACTTCGCCCACCTGGAGTGGAACGAGAAGAAGAAGCACTTCGCGAACACGCAGCACGTCCTCACGCACATGAAGATCTGCCGCGTATTCCGCGGCCTGTTCCTAGAAGACAGCATCGGGCCATGGTTTGGTCTCGACACCCAGAACGGGAAGTATACTAGTGTTAGGTCGTTCCGCACGCCGGTGTCTTTTACCTCGCCTGGCGATGTCGGCAGGACCGTTGCTTCGCTGGCGACTCTTCCTACAGAGGAGATTCCGGATGTTGTTCATGTTAGTGGTGACTCACGCTCGATTGTGGAGATTGCGGGGATTATGGAGTCTGCTGGTGCGGGACACATTGATATTGACTGCCTCCCGTATGAGAAATATAAGGCGGAGACTACTGTTGAGCCTTCATGGCGTCCAGCTGCTTATCTATGGTTTCTAATGGGTGATAGAGGTATTGCTCATAGTACTGCTTTTCTTGGGGCCGATAATGAGCTTGCTAACCCTGGTCAACGACTATGGAAGTGGAAGACTATACAGGATTTGGCGGAGGAAACTAATGGGCAGTCTGTAAAAGATGTTGTATGGCCTCGTCATAAGTAGAAGCTTAGTTGGGAAGTTTAGTACCTCTTTCGGACATAGCTATAACCGGAATCTATCTGGGCGTGGGGGGCGCTGCGTCATTTATCTAGACATACAACACAGACAGTTTTGCGTGCTTACAGCCCTGGCGGAGAATATTCAGCTACAGCCTTGAATCTTCATCAAGTTCAGGCAACAGCTAAGCCTCGGAGTTGAGTAGACGGGGCTGTGGCCAGGTGCCAAGCGTTGGCTTATTCCGTATTCTCCATACAAATCATCCCATGGCTCGTATGGAAGTTGCAGCCTTTGCGCTAGCACTGTCACATTTGACTTTGTATATTGAGGATCCCTTGGCTCATTGAGTGCGCTGCGCCCTGCAGGACTGGTGACTCAGTATTAAAGGTTCCGACTTTCCAACCTTGGAAGCTCTCCGTGTTGAGTCACTTCCGACATCTTTAAATAAGACGAAAATAGCCTCGGAACTAAAAAACACAACATCAACTACAACATCAACTACAACATCAACTACAACATCAACTACAACATCAACTACAACATCAACTACAACATCAACTACAACATCAACTACAACATCAACACCAACACAGCATGACTCCATCATTGAAATCTCGTGTCCAAGGCGCCATCTGGGGCGTCTGCGTAGGTGACGCCCTCGGTGGCCCCGTACAATTCAAAGACCCAGGAACATTCCAGCCGGTCAAATACTTACGATATGTCGCGCCCTTCGACCAACCAGCTGGGTAAGTTCTCATCACAGTCATATATGCGAAGTACTTGTGACTAACATGAACAAGATCCTACTCCGACGACGGGTCTATGACTCTAGCCCTGGCATGCTCCTTCTCCAAGTCCGAGATGCAATATAACCAAGAGCTATCAGTTCGGCACTTTGTCGACTGGCTGACCACAGGCCGTTTTGGCACTGCCAATCACTCGTGGGATGTAGGGCGCTCTACTCGCACCTCCCTGAACACGTGGATAAAGTTTGGCATTGAGGAAGGAGACTTCGAATTTGCCCAGACGATGGTTATTGGCAGATTAAATTACCCTGAGCACTCAGGGAATGGGAGCTTAATGCGGATTGTCCCGATTGGTTTGGCTTACTGGTACGATTCTGAAACGGCAAGGGAAGTGGCCAGAAGACACAGCCAGGTCACCCATCCTTCGCTCGCGTGTGTGGAAGCGTGTGAGGCGTACACAGAGCTGGTGTGTAAGATTATGAATGGTACGTGTTAATTCTGTTTTTCTTTTCGGGACTTGTCACTTACTGTTTTGTAGGTCAGACGAAAAAACAGCTCTTCTTCGCGCTCTCTCAGTTCCCATTTACTCAACCTGATCTGGAGAAGCGCATGTCGCGGTACAGATACAAAACACTCAACGACTGGAAACTAAAGGAGCCTAGTGATATGACGAGTAGTGGATGGGTTGTTGATACACTTGAGTGTGCCCTGTGGGCGTTCTTCAAGTATGATACCTGGAAGGAGGGAGCTTTGGCAGTCGTCAATCTGGGTGGTGACTCGGATACCGCAGGGGCTGTTTATGGAGGTTTTGCGGGCTGCTTCTATGGGTTTGACTCTATTCCTCCTTCATGGGTGGAAGGAATGAAAAATAAAGGGGTTATCGAAAGTATTACAGATACTTTTGCTAATGGGATTGCTTGAGATTCTTGCATGATATATTGGGAAACTGTTCCAGCGTACATACATATCTATGTATGTAGGTAGTCAAAGTGCTAATGCAAACACTACATTGGCTCTATCGCTACTTCCTAACTAAGTCCATGTCAACAAATGTTATGCAAAATGGGAAAGAGCGACGTTTGACAGTATAAACGAAGGTGCAAGGACTGTCCACTCTAGGAAGGTACGTGAAGTATAAAAAGACGCCAACCACCTTTCCTCCTCCTCTTCTCTTCTCTTCTTCCTCTCCCCAGCCCTCTATACCACCATCTCTATGTAGTCCGCTTGAGATAGCGTAGGAGGGTCCCCGGTGCCTCGCCTACATGGATCTCAACATTATGTTGAGGTCCTTGCAGGCCCTCACTCGGATTGAATCCCAGTTCTCGTGCGAGTCTTTTGATAAAGCCATGGCTGAGCATTTGGGCTTGCCATGGTAATTGGTAGATCCCACAGAATATACCTCTATTTGTTTGATCGAACTATGTATGTACCTAGGGAGATGCCCAATATATTGCAAATTTGAGACGTGGCTTTCAGGGCTGATATATATACAGAGTCACAGGCTGTCCCTGGATATGAAGTATAGATCTTCAGGGAGGTGGCTGTAGGATAGGTATCTAGATGTCTCATGTTGAGGCAGTGGACTCTGCTAAATTCATATGATAGGTTTCAAGATCCGCAATGACGGGTGATACCAGATGAGTTCCTCGCAGATGATTCTAACATGATAAGACAACCCCTCAGATGCGCAAACCATGGTTTCTGGTGCTAAGATTGCCTTGATGTTATAGGTAACTAGAATAATCCGCTTTGTTATCAATCCTGCTATATATATGCGGCTCTTACAGTTTAGTGAATCATTTGATAGCCATCTGCACATATATATAGGTACTGAGCATAGCTCAATCAGCCTCTTGTTCTGTGATAGAGCTATTTCTAGTTAGTGAATGTACATGTTACATACATAAAAAACTACTTCAAGGTGAATAATAAGAAAAATCGGGAATGTAGTACTTTGATATCAAGCCCAATGTGGACCCGAGATCGGAGCGCCAAGAGTAATATTGCATTCTAGAAGAAGAACAAATGACGTAGGCCCTGGTCTTCTAAGAGCTATCACCGTGAGACTTCAATATGATCTGTACAATTTTGTATACATACTACATGTACAGAGTAATATCTGTATATAAATTTCCATAAGACCAATTGACCGTTGCCTGACCACAAGGGTTCCGAGGTCTTACGCGGCCCAAGGCGGACACATGTGGCGGGAAACAGGCCATGTTTTTGACCCGGCTTCTTGATACTCCGTTCTGACTCCAATAATTGGGATCGAATTTGATTTAGTATGCCAAAAAATACCCCCCAGTATGCAGTAGTCAAATAGTGAGTTGCTTGTTCTAGGCTATATATAGGGGGGAAAGAAAAAGAAAAAAAAGTACACCGTAAGCTCACGGTGATTAGACCGGACCTCCGGCCACGAGGGCGTAACGGTACTTGGACATGCACTGTACATGCTGGATCATCTAAATGATCTTGGTGATTTTTGTTCTGTTTCTTTCAATAATGACAAATACATGAAAAATCTTCAATTCTAAGAGGTTATAACTGTAGATCTTGAACAAGTGCCAGTATAAAAGTTTGGTCCAAACTGCTTCGTCACTGCCAAGCCCTCTCTTCCCCCCGTTCTAACCATCCCCTCTCCCTCCTTTCACTTTTCACTTTTCATCCGTTGACTTTTGACTACTATTTGCCAATATTTCCTTATCAGGCAATCTACAGCCCAATCTCCTAACCCCTTCGGACCAATCTGCAACCTGTCCCTATCAGAACAGGAGGTGACACGCTTGACAACTTTGGGCCGCGACACGGAGAAAGAGGGCTGTCTGTGCTTGGCAGTCTAATCCTCTTCTACAATCATCCCTCGCATCGGTTTCCACTAGCCGATTACGATCTCTTCAATCCCTTGAAAACTGCGACCCTCGCATCACCGCCACCATGTCCAAAGTCGTGCGGAGCGTGAAGAACGTCACAAAAGGATATTCCTCAGTGCAGGTCAAGGTCCGAAATGGTATGAGTCGATTCCACTGCTTCAACCTTCGGGGCGATCATCAAGTTGCGGTCGCATGTGCAAAACAGTTGTTGCTATGGCTTATGCTGCCCCTGTCTTTTCCCCCGGGGGTTGCTTGCTGCATTGCGCCCATGCATTCCGCGTAGATTGTAATCAAGTTGCTAACTTATTTTTCTAGCTACCAGTAATGACCCCTGGGGCCCTACGGGGACCGACATGTCCGAGATTGCCGCCATGACTTTCGGGAGGTGAGTTGGGTCTGCGACCAACTGTGTCGGCACCGCTAACGCCACTTCCATAATAGTCCGAACGAGTTCTACGAGATCATGGACATGCTTGATAAGCGACTCAATGATAAGGGCAAGAACTGGCGCCACGTGCTAAAATCACTGAAAGTCTTGGACTACTGTCTCCACGAAGGCTCTGAATTGGTGGTAACGTGGGCCCGGAAAAATGTCTATATTATCAAGACTTTGCGCGAGTTCACATACGTGGATGAGGAGGGAAGAGATGTTGGCCAGAACGGTAAGTTGTCTCTTGAAAATCAGAGGTCTCGCAAAATTGACAGATTGGTGTTCTGTAGTTCGGGTGGCAGCAAAGGAGTTGACTGGCTTGGTACTGGATGAAGATCGTTTGCGCAGCGAACGCTCAGATCGCAAACTCTGGAAGACTCGCGTGAGCGGACTCGATGAAGGCTATGGAAACTCCCCCGTGGAACCGCCGCGCAGAAACCAACGCCGACGCAACGGGGAGGAAGACTCCGATGCTGAATACCGCTTAGCTATTGAAGCCAGCAAGGCTGAAGCTGAAGATGAGCGCAGGCGACGGGCCAAGGAGACAATGGCAAATTCGGACGATGAGGATCTTGCCAAGGCCCTCAGGCTTAGCAAGGAGGAGGAAGACCTCCGAAAGCGCGAATTGGAAGAGAGCAACGCCCATTCTCTCTTCGACGACACCCCAGCTCAAGCACAGCCAACCGGCTACAACCAGGGCTACCAACAGCAAAGCGCCGTGGACTGGTTCGGCAACCCGATCAATGCGCAGCAACAGCAGCAGCCTATGACAACTGGTTACCTAAACAATCAGTACGCGCAGCCGACAGGGTTCCAGAACCAGCCCACCGGCATAAGCAACCCTTATGCCAATGGCTATCAGGCGCAGCCCTCGGCCTATGAGCAGAACCCTTACGGCCAGCAACAAAACAACTTTTTGCAACCGCAGGCCACTCTCCAACCCCAGCACTCCGCATTCAACCCCAATAACCCTTATGGAGGGGATGTCTTCTCGCAGCAGCAGCAGCAACAACCCCAGGAGAATTATCAGAATTCAGGAAGCAACAACCCCTGGGCTGGGAACCAACTGCAGCCCGCTGATGCCCTCAAGCCCATGCCGACAGGATCAAACAACCCCTTCGCTCAGCGTACTCAAACACAGTTCAACAACCCTGCACGAACAGGCCCACCAACACTCAATTCCTTGTCGGAGGACCGCGCAACGAATCAGTTTGGCCAGAATAATATGCAGTATGGCCAAAACTCGCTGTTCGCCCAATCCACTCAGCCCAACCCGATCGCTAATTTCCAAGCTCCTCAGCCACCAAAGAGCACCCCACCACAGGACCCGCATCATGCTCGTCTCAACGCCCTTCTCGGGTCAGGCGAAGGCCAGGATACCTTCGGCAATGTTGGAGATCTCCGAATCCCCGCACAGCACACAGCACCTGGCACATTTGTCAATTCTGCCGGTCAGGGTTTGGACCGCCTACACGCTGCTCCTACTGGAAACCCATTCTTCGGTCAACAATTCACAGGCATGCCGCAGCAGACCGGGTATATGCAGCAGCAGCAACAGCCTAACAATAGCAATCCCTGGGGAGGTCAGCAACAGCAACAGCGCGGCGGTAGCCTGATTGATCTGTGATCACTGTTTCGTGGGCTCTTCTTTATTGATTCATTCCTGACTTCGCTAAGGCCACTCACGCGGATACCATCTATCTCATTTTCTCTCTATGTTTCTCGCTCAGTCATTCAGGGCTTGGTCGTCTGGTTTTTACCCGGTCTCGTTGTTCTTGCTTCCTTTATTTTTTATCTCTATCGTTCCTGGATACTCAGCACAATCTTCCTACGTCGAATTGTGGGTTTGTTAAAGCCGTGACGGGAAGGCTAAAAACTAGAGCTTTCTTTTTCTTCATGTCCTCGATGGCCTACATTCTTCGAGGTTTGACTTGGGATCCATTTGTCTTGTCTTGTATTCTCTCCTGCCTCAAGATAACTTTTTCTTGTTTGTCATTGTCTGCCATTAGGATATCCTTTTCATTTCAAACCACTTTCTTGACATCTTATCAGACTCCCTCGTGCTGCATAGTTATTCCGAGTTTGGTTATAAGTCTAGTCAAATTGATTGAGTACTAGCTGGTGTGTGTGATCAAGAAGGTTCTCATGATGTCTCTATATGTAACTATATTTTGTGCTTATCTGCTCGTAGTATTGGCAAACGTCAAGGACAGAACCAGGGCAACACAGAAGAGCCAACCTAGTTACCACGCCAAACCATGATACCATAGGGATCACGATCAGTCTGGCTAACAGAAACCTCAACATCGCCCTGGGTATTACAAAGGCCTCGAATCTGGGACGCAGCCGCCAATTGAGCCTCACTAAACCTTTCACGATAAGAAATAGTCCTCTCAGCCTCTATCCAAGCCAGATTCCACTGATTTGTAACCTCAGCAAACAATTTAGGCTGCATCACCGAGCGCAAATATCCACGTTCCGAGTTAGTATGCGAAAGCGAGATAACAACAGAACCCCGTTCCGTGGCAGCCAAAGCCTCATGGTGACTCATTTCACCAGTCAGCAGGAGATCAGGAAGTTCCCCATCACCTCTGAGAAGCACGCCCGAGCCAGAACCGGGACACATGCCCACCGTTCGGATAAAGATATCATCAACGGAGTGGCCTTGTGGGATGGCGATGGGGATACCGCCTGGCAGACCGATTCCGCGAGCGATGTTGTCGATCAGGATAGTGAGGGGCTGTTCCTCGGCGAAGGTCACCATACGGCCGGAACCAGCTGACTCAAATCCTTCTGGGATCGAGGCTGACGGGGATGGGTGAATTGTGGATCTAGTGTGCTGTGGTACTTGCGAGGGGATTGGGGCTTGCACGGCGGGGATGGGTGCTTCCGGGTATGTTGGGGCAGAGTACATGGTCGAGGAGCAGGGTTCGACAGTAGCATTTGTGGGTTGTTGCACGGGTTTGAAGTTTCCTGTCACTACATCGCAGAGCCAGTCGGCCATGCCGCCGGGGACGGTGTCGACTGCTGTGTGCGGGGAGTAGACGCTGATTCCATGTTGTGCTAGGCGGAGGAGGGATCGTTGTTGGGAGTCGGCGAAGGTGAGGGATTTCAGGCCGCGGAAGATTATGGGGTCTGTGTGGATGGTGTTGTGTTAAGGTTTGGGTCCAATTGTGGATGCCTGTTGATGAAAACGAGGCGTGCGTCTAATCGCAAGTAGCATAATTCCTCGGGTGTGACTTACGGTATGCGACGATAACCGAGTTACGGTTTTGAATAGCTTCATCAGCAACAGCCGTGGTGAGGTCAATCGTAAGGAGGACCGAGTTATTCTGTACCCGGGATTTGTCGAAAGGAGCTTCGAGGAGCACTACAATTCGCCGAGGTCAGTACGTTGCATAAGTCAATAAAATAGTGTTTTGAAAAGATGAAGAGCTTACATCCTGTATTATCGAAGCTCTTGTCTGCCAATGCCTCCGGGTATCTGCATATAGGAGGTTAAATGAAGCTCCATGAATGCGGGGAGCTCTGGGATTCAAGTGGGGGGTGAATTTACAGCTTTCTCATGGAGCTCACCACAGCATTGGTGAATGGCGAGCATTCCGAAGATTTCATATTGAAAGACATGGCAGAGTATCGACGTGTAGCAGTGCGAAGAAAATTCATAGAGAGACGTCAAAACCTTGAAGATTGAGGAAGCGCAATGCACGGAAAATGATAATCAGCCACACACACGTGCTCTCACCAGCCACAGCCGACTGGAGGCTCTGAATTTGTAATGAAGGCAAATTCCCATACTTCGCGATAACCTCGGGTTTGGCACATTATCTCCTCTCGTCTTCTCTCCCTCCCATCTCAGGCCATACTTGATGTTCTCCCGCACCTCCTCTTTAACCGTCTTGAGCAGAAGCTGCCGCTATCTCCTCCGCCCTCACAATAATACCCAACGGGCCTCATTTTCCCTCACCGCGCGCTCCCACTACGCCATCAACGCCGCTATGGCCGACACATCTGGAATCACCGCAGAATCGCTGAAGAACAAGTTGACTGAAGTGCTGCAGGCGCAGCATGTGGAGGTTGAGGATCTATCGGGTATGGAAATTAAAATTGAAAATGGAATGGGAATGGCGCCCGCTATGACGTCGAAACATTCTCTTTTTTTTCCCGTTGATGTTTAGCTGACGCTCTGTCTTTTGGGATTGATATAGGCGGCTGTGGACAGGCTTTCCAGGCTGTGATTGTTTCCCCCCAGTTCGAGAGCAAGACTATGCTTGCGCGACACCGGCTCGTCAACTCCGCGCTCAAGGCCGAGATCGCTGCTATCCACGCTTGGACACCCAAGTGCTATACCCCCGAGCAGTGGCAGGCGCTGCAGCAGTAATTTTTCTTTCCGCAAGGCGAGGATATTATAAACCATGGCTTCTTCCCAGAGGTATTTTTGGAAGAAATTGGACTAGACCAACGGTCGCGGGGTTCGGACTTGGTTTAGGAACGAAGGATCGGCCATTGATTTCTAATTGCTTGATTCGAGTATATGCTTGCCCATTTAATTCTGGCATCGATTTATCAGGCGTTGGCCGGGTTGGAAAGGATGGAATAATTGTACATTAAAACCCTGCGCTACCAAGTACCGTGCGGCAGGGATCGGAAATAAATCGTGCCTTGGGCCCATGATATATTTCTATATTTCTTCCACTATTTGCAAGGAGTTCAAAGATCTATCTAAAGATGGCTTCAACCGAGCACCTTCTCGGCAGCGGAAACTTTCAAGTGATGTTAGCATAGAACAATTTGCTCGACAGAAGAGAAGCATACCGTTAAGACCGGTGTTGTCAGGCTCGACGAAAGCCTCCTTGACCTTTCCATCCTCGACAAGAAGAACGTAGCGCTTGCTGCGGTTGTTGCCGAAGATGGCGGCGCTGTCGAAGCTGAGGTCGAGCGCCTCGGTGAACTTGCCGGAGGGGTCACCCAAGAAGCGAATCTGTTAAAAAGACAATGTCAGCCCTGTCGCTAGAATCAAAATACCACAAAAACAAAACTAAAAAAAAAGCCACTTACGCCGCTCTCGCCGGTGGGATCGAGGGAATCAGCCCAAGCCTTGGTCCTATATGATAGCTTTGTCAACAAATGTCCGAACAAAGCTTTCGCCCCGCAACTTGACATCTATAGCTTACACGAAGGGATCATTGACAGAGATGACGAAAGCCTGACCAGCCTCCTTGAGCTTGGGGTGGTTAATGAAGCCGGGAACATGGGTGCTGGAGCACGCAGGGCCTTAAATAATGTCAGTACCGAACAGGTGTTTTTATTTCCTATTGAAGTAGGGTGAGTTCACGTACTGAAGGCAGCCGGAGTGCCAATGATAACAGCCTTGTTCTTAATCTCCTTGGCCAAATTGACCTTGTTACCAGGGGAGTTCTCAACCAGGACATCCAGGTTGGGGATGGCGTCGCCCTTCTGCACGAACGCGGGCGCAGTGCTGTGGAAGAGGGATGCTTGCGCGCGAACGCGGGGGATGTTTGCGATACGGCGGGCGGCGAACATGATTTTAATTGAATTAATGATGTGATTGGCTTATCTGTATATCAAATGGATGAGAATGGTAAGAAGTGTTTGTTGTGAAATAACGGGGAGAGCTAGGGCGGTATGCGTGAGGGGAGCTTGGGTAATTTCGTCATGGCGCGCTTTTGCAGTCCAGGGCTATATTGCATTATTTTTAGGAACTCTGCTTACACCTCATTATTGACTTTTATATGCTTATTTGCTTTTTTGTGTTTATTTTCACCTTCGATGCACATCATTTTTTAATATTGACAACCTGGAACTCGTCCTCGTACCTGTGGATACCTCCAGTGCAACCTGCGGAGACTATACCGCAGGTACCGCGAAGCAACCTATATGAGCTGTCACGTATATTAAGCGCTTTCTTTTAAGAACTGGGCGGACCAGCCACCTTCGAATCGGATGATATGAAGTCACATCCTATTCCTCCATGACGCAGTGGATCCTTGCTCCGTCACACGGTGGATCATTGACCCCCTGCTGAAGGATGCAGTCATCTTCTAGTTCAACATGAAGTTTGGCGCCAGCACAACAGTTTAAAGAACAATGGACTTGACTGGTGGAGCTCAGATGATATTACTGATGGTGTGCTCTTATTATGACGACAATGTGTTACGGTGAGCAACTTGGGTGTTATAGCTTTTCAATCACTATCTGGACTACTTGGCTGGCTTCTAGACCATGAACCACGTCTATATTGCAAAGAGATATAGGTAAGGTCTTTTCTAGAGTTGAATTTCTGGGCAATTCTTCGAATAAGATACCTTGTAGCCATTATATGTAACATTTTTATCTTAGTCTTCGGTTTCGGTAAAAGTGGATAAGTGGTTCTTCTCACCGTTTAATAGGTTCATATGAATCAAACCTGTTCACACCTCGAACACATGATACTGAAACACGCGGAGAATGGCAGGGCTGATCACTATATGTTATCCATATTATCCATATAAAAACATATTAAACAGCGGTTCTCAGTGGAGCATATACTGCTTATTCCCCGTTACAAAGACTTGACCTCTTTGTCTTGGATATCTCCTTTCCCTAACCCACTTGGTCTACGCTAATTCAATGTCTCACCATTTTCATAAGGTCATTGGGGGAGAATGCATGTTCTTCCCCCCCCCCTCCATCTCGTGCGCACTGACACGATCCCCTCCATATCATGTCTATCCTGCATCTCGCTGTTCTAATAGGCGAATGAGATCTAGGTCTGAGGTTTTTTTTTTCTGTGTTTTTTTTTTATAGGAACTTATACGGAGTACCTATACAATACCTAGCTAGTACCTCGTCAGGTCCGTGTGTGTGACATACTGGAATTTTGCCCCTCGTTGGTCCCTGAGTTCTAGGATATTCAAGATCGACCTCCTTGCATTAAGAAATGTAAAAATCCAAGATTATTATATATATGTTATATAGAATGAAATATATATAATAATATAAGGATGTTATTTATAGGAAGAAAAAAAGGATAAGGAAATAGTCAAGTAACCCTGGAACATAGCAAGTCCATCTCATGTACCAGACAGTACCTCCACAGTAACTTTGGTACTTGGCTCTACCGCTAAACCCAGTAACTGACCCCCCGTTATTTCATTTTTTTTCTTTCTTCCCACCCTCCGAAAAGGTCTGGCTTTCTCCCCTTATATTCTTTCTTTTCCTTGAGTGTGATCGAGGTCATCCCCGTTATATTTACAATCGAGTTTATCCGTGTTGGGACGAGACCAGCCAGACTGCTTGTTCGACCGGTCGCGACCCGTCTAGCCCAGCATGGACGGTGGCCAGACCTCTTCCAATCCCGCCCCCGCTGGGAACTCCAGTGATTTTGTTAGTGATCCTATATCCTTGTGAGATATCTCTACTAACATCATGAATAGGTACGGAAGCTGTACAAGTGAGTATTGCTCCTCTTCACAAACTTCCCCTGGTATCCTGTTATCCCGTTGGAGCCTTTTTTTTCTGATATCTCTCGCAGAATGCTGGAGGACCCAACCTATGCGTCGATCGTACGCTGGGGTGATGAAGGAGATTCCTTTGTGGTATTGGAGGTAATGCGCCCGTGTCTTTGTGTGGAATTCGGTTTCTTTGTGTGCTTGGCTAACTTTGAATCCCCGACAGTGCGAGAAATTCACCAAGACCATCTTACCGAAACATTTTAAACACAGCAACTTTGCCAGTTTTGTACGCCAACTGAATAAATACGATTTCCACAAGGTCCGACAAAACAATGAAGAAAATGGGCAGTCACCATATGGGCAAAATGTACGCATCTACCCCCCAATTTGAAGGTCAGACTGAGAGTCTGACACAAATCACACACAGGCATGGGAATTCAAGCACCCGGAGTTCCGCGCAAATAGCAAAGAATCCCTCGATAATATTCGACGAAAGGCACCCGCACCACGAAAACAAACCCAACCCACTGATGAATCCGTACCCACGCAACAAATTGATCTTCTCAACCAGCAGATTGTGGCACAACAGCAGCAGATCCAACATCTATCAGATCGATATGCCCAACTCACGGTGGATCACCAACTTATGCTACAGGAAGTGATGCGAGTGCAGAAAACAGTTTTAAACCACGAGAATGTCATTCACCAGGTGATGACCTACTTGCTTTCGGTGGATGCACGCCAGCGTCGAGATAGCAAGGCTGTGAATTTCCAGGCGCCTGGAACAACACTGAGCCCTTCCCAGGTTGGAACAGTGGATGATGAACCCTCATCGCCTCTCCAGCAAGCCTCAAAGCTCCTGAATGACATGAACGCCGAACTACAATTCAATATGAATGGTGTTGACTCGATGAACGATCCCCAGAAGGCCGTCGTTTCAACTCCCAACTTGGATCCTAATGCGCGAAATGGTTCGATCCGTCCCACGACTACCGCACCACCAAATCCAGCACTCGTTTATCCCAAGATGGCCGGTGATCTAGAGCAAGTGGTGTATCCCGTGGGTGCCACAAATGGCATTGATCCCATGTACAGCGAACATATCAACAATGTTCCGTACCCAATGCCCGCCAAGCAGGAGATGGATTCTTCAGATGCCCGACGGCAGTTCCCCGACAACCGGAAAAAAAGCACCAATGTGGACCCTGGTTGGGTTCGTAGCCCACAGATCCTCTTGGTTGAGGATGATGCCACTTGTCGACAGATTGGCGGCAAATTCCTGTATTCTTTCTCTTGTGTTATTGATACCGCGGTATGTCATCAATCTTGTCCTACAGAATAGCACAAAGTTACTAATATCTCCAATAGTTTGATGGGTTGGAAGCTGTGAACAAAATTCAGGGTGGCTCAAAATACGATTTAATTCTGATGGACATCATTATGCCGAATTTAGACGGTGTATCAGCATGCCATCTCATACGCCAATTTGACCGTACCCCTATCATCGCCATGACCTCGAACATTCGAAGCGACGACATCCAGCTCTACTTCCAACATGGTAAGACAGACATGAAAAATTGAATCAAGATCTTCCACTAACCTGTTTTAGGAATGGACGATGTTCTTCCAAAACCATTCACTCGCAAGAGCCTTCTTGATATGCTTGAGAGACATTTGGATCATCTCAAAATTTCACCCCAGAACCCAGGAATGGAGCCAGTCCGGCCTTCCGCGGCCGCTGTGACCATGGCAGCTGCAAATCAAAATTCAGCAGCCCAGTCGATCAAAGAAGACAGCTCTCCAGGCCAATCACCCGCTGGATCAATGAACAACTGGCAATCGCCTAGCCAGTTCCAAAATATGCAGGCTGTTCCACCGAATATGCCAGCAGTTCAAGGGCCATATGTTACAGCCCCACCGGCCGCCT